GTCATGATTGGGACCATTTCACTTGATATGCTGCACACATTTATCTCCTAGGAATGTGCTCTGGCATGTGTTTGATTGCTCAACACTGCACCTTGTTGGATGCATCTTGTTGTTTTTCACTGTGTTTGCCAAACAACTCTGCATTCTTCACCTGATGCCTCCTTCTTACCTGCCCAGGTGTCCAAAGGCGGGGCCTCATTCCAGATGCTTGCTGCATTCTAGTGTTTGACTAACATATTGGTCAAGTACTTTGGTCAGACTACTCACTGTTTTTGTCTGTTAGGATGGTCACTGCGTCAGAGAAGGTAGCTACAGAGTCATATAAACAATGTGTGAGAGTGCACTTTGATGTACTACACAGGGAACTATGATTAAAGGTCCTTACACACCGGGAGCGTTTTTTTTTTGTGCGATTATTTCAGACGTCAGTATTTTATTTTCAGACCCGTATCCTGTCAATACAAGTTTCACATCAGCGACGTTTTCCTGTCCTGAGATATTGCGGCATTTATTTTTTCTTATCACGGTCGACTTTTCTTGAGTTTAGCAGACTGTGTGTCCACTTCTGACCAATCAGATTTCGTGTTGTTGCGACGTCAGATTCACCGGTTTATCCAACATGGCCGACCGGCTGATTGTTTACGTGTCGGAGAACAGAGTGATTTTTAATAAAAAACACAAATATTACAAAGATAACAACCTGAAGGACGACTTGTGGAGAGTCATAGCGTCAGATTTCTCATATGACGATGGTTTGTGTGTTTTAACAGTTTGATAAACGTCTTTGTTTTAACTTTCATCTGTGCTAAGTAACTTTAGCTTGTAAGCTAACCTGTTCAGATAAACATACCACATGTATTTTCACTGTCTCAGACTCAATCACGTTGCTGTCACAGCACCATTAGGTCTCGGTTGTTACCTTACGTTTATGGATTATAGTTTAATATGCATCATTTCCGGTGTGTAAGGACCTTAAGTATCATATCTGATACCTTTTCCCCTCTCTATGCTCTTTTATTAGCTTGTTGTTGGAGATCTAAACTGGGAATTTAAGTCAAATAACTATTCAAGTTTTTGCAAATTCAAGTGAGTGTCCATTATGGTTCATAGAGAGTGCCATCATAGTTTTTTTTTTTTATCAATTATTCTTTGAGTCCAAAAAAAACCTATGAGCTCAATTTTTTTCCACATTTTTGACATCCAATATAATGAACATAAAACCAAGTCTGTGGTTTCAAACTGGAGTTATTCTTCAAGTTCTGATTCTCATGCAGTTAAAAGGAAAAGTCAGTGAATAAAGTCCAGCTGTAGCGTTGTAACAAATGTAAAGGTGTAAAGTTGTGTGTAATGGGGTGGCACAGAAATAGTCGGCCTTAGAGCTGCCTGAGTGTGTTTTATAACTCCTCTTTGCTGTTGGGCAGACCAGCATCAGGTGTCCTTGAACAGTGACAAGTTTTGTGTGCGATTCCACAGAAAGAAAACAATATCTTATCAAACATAAAACCATAATGGATTATCTTGAAATCAAACACATACACACAGACAAAATAAAAAACGGTGATGGATTTCATGTTCCATCTGTATAGGATATCTGGGATTTTGCAGTGTGAGAAGGCACAGAAAGAGGTCTTTGTTTGCGGCCTGTTGACTAAGAAGACGCGATCGTACCACCCACTAAAGCCGACAGCAAACACGCTAAACTAACGATGTGTCAAAACTAACTACATGTCGATCACAGAAGGTTTTAAATATTGCTGTGTGTTCACGCTGGAGAAATGACAAACATTCAAAATAAACTTCTCGAATTAAAAAAAATGGAGTGGAATTCTGACATATTTACAATGAATGTGTGAAATCAACCCTGAAATCAACATATCATCATCCTCTAAATTTACTCAACATTAGATTTGAAACTACAGGTCAGCCGAGCCGAGAGTGTTTAATTTACTTTTGTACACACATGCTGCCAATTGTGCGAGCAGAAAGAGAAAGAAGAAGAGAAGCGAGTGATACAGGTGTGTGAGGGATGCATGCGTGAACAATTTTGGATGGAAGCCTAAAATGGCAAAAGCATTTTTCTAAGGAATGATCATGTCGGTAAAAACATTTTGACATACAGTTTGTTGTCACGAAATCCTGCACTGTGTTAAATAATGACAGTGTTGTCATTTCTCAACTGGAGCATGAAGTACAACTAAATAAAGTCATGTCCCCACAGTACACAAGTCATACAGGAGTAATTCCCATGGTAAAATATATCATAAAATAGACCTGCGATTTTATGACAACATATTCTGGTAGAAAGAGAAGTGTCTTGTTTTTAATGTGTTGTTAAAATTAGCACAAACTTTATGTTTTAACATGAAAAATATGCTTTTAAAACAGCAAACCTTTTATTTGACAATGTAATAAAGATATACATATGTTTTTTTTCATTTGGCAGCACTAAGCTACATTATGTTGTCTCAGCTTGCACAATTTCAGCATGATACCTCAGGTGTTTTCCTGCGAGGGATTTCTTGCAGATTAACTGAATGATATATATATATATGTACATAATGTATGTAACATGTTATCCAGAGATTATTCCTGTGGCACAAATCAACCTGTCATATACAGTGTCATCAGTCATCCCTGTCATACAGATATGCAAGACAAAAGGGGAGAGAAAGAAACAAAAAAAACGAGTGTGGCTGAGGGAGAAGAGGCCATCTGCAAAGCGCAATACTGACAAAAGATTCAGCAAAAAAATTCAATAACTTCACCCTTTTTTACAGAGTAATCCAGGTTGTTCTGCTATTTAAATCATTTATCCACTTTACCATCTTCACTAATCTTCTCTGTCCTTATTTTCATAAACTGAGCCGTCTTCTGCTTCGTTTTCATTTCTTATGAAGGCTACCACAGAAATTTCTCTTTCTCAGATGATACTTGTTGGATGACTGGCTTGCAGCTTTTTCTCTGGAAATTACAACACTGCTTTGGTGATGAACGCCCCTAATGTTAGTCATTAAGAAAGAAATATCTTTCTTCTTTTAATTAAAATATATGCTTTGAATGCTTTAACTACATACGCACAAGTTTCCCTTCAGTTATTGACAGATAGCAAAGAGCTCAAGATCACAAATTTCTTTAAAGTTTGGGTGGAGCAGAACTAACACACTGAAACTCACACAAATACGCACACACACACACACACACACAGAGTGGGACATCTGTTATCACAGCCTTGTCTTCCACGCTGTCTGTACAGCATAGCAAGGCAGTGGTGTATGCTGCTTCTGAACTCGTTGTTGAAACAAGGCAGTGATGATGTGACAGTTGTTATTTCATGGATGGCTTCTGCATTACTTTAGGTGTGAGCCTTTCAAGTCTCAACACACATCCGCAAAGGCTTAGCTAGCTTCATCTGCAGCAGAGGTGGCGTGTGAAAGGTGGTGATGTGTCACAGTTCATAACAGGGGTAAGTAAGTCACTGTAAGTGTGTTTCTGTGTCAGAAAGGACTGATGAAAAGTTTTTCCTTATGCTAAACATCGGGCGTTTATTGTTTACTATAAATCCTAATTTTTGAGCTTTTATTAAAACATCTTCGGGACTGACTGCACCAATAACAGGACTTGAGGTATAGACATAATCTGGTTTACTGTATTTTGAATAAATCTCAATTTATTTATAAGACTTTGAATAAAGCATGTTGTTTTCTTGTGTTGTGCTTTTTCTGTCCTGATTTTTGCCTTTTATGACCATGATCAAACCAAAAAAAATAAGACTAATCTTTGCTGAAATATGTCAAGTAGACAAAACATTGACCTTAGGAGTTTTGTTTTCATTGGAAGATCTCACCAAAAGGTAAGATCTGTGCATGAACAGACCTGAATATAACAACATTCTGGTCATTTTAATCCATCAAACAGACATAGACTCCAGCTTTTGATCTTGTTCTTTACTTTAATCAGATTGATCAACCCCCCATATATATATATATATATATATATATATATATTTCTTTATCATTTCCTTGAAGTAATAATCACCATATTAATTATTTTGCCCTTCAGATGCGGTAGTTCTTCTGCCTTAGCGTCTCGGTCTAAATGCATTTCCATAAATAAATGATCATAAATGTTCTTCCTTGAGCTGCGTCACCCCGCTGCAGTCCGTAATGGACTGGCCTGAGGTCTCCATACAAACAAGCGGCTGCTGGTAGAGAGTAGGTGAGTTCAGTTGCTTAAGAATTCAGACAAAGCTAAAAAGATGTTTGGTGTCTAGTACTATGGCTAGGACCCTGTATGTCCTGTTGATGAAGTTAGGTGCTGTTCTGAGCATTATTTGTGGCTATAGAGTGGCGTTTTGGTTGAGGTTTGTGTGTGGTTCCTTAAACCACTGTGTATTGCAAGCGTGTGGTCTTTACTTAAGTTGGTTTAACTACAGAAGCAAGCGGTCGACAACATTCATCTTTCATGGAGGTGTCTAACTCGGAGTTACGATGTGTTTGACCCTAAATTAATTTTACACCGGAATATCCCTTTAAGATATTGTATACTTTATAAAAGACACCAAAATATCAACACACAATTGATTATTTAATGAAACATTGACCAGGATGGATGTTAAAGGGCAGATGAATTTCATCACTGAGCACTTTTTGTGGCCAATTTATCAGCAACCATATCTCAAACCACCTATCGTGTAACTATTTCCACATGTTCTCACCTTAAAGTGGAGGTGAAATTACCTACTTCACCAGGCCAAACATACTCCTAACTTTACCCACATTTGTCCTCCATACACACTCCTCTAAACCACAGGCCTCTCTCCTCTCTAGGTTACGTTGCTGCTCTTCAGGATGATGGTTGTTGGGGCTTGGAAAAGTCACGGGCTGTTGTCTTCTCAAAACTTCACTAGAGTTCCACGCACACACCGCGCGTAATAAGTACACACACAAATCTGAACACACACACACGTACACGCAAGCACGCACGAGCAGCTGGACCACCCCGCCCCGGCCCCGCCCCGCGGCCCGACCCCACGGAGAACAGACAGACAGCGGATCATGTGACAGCAACAGTGTCTAAACGACAGAGCCGGAGAGAGAGAGACTCACACACTCACTCACTCACACAAACACACACATTCACAGAGAGAGGGTGAAACTCACACAGAGAGAGAGAGAGAGAGAGGGAAGGAGTTTCGTAACTTGTGGAAGTTTTGTGAATCCATCGATCAGTGGACTCGGTCTCGTTGTTTTTCTGATGTCAGTGACACAGCCGAGCGTCGCCTGCGTCACTTCTTCTCCTTATTGAGTTTCTTCTTTACCGTCCAGTAAAGCAACACTTCAACTCCAGCCTCTCACCAAGGAATAGACCGTGTCCTTCATCACAGAGGTAAGTTTGATAGTAACCTGAGTCTGTTTTTTCAGTGTGACCCCCTGACAGGTTTGATCTCACTGAGATGAGCTGTGGTGGAGCCTCTGGTTGTTGTGTGGTTTTTAAAGATAGTTGTGGTTGTAGATTTGTTGTGTTAAAGTTATTAAGAGGAAGAGAGAAAGTCCATAAATCCAGTCTTGTGGGACTGTTGTAATGAGATCAAGCTGCTGGTGTTTGATTAATTACCCTGACTGGATGCTTATTTATAGTTTGGTGAGGAAATCAAAGTTTCCATGTCAGACTTTTTTTTTATTTTTTTGTGTAAAACTGGAGAATTTGAGTGTCATATTTTATCTTGGTGACTAATGATCGCAGATAACTGATGTAACCCAACAGGAAGGCGGTCGAGTCAGTACTAGATACTATTTATAGCCTTTAGAGCCTTTTTTAGTGCGTGGGGTTTAATTTATTCAAATTAAATACGGGGTCAAATACAGGTTGGTGAGAGTGTTTCATAAAGAAAGAGAGAAATAGAAGTTTAAACTGTAAAAACATGTGATTTTTTTAAAGGAGGTCTAGACTTGGAGACTTTTTATACAACAGTTCCTCCTATCTTTCTGAAGTTGATAAGTCGCCTGTAAAGTTTTTATCGTGTCATTAGAAGAGTTTCATTCAGTCATTCTTGATAAAACAAGTTAAGGTTTAAGTGATTGTTAAAATTATTTTGGACGGGCTGAATCTGATCTAAAATAAACTAGTGTGTGTGTGTGTGTGTGTGTGTGTGTGTGTGTGTGTGTGTGTGTAAGAGACGAACAGATGGCCATCAGTGATACTGCTCAGTGTCAGAGCTGTTAAAGTTACACACATGTGACAGGTGTGTCTGTGTGTGCGGATCCGAACCTTCAATCACACCTGAGTGTCTTTGTCTTTTCAATGCATCCTTCACAATACACATCTCTCTCTCTCTCTCTCTCTCTCTCTCTCTCTATGTCTCTCTCTCTGTCTCTCTCTCTCTCTCTGTCTCTCTGTCTCTGTGTGTTTCTGCGTCTCTGTCTCTCCCTGTTTCCTGTGCTTTGTTTCAAGGCTGAGGCTTGCGTCACACATTCCACTTGGCATATGAAGCCCTTATCCTGTTTAGAGCTGAGAGAGAGAGAAAGAGAGAGAGAGAGAGAGAGAGAGAGAGAGAGAAGGGAGGAGAGAGGGATGTGGATGTGGGGGGTGAATGGGTGGAATGAGGGCGACCTCTCTCATTCGACCTCTTTTCTTACATTACGCTCGTCTCTCACTCCTAAGAAGTTTTATAAAGGATGAGTTGACGTACAGTTTGACCTGATATTTTACTTTTTTAATTTTATTTATTTTTGGTTTATTTATTTGTCTCTCAGTTGGGCTGACACACTTCGACACAAACACACCAAATATCCCACCCACTCCTACACCTTTTTTTTTTTTCCTGAAACAACACGCTGATGTTATCTGGTGGAACAAAATGCGCCGGAGTGTGAACACACACACACACACACACACACACACACACACACACACACACACACACACACAGAGCTCAAAGGGCACATCCCAGGGAACATTGGGGCTAAACATTAAACTCCCGGATGCTGAACACTTGTTGATTCTCCTTCAGAGGTGAAGAGAATTAGGACACTCCGCTCCACAGACAGCCATGAATGTAAAAAGCTGTAACTTGTTACACAACGCCACATGCCTGCCAGCACACGCAGGCACATACACACTCATGTTAAACGCACACACTCGAGCAGTGTGTCTTTGAAAACCGCTGGATTGAGCCACTGTGACTCTTTCTCACCGCTGGCCCCCTCCCCATGTTTGAGGTTCATTGAAGTTTTGTCATACTTCGGTTGAAACCCACTTCGGTTTCTTCCCCATTTTCTGTCTCCCGCTTGTTCTTTCCACTTCCATTTTGACATACTTTGGTCAAATTGGCTGTTTTCTTTGCCTTTTCGCTCTCCGTCTCCCTCCCTCTCTCTTTTCATTCTTTGGGTAAGGAGGTGAAGTGTGTGTGTGTGTGTGTGTGTGTGTGTGTGTGTGTGTGTGTGTGTGTGTGTGTGTGTGTGTGTGTGTGTGTGTGTGTACGTTGAGGGGGAGTGAGTAGACAGGAAACCACAGGCCCCCCGCAGCAGCACCCCTCATTTGGCTTCACTCTCCTCCTCCTCCTCCTCCTCCTCCTCCTCCTCCTCCTCTTCTTCTTTACACCCCCCGACCCATCACGCAGTGTGGAAATAATAACAGTCAGACTAAACTCAGAGGGCTTCCGCTTCTCTCTCTCTCTCTGGCAGCCTCACTCGTTCTCTTCTTCCCGCTGTCGTCGGTCGTCTGGAAAGACTCAAAACTTTGCTCTCTTTGACAAGTACAGTTCGACGTGTACATGTGCGAGCGCGTTTATGTCTGCGTTTGAGCCTCAGCGTGTCTTTAAATTGTGTGTGTGTGTGTGTGTTTTCATGTATGTGTGATGATGGATCCTGTTTCCTCTCCCCCACTGACGGCCCCCTCTGGCTTCCCCCTGAGGTCTGTGAGCCTGCAGCCCCACAGTCTGCTGGAGAGGAGCTGAGAGGGGCTACGTGATTCTGTGTGTGTGTGTCTGTGTGTGTGTGTGTGTGTGTATCTATGTGTTTGTGAGCGTGTTTTGGGGGAGTTAAAGAAGAGGAGGAGCTCAGATGAGGGAGTAAGAAGCCAAAATTTAAGGATAGGGGGCGTCAGCAGGGGTCTTAAAGTGAGAGGAGACAGAGCTCATAAGGCCTCATTAGGGGGCTCAGGACTATGAAGTCGAGTTTAAGGCTCAAATTAAAGAAGTAAAGGGGTACAGTAAGGGAGGAACGCTTCAAGGTAGAGATAATCTGATATCGGCATATTATTATTAGGGTCTCAGGTGTCAGGAAGAGTGACAGTCATTCTAGATTAATCAGCAATAAAGAACATATTCACGTAATCATAATCATAATGGCGAAATATCAGTAATTGTCAATTATGCTGGTTTGGAAAAGTAACTTTACTAAGATGGGACAAAATATACAGGAGTTTGTTGTCCTGTTTAGTCCTGGTGTCAATAATATTTGACTTTAAATACAACATGTCACTCTGAATAGACATTATTCAGTGAGTTACCACCTCATGATTCCTCCCAGTTGTGTCAATGACATCAAATCTGCTCTCAACCTTTGAGATATCAGGATGTGTCGTCATGTTGTTGTCTTGCAATTTGTCACGAGATCTCTCTCTGTGGCCTCACCTTGTCCTGATTTAAGGCGGTGTATTAGGGATCACTTTATAGCATATTGTGTCATTGACCATTCTATCATCATATCACATCTGGTGATCGACCGATTTATCGGTTGGCCCCGTGATCGGGCTGATAAATGGCATTTTGAGATCAGCATTGGCCCTTAAATGGCCGATATCAACATTTTCTTTCCTAATGAAAAATCCACTTGACAATATATGACTAGTGTTTACTCCATTTCTGTTATGAATTTTAGAACAATACAGTTTAATAGTAACATTGATATTTACCATGTATAAATGTTTTGTACTGATTTCAGATAGGTTAGCAGAAATACAGAAGTACCTTATGGCAGTATATTACCGAGCCAAATACTTTTTCATTTACATTTGTGTCATAAAACAATCATGGAGTTCAGCAACAATGTTTCTGATTTGTTTGAATAATTACATTGAAAAAAACTGACCTGCTCTCTCATTATCAGTGTCTGTATCAGGCCTAAAAAACTGAAATCCAATAACTGAATAATATTAAATTATAAGGTATCAAACAATATTGTACCATTTTGTATCATATTGGCTCATGTTGTACAGTATGCTGTTATATTGTCGTATCGCATTGTTTTGTGTGTGTGGGAACCATAGACTGTATATAGATTGGACACCGTCTGCCTCCTCGCTGGCTGAAGCCACCCTGAGAACAGCACCCTCTGGTGACGGGCTGCAGTATAGGTCATAAACCCCGCCTCCTCCAGCAGTCTCTATGGAGCTGTGGACAAAATTTAGAAATTTATTACACAGATTATAAGATTTTCCCCCCTGGTTGTGATGTTGACATGTAGTTACTGTCAGACTGTTTTGTGCTCAAGTCCTCTTTTTTCTGTACAGCTCCGTTTTTAAAAGTTAAATGTTTTCTATGATTGACACTTGCTACAGTCTATGGGTGTACGAAGATTGCGTAGCTCACCTGGGGGACACGCTGCTTGAGCCGAGCGTCATCACAGCGACTCTCCCATCGAATGCGTTCAATGCTACTGTGCAATGTTGGTTTCAGGAGGTGGAGAAAAATCCTGGAAATACTGAGAGCTTTTCGGCTTCAAATCCGTATACTGGCAGAAGGCGGAAACAAGTTGTCCATATACAGTCTATGGTGGTTATAATACTGTAATCTATCACATCGTACCATACTGTTTAAACTGTATCATATCCTACACTGTTCTATCATGCGGTATCATGATATGTAAAGTATTATAGGTTCTTGAAAGAGGTGCAGATTTGAGTGAGCCACAGCAGCCAGATCAGAGTGAGGTGCTCAGGGAACAACAGCTTAGACTTGAAGACTCGAAGAACAAGTTAAACGCTGAGTTATTACCCTGCCACCTTCATGAGTGGCTTGAGTGGGACTGTAAATTAAGAATAATCCCTGCGTTTCCTAAGGGGTGTAAAAAGGTAACGCATTATGAAAAGCTTCACTTGAGATTCTACAAGCGGGGCGATGAATTTGTCGACGGATGGCTGATTGAACAATTTGTCGTTTAGAAGTGCTGCTGGATTTCAAACTGTCGAGGTAAAAAAGGGGAGTTAAAAACGGCGTAAGAGTCGGAAACAGCGAACTGTAGGTTTGAAGTGTGCGTGTGTTTGTATGTCTACTGCAGCGTGTTCTTGGACAAAGCTGTTGTCTAGAGGTTTCTGCTCTCTCTGGTGATCTCATCATCTCCAGCCTGTTACCATTACAGGGTTTGTGTGTGTGTACGTGTGTGTGTGTGTGTGTGTGTGTGTGTGTGTGTACAGCTCTGCATGTGTCTGTGTAGGTTTGAGCACATTTGTGTGTCTGTAATAATTTTTTCGTGATTTATCGTGTGTATTCTGTTGAGCCAGCAGAAACTTGTTGTGCAGCTCCAAGTGTGTAGAAGTACATATATCTGTGTGGTTGTGTGTGTGTCTGTGTGTGTCTGTGTGTGTGGTTGAGTCAGTAGCCAGCGACTCCACAAGCCACAATATTTTCCCCTTCAGTCATGGTGTTTTATATCATTCATAGAGAGGGAGAGAAAAGGAGTGTGGGGTGGTGTGTGGTTCAGATAAAACCAGTGGTGAAGAAATGAGCAAACGATGAGGAAGGAGAGGATCTGAAGTCCAAGGTTTGAGAGAGAGAGAGGGAGAGAGAGAGAGAGAGAGAGAGAGAGAGAGAGAGAGAGAGAGAGAGAGAGAGAGAGAGAGAGAGGGAGAGAGAGAGAGAGAGAGAGAGAGAGAGAGAGAGAGAGAGAGAGAGAGAGAGAGAGAGAGAGAGAGAGAGAGAGAGAGAGAGAGAGAGAGAGAGAGAGAGAGAGAGAGAGAGAGAGAGAGAGAGAGAGAGAGAGAGAGAGAGAGAGAGAGAGAGAGAGAGAGAGAGAGAGAGAGAGAGAGAGAGAGAGAGAGAGAGAGAGAGAGAGGTGTAGTACATGTTTGCTGAGTGGGTTGGGGTTGAGTACACAGTAGCTCTACTGACCTAGAAGGACAATATTTGCAGACCACACTTGACATGCACAAACATACACCCAAATGTTGAGTGCGCAGGGCAAAAATGCTCCTCGACAACTGAGATAAAGCTAATTATTCACCAAAAAGGTGCTTTTTTTTGTTACAGTGCACATGATCTCTGATTTTACACGTCTATCTGACAAAGCTTTTAAGTGTGACAACGGTCTGATCTCTATCTCTCTGAATGTCACGGTTTCCTCTATCTGATCAGTTGCAACACTAAGTCAGTTTGAGGGGTCAATGCGGTGTGCTGCAGTTTATTTTCAGTTTAAGTACATTGTATAATGGTGAGTTCTCTCCACCTCACTTTGCATTTGTTTTGAAAATGTCAGAATTGGGAAAAATGACCATTATTATAATTGGACTCAATATATAAAATTGTCTTGTTTTAACTACATAGAAATGATCTCCCCACCTCTTTTTATTTTGGGGTAATTTCTTTTTTTAAATGAAGATGTTTAATTTTCAGTTTGTGCAAATGAGAGTTCAAGTCTCACATTAGGAAATCTTTAAATAAGGATAAAGTATAAAGGATGAAGTAGAGAAACATAGCAACAAAGACAGACAGTTCAGTTCACTAAATTAGCTCTATCATTATATAATACAGAGAATATCAGAAATTTCTGAGTCACAACAGAGATACTGAAGTGAGGAAATTTTTAGATATTTTTGGATTGGTAAAAATCATAAATTAAAAAGCAGTAGCCACTTTGACATAGATCTGAGCCACAGTAACCCAAACTGCCCTGTGTTTGTTCAAACATATGTCAAACTGATGTAACTGACTGATCTCCTGTATATGTAACATGTTTTTGTGACTCAGATGTATATGAATCAGCTCCACCCTCTTGTTATTAGTGCGTGACAGGTGAACTCTGAGGGGAATGGTATGTTCTCAAGACTGCATGTGCTCTTTAAAGGCGGCGTACTCCCAGTGCTGCAGGGTTTGTTACACTTTTAGTGAGAGATGAACTCTTGATAACTGAGCTAATTACAGCATTTTTCTGTAGCATGTGCACATTAGATAGAGATGCACATATGTAACTGTAAATCTGCCTCCAGCTGAGCCCTGGAGTGACAGGGTCATTTGCATATGTTGTATTTTAGTTCAAAAAGGGGCCCACACACATCTAACATTATGTGTTTGATGGATGTTTTCAGCTTACTCGACTGGCTTGTCGATCAGCTACAAACTCACCAAACCAAGTCAATCGTTCAATACGTTCAACTTTTGCAAATCCAGAGGGTTGAATAATTTTGGCAGTTGTAATGTAAAAATAGTTAATGTCCTCACTTTCAGAAGAAGGGAAGGGAACAACTGCTGCTCTGCAAAAACCAGAAGAAACTTTATAGAAAAATAAACACTCACTGCCACAAGGTGGTCAAACTGTCCAAATTAGCATTAGCATTGGACACAGTAACAAAGGCGCTGTGAGCAGGCAGGGCAGAACAGCATCATTGGTGTGTGCATGTCATGCGTGTGTTTACATGTTTGTGCCTCACATTCTTCTGCAACACCAGGATTCGTATAAAGTTGGATTTATACAAAAGTACAGAAGCAAGATGACAACAGAGCTTCAGTGTGTGGTTGCACTCTTTCATTGGGATAGGACGGCTGCAGAGACACAGGAAATGTAGGGAGTAGAGAGCAGGGGAAGACATGCAACAAAGAGTCAAGGCCTGGAATTGAACCACCAAGGATTACATCCATGAAACATGGAGCAATTGAACTGCTATGTAGTTAGCAGCCCCACGTGTTTGAGTTTTACTGTTAAAATCAAAGTTAGAGTTTGATAAATGTGCGTTTACGAGCCGTCTCCAGCAGCTAAGAGGACAATGTGTCTTTTAATGCACATGGTTATTAAGACAAAATGAGTCAAGTTTTTACCACTGCATTGTAAGATATTTTCATCCATCATCTTTTTATTGCTGCCTTCAGGACAAGTTGTTGTTGTTGTAGATCATAAATGCACCATAAAACACTTGGAAGTGTTTGCAATAACATTTGATAATTATTGAATACTATTAAATAGAGTCATAAGGGAGAACACTGCGTTTTTGACCAAGAACAAACTGTGAAATTTAATATACATGTATTTTTTTACACATTATGTCAAATAACTTTATGCAATTTCAAAAACAATAAACTGAATTATAACTTTAAGTCCATGTTCGCCCTGACTGGTTCTGTTTCCTTGTTTTTTATCAACCACATTGGTAAGACCAGAGCTGCAGAACTTTGACTCTCACATTATCAGCTCTAGCCGTCTGGCCTTTTTGGTTAAAGATTGAATAGCTCTCCGGAAAAGCGTCTAAACACAGTCTGTGCGGGGACTTCCACATTCAGATGGATTTCTTGGTCATTTTAAAATTGTTCATGTGTGCCAGGAAAACACCTTCTTTCTGTGTTTACACTGTAAACTCAACAAGTGAGAAGCTGCTTCTTTTGTCTTTTTTCTGTTTCCTGATCCCTCTGTTTGTGCTTCATACCTGCTCTTATTGTCACCTCTGTGTGTAATCCACAACCACAATAGAGCAACTGCTTGACCTCTATTTGAACTACAGTACAATGCAAACCCGGATTAGAAAACACACCCTCAAAGATATATGTACACACGAATAACCACATGCGCGTACACGAACACACACACACACACACACACACAGAGAGCCACCTACTGACTGCAGTTTCTCTGTTTCTTTGTTTCTCTGGAACCGGGCAAAGGGCGAGGCATCAGTCGTCATGTTCACACCCTTCCTGACCCAGCAAGCGAACATCCTGCGTTGTTATTGGACAATCCCTACATTGTGTGTGTGTGTGCGTGCGCGCGTGTGTGTGACTGTTAGGGTGTGACGCCCTGTGCTTTTGCCCATTTGTTAATAATTAAAGGCTAACATGTCTCCAGACTGTGGACTTTAATCAGGTCAAACACACATACAGACTCCCTCAGGGTGCATTCTTTGACCGTCCACACTGCCTTTAATGCTCAAGTACACACACACACCTAGACACACACACAAACACACACACACACACACACTCATCTAAGCACAAACAGGGAATCATCACACCTGCACCTGGACAAGCAAAGGTAACTGGACCCACCTTTGAAACCTCACAAGCGTTTGATCCACATATTCAGCAGGCCTCAGTTGGGTGTGTGTGTGTGTGTGTTTGTGTTTGTGTGTTTGTGTGTTAGTCTTTGACACTGTTTGGTGAAGGCAAATCACACCTGTAATGGCCCCACAGTCTTGTAAAGTAACCCATCGTAAAAGTGTCCGCAGCCTCGTCTGAGAAGCAGGTGGTTTAGGGTGACACTTCACTACTGATTGTATTTTTCTCAACCTGACAAATTGTCCGACGGTCAAAAGTGGTGGTGTGAGAAGAGAGGACTTTCTGTTGGCAGCTGTGAAATGCAGAGAGGAGGAGAAGATGTATAAAGTCTGACAGAAAAGATATGTTTGCTTGTTGTCTGACTTGATTTACTTGAAGAGGGGTTGGTCGGACGCCCTCATACACAGACAAACACGCTGACGAAACTTTGCAGGCACCTGTATTTAACTCCAGACCCCTGTCTTTTTGTTTCCTCCTGTGTGATTTAGCTTTTAGCACCACTTAATTGTTTGTGAGTGTGGTAGTTACAAATACATCAAACATCTTTTCTTGTATTTAATCATTTTATACATTATTGGTTGTATTTTAAAGGCTGGTTACAAAACAGATTTATATGACTGTCTCCTCCTGAGCTACAAAAACAGATTCACTAGTTCTGTGTTGTTGTGTTTAATGCCTAAAACTGCTGCCACAGTGGACAAAGTGGCTGCTGAAACAGCCATTGTTTACATTTCCCACAGCAGAGAGTCTAAAAGAATTACACATTTATCAAGTTTAAAGACAGCATGTTTTTATCAGGAAACACTACCTACACGTAACAAAATCTGTGAAATGATAAGATGTACAACTTTGTTCTCAGGGTCATAAAAGTGGAGAAAAAAAAATCCTCACAAAGGCTTGTATAACAAAACTGAGAGGGCACTTTGATTTTATTGGCACAGTTATTACCACTTCATATTTGTTTTATGGAAATGTATATTTTACTGCAAGGTATAGATATGACAATTTTAAATATTTACTTTTTGGGCTTTTAATGTTTTAGTTTTTATTTAATGTCTAGAACTGATAGAGTAGGGAACTTGGGTCATATTTGGGCCCAGGAGGATAGCCTCTGTACATGGGTTACATAGAGGGCATGGTTTAAGACCTGAGTCAAACAGCTGCTGTCCTTTTTCATGTGTTGGATTAAAATACTTCATATACATGGAAACAGTTTGATTAAAAGCTCCATCACTGAAACGTTTTCTTCCTCACTTCCCTCATGGTTCTGACCTAAATCAACTGAAGCAGCTCCTTTACATGAGAAACTCTGCATATTAATACTTACACTTAAATAACCAAATCACTTATTTGTTAACCTTCGGTGTTTACGCTCTGAACCTACTCCAGTATACTTTTTTTTTAATGTTCTGTCATATATATAAAAAGTTTTAATTTCTGATTCTATATGTGTGTGTTTTATTTTGTAGGAGCCTGGCCTGAGCAGCCATGCTGATGTATGATTACCCTCTGAAGACAGACATGGAGACGGTAAGACGTGTGTGTGTGTGTGTGTGTGTGTGTGTGTGTGTGTGTGTGTGTGTGTGTGTCTTTGAATAAAATTAACTTTGAGTGATTTTGTGTAAGTGTGTGTATGTGTGTTATTGTACTCCCATCATGCCTAAACATGTTTTCGTAACCATCTAGTTACTTTGACCTGAACACACACACTCACACACACACACTCACACACACACACTCACACACACTCCTGCTACGTGTCTAGACAGACTGGTTCCCACATTCCAGCTCTTCCTGGACAAACAGGCTGCTGTACTGTGGACATTAGCATACAATGAGTACAAACACTGCCAGGCAGCAGGCTAATGACCACACACACACTCACACACCCACACACACACACACACACACACACACACACACACACTCACAGATATAACAGTTCTCCGCTCCCGAACAGAGCTGGGTTGAAGTTTTTGGCCGCTGTAGCTGTTTGTGTGACAGAAACATGTTTCCCTGTTATTCAACACAGAGCGGATATTTTTAACGGACTCTCTGCTCCTTTGTCCCTCTCTCCTGCTTCCTCCTTCTGCATCCTCTCCTCTTCCTCTCTCACAGTCCTTCTACTCATCATTGGTGAAAACCCCGGAGCCATACGGAGTCATCTTCTCCCACCCTGCCCACTTCTACCACCCCTCACAGATGCACGCCTTCGCCCAGTCCCATTCACACACCCAGATGGAGCCCGTGGACCTGTCAGTCAGCAAACGCCCCTCCTCTTCCTCCACCTCCTCTTCCTCCTCCCCTCCCTGCTCCTCTGCCTCCTCCCCCGCCTCCTCCTCACGCAGCTCCCCACCTTCTCCGTACAGCTCAGCGAGCCGGGCCTCCCCGCGCTGTTCCCCTCCACATTCCCAGCTGCGGTCTTCGCCCTCACACACTCTCCCCACGCCCACTCCCTCGCTTCCTTACCCCACTATGGTGGCTCCTCTGATCGGATCAGGATCTGGGGTCATCCAGGGGTCAGGGGTCATGGTGTCCCCGGTTATGGTGCCTCTGTCCGTCCTCTACCCCTCCCCTTCTTACCTGCATCAGCCGATCATGGTGAGCCCACCAGTCACCAGTGAAGATGAGCATCATCGAAGCAGAGAGCACAAGACAGGTGAAGACTCAAATTACTTTTCACTCATTTCATTTTAACTTTTAGATTTGATCTGTTAGATTTAAGTTTGTAACTACAGCAAACAACAAACAGCAATTCACTCGCAAAATAAACCCACTTGAACTCTGACAGGAAGAAAACAGTTGTCTACACAACTTCATCAGCAAAGTTATTTAAAGACCGACAAAAAATAGTTTCTTTGGAATCTATATTTTTGAACTGAAAAGGAGGAAGTGTGTTTTTATTTCCTCTTTTATTGGTGTATACGTCTGTGGAGCTTCTTGCTTCTTAAGGAAGTCACGTTTTTTCACGTCCTGTTCTCTAACGTCAGACAGGATTCACCTACATTCAAAATGTTAACCAGCTCTGAATCTCCAAGAGAGATAAAACCACTCAACAGACAGATTTCTTTAACAAGTGTCTGTTTTTTTCTACCTAGAAGGACTTTTTATTGCTTATAAATAGTATAAAAATCTACAAATAGTCTGTTTAGAGCTGTGGTGAGTACTTTTTGATGTGGTGGACATCAACAGACACTTTTCTCTCGAACCATCAAAGGTGAATAAGACCTGCTGCAAAACAATTGGTATAATAATTTTGTTAACGCTGCAAAGGTGTTAATGTCACATCAGGCAGTTTAAAACAGTCAGTAAAGGAAAGATCTTACGTTTTTTACTTTTTCCACAATAAATGTTCATTTGTTATTATGAGTGGCTTTCAACCCTGCATGAGACTCGGCTCCTGTTTTAGTGTTTTATGGTTTGTTTTTAGTTATTTGTTTCTATTGTTTTTAAATTAGTTTTTAAAAACATTAAAACTATATTTTAATTTTTAATATCTGCTTTTATTTTATCCATTGTTTTGATTGTTATAATCAGAATCAGAAGGGGTTTTATTGCCATTGTCGATGAACAGGATTCACAGACTAGGAATTTGTTTTGGTATGATGGTGCAACAATAAACAGAGAGAAATATAAAATACTAGAATAAAAACTAATAAGAGCATGCAAGAAATATATAAAGTATAAAAGTATAAAAATATAAAAGTATAAAAGGTTATGTACAATGCTATGTGCAATAAGTATAAATTGATTGTTTTTTATGTCTGCGTTGTTTTGTCTATTTATGCACAGCACTTTGTTCAGCTGTGATTGTTTTAAAGTGCTTTACAAATAAAGTTGAGTTGAGTATCAGAAGAGGTACCACAGGTTTTCAAACAAATTCAACATGTGGGCTGATAATGCTGCTAAATATGGAGGATTTGCCCCATAAAATGTTCAGAGAAAGTCCATCTAGTAGTTAGTGGCATACTGCAGTCTCTGTCAGAAATTAGGACCAGGTCAAGATGTAAATTATCCACATATTCTTCATCTAACAGGCATATTAGAGAGCTGTAAGGTAAAAAGAGCATGAGAAAAAAATGAGTGTACTGACCCGCTCACATCTGTGTTTTTTTTCCTAATATCTTCACAGTTCACTCTATGAAGCCCCTGGAGCTGCGAGGCGATGCCCACGACATGCACAAGCCAATCAAAACAGAGCCTCGCCCTGAGCTAGCTCATGACCTCCACAGCAGCCATGAGATGAAATCATCGGTCATCAGGATACCACACGAGTACGGGTGAGTTTCACTGCCTGCTGCACCTTCTCCCAAAACTGTGCGTGGAAGTGGCTGATCGGGGGTTTTTGTTCTGTTAAGGTGCAATCCCAAGACACATGATAGGTATCATTGGACTTTTTTCTAGACCATCTCTGGTGTATTTTAGGGTTTTGGTACTGAAACAATGAACAGGGAGTTTTGAAATGCAGTGGTTGTCAGACCTGCCGGGGCCAACATCATAAATAAAGAGTAGTCTAAAGTAGCTTAAGTACTGTATATAGATTGTACGATAGAAAAGAAGTTTACTCAGACTCTAAAAGGCGGTTTTATAACTGGCAGAGATAACACAGGACCAGTAACACAACAACTGTCATGTCTGAAACCTAAACTTGCGACCTGCTGACTTTACTCAGCGGGAGGTGTGTCAGATTTCTACATTCCATCGTGGCGTCTTTTATTCTGTCATTCCTCATCTTGACCATCAGACACACCTCTTGTTACAACTCCTAACTGCGTTCGTTATCAGCTTCCAGTCAGGCATTTTTCTCTTCCTCTTCCTCCTCTCCTCCTCCCATTTCTTTCTCCTCCTCTCCCTCCTTCATTTCTCTGTACTTCCTGCACTTTTTAACACTTATTGTTTAAGAGATTTCTTCTCCTTCGTTCACCGGCCTTCTGGCCCCTTTTTCCCCTCGTGTCTTCCTCTTCCTCTTCCTCCTCTTCCTCCTCACCTCATCTGTTGTGAACCTCAGAGGCTCTTCTTCTGCGAAGTAACAGCTTTTCCTGGTAGACATTTGTAGTGCAGTTGTGTATGTAATTGTTAGAGAATGTTGCCAGTAAGTTCTTGTCTGTGTGTGTGTGTGTGTGTGTGTGTGTGTGTGTGTGTGTGTGTGTGTGTGTGTGTGTGTGTGTGTGTGTGTGTGTGTGTGTGTGTGTGTGTGTCCATTGTTGACAGCAGTTATCAGGGTGGTTGCCAACCTTACAAAATGGGTGTGTCTGTATTTGTCATCACCTCTCCTCTCAGAACACACTCACAGAGAACGATTGTAAATATACTGTATGTAGACGGTAAATAGGTCAAGTTTGCTTTAGGATGGAGTGTGTGAAGTGAAGAGCTGGCCTTCGTGTGTGTGTGTACGTGTGTATTTGTGCGTGCGTGCGTGAGTGTGATGTGGGGGTTTTCAGCACATTCCTTTACGCAGAAGTGATCTGTGAGGGATTCATATTTCAACACTCGACACCTGCTCTCAACTGCCACTTACACTAAGCACACACAGACACACACAGACACACACACAGACACACACACGAACAAAGACACTCTCAGATGATAGTTAAAGAAAGACAGCTCCTCCTGGTTATTTTACAAAAACACTTTAAAACACTCCTTTTTACATAAATCTCTCTTTTGAGTTTTTTAATTCATCGATTTAAGGATTTATTGTAAGATTTTTGCACAAAGCTTCTTCTCACACACACAGTCATGAAATCAATCTGCTTGGGCTCATTAATGTAATGGTATCACTCTGGGAGAAGTGCTGCAAGTATGCAGCTACTATTTCACATTTATCAGCGTTTCGAGTTTGTTTTTCTTTCTAATCTGCATGACAGTGATGTGTGCGCGCTTTCTATTAAATTCCACTAACCTCTGAGTGAAACGCTTCTGTGGTTTCGACAACGCTGGAGAGGCGTGGTAGAACTGGAAAACAGCAGGTGTTTTAACTTCCTGAGTGCTTGAAGCTGTTATTGCACCGACAAGACTGTAACTGCGTTAAGCTTCGATTTCAACATCATAAAGTGAAGTGACCTCTCGATCGTATTAGACAAAGACAGGTGAAGTAGCAGTGTTTCACTCCTCTTTATATACTTTTTTCTCTCTGTCTCTCTTTTAGGGGAAACAACCCGTCAGTAATAGTTCACTCAGGCTCACAGCATCCCCTCCCCTCCGACTCTCCTGACTCCATGAAAAAGCGGCGAATTCACCGGTGCGACTTCTCTGGCTGCAACAAAGTGTACACCAAGAGTTCCCACCTTAAAGCACACCGCAGGACACACACAGGTAAGGGTTTCATTTCACACACAGACATACTTTCATTTTTATTCATCATGCTCATAGTGTTAAAAAAAAAAATCTCATTATTTCTATATGCAGGCGAGAAACCCTACAAGTGCATGTGGGAAGGCTGCACATGGAAGTTCGCCCGCTCAGATGAGCTCACAAGACACTTTCGCAAGCACACAGGAGTCAAACCGTTCCAGTGCCCGGACTGTGAACGCAGCTTCTCTCGGTCAGACCACCTGGCCCTGCACAAAAAGCGCCACCTATTGGTGTGAAGCACCTCCACCGGGGTCACTTGAGAGGAACTCAGTGCTGGTTTCAGCAGAGGACTGTACCACTTTGACTTGAGGGGGGAGATTTGAAAGAGCTGGCCTTACACGTCGGGATGGTGTTCCTCAGGACGCGAGTTCAAGACCCTTTCACCTCATTAGCCTGAGTGTGAGCTGGTATCACTTAAGCTTTCTTATCACACCGGGTGCCAGTTTCTGATCTGTCAGCTCATTTTCCTATCATCTGTGTAGAAATAAGGTTGTCAAACCAGACATGAGATAGTAGACACTTTAAAAAGGAGGCTGCAGAATCTCAGCTGGCCTGAGAGCGTCACCCTCTTGTGGCTGCAGAACCAAAGTGCATGTACACCTGCACGAGGCATGCTCAAGCTTCTTTTTTGCAACACCACCTCCCATTTCTTTGCATGCATGCAAGTTAGATTGTGGTCATTAACACACAAACATTCATGTTATTGCTAGCTATGCCAATATAATGTGAAACTGCAGAATGTATCATATCACACATAGCTTTGTTTCATCCGCTACCAGTCACATAACGCTAACGCTAACCCTTCCCTTCATGGACCGCCACATTAAGAGCACCACACACCTCATCTGCCTCTACAAGCTTATTTCATGAAGATACATTGGAAAACTGGTAGGCATTGCTCGCTTTCTTTTGTACATAAACGCACACTTTTATCCGCACACTCGGCAGAAAACATGCACTTAATAGAAGCAGGTCAGCCTTGGTCTGGTGTGCTTTGGTATTTTGGGTAAGAAAAAAAAGTGTGGGAGGGGGGAACGGGGTCTTCTTCATTGTCAGAGTGAAGTGTTTTTTGTGTTTTCATTCAGAAATGTGAAAGTCGCTGCACAGGGGCATTATTGTGTTAGTGAGGAAAAGACACCACTCAGATGGTTTATGGGTAGAAGCAATGAAATATATATTATGTCTTATATCAAGTAAATGTATCTGTTTGAGTTATTGTTTGGTTTGTGATGTGACACCGTGGTAGCCTTTTTAGTTGTGTGACACTTTTATATAAGAAAAACACAAAGTGCAAAGCAGGGAAATTCGCTCTTGAATTTTTGTTTATCCAGTGCAGAAGAGTTCAGGTGTAATTCTCCTTCAAAATATCACATTTGAAATAAAATACTCTATTCCACTATTTCTTCATCTAAGGTCATAAAAAAAAGAAGTAAATTCACATTTTTACGATATTTTTTCTCCGTTTGTGAAAGCCATCACAATTTTAGAGGACAACTCTCTGCTTTGACAGCATCTGGATAACAATTTTTTTGTTTAAAGCGTCTTTGTACATGTCTCAATGTGCACTTTATAAGAAACATTCCCAAAGCCAAAGATCTGCTGGTCGGTTTGATCCAAAAACATCTAACAGGGGTCTTAGTTTATAACTCTGTCACCATTCAATTCCAGGTTTAGGCATTTTTATTTAGATGTACTCACACAGACACACACGCACCCACAGCATCAGACTCAAACACTCACACATCGAATGTAGCAGCTCAACTGATCTGCATTTACCCCTGGATATTCTTGGCGGATTTTGCTTGTAAATGTTTTTGTATCTCTGCAAATATATGTTGTAATATATACACATATATTTTATAAGTGATTATTAGACTGAAAGGGCAATTAAAGGTTTTTATTAAGCATGATTTTGATACTCTTTTAATAATGGATATTATACATTTCTATCATGTTTTTTAATCTAATGTTGGCAATTCAAAGGGAACATGTTAAACTGTGAACATATAACTGTACAGGTCTATCAGCAATGTTGCATTTATTTTAAAACAAAATATTCTTACCACTTAATAAACTTATTGATAATATTTTCAAAATGCAGTGTCGTGTCTTGAATATTATACCTGAAAGAAGTGAGTGTGTGTGTGTGTGTGTGTGTGTGTGTGTGTTGTTAAATAAAAAACCTTTGCCATGTGGGTTATCCATAAAAAGGCACTTTAAAATGCTTTTGTGTGATAAACATTGGAATCATCTGAACATGTCATCTATCAGCACACAGCCCAGTGTGAATGAAACTTGACTGGAGAGACAAATCTGTTTTTTAACCTCCTACCAGCTTCACTGCCCAAAAATTCAGATCTCTGTAGAAATATCTGAGAGTAATTCAGACAATTTTGGGCATTTACAGCAGTTGAGACCACTCACTTTTTCCGTTAGACATAGCCTCTAAGAAGAGTAATGACTGACCCTTCAGACCCATCTTAAAGCACATGATGAAATATATCAGCTGTCTTTATTATTATGGAAATCACAGCAACATTGCAACTGAAAAGATTCATGTAGTTATTGGTCATCTCCTGTGTTTTATTGTGATTACCAATTCTAATATTTCTTTTCTACAGACAGACAGACAGACATACAGATAGATGTACTAGTGCAAACTTTTAAGCCTAAATAAAATGTTTGCTTGTGTTGTTTATCTGGTAAGTGAGAGTGACACATGAATTCATTTTATTACCAGAAGTATACTATTTGGAATATTACAAGAGGAAAAAACAGGTGGGCTCGTCCGGGATTTGAACCCGGGACCTCTCGCACCCTAAGCGAGAATCATACCCCTAGACCAACGAGCCATGTGATCGTCAATGTGGAAAAGTTTCAATTTCATTAAACTAAAACATTTAGTAATACTTAAATTTTTTGAATATTATTCGCAAAAAAAGCAGCAAAGCCTAGGGATGTTTTTCGAGTTCAATCAGTCCATGGGAACAGCGTGAAAAATAAAGTATGTGCACACTGATCACACGGTTGTGGAGGGGAAGCAAGATATTTTACTGCTGCCCACTTCCGCCTTCGTTAAAACGCTCTCACAGGATACTGAAGTGAAACTCCTCGTAATATTGTTGAGTAGCTTTATATTTACTTTCCAGTTCACGTTTCTTTTATTGTTATAACGTGTTGACCCGTTTTCCAAGAGTCCACATTAACACAAGTATTATTACTTCGTGATTAAATTAAACAGCCAAGGAAGCCGGGAATGACACAGCCGAACATAACCCTGTCAGCTAGTTCACAGTGATGTGGTATCATTAGCTTGAAGAACTCACTGGAATTAGTCATCTTATTCTCAGTTTTAAAAAAATGCTAGTTTACCAATTTACAGCAGACAGTACGAAGTCTAAATTTGTGTCCCACACAACACTTACAGCAATCCAATTCAGCTCATCAGATCCCACAAGCAGCAGAGGTCAAAGGTTATTTGGAAGCATACTATGTGGAAGATTTGATTAATAATTCATTTCTAACAGAGGTAAATTATACAGACACGGTGATTATAAAAGATAAAGAAGAGTACCAACAAGCTTTGATTTTGTTATTGTAAATGAAAACCTGAAAATTGTTTGAGTAAAATTATTTTTTTTTCTTTGCCCTTACTCAACTTGAGATGGAAACCTGTTGCACTGTGTCTTTCACAAGTTATATTAATTTGTTGTGCAAACTTCTTTGTATAAACCCACCAAAATCTGACAGTATGTACTTCAGATAGACAGATTATCAGTCAATACTGCACTTTGTATCATGTGCATACACCATTGTTTATCATGTGCAATATGGCAATTTTTCATACCTTATTTATAACACCGACCTATCCCCCATTTCATACATTCACACTCAGCACTTACTGCATCGCTTGTTCACTTTGTAAATATCTCTTATATTGTATTATATTATATTATATGTTTCTCGCTCTTTGTAAATACTTCTGTCACTTTGCATATAACTTCTCATACTTTTATTCACCTTAAATATTTTTGTTATCCCTATTTTATTATATTCCTTCAGTACTTATTGTGTGTTTTATCTGTTCTCCTTTGAGTCGAGAGGTCCTCTCATCCATGGCATTTCATTGCATTGTTGGTCTTGTTTAACATGCACATGACAAATAAACAAATATGGAAAAAAAAAAGTTGATTAAGCAGGCTAATTACTGGCCGTTTGTACAAATAAGCATATCAGCATCAGCACTAACAGGGCGTGAGTCAACCCACCACACGCAGATCAAGTCAGTATTGGGTCAGTCCGCCGAAGACCACATCTAGACGTCAGTACGACGTGCAAAACAGGTGAGAAATTTCGACGTCTAAACTAGACCTTTTTTAGACGTCGCTCCGACATTCAGAATTTGGACGTCCACAAGACGTCAGACTTGGACGTCGAAATGACGTCCGAAAAAGATATCAAAAAAACTTTAATTCAGCACCTTCAGGAGACGTGATTTAGACGTCGAAAATTACGTTATAAAGACGTCATTTCGACGTCGCATTGCGCAATGGGAATATCTAATTGAATTTTAATAATGAATCTCCTATAAATCCTGGATGTGACAGTTTCAAGATTAGAAAATTAAACAGAAAGGCAAAAAACAAAACACAAAACGGAGAACTTTTGTTGTAGTCTAGCAAAGTTAGGTTATAGGCAACGTTCAAAAATAAAAGTCTAAACAGGTAGAGAGGTGCTTTGAGACAATGTTGTTTCTTTCAAAGCATTAATATGATGAAAAAAATTAAAATGTGCATTTTCACAGTAACAGGTTGTTGTAGTTGTCACCTCCTTGTTGTGACAGATATTTTCCGCTTGTCTCTGCTACAGGGACTCCTCTTGTCCGTCGTGACTCTTTGGTCGAGTCATCTACCGGCCTGCCTGCCGACGTGGCGGGGCGGAAGAGGAGCTGCTGGCTGACACCAAACGGGTGAGCTGCGCTGTCACTTTCACGAAAACAAACCTCTCTTTTGGCTTTTTAACTTTTCTTTTAGTGAAGACAACAGCGAGAGACACGAGTTTTGCAAAAGAAATGTTGTGTTTTTTACTTTAACTCATTCACTGCGGTGCTGAAAAGAGTTTGTATGAGTGTTTGTCTGGAGGATGCATTACTGTCTGAATAATGGCTTTATTGTCATATTGGCTCTCAGATACAGCAGAGGTTTTGTCGAGCGTTTGTTTAGCAGGTTCTTTGAATTGTCTCTGCGTTTACAATGTAAAGTCAAAATAGTGTGAAAAAGGCTTCGGCAAATGCGGAGGGAAGGTCTCGGGGTTATTTTCATGATTATTTTTAATTGATAAATCTAATTGTTGAACAGTTCCAGGCTACTAATTCATTTCACAAACCACAGTAACAACTAATGGAAAAAGCACTGCAATGAAAATCTAACAACTTCAGGTTAAAAACTTAAAAACAGTGTCGCACAATCGGATTCTTGTGCCTTTTAATATCTACTTTGTGTTATTTTTCCTCTTTTGGACAACTGTATATTGATAGTGTAAACCTGTGTGTTTAGCATCTTATGCATTTTTGCTTTATCAGAAATAGTATTATACAAACAAATGTAATGTTTTGATATGGATGCACGAGCAGCAACTCACCACCAGATGGCGATAGTTAACCAGGAAGCCAGATCAGACTAACTTTTCGCCTTATTAAAAAACCTTATTGGAGCAATTGATGTTGCATCAACATCAACATGGATTAACTGTCATTTGTCTGGAGACCCAGAGCTAATTCTGTCACAAATATATAAAGAAGATTCAAGACTCTATTAAACCCAGATATTCTCTCTCTGTTAAATGAAATTAAAAAGGAGACTAACTGTACATCACAGTTAAACATCAGTTCACACTACCTCACTAATAAAAGCATCAGCCTGATTGTGTTGTTTTGTGGGAATTATAAAACAAGTAGAAAATTAAAAAGAGGAACAACACTTAAAAATTTAAACAGAGAAGAAAAATCAGTGCAATTGAAATGGTCCTCAGAGGAGCTTTAACTTTAATGTCTGACTTTATAAAATACATATTCATACTTATAAAGTATATGTATGTATACTCTGTTTAGAATCAAACTCCTCTTCTCTTCCAGATCATTATGTCTCAGGCTGACTCCTCAGACATGGACCCCTCTACTGACATCACCCCTCCACCGGCCCTGTCCACTCACCCTGATCCCGACTCCTCTCAGGATGCCCCAGCAGCCATCGCTCCACCCTCGGCCCCACCAGAGTCTCTTGTTACCCCTGAGAGTTCAGTCCTCCCACAGCCCACTGAGGAGACGACCTCAGAGGACACCACTGCTGATGCAAACACCTCAGAGGGGTACACCGAGCATCCAGATCCTGCTGCTGAGGGTCAGGTGGTTGAATGTGACCAACCAGTGAGCCTGGAGGGTGATGCTGATGCTGCAGGAGAGGATGAAACGGTGTGTTTTTGCATTTCTGTTGCCCTTGTTTATCAAACCCTTGAGACATATGAAGTGTACACAGACCTCTAGGCCCGTGGTCCCCCCTACAAGTAATGTTCACATGTTTTTGTGAATGCAGACGTCTCTTCTGGAGAAAGACAAAGGCTGGGGTGGTTGGAGTACATGGGGAAAATCTCTCCTAAGCAGTGCCACCTCCTCTGTGGGTGAGTCATCTGTCCTTGTTTCCTTCCTTACTTTCTCAAGTACCCTTTCTCCTCCCTCCCTCCTCAGCTGTGTACCTTTGTCTGTGTGTGCAGGTCAGAGTTTGAACTCGGTGAAGGTGAAGGCAGGAGAAGCTCTACGTCTCCACAGGACCTCAGTGGGAGAGGAGGCACAGGAGGAGGAGGAGGAGGAGAAGGAGAAGGGAGAGGGGGAGAAAGAGGGTGGAGGTGGAGGTGGAGGAGAAAGTGGAGAAATTGACCTGTCCAGCTCTACAGAGTCCTCTGTGAGTGCTGCAGCACCTGGCAGGGGAGTGTTCTCTACCATCACACATGCTGTGCAGAACACAGTGAGTGCACGTACACACACACACACACACACACACACACACACACACACACACACACACAACACTGCAAGCTGTCCACCTTACCCAGCTACAAGATCATGTGACCAACCTGCCAGGTCAGATAAACTTACTGTCTTCTAGTGAAACTTGCTCAGCAAATGGCCACTTGAGGTTCAAACATTTACCACTGATTATTTAACCTTCTCTTTAGCAAAGAGACCAAACACAACTCACCCACTCTCTTCCAGCAGCCGCTTGTTTGTGGTGGGAGCCTCGACGAGTTGATCAGCAAGTGCAGCGGATCATTTCCTTGAAATAATGATCATCATAATAATCATTTTGTACTGCAGAAGTTCTTCCACCTGAGCGTCTCGGTCTGATTGCATTTCCATGAAGTGATAATCATAAATGTTCTTCCTTGAGCTGCGAAATTCTGTGATCGACTCGTCAGAGCTCCACCCACAAACAAACGGCTGCTGGAAGAGAGTAGGTGAGTTGTGTTTAGTCTCTTTGCTAAAGAAATTAGTCAAAGTTAAAAGATGTTTGGTGTCTAGTACTATGTCTGTGACCCTATATGTCCTGTTGATGAAGTTAGGTGCTGTTCTGAGCATTATTTGTGGCTATAAAGTGGTGTTTTGGTGGAGGTTTGCGTGTGTATTGCTATTGTGCGGTCATTATTAAAGTTGGTATAACTAGAGAAGAAAGCGGTCGGCAACATTCATCTCTCGAGGGGGTGTCTAACTCGGTGTTACGGTGTGTTTGACCCTGACTTTATTTTATGCCGGAATATCCCTTTAAGATGTTACTTAGACTAATACCTCCAGCCTGACATCAAGTTATGTTGTTTTTCCATGGTGAGTTTGTCCCTGTATGGTTAACATGTGGAGTGGGTAAAAGATGCTGATCATTAACATAATTGTGACCCACTAAAATGTACCTGTCACTCTGTCCCTATTATCTTAATTTATCTTGAGTATTTGAGCTTTGCACCTCTCTGCTAATTTGCTGTATCTTCCTGAAAGGGTAAGTCTGTGATCAGTGGAGGTTTGGATGCTTTGGAGTTTATTGGAAAGAAGACCATGACGGTTTTGGCTGAGAGTGACCCAGGTTTTAAAAAGACCAAGACCCTGATGCAGAAAACAGCATCACTGAGCCAGGTATACACACACACACACACACACACACACACACACACACACACACACACACACACACGAACACAAGCACTTCTCCTTTGGGATGAAGTAAAACTAATGGGGATCAGCGGGATCCTTTCAAATGAGTGACAGCTGTGGTATAAGACTGTTAAATATAATTCTTCAGATGTTGAAGGAAGCCAAAGAAAAGGAGCGTGCACGTCTGGGTAACCAGCCAATGAGCGAACCCACAGCTCACTATGGTATACTGTTTGATGACTACCAAGGTCTGTCACACCTGGAGGCCCTGGAGATCCTGTCCAACGAGAGCGAGGGCAAGGTGAGCAACAAGTGTGAGCGAAGAGCGTGCTTTTTAAAGAGTCTGTTTTTAACAGAGCTAATGAAGTCATCAAATCCCTCTCTGCCCAAAGGTCCAAGCCTATCTCTCCTCACTGACAGAAGAGGAGCAGGATGAGGTGAAGAAGGAGCTGATCTTTATCAGGGATATCTTCAACAAGCAATATGAAGAGGAGAAAGAAGAAGAAGGAGAAGAAGAGGAGGAGAAAGAAGACGAAGAGAAACAGACGAAGGATAACGGTGATCTAAGTTCCCACTTACACTGTTCTGCCCCCATATGTGAGTGAGCCAAACAAACACCAGACATGCTGGAGGTAGAGGAGGTCCCTGAGCACTGACACAGGATCAGTTTTCTTTACACACATACATCTGACAGACACGTCCTGATATACTGGATCACATAATCCCAAACTAGACTGATGTTTCTCTTTGGTTGAACTTTCTGCCTCGAGCTGCTTTTACTCACGACATCAGGTATTTTAGATGTATAAGTTCCTGTCATTCTGTTGATATACATTAAAATACAGAGAGTTTCCTGTCTCTCTGTGTTGTTAATAACAGTTTGTAAAGACCTGGTTAAAATCTTCTTCCTAGGTTATTACATTTTTTGATTGCTAGTATAATTACTTTTCTGTCCAACATGGTTTGATCAATAACTTCAACTCATCTTTTGTAAGAGAGAGTAGATGATCAATCATGTTTGTTGTAATCTCTGTGGGATACTGAAATGAGCCTTAAGAGCAGAAGCATCAGAATGATAAGTACAGTTTTCTATAAGACCATCAAAACTGTATTATGATATTTGTCGAGTGTAATTCTAATCGAAAATATGCTATTTGTAAAAGATTGGAAAATGAAACTGGTGTCATTCTCAGTCGAAATGTTCTACCAAAGTGAAATTCATAGTCAAGGAGAAATCAATCAATGCCAAGTCTTAGCTTTGATCAAAACCTACTCACTTCTTATCACTTCATATTCTTTGAAACACATAAATGTTAATCATACCAAACCACACGTACAGATGCAGAAATCTGAGGTGGTGTTTCTTCATCCTCGGGGTTTAATGGGTTCCTGGTCCAGTGTTTGTGCTCAGGGGTCACCTACAGGTTCATATTACATCAAAACCAACAAAAACAATTGACAAGATGAAGAATTTAAATCCCCTCAAATTAAAACAATGTCCTGAAGGTTTCATTAATTTGGCATGAAAATAAATTGAAATGTGTTGCAGATCTCTGCCATGCTGCTTGCTGAAGACAAACATGAATCATACAGTATAATTACGATCTCAGCATGGGGAAAAACAGTGCACGTGGAGCAAACCTGCTTTCATTTTACTCTTTATGCATGTTTTGCTTTTGCTATGCTGTGTAAATGGAGGTATAATGACAGAGCACGGATGTGTGTGTGTCTGTTTGTGTCTGTAATGTGTAACTCTGTCCTCAGCGGGGGGCGAGGAGTTTGTCAGTGTTCTCACTGAGCTGCTGTTTGAGCTTCATGTAGCTGCTACTCCAGACAAACTCAACAAGGTGAGTCTGACACACACATGCATACAAACATATACACATCTTAGCTCTCCCCAAATGTCTGTGGTTTGAACAAGATCTGAAGTCACAGAGGAAGCCTGGTTCAGGAGTATGTTTTCAGGAGCACAGGTGCAGCTGAATCATGATGAGAGAAATATCATCTCAATACCACAGGCAGCAGAGGGTCTCAGTGATCCTCTTTTTTTAGCGTCTTAATATAACTTCTTGACAGTCTGACACGAGGTTGTAACAGAGAGAAAAAAGGCCATTCATACTGCCGTCAGTCTGCTAATAAAACATCACAGACAAAGGCCTAATGAGCATTTAACTGTTGAAAAGGTGTTTAAAAGATATTGATTACCACTGTTCACAAAATGTTTAAAACTGTTTCAGGAGCTCAATTTAGTTGAAATTTTGCCTATTTGTATCAGTCAGTGAGTGTGTTCACTACAATGACCTCAGGTGTTCAATTACTGATGAAAAATGACTTTGTAATAACACTGTCATAATAATAATTCACATTCCTCTTTTTCATCCACAAAGTTATCAGTTTATAAAAATCCTGCAGATGTGTGGGGCTCTAAATCTTAATTTTTGATGTTACTTAAATCAACCGAAACTCAAACTGATGCCTCTTTTAATATGCAAAAACAAACAAAACCATAAGCAACAAGACTGATGGTTTTTATTTTGTAATTTTTGATGCCTGAAATTGATGCGTGGGGGTATCAATTTCAGCATATAGTATTTATGATAAATTATACATTTTAACAGGAGGATATTTTTGGTCAAAAGACACCACTTAAGACAAAGACTGCTTTGTCACTAGGGGGCGCCAAAACTAACATAAGCTTATAGTTCCCCACAGGAGCTTTAACCTGTTTTATGACAAGTGGATGTCGTCGTGTTTTGTATCTGGTTGAAAATGAGTTGAGGGAAGGGCATTCAGACCTGATTTCACCTTCTTTTCAGCTAAATCCGTGTTGGTGCTCGCTGGGTAAACTTATTGATACTCTCTACAAAAGGGGGCGTGGCTTAACAACATCAGGCTATAAAAACATTACATGTGAGATTTGTGCACGCAGTAATTAGAGTGTGCAGATGAAACAGTAACTATTTGCTGCTGTTTTGACAGCTATTATGTGGCATTTCAAAGTTCATGGATCTGGTAGTAAAATGTAAAAACGATCTAATTTCGACCTAAAACTGCTCTGAACTCAGCACCAAGTAAACACCTGCAGTATACCTACACCTCTGAGGCTTTTACAGACCTTTTAACTCCTTTTTTATAAACAAAATTTCTCTTAAAATTCCATAAATTCTCTCCTCCTGCTGCTGTCTTGAAAGAAATATATAAGTTACTGCCTTTGAAGTTCTTGTTAATATTTAACTTCACATATAGAGAAGCTACATTAGCATATAATCGTGTGCATGCATCTAATTAGCATACATCAGGATGGTTATCTGTCCCCATGCTGAGCTGATGGGGGTAATTATGCTTTTCCAGGCTCGCAGGAGGGCCCATGATTGGGTGAGCGAGGTGGAACAGCCTGTCACCACAGAGACAGTCAGCAAGGAAATCCAGGACCTGCCGGGAGGAGAGGCCTCACCTGAAGAGACGGAGGCAGGGGAGGAAAAGAAAGATGTAGAAGGAGGAGAGCAAGGGGAGGAGATCAGCAGGGGGGAAGAGATGAAGGAAGGAAGGGAGGACCCCAGATCTGTGGAGGTGAGGACGACTCATCATCATGTGGCTCAAATCTGTGGAGAAGTTTTTTAATGAAACCGCTCTATCATCCTGATGTCGCAGGGTGCTGTGCTTTAATGTGGTAATAGATATTTAAATGTGTGTGTCTGACCGTGTGTGTGTGTGCATGTGTGAACGTGTGTGTTCGTCTCCCTCTCTCCAGGCCGTCTACCTGTCATCCGTGGGGAGTCTGGCAGAAGTGACGGCTCGCAGTATTGAGCAGCTCCACAAGGTGGCAGAGCTCATCCTCCACGGTCAAGATCAGGAGAAACCAGCCAGAGACCAGGCACACATCCTCACCAGGTGTGTGTGTTTGTATGTGCGTGTGTGTGTGTGAGTCATTTTGATGTGATAGAAATAACATGAGCAAACCTTTCGTGTCAATCCCAGGTTGACGTGTGCCATGTGTAAGGAGGTGGAGTGTTTGGCCAAGAAGTTCTCTGACACGCTGCTTCTTGTTGGGGTAAGTGAGAAGGATTGTGTTGTTGTTGTTGTTGTGAGGCTTTTGTGTGAACACTGGGGGTGTAAAAGGATAAGGCTTGTGTATTTTTTTCTGTTGTTACCAAATCTTATAAAGGTTCTCAAAGCCCAAAAAAAAAAAAGCATTAATCTGCCCTGAATACTCGGAGACGTCCCCACCCTGTGTAGGAGCTCATCCCTGAGCCTCTCAGCTCATAAAGAAAACAACAATAAAAATTTAAACGCTCAGTCATTTTCTCAAACAGATGTGCGCAGTAGAAAATGTCACTCAGCTAAAAGCGAATTATGGGACTGCAGCATTTTCCCCTGTGGATTTTTATTGCAGCAGGATGGTTAATGCATGACTGAATAAACATTTTATCATCGACTTTTGTATGTTACATATCAGCTACATAGGCTGTACATGCTCCATGAGCTCGATTCATACTTCAGCCTTTGCTACACCAGTGCTGTGATGGTTGGAGACAGAAAAGGCACAGTCTTTCTTCACCAAACATGTGGAAATAAATGGAAATGTTCCCAAGTGAAATTCCTCTATGACTAAAAGTGTGTGGCTCAGTTGTGTATTTTGAATCACTCTCACAGAAGGAGGGCGCAGAGGAATAAGCTTATAAATAATGTGCTTTTTATTTTTATTATTTATGTATTGTAGTCAAAAGGTCACAGTCATGTCACCCTCTTTAAGGTTGTCCGTACATGGACAGTAAACTTGTGTTTTCATTTCTTGCATCTTTACTCACTGCTGCTTCCCGTCTCTCCTTCAGGGTCAGAAGAAAGCAGAGGAGTTGAATCCACTGGTGGACAGCGTGCTACAAGAGGTGAGACGCTCAGACTTTAAAAATGTTTCTAGATTTGAACAAATTATTGAAAAACACATTTTGACTGTTTTGGGTACACATTAGAGCTGCTTATTATAAGCAGCAACTTAAATTTGAAAACAAATCATATCTGTATCTCCTCAATATAATAACAAAGATGTATATCATGTAATTATTTTTTAATCATTTTGAAGCAATAAAGATGATTAGTTATGGAGCGAGTAATGCAATGATAAGGAGATTTTTGGCACCGTTCATAATGCATTTTGTAAACTTGCCTGCAACTTGCATAAAACACAACCAGAGGTGCCGAGCCTGCTCCTCTGTGAACATAACAAGGCGTACATACAGAGTAATGATGTCACATCTGCACGCATGATCAGGTTATTTGATTTTGCACCCATATCAACAGTGGATTCAGATTATCTGATTCCTCAAATTTTAAATCATATCAAGAAATTTTGCCCATGTAAACCTGGCTAATGTTCTCGTGTTTTTCTGTCTGCAGGGTTCAAACAGCACAAACTACATCCACAATGCATTCCAGCTGCTGTTGCCCATCTTGCAGATCTCCCACATCCAGAGCCAACAGAGTCACCCGGCTACAGAACCAACAGAACAAACACAACACTAACACAAACACACACACACACACACACACACACACACACACACACACACACACACACACACACACACACACACACACACACACACACTAACACACACAGACAGGCTACCTACTCACCTGCTTGTCCTAATGTATCTATGGTTGTACAGTGAAGTATAGAGAATAGATTATCACAGATTAAATGCTTTAATCTACATCAAGTGCCATAGTTAAGATGTTTTCTATTTACATGATCTAATCTTAGAGATGACAGTTTAACTGACGGATTCACGTTGAAGCCACAATAGAGCAGATTGTATGTCTGTCTCTTCCAGGATTATTGAAGATTTACATATTTTTCATCTAAAATTGAGATGGTGTGACAAAAACATGTTTACTTATTGTCTCAAAAAGCTGAACCAAATAGAAATCTTACTGAATTACTGAATGTTTTAAAAAAGATTTTAACATTAATGTATATCAAGCTTTCTTTGCACTCATTATGGTCCACTATCATTCCAACAGAGGGAGCAGTGACTAACTTTAGAGAGGTGTTAGTGTTTCTGAAATGTACTAATCTGGTTTGAGATAAAATGCCAGTATTATTGATAATTGCTTTTTTTATTCTTATTTTTGCTAAGTTATGTGAAGCAACACTATTTTTAGTCTTATGCAACTTGGTTGAAAAAAGTCTTCATGCTTAAAATTGCACAAGAAAATACTCTAAGTTCTCTCTTCTTCTCTTGTCTAGACATTGAAGTTTTGATGTAGTTATATTTGGTTCACATTAACTTGAAATATGCTGCTACATTCTTAAAAGGTATATTTTAGCTTATTCGGACAATGTCTGTACTTCTTTATCGCTGCGAATAATATGATAAGATCAAAACAGATTTCACATGTGTTTTACAGACCTGAAGATAAAGCCAGCAGCAGATTAATGCAGTTTAACACAAAGACTTGTAAAAGCTAACCTGGTTTGTTTTTCCAAAGAAGATAAGAAAATTCCTCTACCAGCTTGTCAACCCATAAATAGAAGTAAGATAATATGGAGAAACAGGAGCTAAGGCAAAGGCAAAAATCCTACAAATAAAAAAAAAAAGCCACAAAACATCATTTACTCTTGATTTTGTACTGACATTGTCCTGCAGGAGTGGGTACTGTGGTTAAACAGAAAGAAGTTTTTAGTACAACAATACAAGATTGACAGCTTTAATGTGGTAAATGAGGTATAGCTGTTGCGTAAAGTATCCAGCAGTAATAGCAACATGGGCTCTTGTTTGGTTTTGTGTTTCTCTCCAGCTCACTTTTTGAAGTCCAACTGTCACTTTATGTCGACCTGTTCAGGCCTCTGATTGGCCGTTTAACCTCTGAATGCTTCTGTCTGTGCTGTGTAACACTGAGCTGGTGTTGATTTGGTTTCATTATACATGTCAAACTCTTTTATTTGATGTGTCGCTGAAACGAAAATATTGACCACAGCCGCTCCACCGGAAATCCTGTAATGTGCTTATCAGCGAGTGTGAGAGGTTATTTCCTGTTCCCCTTTTTGCAGTCTAATTGATGTGCTGAGCTAACATGCTGCTGGCGTTAGCTAAATATTGACCAAACAGACATGAAATGGTGCTGATTTTCTCCTCTGACTCTGGCCTAAACAGAAACAAGTACTATCCTAAATATTGACTTATTTCTGTGACAAAAACGATCATGTCATGTCCCCTTTTAGACTCCACTCTAAAGACATCAAGAAAGACCTCTCCCTTATGATTTTGTTTGGTCATAAATCATTTACAGAGTAAAGGCTTGAAGTGAGGTTTTTGAGTTTTCCCTTAGAGGGGTGCAGTAAACCATTTTTCATTACGCATCCCCTCTCCTGTAACACCTGTGTTGAGTTATAGTAAAAATCCTAATGTGCTCAGAGTACATCTGTTTTTGATTGCCAGCGTTAAATGAGGTCTTAGCCTTCAATTGGCAGTAAACATAGATCTCTTAAGGAGATAAACCACTTTTAGCATGCTCTTTACTTTTTCTTGCTACCTGTCAGAGATAAACGAATGAAGTCAAGGAAAACTGTCCTGCACAGCATAACAGTCATGCCTGTTTTCACTCCTTTTAGCTTCATCTGTCTAGGGTTCGACTGCTTTAACACAAAATGATTTGCTCTGCAGGGTGAGTAATGTTTGGGAGACTAGTCAAAGGTCACTAAAAAGGTCATGTTTTAATATTTAAAGATTCCTTCTTGATAAAGAGCCCTTCTGTGTGAAGATGACATAATGGAAATAAATAAGTATAACCATCTTCATGTGTCTCTGATACTTTATTTTCACCACACATGAGGCAGGGACTGGTAACATTCATATTTAGTTTCCTCCTCTGCTCCTCAGACTGCGCCTCTGTCACCAGGGCTGCTCCTCTGTAAGGGAGGAGCTGGACGGATGGCCACGATGATGCAGATTAACTACAAAGAGACACATTTCAGAAGTATTATCAACAGAGTTAAACAATAGAGGAAGAGGTTTAGATACTGTGTGGAGGGGAGGGGAAGTTGTCAAGTCTTTTTTTTTTCTCCTGCTCCAGAGACACACAGATAATTATTTATTTGTTTGCATCATATTTAACTTCAGTATGTTTGATATTCCTAACCAGCTTTGGCATTAAAGCTCCTGTGAGGGTTTTTTCATGTTTATAAAATATACTGAGATTCACATTGATGCCTTTTATGACATTCAGAGGCAAACAAGACTAAAACAGACCTTTTTTATGCCGTAACTTTTCATGCCTGAAACCGGTGCGATGGAGTAGGTGTCAGCCAAGCAGCTGTCGAAACAGCCCTATTTTTAACATTTCCACTATATTTTCACAGGATATAAACTTGAATGAACTGAGTCCTTTGTGATACACATTAACAATTGTCAGATCTGGATAGTATGATACTGAAAACAGCTGTGACACATGACACTGTTTAATGTCTGAATACTTCATGATCTTGCTGTCAAGCTGAGATACCTGAGTAACAGTTGTCAACATTTCCATCCAGCAGAGTTTCTACGTCATCTGAAAACATGAAAATGAGTTTTAACCCAAAAAGTTTGAAACACTTTAATGATTAAACTGATGATAAAACGTGTTTTCATTGTTTAATGGTCGGTTCTCTACCGTGATTGTCGACTTCTTGAATAGGTGACAGTCCTGCAATACAAACATGAAAACAAATCATTAAGGACTGAATCGACAGAGTTACTCAATAATTTTCATAACAACAAAAGTATGTCTGACCTGACCAAGACCGGGGCCCGTAAGGGTGGATAACCGTTCCTGCTGGACAAGAAGAGGTCAACTAAGTCTCAGTTTGATGGAAATGACAACTACAAAGTGTGAATTGTGTAATTTTAGAAACAACTATACCTTTGGGGATAGCATCATCTGTTTGTGTCTCAGTTTCTGATGGATCGATTGTGAAAAACATGCAAGATGTTAGCCGTATTCAAAAATACACATTTCATACAAACATATCTCATGTCTAAAATACCCCTTCATGAACACTGAAAACACAATATTTACCATTTAGCTGCTGAGCGGTGAAGCTGCATCCAACAGGCTGCCTCTTTTGTTTCTCTGATGGAAGTATGAGACATTTTCAGGATAAATCTTTGAGTGATTCAACCAACAAACAGTGTTTATGTGAGTGTGTGGGTGTGTATTTGCATGTTTTTGTCTTACTGTCAGAGCGTCTCTTCCAGTAGATTTGTCCAGTCACTGTTGTGATGACAGCCAGCAGCACGACACATAGCAGAGCCAGCCAGAGCACCCTGAGCACGCTCTGCCACTCACCTAAGAGAGAGAGAGAGAGGGAGAGAGGGAGAGAGAAAGAGAGAAAGAGAGAGGGAGAGAGGGAGAGGGCCATTACTGTCTCTGCTGAGTGCTGTGTGATTTCTGTTACACTCTATACAACATTAGGAACAGCCAATGTCAAATAAAATCCTACAGGGACTGAATTTAGCTTGAGAACATGTCATATTATTTACTCAATATGGTCCTTAGACTTACCGTAAAATGAGGGCTGATAATATGAGTAGATTCATTGTGATGGGATTAAAGTCCAAATTTAACCTTTTTTTTTATAGTGTGTTATTTTGTCTTGTTTGACACAATGTTGTCAAGTAACCACAGTGTCCTTCTGCTTCCTGTTGCAGCCACAGAAAAGTAACGACACCACTGTGCTTTTGAAAGGCACAAAAAAAAGAGAGAAAGAGAACAAGATGGCCCAGATGATAAGTTTAATGTAATATCCTTTTCCTGCCAAACTGAATCACTCTAGATACTGTAGAAGAACTACAGGTTTGAGCGTCCGCCTACAAGCCGAACATAAAGGTTCAGCCGATCAGACTGATGTCAGCCAGATCAAGAAATTACACCTAATAACTGTGCATAAAACTTACTCAGAGGTAAAATTTAGACACTGGTATGAATCAGTTCACACTTTAACATTGGACCAAATAAAATTAAATAATTACTCTTTTAAAATGCAAAATAATAATAATAATAATAATAATAATAATAATAATAATAATAATAATTATTATTATTATTATTATTATTATTATTATTATTATTATTATTATTATTATTATTATTATAATTATATTATTATTATTATCATTATTATTATTATTATTATTATTATTATTATTATTATTATAAAAATATAGAATTTTAAACATGCAAAGAAGTTACCCATTAACTAAATTAATTAAAAAAAATTAATTTTAAATTCCACAACTTCAGTTATAATATTTAATTTACATAATTATCGGATCAAGACTAAAACCTGATTATCTCTGGTATTTTTATATAACTAAAGGCTTGAAAATTGCAATTTGTCTGAAGATGATTGCTTGGTTGAAATTAAATTGCTTTACTGCTGCACTTTTTATCATATGATGCACAAAACCCCCTCAATTTTGCCAAAAAAAGAGAAAAGATTGACACATGTGGATCATATAAATATAGGCAAAACATAAGGGATTTAACAGTCATATTTAAAAAATAAAATAAAACAGCAACATGAGATTCAGAAATTAATGGTATGGTATGGTATAGTATGACAAAATGGTGTTTTTCTAGCTTTACTATAAAATGTCACTCAACCACAGCGATTCAGGGGAGTGTTGAAGGGTCAAACAGATAGAGAGCTGCAGCCAAAATCAATGCAGCCTTGAAGATACAGAAAATAAAGATGAAGTCTCTGATAATACAGTATATAGAGAGGAGGAGAAGCAAAGTCTCAAAGCTGAGGCCGGGGTCAAGTGAAGGACAATCGAGGAAAATCTGTCGTATTGAAAAAATGAGCCCACTTCCTACTGATCAAGAAAATGAGTTTGAATGAGATTGAATCAATTTCACCACAAATGAAAAATGATTGGCCAATTTCTCTGACCCATCTCGAGTATTGAAGTGAAGCCAGCATGATCATGACATAGAGGACAAAAACAAGGTTTTCTCATCCTGGCACCAACCTCTCAACGTCCGTTTCCATGGCACCTCTTCCTTGGCCGTTACGTTCTGAACTGTTCGGCTGGAGAGCGAAAGGAGGCAGTGGCTTTGATTGGATGACCTTGACTCAGGCGGGACAGGGAGACAGCAGTAAAAGGCCTTCAATTGTCCGTCATTATTGTCCCCCTGTTCCTCCTCTTCCTTCTCCTCCTCTACAGGGGGCTGCAGGTGTAAGGTGCTCAGATTACTGTAGCCAAACAAGGTGAGATTCAGAGACGCTTCTTCCTTTCCTAGTTGAAGCCCCACTGATACTTCAAAATATACCGTCCCACCTGTGAATGAAGGAATGAATTAAACTACAGAACACTCTTTACACATCATTATTCACCCATTAGTCAACACACTTAAAGGGGTATTCCAGCGTAAAATTAGTTTAGGGTCAAACACACCGTAACACCGGGTTAGACCCCCCCCCTCGAGAGATGAATGTTGCCGACCACTTTCTTCTCTAGTTAAACCAACTTTAGTAACGACCGCACGATAGCAATACACAGCAGTCTACGTCTCCACGTGTAAACCTCAACCAAAACACCACTCTATAGCCACAAATAATGCTCAGAACAGCACCTAACTTCATCAACAGGACATATAGGGTCCTAACCACAGCAACAGTCACCAAACATCTTTTTAAATTTGCCTGATTTCTTGAGCAAAAAGAGACTAAACACAACTCACCTACTCTCTTCCAGCAGATGATCATTTCTTTATGGAAATGCAATCAGACCGAGACGGTAAGGCAGAAGAACTACCGCGTCTGCAGTGCAAGACGATTAATATGGTGATTATTACTTCAAGGAAATGATACAGAAATGATCATAAATGTTCTTCCTTGAGCTGCGTCACCCCGCAGCAGTCAGTAATGGACTGGCCTGAGGTCTCGCAACAAACAAGCAGCTGCTGGAAGAGAGTAGGTGAGTTGGGTTTGGTCTCTTTGCGAAAGAAATTGGGCATATTTAGAGAAGCAAGCGGTCTTCAACATTCATCTCTCGAGGGGGTGTCTAACTTAGTTACGGTGTGTTTGACCCTAAATTAGCTTTACGCCGGAATATCCCTTCAGCAGTGACTCACACACCTCATAGCATGAGTGCATTGTTGGTTTTGAGAGGATGTTAATGCTCAAAATACAAAATACAAAATAAGTTATTTTCCAAAACTGTGTAATACCTGATTGTGAGGTGTTGCTCCGTAACTCTGACATGTCCATGTCTGTTTCACACATAAACCAGCTCTTTTCTACGTCTTCACCACCTGTCCTCAAGTCTCCTGCGTTGCCTTGATTCTCATGTTGGCAGCCTTGCTCCCATTTTTCTGGTAAAGGGTTACACTTATCCGCTCTGATTTCAGTTTTCCCAGTCTTCCCATTGGCCTGTCTCTTAGTCTGAATCTCTTGCACACAGGGTTGGTAGGGTAGACAGAGGAAGTTGACTTTTGATGCTGTGAAGGAGAGAGAGAGACTGAGCAACAGATAATTCAGAACAGTTTCACAGGGGGCGCAGACTAAAAATAAAAAAAAGAAAGAGAGAGAGAGACGATTTGCTCTCAAGTCAGGAATCAGAGACAGATCTAAAAATGGAAACTGTTGCCTCCAGTTTATATCACAAAGAGACAGACACACAAAGAAACAAAGGCGAACACATGCAGGAGTTTAAAGGCTAAAGCAACATGTTCGAGCTTTTTTTTTTAAGGTAGTGCAGTTTGGAGACATTTTCTGACAGCTGTCAGTCAGTGTCAAAGGGCGCTATATTTAGGTGTTAAGCTCAGATAAAAGAAAGAAGAGGTTGAGTCAGAGTGAGCACGGAAAAAGAGAAGAAACACAAAGTTACTCAACAAAATCAAATTCACTTCATGAAGCGACTTTTCTCATTACAGTAAAATAAACTAATAAAAAGATAGGACATTGATTCTTCCATTTTCGTGCCTCAAAAGTTGGTGAAATGACACATTCATACATGAACACACACACACTCACACAAACGATAGATCTCAGTCTGAATGTGCATGGATGACCCACCTCTGTACCATGTGAAGAACTCAGGAAGGCAGATGATGAAGGCGACGATCACGAGGATGAGGAGTTTGATCAGAACTGTTCTTGTCATGGTAGCACCATATGATCACTCACTTACACACACACTCTCACACCAACCCAGGCATGACTTTTAGCTCGTGGTATCTGCTTCCTTTTTCGAAAACAAACATCCATTCATGCCCTCCCTCTGCCCGGCAGAATAGCCTTTGGTTTACTGTTAGCCTTTCAACCTTTGGTAGAGCCTGAAACTCTGTGACAGTACTGTCCATAAATCAGACGACAACGCAGCGACACACATGTGCAGAATACGAAAGCAGCATCACTTCCTATCACACTTCCTGTCATTTCTTCAGCGCCAGTAAGAAATGGAGAGTTGCAGAAACAACAAAGAGTTTCTATCAGCAGAATGTAAGTACAAATGTTTGTTTGTCTGTCTGTGTGTGGGTGAAAGTGTGATGACTGTCTTCTCTATAAAGAAGTATACAAGTCCTGCTAACAACACTTCAGAGGTAGCTGATCCAACACGCTGCTTCTGTGTGGTCTACATGTTTTAGAGAGACAGTACCGAACAGACCTTTCTTTAGACCTGTATGAAACAATGAGGAAAAGAGGGATCATGTGGTTGACGTCAGCACTGACTGTGTCTGTTTATGATGCTTAAATGAAGAAGGAAACCATCAAACCAAGAAGTTTTGTTTTTGTACATGACGTGTTTCCCCTAAATATGATCATATTTAAGAGATTAGTTTTTTGTTTTTGACTATTAGTTTTTCTATTTGACTCAGAATCTGATAACTATGTTTCTTGATGATTAAACTACTATTCTAAGTCAGAAGTTTTCCGTAATTTTCGCACTTAAGCATCTCTTTCTTATCTCATTTACTCTCCATGACTTTACTGCTGCATGTTAGCTCTTTATTTTTGTGTTCCTGCATGCTTTTTCTCTCTCATGATATACAATTCACACCTTGTATCAAGTTGTATTGTATTAGAGCACATGATACAACACATCATATATGCCACATAATGACTGAGTGACTATAACAAGGGTCACATTATTGTTAAGTGCCGTATCATCACTTAAAGTTCTTACAATCCGGATATATTTATTCAACACACATCAAATATTGGAATAAATATCTTAAAACCCTGACAGACTGGGCCATAATAGTTTCAACACCTTTTTAATCCATGAGTTTTCAACTAATTTTGAACTGGTCTAACTTTTATACTTATGTCTCTTCTTGACCTACAATAAAATAATATTATCGATGTGGTGGCTGAATCACTCTATGATAATGATAAACAGCAGGATGGAGATGTATAACCCTCTCAAGAGCACTTTAATGTACCCACATGAATCTGTATTACAACAACAGCACTTCTGTCTTACTCAATCACATGTCCCAGAAATAACCAATCAGAGGCTAGGATGACTAAGCTTACGGTAAACTGATGAAAACCACTGAATTACATTCAGTACGTTTAGGTCAAAACTACAAGACGCTGTAAGAAACATTTCAACATTGCAAGTTTACGTTTGTGGCTTTTGTGAACTGACATGTAAACAGTTCCCTTTATAACATATTATAACTCTACCTCAAATACATGAGTAAATTTGAATACATGAACTGGCTTCAGTGTAAAAGCTCATATTTAGATTTCCAACGATAATGTTTGTCAGTGAGGAGTAACTTTGCAAACAGAAGGAGTTCTCTATTTTAGATCATTTTCCCTTTATAATATCATTTATTTACTCGTGAAACAGGATCACGTAATGAGGTTCATTAACTGTTGCGGTATTGTTTTAGACAGAGGATTTAATTTGGTCGTGTGAATGGTTCACTACACTTTGTGGACAACCTTTGGTCTTGAGAAACAAAGCTGATGCAGACGTGCTAAAAACAGCTGTTCATTGAGTGTTTACTGGAGGCTGGCTGAGAAAGCCATTTAATAAAGTGGAAATAATAACGTTTACTCCTTTGTTTTAGTTTGACTTTTCAATTTCTATATTTGCACATGCTCAACGAGGGGTCAATTTTTAAAATCCTCATTAGTTTTGGAGATATAATGGTAAAAACTTTTATAAAACTAGGGGCATAACAGACTTGACCAAAAGGTAGACACACTTAAGCTCTTGAGGAGAAGGTCAAAGGCACTTCCTGACCCCATCCCTTTGATTTTTGAAAGGTTGCACTGAAGTTCAGTTGAGTCAACATTTCTCGGCAACAGGCTTCAAAATTGTTCTCCTGAAACCAGTGAGTAATGTGGGGGACTGCAAAGTTCATGGTCAAAACATGATTATAATTATGTTATTCATACATTCATTTAGCCATTGGTTCACACGTCATGAAGGACGGGCAACAGTAAACCAGTACATCTGCTTCCTGTTGTTTTCTAACTTTGGGTAATGAAACATATTTACAGTTTTGTTGTTATTTCTGAGTGAATATTTTTTAGATGCCTTAAATAAATAAGGTACCTCTTTACTAAAAAAAATTAATATCAATAAAGAAGATCTGGGATTCATTCATTTGCTCCTGTAACAAATGCAGACTTCAGCAAGAGCCACATCTATACAGCAGAGAGTGATCGTGCTTTTAGGAAATACACTCCCATCATGAAAAACTCAACTACTTCAGCCGAGGGAGCGCCAGAATTAACTCAACATGAAAGCTCCTCACAGCACCTTCAGGAGAATACTACCAAGCAAAAATAAATGAAGGCTTGATGATTGAAAAATAAAGCACAAGTGTAATAAAGCCTCTCATTTTGATGCCTTAATATAGACTTGAAGAAATGGGTCTTGATGGATACTTGACTGATCGTATAATAACACAGTACAGAGAGGCGAGATAATTATAATTGCAGAGGAAAGTACATCTCGATTTATCTCCAACTATTTCACTCTTTTTATAAATAAACACATTTTTTTTTCCTCTCTGCTGTTTGACCTGATCTCTGTTGGATGTTTAGTGTTGCTCAGATTTTATGGTTGGGTTCCCAAGAGGCACTTATCATGACAGGCGTCTGATGGAAAAACACACACACACACACACACAGTATGTGACACACATGCACACTTATACTCAAACACACAAACACTGGGATGAGCATGCTGGCAGGTGGAGTCTTATCTCCTCTCCACAGCGGCTTGCCTCTCTCAGGGCTCAGTCAGCAGCTTACAACAAGATGGAGACAGCCAAGTCTAAACAACAACAACAAAAAAAACCTTTCTATCCTTTTTTGTCCAGTCAAACCTCCTCAACGTTCAGGTTTTTCCAAATGTTTTTTTATTGCCAAAATTTATTATGTACTCAATACCGCCTGTGATTGTTGTGTTGCTGTAATATATTTACAGAGGCCTGGTGTTTTGAATTAAGAGTGTGTATTTTACTCTAAAGTAAGGCTTGGATGTGCAGCTGGCAGAACATCAAGCATTACTTTCTTGGTTGTTTAAAGCCAGACTTCATGGGGCGAAATTGATAGAGAAGCAGAGCGGGGTTGGGAAATATCAAGTTAGTGAGGCTAAACAGTCTACACCTAAGGCTGAGTTATTGGCATTAACCTCTGAGTTGATGGAAATTAGCTCTTTGGTTTGAGAACTACTGTTTCAGAGCTGTTTTTGTTCATCCAATATAATGTATGTCTATGTATGAAGGCCTCACTGGATGACAGGATTGATTGTGACCAGCACCCTTTGTTGCCAGCTATCCTCTGTCTTCACCTGCCTCTGTCTTTAAATATCTTTATGAGAAGAGCCAAAAGGTTTCAGCTTTAGATAATCACCAAAAGTGACACCCACTCCTCCTTATCAAAGAGCTGCTGCAGGAAAAAAAGGAGAAATATTGATAAAGAAAATACATCTCCTCTTCCCTCTTCCTTACGGACACCCAATATCACATTTTCTTGTTTTCACTTTATCTTCAATACTGCAAATACAGCTTTAGCAAGTCCTTGCACCATCCTCATTTATATTTTAGGAGGCTGAAAATTATACCCAGCTGCAGAAAAGCTTGTAAAGACAGCAATTAGAGTATAAGGACACATAGTTGTTGCTATGGAAACGTTACATCTCCCTGCCTGCCTTCAGGCTCAGGAAAATTGTGACAGGGATTTCTTCCACTATTTTGACATCTCATATACTAAATGATTGATGACTAAATGATTAATAAAGAAAAATAAGGAAATTATCTCAGCAAACCACAGTATGTTCAGTTCTTCGTGATATAAATGACACAAAGACCTTGGATTAACTGTGAGAAGTATCAAAATCAGAACTTTCCTTTTCTCTGTGTTTCCCCTCAGCCTTACAAAAATGGTACAAGCTTAGGTTTACAAAAACATCAGTAGAAAGGGAAATGCTGATCAAAACATTTTTTATTGGCTGCAGTGACAGAGTGAAATTGAGTTTTCCAGGGAATATGCTGCGAACCCTTACCCGGATCTTCAAGCCCTCTTAAAATGCGGTTATAAAACCACAGGCATGGACTCACTCCCTTTTACTGATGTGGATGTGATTAGTGAACTGCTGTGATTCTGCTGTGTTCACTGACCGGCCAGCATAAACAGAAAACCTCTGTTTGGTTCTGCACAGCATGAGCCAAACTTTCAACTCCACAGTTTGCCAAAACTCTAATGAATCAGATCTGAGGCTGATTGGGTAAAGCTCAAGCAGATGGATGTGAAAAATCAAATCTGACAGCAGACTGAAAATGTCTGCAGAGAGAGGCCAGGTGCTGCTGTTCCATCTTAAAAGCCAAAGGTTGAGGATGTTAGTTAGTTTGACAAGGATATCTGACGGTCCATTCAAAGAAAATAAAAAAGTGAATACATGCAGCAGCCACACCAAACTACAACCCAAAAACCATCGGCCAGATTTTGCTCAGAAGCAGAAGCTTGACTTTTTTGAACCTCTTACAGAGAGTGAGATGAGAGGGTTGATACAACTTATAGGTCTGTTTGCCAAGATGAAGCTGAAGTCTGGAAAAAATTAGTTTTGCAACAAAGACTCCAAAAACACAGTCTCCAATAAGGAGACTTGAACATAATCCCAATAAGTACTTTTAAAAGTTCATATTTTGCACAAATAAAATTAGAGAAGATGCAGACAGTAGTGTGTCTACAAAGGTGGCATGGCCTCTTGAAAGTTGATTTGCCACCTTTGCTGTGTCGTGCATGAATGTGCGAAAATTAATCTTGCCCAAAAAATTGTAAATTATCATCAATCATTTCTGTAGTTCAGCTATTGATTTTATTTATTCAAGAGCTAAATACCATGACCTGTGTTACTTTAACTAGCTTGATCCATAATCCCTTACTCACAAATTTACAGACTTGTTCTCAGAGTCAGTGGGTGTGTGCTGACACACTTGTGAAATCATCGAGGACATGAAACTCCTGATGTAGAGATGAAAACATCTTATAGTCTGCTTTCAAGTTTTGACTGTAATTGTGCACAAGAAAATGTTCAAACCTGCAGAATTTTACCACCTAATTTAGACTCCCTGGATAGGGTTAGAAATGAAAATTACTCCATGACCTTCAACACCACACCTTCTTCATGATTTACTTAGCATATTTAGCTCTTTTGCATGAATAATGGCAGGATTATCAGAGCTGTCATTATGTTTCTTTTATGGGCTTTAATGAACTCAGCAGCCTTTAGAGATCACTGAAGAAAGCAAAGACACTTCTCTGTTCAGCTGATGTCCATCTTTTAGTTTCTGCACCTTCAGATCATTTTTATCACAATGATCTAACACAATATATTACAGGATGTACTCTGTTCTGTTGTGCAGTTGGTAGCATTTGTCTGATAGCCAATTGTACACATTTATACTATGTAATGTTGCAGTCAGAGGCTTTTAAGCTTCAAACAACTCTAAGAAGTAGAAATTCTGACCAGGTGAGTGTTTGTTTGTTTGCATTTGTGTGTCTGACATTTTCCTGCACCACTACAGACTATAAAAACAATCTTATGTAGGGAGTTTAAGGACTGAGTGTAACGGCATGATGAGATTAGGGATTACAGTACAAGAGAAAACACTTGACAACAGGCTGATCCAGGCACGTTATGATTATATTTCAGGCATTAGATGTTGTACAGTGGATCCTTGTCATCATGTCTCAGCTTAATCCCTGGATCTGCTTAAAATGAACACATGATGATCACAGATAGGCTGAGGCATCAATAGCTACAGTGATTTAAAATGACTTTCTATCCTTTACACCCTGTTTCTGTATTTATATTGAGGTGTTGACAGAGAATAGAGGTCATAAAAAGGCTTTTTTCTGCTCATTTTTTGTAGTGGAGTGACTGGTGACATGAACCGACATCTTTTGCATGACATAGTTCTTATTACCCATATTTATAAAGTGTTTTATTTGGACATGAGTGGATGTTGAGTAGTTTCTAGACCTTTTATTTAGTATCAGACTGTATTAAAATAACTTTATTTTAATTAAGTGGCATGATGTCTCCTTTAGATGATGTCTTTGAATGATTCAACAGATCTGACTGGAGACTTTTTATGACTGTCCCTGGCAAGTCAAGTTAGGCCTACGTTAAGTGCATAATAGCAAATGTTAACTTGGCATCAGGGGTGGAAGTAAAAGCCGAGAAGACATAAACAGCAGTTTACAGCCGGTATGCAGCGGTACGCAAACTTTCACCAGTGTATGTCAGCTACATTTGCTTACCGTGTTGCCGCACGTCAGTCTGCACTCTGCACGGAAACCGTAGTAATCCGATACGACCATGCTGCTTGCGAGTGAGTCGTATTTGCTTCCGCAAACAAACAAACTGCGGAAGTGTGAACGCTCAGTGCGCACTTTTGATTGGGCGCTGGTTGCCTAGGCGCTGGGGATCACCTCGCGCCTTTTGCGGAAGGAGGGAACTCCTAAAGAGACAGCTGCTTCAATCTAAATGCAGAAATAAAACAAAATGCAGAGAAAATTTGATTTTATGTTTAAGAGAGAGAGAGATACAGCAGATGAAAATACTCGGCACCTCGTTAAACTTGGGTGAGCTCCTCTTGTACAAAGCCTACAGGTACAGTACCTGCAAGAACCTTTTCCTACTTTCACCCCTGCTTGGCATGTTAGAAAACTTGACCAATTCAATCATTTTTCAATAACATCAACGTGTTAATGATTGATTTGTGCTAACATCAATATTATGTTCATTTTCAAACAGAGCGGTGTAGCACAGGTAGACCCATAGAGCTGCTAGCTTGTGTAAAAGTACTAAACCCCAAACATGATAACAAAAACTCATCAAAAATTTGATAGCATATGCACATGTGAGCTAATCATCGATGTTTTGAGAACATCTTTAACATGATTAACACCAGTCACAGCAGCACTTAGTTTTCTCCCTAGCTCAGTAAGCCTACTTACCCCATACTTTTGATTGACCATAATCTGAGTCACTGTTTACAGATAGTCTCAGACAGATAGTCTTGAACAGCTTCCTTCATGTTTTTATCAACTGACTGACTTACGATGACTTTGAAATTCTCCAAACTTAAAACAGTTGACTTCTTTGTGTGTCTATGGTCAATAGTTCACTTGTTAAGCCACTCCAGTTTACCACTTTGGGCTGCTACAGGACTTCTTACAGACAAAACAAGGATCATTTAAATTACAACTAAACTACAATGTGTCTGAAACGAGAGATAAGATATCAACATTGCGTGGTGTACCAAGTCATTTTGGAGATACAGAGATTTTAGCTACCTCATTTCCTTAAGTTTTGGTCGCTCTGACAACATGGTAAGCACTAGCTAGTGAACAATGGTGAACATTTACAGCTTCAGAGCCAGATATTTTCCCTCAATAGTCATTTAAAAATAAAAAAATGTCAATGGCTGGTGTTACATTTGCCAGGTGGCCAGAAACATGCCTCAAATTAATATTAATTTTGCTCCAAACTGCACAATGTGCCAATTAGCATCTACCATTTGCTAACAAGATGAAAATATGTCAATGTAGTGATCATCATATCTCAAATGTCCATATTGATGAGAAAAAATCGATAAATTTCCACTTTCCTGGTTGCAAGAAAGGCCACGGCGCTCATTACTGAGTCTGTTAAAGGTATTCTGTACTCCCAAAATGGCAAGCAAGTTAGAGAAGAGAGAAAAGGGGGAAATTAGGTCTGATTTGTGAGCATGTTTTTCCATTGAAGGAGGAGGGAGAGGAGGAGGGGAAGAGTGTGGTGATATAGCGCTGTGTCAGCACTATGTCATCTGGCTCTCCGGAGACAAAGCCACTGTGAAGCTTTACGACTCTTTATGGAGAAATTATGATGTTTCACAAAGACATTATCATTATGGGCAAACCTTTAAAGGTGATGGAGGTTTCCAGACTTATCCTACTCCTTGCTCTAATAAGTCTGCCTCTCTGTGAAGGATACTTTTGATCGGTTGTTCTCTAAATAGAGTTTGTTCTCCACTTTTTCTTTCTCCAGCGTTTTTGTTTTCTGAAAGAAATGAGAAATGGTTATGCTGTTTTTCTGAGAGTTTTAAGGCGTCCTAAGTCTGTCACGTTTTCTTGCACGTGTGGGTGTGTTTTAATGTGTGTCTCAAAGTGGTGGAAGAGGGTGTACTTCACACACAGTAAAGTGTGCTAAACTGGGGTGAATTTACAGGAAACTCAGAGGAGCCATCGAGATGCTGCATCTCTTTTGTTTCACTGCATGGTTCACCTCTCTCTCCCTTTGCTTTCTCCTCTGCTGTAACCTTCTCTGGTGAGAAAATGCCATGTCAATAAAAGCTTTTTAACATGAGGAAAAATCAATGCACTCCAATTGCACCTTTCTTCAAGCCTGTCCACTGAACAAATGAGGGGTTTGGCCTCTGCACTCGAGGTGGATGCCGAGAAAAGGGCTGAAGGTGGATCTTTACAAATTTGACATTTCAAATTGAAAGAAAATCCAAAATCAAACAAAACAGAACAATTTTTACATTTGACTAAACATGATCACCCTACACTTAACTTGCTTTATTGGCCACAACATTAACTTTTATGGTCTGGAGATGAGAGGCAGGTTTGCAGGCAGAGTTGCAATAAACATGGACAATAAAAGTACATCATAAAAACAATAAAAACAGGAGAAAAACACATTAGCATAAAAGCTCAATAAAATGTGTGATAAACAGTTGCATCACGTACCTATATGAGATGGAAAAACCATCAATCCCTCATGGAAATGATCAAATTTAACCATCTTTTTTCTCTGTTAAGAGAGAAAGTCTGAAATATTTCCAGTTCAATAAATCATAATCATAAATAGTGGTCTTCATGCTAATCACCATTTACCAGTGGGCCACAAAAGACATCAATATTTCTCTGCCTATTTGATAACCGGCTAAAATCTCCTCACAGGAGCTACAAGTGATTACCTACTTTACAAGTGCCTCGCTGCTTTGTGCAACTAAAGGGTACTATTTAGTATTTTGCTCCCAGAAATAGACTTATGAGGTGATTAAATGTGAATAATGAGTTTTACAGGTTGCTGGTATGGGCCAGGAAACTTCAAAACAAACAAACAAAAGAATAAACCATCAGGAGAGTTTAGATTAAGGCGTTACACAAAGAGAACCAAAAGTTATCAATGATATTCGACACCACAGTCCAGTATTAACATCTGAGGAAGTTTGGCTGGTTATTGCAAACTGGTGATGTAGTTGAAAACTCAAAAACAGAGCTGTTTATGATCCAGAAACTTAATTCAGTTTATGAATGTATGCTTAAATGAAAAATGGTAATGCCTACAGAGATAGCACTGCACAAGAAACTATCAGAATTAACTGCTACAGCAGATTAGAGTGCAGAAAAGGAAAAGAAACATGAAGTGTAAATGGGAAGTTCCCCCCTGTGGGACTGATAAAGGAGTATCTTATCTTATCTTACAATTACGTAGGGTTTAGACTACTGTGAGGTCTTGTATGGGGATCTTCAGTGAGATCATGGTTGACACACCCGGTAAGAAAGACACTGTTTCCTTCCTTGTGCTTTGGGTGTGCAACTGCAGATGAGCTCGCCTGATCACAACAGCTTGATCAGTGCACCTCTTTGTAAGTCCTACATGGAGGGGAGCGTATCACCACTCTCTGTAGAGCCTCTTCTGTCCTGAGTGGATCTGTTTCCAAACCGCATATCGATGTTTCTTGTCAGGATGCTCTTTACAGCTCCAGAGCAGCAGGATTGAAGGGCAGTCAGATAAAGTTGCCTGAGGTTTGAAAGGTGTTGCCCTGATACCAGAGTGTCTGTTTATGCTGTCCATGTCAGAGCCTCAGGGATGAGGACTCCAGGGTATTTGAAGCTGAAGCGGGTATTTGAGTGGTCTTTAGAGTTGAGATTTTGTCAAACTAGCAGCTGTAGCTCCAGGGAAAAATGACCGGGGAGCGGGATTGTTTGAGGGATTTGCTTATAATCTGAACAATGAAAATATTACATCATAAATCAAAATTCATCATCTAATGTTCCAGCCCAGAACGCTAACTTTTAGGATAAATGCAGCCTGTTTAAGAAACCTTCTTCAAGACAATATCTCCACAAGGTTTGCAAGAATTCTCACCTCCGTTTTAAAAACTTGATTATTCTACAAGTTTTCACCAATCAAGTGTGCAAAACAAAACTTCAGCCATGTTGTGCATGAACTATGGCCCACACTGACTTTATGTATGCAGCCTTTAGCAGCAGAAACTATGTTGTGGTTAAACATTGCTGGGCAGAGGTTTGTACAGGTTGGAATCAAAGGATCAGTTCCTCATGTACAGTAGTTTAATCAAGTTTAAGGAAGTTGTTCAATATTCAACTCAACACAACTCAACTTTACACACAACAGAGTTGATCAAAGTGCTTCACAACAACACAGAGGAAAAACAAAACAAAAGAAGAGAACAGATGACAACAAAGAGGAACAGACTAAGTGACAGTAATAATAATGATGATAGCAATAAAATATAGTTTTCAATACCATCACTATCATCATCAATCATAATAGTCATAATAAATAACTAATAATAATAACAATATCAGCAGCAATAATAATAACAATGATAATGACAACACAGGTTTACTGACCTACAGAGCTCAATAGATGTTCAATACTATTTTAACTTAAAGTGTGAGCTTCTAAATTGATGCTTTACTGTTTTGACAAGCGAGCTACCTAAACTAGCTTAGAAAAAGCTGGTCAATGGACGAGTTAGGGTTCAGCTAGCTGGTTAGCATGCTAACACCTAAGAGAGCCCCATCAGCCAAGAGTTACCAAACTGTATAAACAGGTATAGGAAGTGTTGGTGCCATGATAACCCTGGTCAGAGCCTGGAGAAAGACCAACATTTCTCTCTCTTTCTTCACCTGGTTTATTCCAGGATAATATTATTGAGATAGAGCAGGAGGCAGATGTTTAGGGAAAGGCTTTTCTCAGTTGCGACATCTTAGAGACTTTGGTTTACAAGAATTTATGCCCTACAACTTAAAGAAAGAAAGTTATTTTATCCTCTATCGTTAATTGTGGTTGTTTTTAGCATGCATAAAGATTATAGTACCTCATTGGGAACACTCAAGCCATTAAGGTTTGATTAACGCTTAATCTCCAGACATCTTTAAATGCTCTTTCCTCATCTGATTTATTACATTCATTCACCTGCTCTCTCAATAAACCAGATGCATGCCAAAAGCTCCCCTGTGCTCAAAAATAAAGTGTTGGTGTGTAGTTATGAGTTCATAATCTGCATTGTCAGCCTCTTCCTCTATAGATAACCCCCTCCCAGTGATGACCCCACATATCTACAAGGCTCCACTGTCACTATTCACTAATTCTTGTTTGAAACAGGTCCTATTTTGTTATTTTCTTGATAGTCTCACTTGAAGATGTTGGCAGGCAGAAGGTGGAGTATTTTAGGAGTTTCAAACTAGATGTAATGTCTCTGCAGATGATCTTGTCAGCTTGTTAGCTATCTTGTGGTTATGAGACAGGAAGTTTATAGTTCTAAATAAATGTGGTAGTAGTAAAGTGGTAAAACGCCCCTGCTAGGCAAAAATCAACCTGATAACCAAAAGTCTTCCTTAGGATTGGATAATTCCAGGACACATTTCCTTCAGACATCTGATGAAATAACTTCAGGAGAAACTCTTACAAGTTCCTGAACCAACCTCCCTCAAGAAAAACAGATTACATGGCACCAGTTTTTACTGATATATAAGCAAACGATTCAAAAGGGAGATGCACCATTGTCAGAAAACACTTCCTAGGCTTGTAAAGAACATTTTCAGCAAAGAGATAAGAGATACTATTTTATCCCACTGGGAAAACAAGATAAACACAAACTGAAATTCACTCATAGGAGCCGTCACTCTACTTCTTGGGTGATTTCTATTCTCTGATGCATCAAATGGATTCATCAGACACAAAAGCGCAATGGTCCATACTCAACCATGTTAGAGTTGGTGGAACAACCAGTTGTTGCACTTTTGCTTTAATTTCCTCGGAGGAAAATTTCATAAACAAACCCTTTTCAGTCTCACATGCTCACTCAGTGGGGACTGACAGCCTCAGATAAAGCAGTTTGCCTGTTGGTTCCTTTGCAGATCTTAAGCTGCAAACTGGTTTGTATGAAAAATGGAAATTTATCCCTGAAGCTTGAGGAGAATTGAACCACTTCTAATGCTTTATTCAGTTTTAATGGTTTCAGTCCATTTTTTCTTTGCTTGCTGTTTGTTTCTGAAAGTTATTCTGCTTCTTTTACTCAAGTCAGCGATTCATGTTGATGAAAAATTCCCCCTGTGATCTCATTTATCTAAAAACCTAACATCCACAAGCATTTTCGGGAAAGTTTTGCTTCAAACAGGTTTTGATTATAAACTTGAAATCTACACCACCTGGGTGATAAGATGATAAAGGATGATGAAACATTCACAGACTTCTGTGACTGAGTGTGTTTTGGAGAGGGCCACCCTCATACTCGATACTCCTTTTCTCATCGGCCTTTTTTTTATCTGTCTTTGTCTTTCTTAAATGGCCAAAATAAAACATGGAGGGATCAGACACAAACACTAAGTGAGTTATTGATCTAATATTGATGAGATGTCCACTGGCTGACTAATTACTTAAAGACTGTGACTTTGGGGCTTGATTGGTTGCAGATGGGCCTGACACTTACAGACAGGAACAGAAAGAATTGTACTGCAGCTTAAACCGCTCTTATAACTGCTGGCCTTTAAATCTCTCTTTCAGGTTTTTCTCTCGGTTACATCCTCTGTCTATCCTCACTCTCTTCCATATGTGTCTCTGTTGTCTCATTGGTTTATGGATCAATGATCCGTGGGGGTAAGGTGACCTTCGTCTGATGGGCCAATCAGGGAGCATGCTGGCAAAGGTGCTGCCTCATCCAGAGACTAAAATGCTTCTCAGCACTATCAAATTCACAGACTATAGTAACAGAATAGACCTGGGAGAACTGTACATGTGCACACAGGTGTATGTGTGTGTGTGTGTGTCTTTTGTTTAACCAGCTAATTGAGGATGGTTTGTCTAAATTGGGGGTAAATTTTGTATCCTATTAATATCTGCTATCAAATAGAACAGTCTCAATGTGTGATAGGATACAAATGAGATTAGCTAATGCTGATGGTCCCCTGTGATGGCAGCCTTTGCCATCCCTGCATCAATGAAGTGTGAATAAGTGAGCATGACAAGTAGAGTACAAGAAGAGGCCAGCTGTGACTGAATGTGGAGGAGAGTTAATGTTGGACTTACTGCCTGAAGTTATGAAAGTTCATTTCTTTAACTGGTGTGTTAATGTGTAAATCAACAGTTTCATCCATGAAGTGTTGTGTTTGAATCTCTTCTTTGGCGTTGACTGGCCTGGCAGATTGAAATCTCAGTTTTTAACCAGAACAAGACATTCCAGCACAGTCTGACCTCCAAATGGAGTTGTCCATCATGCTATCAATGATTCCCTTTATTCAGAGAAACTCTCAAAAGTTAAAGATTAAATATGATCTTACAATCCCAACACTGGTTTGCTTCATAGCTCTGCTGAGCATCATTAAAATTAACTGATTAAATTTTAATTTTTCTCTCATAGATGCCTCAGTTTCTCTGTTCATGACAGCTGACAGTGAAAGTTTTCAAGCTTTTAAAACAGTGTATCTGCCGAAATAATTTATAACAGTGTCAAGGGACTGGCTGTACCGACGTGGCAGCTTCACTCTCTCTCTCCTCTCCCTTTTTCCTGCTCCTCATCATTCTCTCACTTCTTGTGACTCACTCCCTCCCATTTCTAAGGGCTCTGATTGGCTTGTGGCTGCAGGTCAAAGTAAATTATTAAGGCCTGCTCTGTATTTGGCCGTAAATGCTTTCTCTCTGTCTCCTTTTCAATCTCTCTCTCCCTCGTGTTTTCTTCTTTCTTCCTCTCCTTCCTTCACACTCAGCCCATTTAGGAAGAGAGTGAAAGAATATGAAAGCACTGCAGCATGGGGAGAAAATAGAAGGAAGGGAGAAAAACATCCAGAGATATGAGTATGTAGAGACGGGCAAAAATAGAGGAAGAGAGTTGGTGAAGAAATGGAAAAAAAGAGGTATGGAGGAGAGAGGAAGAGAGAGGCGAGTGCTGATGAACTGCACAGCAAGCAGTTTGCTTTACCCTCCACCTGCCACCTGCCCTGCAAGGACACCTGAGTGCTTCATGCAAACACACACACACACGCTCTGAAATAGAGGCTGTTTGATGGTGTGTGTGTGTGTGTGTGTGTGTAGATATGTGCTTCCACAGAGGGACCACTTAAGTGTTGCCGTCATTGAACTAACTGCCAAATGAGTTAAGGGCGACGAGAAAGGAAGAAGGATGAGGAGACGCCGTGAAAGAGACTATGAAGGAAAATTAGAGTTGTTTTTCATTTTCATCAATAATTCAGGATGTTTGTTATATCCTGTTGTGAAGCTGCAAACCTCATGCCTCAGTGATTTTAACAAAGGCAAACAACCTAACATGTGCATGTATGCACACAGATACACACATAACGGGTTGTTTTGCACACCAGTAATTTATGTAAAGATGGGAATCTTGCTGTGGGTAAATGACTCAAGAAAATAAGTGGGCTGCTTATTAGTGTACTCTTTTATCTGCCACTGTTTTTGAATCTATTAACCAACACCTACTTGGCAAACTCAGCTTTTCCACAAACAGTCATTGCACTCTCTCTCTCTATATTGCTTCTTTTTCTCAAAGGTTATTAAAGCCGCTCCGTTTTGTGTCTAATGACTATGCATTATGTAGAAGGGGTCATATTGTGGTAATCTGTGCTCATGGCCCTCAATGGCAAAAACTCTAATGAACCCTGTTCAGCACAAAACAGCAGGCAGTTATCTTGAGGAATAATAGCAGAGTTTAATGGTCAAAGTGAACATCAGGGTGGAGGCTGAAGCTGCACAAGAGAGTGAGAGAGATATTTGGGTTGGCAAAAGCATTACTTGAACATGATAACTGCAAATTTTGCTATATTGGGCTATGTTGTGTGTGTGAGAGTGTGTATGTGTGTAGAGGATTTTATAGCATCTAAAGCAGTTGTAAATACAGTGGTTTCACTGTAGCAGATGAGGAGTAAAGCCAGTAAATGCCCCACAGTCTCAAAGCACTCTTAAAGTCGTAGTCACTGGTGCACCGAAACAGCAATAAGAAACTAATCAGAAGTTTATGTAGTCCGGTGGTATAACGTTTGCTGAGATTGGATTAGCTTTTACAGACAAATTCATTTATATTTCCCTGGTAGGTAATGAAGCTGACCTCACAGGGGAGAGTAATGTCAACGTCTCATTTGGTACCAGCGTGGGACGTTACAGCTGCATTTATGATCATCTTTAACTGCAACAAAGTTGTGTATATATTCTTCAGCAGTATCACATTAAAATTCAGTGCCTTACTTGGTATTACATCGATTGGATTAACCATTTGATCACATTGACTTGCTGCACACGCATTACTGGAAAGACTCAGGTTGCAATCGTTCTATTAGCCGGAGGGTGCTGTGTGATTTGTCAGGGGTCATATAATCTACAACCACTGCTCATAAACTTCTGTTTGTCCTGCAGCAGCAGAATTTAATGTCAGAGTTTAACAGGTACACACACACCAGGGCCAAGCGTCTCTCGTCCCGGCTGATCAATGATAGGTCAATGGCTGTTCCAAGAAGATGTATATGTGGGTGTGTGTGTTTGTGCACAAGCTGATGTGAGAACGACTTTGATTAGACTGGATAAGAGCCAGAAACCATTGCTTTTCAGCTGTTTCCAATCATCATCATCATCATCATCCTCTCCTCATGCTCCGGGGTTGCTAAACAGATGCACAGCTCAACAAACGCAGTTAAATTTGGCAGTTTGCATTCTCCATCCTCCCTCTGCTGCTTCCCTCCTTTTTCTATCCTCCAAGGCCATTAGGGAAACCAGAGCCAGCAAGCCCGGCCAGGCTTTAGCCATTATGTTGTATTTGTGTGTGTATGTGGGAGCTTGTGTGTTCCCAGGTGATGTGCTTTAAGGCAAACAATTTCCTCTCCCCACAGCAACAGGCATGGATCAAAGTAATTGGACAGTTTGGTTCACACTCGGGCAGTCCAAAGCCTGGTGTTTATACGTGTGTGTGTGTGTGTGTGTGTGTGTGTGTGTGTGTGTGTGTGTGTGTGTGTGTGTGTGTGTGTGTGTGTGTGTGTGTGTGTGTGTGTGTGTTATGTGTGTATTCTCTGCCTCAAAACCCAAAGCCAGGCAGAAATGCTTCCACACAGTTTTTAAACCACACATACACATTCAATAACTTATTTTTCTCTCTGTATTGGTGTTGAATAAAACATGGCAGTAAAAGTGTGTCAAAGTCTCGCTCACTGCAGAGGGAGATGAGATGGAAGGTTTGTGCTCTAATAGAATGTCAGATACGATAGGAAGAATGTAATTGTGGGTAGTTTGGGTGGTTTCATCCTTCGTCCTTCTCCTGCTTTTACCCCCACTCCTTACAATTACTGTATCTGGACTCAACCATCCACTAGCTGCCCACAACAAACACGCCTAATTAACACAGGTTTCTTTCTAATACAGGAGACCCATCTATTGATGATGGGAGGATAGCAAAGGAAGTAGGAGAACAAGGATAATGGATGATGGATGACAGAGTAATGGAGGAAGGAATTAGAGAGGGGGTTATTAAAGGAAGTCATCAAAAGATGAAATGAAAAGAGCAAGGCATTAAAGAAACACAAGCCACACGCTGCTCAGTCTTTTATCGATGCAAGTTTGATTTCCCACATGAACTTTTCAGCGTGTTTTCTGTCTGATTGCACACAGATATGATGAAATCGAAAGAGAGAGAGAGGGGGGAGGAGGAGTGGCACAGTGATGACTCAGAAAATCTGCTGTACAACCGATGTTCGGTTTCTTTTATTGATCTCCCTACTTTAGTTACTTCTTAGGAAACTGCAACAACATGGTTCATCTGGGGTTAAAACACACACTCTCCAAATGCAGATAGATCCGATACTCAAGAACACAAACACACACCCAGACCACAGGAATGCTGTCCTTAATGTGCCTGATTCGGTTACTGACCAGTGTGATGGATGATAAAGAGGGCATTACCTGCTGAAGATGGCCTGCATGTTATTCAGATTAGATACACACAAGCACACTACTATACTTCTGAGGATCATCGTGAGGATAGAAAAAAAAAGACAAAAACAAAACAAAACCAGAATGACTGGGTTTGGGTGCCAAGTGGTTTCATCATGTGTCCCACGCACAAAGGCCAAAGTAAATATAACTTTGCTGCATGGCACTCTCCACTCTCTGTTTTCCCCAGTTTCCTCTATCTGCTCAAAAAAAGGCCGCTAAGAATAATCTTTTAAAAAATGACTTAGCTGGTCAGAAACCATCAGGATGAGTTTCTCTAATGCCATCATGGTTGACAGACTTGATACCCCAAGCCAAGAGGGAAAAGACAATGATTAACACGGCAGTGGTCCAGACATTAAACAATTTACAACCGAGGGCATTTTGGACAACAAAAATGACCATGAAAAAAACCCTCCAAAGCATTTTTTTTTTTTGCACTGATGTGAGCACCCTGGTTTTGTAGAGAAAATAGATGCAACCACGCACAAAAGCAGACACGGGTCCTGAATTCTGCAAAACCGGTACTGTATCTAAATAAAAGAGTTATGGGTTTTCACTCGTACAAAAATGTGGTGTACAAAAAGACACTATGTTGTTCTTCTGCATCATTTTTGATCCTATTAACTTGTGAGTGATTATTACAGAAGTGTTAAAAGGCTAAGTAGTTCTTTTATAGCTGATTATCACGACTTAACGCCTAAATCCGTGAAATCTGATTAACATCTCTTAGATTCTTTCAAGACTTGTAAAATAATTTTGAAACTGAGATGAGTTTTATTCATTTATACATGCCCAACCCCCCCAAGTAAGAGCGCCTCCTCATAAAGAACTGCTAACAAGAAACCTACGACACTCTTAAATATATATGCATAAACTTTTAGTGTCCTTACACTCAGCTTTTATTTGGCTTAGTGTTAAATTAATTTTCCGTTCAATTTGAGTGGATATTATGCCTCGAGATCATACATACACTTCAACACACACATCTCTCTCGTTCATAGGTTGGATGGCGCTGGTGTGTGGTTGTGGAGAGGTAATTATTTGCTTGGCCAGTCTGAGCTGGCTTTGACTCTCAAGGACAGACGGGCCTGCAGCTACAGCACTAAACAACACTCTTATTACACAATGGACACAGGCAATGAGTGTGTTGGCGTGTGTGTTTATTTGTGTTGTAGGTGGTGTGATTTAAATGAAAGCCTGCCCTTGTATCTCTACATGTATTCAAACAAAATGCACAGTTGTTTTTATGGCTCATATTCTTCTGTGAGCTGTGTATACGCTTATGTGTGTGGGCATATACAGATATTTGATTTGTGAGGCACCTGTGGATGTATAAAGAACAATGGCTCTTATAGCGCTGTGCCTGCAGGTTTCCACCTCAGGGAATCAAAGCCACACTCCCATCATCACACACCCGCACATGCACAAACATGCCTATCCACACTGAAATACACCCACCCATCCCCACACACACACTCCCCCATGTGAAAAATAGCAGGGATGGGGAACAGGAAATTAAAGTTGGGGAGAACACTGGGGACAAAAGGGTGGAGAAAAGCAGGGAAGAGAAGGTTTCAAGACAGCACCAAGGGAGCGAGAGAGAAGGAGAAAGAGCGAGAGAGAGAAAGAGCGAGGGAGAGTGATTGGAAAAAAGCCATCAGAGGAAGAACATCAGTCACAAGGGATCAACACAAACGGGCCAGACAGATAATGTTTCACTTTCAGGCCCTGTAAAATCTTTTACGACAGCTTTCCCCGGATGACTCCTACCTGTTTTTATGTGGCTCTGTGTTTGTGTTTATGTGTATACATGTGTGTGTCTATCTGTATGTGTGAAGTTAAAAGCTTCTACAGCCCTCGGTGTGCGTAAAAAAAGATTGCATGCTACCACATTTTTGCACGTCGCCATGTGCATGCACGCTTGCACGTGTGAACAAACATGAACAGGACAATTACCTGGTGTGAAGTATGGGAATAGGTGTTGATTTGGGCATTTTCTTGAACGTGCATCTGTGTATCCAGCCATAAAAAAAAAAAATGTGCAGGAGACCTTTGAGTGATGGCGGCGAGGTAACGCGGCCAGGAGACCAATAACAGAATGCAGCTTAAGGAGGCTCATGCCAAGTGACCAATGACTGGATCCAACTGAAGAGTACCAGAGCTGAATGACACACCATTCCTCGGCTTCATTCCCCCTCAGAGCCCTGTTCCCAACTCCCCCAGTAACAGTACTGAGTTTTCAGAGAGCGTGTTGCAGAAATATATTGGTTTTTACTCCCTTGGTTTTAGGTTGTTTTTGTTTTTTATTTGAACCTGTGTGCGAGGCTCTGATGGAGGGGAAACTATTGGTTCCTTCTGTCAAAAGCACCCTTAGGCTGGGAGTTTAAAAGCAGCATTATGAAGCTGTTCATCCTTAAACAACTTGCATGTAAACTCAAAAGGCCCATGTGCTATGTAAAGTCCATTGATGCTGAGGTAAACATATTATGCGTCCTCTTAGGCAGAGGCAACAAAGGGAAAGCAGAAATGTCCCAATTCAATTTTTCCTTACCAATACCCACTTCAGTATGCTCCAGTGCTGGCTGACACAGAGTGCTCCTTTGATACTAGTGTGAATAATCCTATAATACTGATGGAAAACACTGATGCTGACATTTCGCTTACTTTTACCAATATTACGCTCTGCTAGCAAAACACTGCTTTCGTTTGACAGTGACATCTAACAATTTACCGAGATGATTTTGGGGTAGATAATGGTGACAGTACAATAGACTGGCGCACATCAGGATCAGTATCAATAATCTGTATCAATTGAAATATCTGAACAACTTTAAAATTACCAGATAAAGTGGTAATATTTGTCTCCTGTTGCAGTGTCTATGTCTTGAAATGAATCGTGGCACCAAATATGCAGGAGAGGCACACTAATATAGTAAATCAAAATAGAGTTTAGACATTAAACCCACCAGGGTAAACACAGTCTGTAACTGTCTGGGCAGCTCATTAGCTTGAGAAATCTTGTTCCATTCAACAAGTTTAAGAAAATTATTAAAGTTTCTCCACACTTCTGGCTCACCATGAAATACTGCTTCTTTGCTCTGACCTTGTTTTATCTTCCCCTTAATGATGCTGCTCCTTGTTTTTACCCCTCCTTGCAGAGCAGGCTGTGTGTCTGTTCATGTGCCTGTGTGTGTGTGTGTGTGTGTTGCCTTTGTACTATCGATCTGATAGAGCAGCGGGGTGGTCAGTGCATCCTGAAACAGAAGAAAAAACACCCTGTGTTCCTCAGAGTCTGGCAAACAGAGCTGGTGAAAGTGTTAGTCTTCTCTGCTCAGTCTATTTTTAAAGGAAAATATGAGACTCCGGGCCTGGCTGCTGTAGCCAAATTTATGAGTAACACATCTTCAGTCTGTGTAATTCACTAACTGACCTCAGCTGTTGACTTATTGGTTTTTGCTGGAGTGGGGCTCCTAAAGCATCCCTCCCTTCCTCTTGGTGGGATTCTATCCAGAACCTGCTGTGGCACATCTTGTGGCCGTCCCAGGGTGATCTGCTGAGGGTGATGGAGGTTCTGGCTGGCTGGCCTGCTGCTGGTCTGTTGGGTGCCCCAGGCGCCTGGATTGGATGGCTCCCACAGGACCTGCTCCCATTGCTCATTACTGTCTCTGAATGGATGCTGCATTGCAGATGGAGGGAAGAGGAGGGAGAAGGAGAGGATGACTGGGAGGAAATATTGTAATGGGTGGAGAAGAGTGATAGTTTGTGGAGGAACATGAAAAAGCAGGTGTGTGTGTGTGGGTGTGTGTGTGTTTGGAGGGGGTAACCAATTTTCAAGGACACTAAGGTTCACCGCTCTGATTTGAAGTTACTCTGGCTATTTTCTGTTTTCAGTTTCTGCTGAAACAACAAACAGTGTGTTTGCTCTTTGCAGCATAGTGTCCCGAACAGAGTTTGATTATTGGGAGGCAAAAACAAAGAGATGGAAACTTACTGAGAGACAGATGTGGGAAGTGAGTGAAGACAATAATGAAGATGATGATGAGGACGTGTCCGCTGTCTCATTACATTTCTGAGTCTCTGATTAGTTCTCACTAAGCTCCGCTCACTCACTAACATCCTGTGCATTTACACAGACAAGTGTTGATGGAAAATATTTCTCTGCAGATATTAAATCAGTGTTGACAGAATTTCATTTTTGAGGCAAATCCTCATGAGCTTGAGTGAAAAAAAAATGTAAAAAGCACAGAGTAAGTTGACCATAGGAGACCACTTTTTTATGTCATGCTATATTATCAGGACAGTTTTGTTTACACTCATTCTGTTGGTTTGCAGGGATGCACATAATCTTGAAATATATGCAGATACACTAGTTAGAGACAAAACTATGATCGCCGAAATATGAGAAATGGCTCATCTTACCCCACTCTTTCTCTATCAAGTTTTTTTTAGAAGTAAAGGTTATTCTTTTGGTTTGGGACAGCTGTCATAAGCTACAAAAAGCAGTAGGTCTATTAAGGATAAGTAGGCTATGTCAGAAAGTAGGAAAGTAGTGCAAATTGCCTACTTTAGACACGACACTCTGGATATTAAACAGACTAGAAACATGCCCAATTATAAATTCCTGGCTCTGTAGGTGCCAACAGAGCGGTTTCTTCCATCAAAGTAACATCGATCGGAAGTCTGTTGGCCTGTTGAGTTATGATGATGATAATAACGTAATGATCATTACTCTCTGAAGATGCCTGTGGTATCATTATTATTTGGCAGGACTGTCATGTGAGTTTGTCCCCGTGCTGAATGTCTGTGGTTTGGACAGCTCAGACCTTAAAACTCCACAGACCTCTCCCTCTCTCTCCCTCTCTCCCTCTCTCTCTCTCCCTCCCTCTCTCTCTGTCTTGGTATCCTCTCATTCCGCTCACTCCTTCCAGTCGCGGTTAACGGGCGTGCGGTTGCCAGGAGAGACGCGCGTGCAGTACCGTGTACAGCTCTTACGGCAGAGCGGCACGGGCTCTCCCCCGCCATTTCCTCGTGTCGAGCCGTGGAATGTCGAGCAGCGGCTCGGGCTCTTCCTCGCGGAAGGAGTTCGACGTGAAGCAGATTCTCAGGATCCGATGGAGGTGGTTCGGTCACCCCGCGGCTCCTCCACCTCACTCCCCGCCGCTCGGAGACTACTTCACCGGGAGGAGAACGGGCGGCAGCTCCGGAGACGGACCGTCAGTTAGCGGCATCAGCAACTCCAGTTCAGCAAGCGTAACACCCAGTGCGGGGATTCACGGCGGTCTGGTGGCCAGCGGCAGCGCCGGATCTAACCTGTGTAACAGCAGCGGCAGAAAGTTTGCTGATCCGGCGGGGAGTCGGGGCGGACCGGGAGGCGCGGCTGCCGGAGCGACGGGCGGCTCCTGTCCCCGCTCCTTCAGCCAGCCGGAGTGCAGGAGCTCCGCGGTTGGGCTGTCGTGGGTCTCTCCGCCGCCACATCGTCGCTCCCGGCCGGTGACGAGCATGGAGCTCCCCGGAGAGGCGAAGCTTTTGCCCGAGTCTATGGCTCAGGTCGGGACCGAGGAAGAGGGGGCGACACCGGCAGCGGCGGGCGTAGAGGAGGGTAACCACCCGGAAACCGACACGAGCTCGTGCAGGTAAGAGAAGGACATTCTCGGTCATGGGACTGAAACTCACCTCAACTTTCTTTAAGACATGCAGCCTCAAGAAGAAAAAAAAAAGAGTTTGAGGAGAAATAAAGAGTTTTTTTTTCCCACGGTAAGAACACTATAGCTAAAATTAGTAATACCATCACTATCGCTGGATGATTTTTACCCGAAATTATATAGCCAAGAAAAAGTACTTGTCATCAAAATATATCAAAATAGGACAATACATGACAAAGTAAAGTAGTTTTATTTTTAACTGTGTAATGTCCAAAGAGAGGAAAGGTGCCATGAGGGGACCATGTAAAAATGCAACAAAATAACTGAAATTAGGCATTCATGAACACAAAATTCCTAAAAAAATGATAGAAACTGTAAACTTAGTTTCTTTTCCACCCATTCCTGGGGCATCTATGTCTTCCCTGGTGAAGACTCAGCGTCCTTGGCACAATAACAGCTGCAGGAGAGAGAGAGAACCAAAATATGGCGTACTTTGAGAGAGTAAAAATGACCAGCTGACTGAAATATTTCTTCTCACCATATGAATTCCCTTGAAAATCACTACTTTGTGATAGTTTTTCATAACCACAGTACTAAATAAAGATAGCATGCAAATTCCAGGACCACTCTTACTGACCTTATTCCCTACATGCAGCTATCAGATCCACCCAAACCTACTTTACCCTCTATCACTATTGCCGGGTCTTGGATCAGGGAAACAAATATGCCTTCAAAGATGTCAAAGGCAATGCTGAAGCTAACCAGGGACACCATGATACTCAGACAAACGCAACATAATGAAAATCACGTAAACATGTTTGGTCATCTGTCTGTTGTCAACCCATCATAGGTCAGAAAATGACTCAAGGCCATGGTGAAAGACAGGACACGTGGAAACTGAACGAGCTCCAAGAAGGGTGTAATTAGACCTGGAAATAATTATCTACGAAAGTGACTGCTCATGCAAAACTGTGGAGAAGGGGGTCCATTTATTCCCTATATGAAAATAGAGGCTGAGTACCTGGGGGACAACGTGCAGTCCACTGATTACTCCTCAACCTCTTAATGAGGCTTCACCAACCAGCCTTTGTTACTATATACAGAAACCAACACACACACACACACACATGAACAAGGGATTTACAGAGTCAAATTAGCTATATGACTCCAGGGCCGAGTTCTTGCATGTAGCAGCACACTGCTCTTGACATTTATATTGTTTTGTCTTCAACAACCGATTCTTCCAGTTTTTTTTTCACTCACAGTCCTCATTGCTCTGCATGTTTGTGTGTAAAGCAATGACATGACTGTGTGGCTGTAGCAAAGTAAAAAGAGCATTTGATTAATAGTTACCATGAAGACATTGTAAAAAAGCAATTAGGGCATCATAACTCCTCCATTAAACACATCTGCAGGCTTCCAGCTTTTGTCATGGTGCAGCAGCAAGCATGATGAAGTAAAAGGTGAAATACAGGCAGCGCATGTTTACTATGATAATGCAACTGAAAGCCTCCCATCATACTCTGTGTTCCCAAGACCCACATCAGATATATAAATGATTCATAGGTCATGCTCGAGCACAAACACATTGCTCGAGCACATGCACACTTACACTTAAAAACAGTGGGAACAACTGCAGCCTTTAAATCCATTTTCCTTCCTCACTTCATTTGTTTTCATTGCAGTTGTGTATGTTTGTGTGTGAGAGACAAAAAAAAAACAGCCAGAGAGGAGATTTTAAAAATATCTTTTGTTATGCAAGGCTTGATGTCACTTCTTCCTCGATGATGTGGTTGGAAAATTGCTCTAATAACAATTCATATGCAGACACTTATCAGCCGTATCATTAACGAATGTAGATGGTGATGGGAAACTGCACAGATTTTGAGTACATATTGTACACGTGCGTGAACGTAGCCATGTCCTATTTACATGTTATGGTTGCCATACCAACACAGAGGATCCAGTTATGAAGCGTACACATGTAGCCTTTGCACGTATGTTTAGTGTATGTGTACTGGGGGTGGGTGGGGAGGGGTCTTTCTGTACACTTCCCTCTGAGAGCTCCTGCGTACGGTAAGATACTCCAAGAACACAAGTGGCAGAATCCCAAATGGGATCATGGGAAGGGACGCGTACAGAATCCCAGAGTGGCTGACGGCTTGCTTTGACTCCACTGATCTCCTCCTCTCCTTTTTTACATTCTCACCCCAGTACCCCACCCCCTCCCGCCCCTTAATCCTGGTGTGCCTTCCTTACTCTCTCTCTCTCTCCCTCTGTCCCCTGTTCATCTCTGCCCACCCTTGTCCATTCATTTGCTCTTTCTCTCCTCTTTCCCATGAGCATTTGTTGGGAAACAAAGGCATTTGCATGTGTGTCATTGAGAGTGTAACATGTGACCGGGCAGGCACATCATGGCATGCTGTATATCAGCTAACCATGTTTTCTTTTGCACTAGCCCTTAGCCCGCAGGCTAATCAGCCCAGATAGTTAATCACAAGGGGGTAGAAAAAGTGTGTGAGAGAGAGAAGGAGGGAGGAAGAGTCTGAGTTACAGCTGTAAGAGTGTCCTTGCCTGGTGCAGGGGTTTAAATAATCTGTCTGCATGGTGTGGATCCATTCCTGTGTTTCTCCTTTCCCTCTCTGTTTCTCTCTCTGTCCATGTTGAGTGCCTGCCAGGCTCAATTAAGGGGACTGGAAGGCAGCGTTCCCCCACTTCAAAGCCATCTCCTCTGGCAGTATTTAGCCCTACCATTCGTCTGCATGCACATTCACTCACACATATATTCACACTCACACAAGAGGAAAGGAAAGCTGGCCAAAAAGCTGCCTCGGAGGGTGAGAAATGGGATAGGGAAGAGAGGGGACGGAGGGAAAGATGGATGGTGGGATGAGGTGGGATGAAGTGAGTGATGGATGAGATTAGTGGAAGATATAAAAGTGAGGATGGGCGGTGGATATAGAGAAGTAGAGGACGGAGGCAGAGGGAAGATGACACATCACCATCAGGCAGCAGACATAAAACAAAAGTGTGTATGAACACTGTGTACGGGATCCACTTCAGCTCTTTCTTACAACTTTACCCAACAGCATCAAAACAGAGCAAATCACAATTTTGTCCCTCGAGTGTTTTACACCTGCAATAGCAGATTTACTTTGCATCTTGGGAGTAGCAGAAAGAGGCTGTAAACTCAGCGCTGACCTTTTATTACCACCTAAATTGATAAATTGAGTCACAGGGTAGTTGTTTATTATGTTTGTCGGCAATTTGGGGCAGGTCAGGTAGGGTACATGAGGTTTTGACTGCTATTTTCTTTTGGCCTATAGCAAAGCTGAGGGGAGTCGTAAAGATGAACTACAACTCTAAAGTAACTGGCTCCAAAACCAAAATAATGACCTTTAGATACTAAAAGGTTCCATCACTTCTAAACCAATGCTGATGCTTTGGTTTTGTGTGTTGGCTGGTACTGATCTAACAGCAGCCTTTTATTGATCAGCAGTGTTGTGCAGATGAGGCTAGGATCATTCTGCATGTGTAAGACAACATCAGGCTTGATTGAAACTAGGGCTGCATGATATGGATTTTTTTAGGGTAAGATTTTTCATCTGAGGGTGTCAGAAGGTGTAGGCTGACTTTTTTGGTCGGTTTTATTGGATAAAACTGTATGTTATTTGCATTAAATTCATAGTATGTCAGGCTGATAGAAATACAAAAACCACACTTATGGTGAATAACTGTCTGACATTAACTGGATGGACCGTGATGGTACAATAATGGGTATGCTTAAAGAGAGACTGTAAAGTAAGAGATGGAACTGTAAGGATTTCACGAGCAGCTATGGACCAAAGTAGAATAACTCTGAAAAGATGACACTCCTGCTCTCCCGGTGTGGTTGATATATTGTATTGTATGATCCAGTTCTTCGAGTAAATACAGGATCAATAATATCAATATAGATCCGGTCTATTTTGCATTACTCCCGCTTTGCAAAGATGGGAAAAACTTTGGGATTGAGCACTATAGCTACACTAAATATAATCCGAGAGACAGAATATTTAACTTCTGCTGGTGTTTAGGATATTTAGTATGTCGTTTTAAATTATGTTATGTTCATAAACTGCATTTTTAGTGCCACACCAGTATTTCAGTCTGCTTTCACTTTGCTTATTCCAGTGAGAATATACAGAAAAAAATAGATAAAATAAAAGACAGTTGGTTTTGCCCGTTAACCCCTAACACACACACATACACACAGGTTTTCCCATCCCTTTAAGAGTGTAATGTCTCCTTAGCTGTAGCAGTGAAATGATTCATCCTTGGAGTATCAGTTCATTTCTAATCTCTTTGTGCTGCAGGGCCAGTTCTACCGCTGCTGCCGTTAAATTAAAAATGGAAGTACAGCTCTGGCTCTCATAAATTAAAAGCTGGTTTGGGAGCCATGATGGCTGCTGATTCACAGGGAGGATCTACTCTGGAGCTGGTTTCTGAAGAAAAAACACATATGCACTCTCACACACACACACACACACACACACACACACACACACACACACACACACACACACGCGCTACCACCTCATCAGCCAAACTGGAGGAATAAGACATAACAGCCCAAGGCTTCGTCTCCTCCACCAGTGAATAACGAATGTTGAAGCCTTCCTGGCCCCAAACCCTACTTCATTTCTCACAGTTGGTATAAAGATCGAAAGAAACTGGTTAACATTAAGGAGCAGAGTAAATTACAGCGTATCCTATGGGCTCAGTTCCCACAGCTATTTAATTGGCAGCCTCTCTTTTAAATGGGCTAAATTTATCTGGTCATTTACTCCTAGTAATTGGAGCATTAAAGGGCTTTCGTCTGCCTCTGGTGACTTACAGTAACCCTTGTTGAATTGTGAAGGAGAGAAAAGGTGTGAAGAGATGACACAATGAAGAAAAAAAGCAGCCGGTGTTGCTTTCTCCACACATCTGTCCCTTTTTCTGGAACAAAGGGGGGATCTGCATCGACGTAAATCATGTGACGCTTTATCTTTGTCTTCATTTGTGTCTGTCACAGGACATCGAACAGCAGTGCCACACTGTCCTCGTGCGTGTCCATGGAGCCCTGTGCGTGTCCAGAGGAGTCCATGTTTACGGCTCTGTCTCATGCGGATGTCACCTTCTCCAAGATGGAGGGTTACCTGAGGTCCCGACAGCTGTGCGATGTTGTGCTAGTAGCAGGGGACCGGCGAATACCTGCGCACAGGTAGGAGCGAAAAGAACCTCCAGGAGAGAGAGAGAGAGACAGAAAGATGATCTTCCTCTCTCTGTGGTTGATGGTCTTGTTTGCTTTTGTCGTTCACAAAGAGACATTAACATTAATTCCAATAATTTCTGTTTCCTAACCAGCTAAAAACTCCTTACAGAAGCTTTAGAGATGTGAAAAAGAAAAGCATTAATATCATCATGGTTAAAATGTTTTTTCAGTCAATTTTGTGTCCATATATTTTTCAGATTTTTTATCTCATTCTTTACTGTAATTCTGTACATTTAAGAATGAAACAGTGTATGTAGGGGAACTTTTAACACTATTATGGTTGTAAAACAGGTGAATAATATCTGCTGTATAAAAATAATCCTGATGTTTTGACAGGTTGTGTTCATTTTTGATACATTTTTGGAAATGTGGCGGAGATATGATATTGGTTTCAGTTTTTTTTTTTTTATCTTGTAAAAAATTCAATTAAAAAAACACAAAGAAGCCACACAATGTTGTCCAGGGATGCAATGATAACACAGATGCACGCACAAAAAGACACCTACATGATGACACATACTGCGCACAAAGGATACTGTCAGGAAATAAGATTTCACACAGCAGGACCACAGGCGTGTTCATAACAATCCCTTTTATTTTTGTAGTCTCTCTGCAGCACACACAGTTCACCGTGCCTCTGAATCATGCATCAAACACACACACACATGACACACACACACACGTGCCTGTCACTCACCTCATGGCCCCACTACACTGCTCTGTTGCTGTTACCCTCTGGGCGTGTGGCCACTGGTTCAGCTGCAGGATCCATCTGCAGCAGGAAGAGACTTGAGAGCCACCCTCCACTAGCAGAAGGACTCCTTTTCTCTCACTGCCTTACTCTCCTGCCTGACTCCATTTGATCCTTAAGGCACAGATGGTGACAAACAAAAGACCCTGCTGTACAAGATTCCTAATAGCGTATGTTAAAGAGTGTGTCATCATCTAAAGTTGTGCTTGTGTGCCAGCAAGGGGGTGGGAGCAAGACATCTTTGCTTGAAAGTGGTTGTTTTGTTTCCAATTGATTTACTGTGTGTGTGTAGGATAAAGGCGCTTTTTTGGAAACAAAACTTGCACCCTCCCCCTCTCACCTTCTTGCTCTGTCTTACATGTACACACAGAGGAGTGTAGCATACTTGCTGGATAGACTGCCTGTACGGTGTGTGTATAGCTGCACAGTTTTGTGTGTAGATGGTTGCGAGCAGTGCATTTTTAGCAGAGTTGAGCTTTAGTTGTATTTTGAAAAAGAAGAGCTCTATTGTAAATTTTGTCTCTGGGGCTACACCCGACACAAACACATTATCTTGCCATCTCGCTATTTCTGTTCCCCATATAGTCGAGGTGTTTTTAAAAGTGCAGTCTTGGCTCTTTTTTCTAAGAGTACCTTTAGTTGAGGACTATTTTACCCCTGTCATTGTGAATCAGAGGGCACAGAGCTGAAGTCTATAATGAGAACTCTAGTTTTTGTCTGTTTACAGTAGATTACCACGAAGAGGATATAGTAATATAGATGTCCCTGTTAGGCAGCTCTCTAACACAGCAGTGCTTTGGGCTAAAAGATAATATCAACCATACTCATAGTAGATGCTAACATGCTCACGTAGCAGGCTTATCATGTTCATCTTTTAAATGTAGCATGTTAATATTTGCAGAAAAGCACTTTAGTCAATGGAAATTTCATGTTTTGTGGGTGTATGGTGACAAATTAAAACGGTAGACAAGATATTCTGTTCGTGGAAGAATGTAGGGCTGGGTGATATAGCCTCAAATCAATATCATGATATATTGAGCAGTTCACCCCGATAACGATAAATAGACGATAACTACTCCACAAGCTGCTCACCCCCTCCCACATTAACTTTATCTTCTTCAGCCGCCGCTCGAGCTGCTACAACTTTTGAACCGTCCTGGATGGGGTGGAGTCATGTCTCCGATGTAGGACAGCATCTTAAAGGGACATGAGACCATAGCCTACTTACACACATCCAAAACCAACTTTTATTTATTTATTTATGTTTTTGACAATGAATACATCGATATTGGCAAAATGATGTCAGTTACTATCGTAAATTTGGGTATCGGTAAATTTCTGGTTTATCGCCCAGCCCTATAAGAGCACTGACTACATGATGTTAATTTTTGTCCATAATACGTTGTTGGGAACCTGATAATTCTCTGGAGTTGTAGTAAATTATTAAAATGCCAAGTAGTAGTTTTAAGAAGTATTTACCATGTTGTGTTTGCATTGATGCTCGTTCAGAAATGAAGTCCGTATCAGTTGAGGAAAGTTCTTTAAAGTAAGTTGAAGCAGGATACGTGTCGATGAGAGCATGATTTTCAGCTCAAGATTTTCAGGCAATCCGTTAAAGAAGTTGTTGAGGTGTTTCAGACAAGACTGACGGACTAATAAACCGACGATACCACTAATAAGCTAATATGCAAGCCACTGTTCTTTTTGTGTGTGTGTAGATAGAGACCCCACCCATTGAGCAAGTTTGTCCCACTAGTCCTCTCGTTGTTTCCAGCTCTGTCAGTTTTTCCACCACTCTGCACCAAGCAGCAGATACTCAAACACAAACAGACATGGAGTTCATTTTCCAGCTCTAGCTCCTCTTTCCTGAGTCCAACTCTTCTGTTTCCTGCCCTCATCCCTGCTCTCATGTTGTCTCTTCTCTGCTCTTTCTATTTTCACTGTGGCACACTGCCTGCCATGTCTCTGTCTCTATATATAAAGGTATAATAACCTGCTGCTGTGTGTAGCCTGTGCCGCTCACTGCTCGCCAGACCCTCATAAAAAATTAAGAAGTGAAAATGCTGTTTCCGTGTGTGAGAGAGATAAGAAAGAGATACCCAAGTAGAAATATGGTCTGAACAACTTCCTGCTGACAGCGGTGTATTTTGACATCCACACACACATGCACTACTCTCCTGTGCTTCAGGCAATCTGTTGAGATCTTGGTGTCACACTCTGTAATGAGATGATAAACATGTGCATGACACACATATCGGGAACACAGAGAGGGAAAGAAAATGCACAGATAATTGCAAATACAAAGAAATTAGGCGACTGGCCAGATCTAATGTGGGGAGAGAAGCTGTTCCATAACTTGTGCCTCTTTTTATAGCAGTCAAACACAAGCTGGAGTCACTGCAGAAACAGAGAGTCCAGATCAACATTCACAGGATTAATCACGATGCAGAAATAGATTCGTCTCTCAGAGTCATTTGAGCTCAGTAAAGATTTATCTTAGCTGAAACTCTAAGCTGTAAAATGCTGATTTAACCACAGGAGTTCACACCAAGACAGTAACATTAAAACCTCAGAGCACAGCAGTGATTGGAGGAATTTCTCTGTCAGTCTTCATCAGATAAACGATCATCTCTTCGTCCACAAAGACACCTCTAAGAACAAAATAAGGACTTCTTAGCTGTGTCATTTTTTTAGTGTACGTCACTCCTCAGTGGCGTGAGAGTGTAATGGATTATAGTCGTAACTGTAGAGGTTTGAATTAGTGCTTGGTAACTTGCAATGGCTTACTCAGCTTGGCACTTAGTTACTTCCACAGGCAGTGTCTGCCGCTAGTCCAGCTACACAGGTCAACAAAATCCACTCTGGAAACGTTTTTGTGGTAAAGAAAAAATATAAAAAATCTTCTGGTTTATTTCTTGTATCCAAGGATCCACAAAATTATGAAGACTGGAGCTGACTAACACTAATACACTTGGTGTAACTTTAACAGTAGCAGTAGCAGTAGCTGTAGCAGGTAAGAAAACCGTGTGCTTCTCCAGCTCCAAGCACCGACTGAATCATCTCTGTGTCCACCAAAACAGACGCACGTGCGGTCTTAAAGGGGAAGCAGCCCTGTTATAAAAACATTTACCAAATCACATGAAAGATGAATTTTAGCATATTTTCAACATTTTGACCACAATATGAACTTATAAATGAAATTATGTATCATTAAATCCTATATTTTTATACTGTCAACTTATTTATCTTTTTTAACACATTTCAATCATGTTAACTGTATTCATAACCATGAACTATTCTTCCGCCTCTACATACCCGGCCCCTAATTGCTTTCTAGGGCAGAAACAATTACAACTTATAAGAACAATGTCCCTTTTCTTTTGTTTTGTATAATGTCTTTCTTCTGAGTAACACTCAGGCAATTAACAGTCTCAATCAGGTGAGTAACAGTCCTTCTCATACTGCTTCTTGAAGTAAGCAGAGCTTAGTTATTGGTCTCTCAAGCTCATTAGTTTTTGTCTTGACTCGAACCTTGCGGACCATTCCGTGCTCATCCTCCATAGTCTTGACGATCCTTCCCAGCAGCCATGATCCCCTAGGTGCTGACTCATCAACGATCAAGACTACATCTCCCGGGATGAAGTTCCGTGATGGATGGTTCCATTTCTGTCTTTTCTGGAGTAGAGGCAGGTACTCCCTAGTCCAGCGCTTCCAGAATAGATCACTCATGTACTGGACTTGCCTCCATCTTCTACGCACGTAGTTGTCATCTTTTTGGAAGAGTCCCGGTGGTAAGTTGGGTTGAGTCTTTAGCAGCAGCAAGTGCTGAGGGGTGAGAGCTTCCAGATCGTTTATATCATTCGAAGGCAAAGTGATAGGCCTACTGTTTAGAATGGCCTCACATTCACAGAAGAACGTTCGGAGAGCTTCTTCGTCCAAGTTTTGCTCTCTCAGGGTGGCGACCATGATCTTTCTGATGGAACGGATGATCCTCTCCCACACCCCTCCGTGGTGTGATCCGGATGGAGGATTAAATATCCATTTGATGTCACGTTGGAGCAAGCTGTTCTCAATCTGTGAGGTATTCCACTCCTTTATGGCTTTTCTGAGCTCGCGGTCAGCTCCAACGAAGTTAGTCCCGTTATCAGATCGCATTTCCTTCACTTGACCCCTCCTTGCGATGAAGCGACGCAGAGCGTGAATAAAGGAGTCTGTTTCCAGCGACGTAGCCATTTCAATGTGGACTGCACGGCTTGCGAGACAGGTAAATATGACCCCATACCTCTTTACCAATGATCTTCCTCGTTTTACGCTGAATGGTCCAAACAGATCCACTCCACTTCTGGTAAAAGGTGGTTCGTCCGGAACAACTCTGTTTCTTGGTAAGTCCGCCATAATTTGTGTGCCTGATGCACCATGTTGTCTTCGACAGGTAGTGCAGCGAGACAGCATTTTCCTGATTGTTGAGGGGGCGTCGATAATCCAGTATCTTTGGCGCACATAAGACAAGACATGATTGCGTCCACTGTGTCCTAGCCGCTCATGCGCATCCTGGAAAATCAGATCAGCCACTCGATGGTCTTTAGGCAGAAGCATCAGATGCTTGGCTTCGGCTGGCATAGATGCTCGACTGAGCCTCCCTCCAACACGAAGGATTCCCTCTTGAAGTTGCGGATTCAGTCTGAAGATTCGGCTACTCTTCTTGACAGGCTCTTTTCTCTGCAGAGCAGCGATTTCCTCTTGGAACTTCTTTTGTTGACAATGGCGGATGATATCCAGCTCAGCTTGTCGCAGATCGTCAACAGTCAGGTAAGTCTGTTTGAGACTCCTCTTGTAGCGTGTCATTTCTTTGTTCACTTGTTCTTGGTCCTTGTGTCGTTCATTCATTTCTTTCCTCTTCTTTGACAGGTTTACCAGGGCTCCTTTGATTCGAATGAACCACGCCACTGCCTTCTTTAGCCGTATCCAGGAAGAGAAGTATTCTGTTATTTGTTGCATTGCATCAGTGGTTTCTTCTACTGTAGTAGCATTAACGAGTATGCTTTTCTTGACCTCAGGATCTGTCACTGAAAGCTCCTCTAACTGCTCAGTCTTGTCTGGCCATTCTTTTTCTGGTTTGCTGAGGAAGGCAGGCCCTGAGATCCATACTTCGTTCTGTGTGAAGACATTTGCCTTTTGTCCCCTAGAAGCATAATCGGCTGGATTTAATCGTGAGCTGATGTAGCTCCATTGCTCCACTCTTGATGCTTGTACGATTGTAGCGACCCTGTTCGCCACAAATGTCTTAAACCTGATGCTCTTGTTTGCTATGTATTTGAGTACGGCGGTACTGTCCGTCCAGAACCTGGAATCTGACAGCGGCAGCTGCAGCTCCTTCTTCAGCAAGGTGTCCACCTTCACAGCTAAGGTAGCTGCCGTAAGCTCCAGCCGTGGGATTGTTGTGGGCTGGAGAGGAGCGACCCTTGCTTTTCCCAAGACGAATGAGCAGTGTATTTGGTTGCTGCTGTTCTTTTGCACGAGGTAAGTGACCGTACCATAGCCTGTTTCGCTCGCGTCACTGAAGTGATGCAGTCGAGCCTCCACTGTTTCTCCAAACTCAGGTGGCTTGAAGCACCGGTCCACTCCAACGTTGGTGAGCTGCTGAAGCTCTTCCATCCACTTTGACCATTGTTGTGCGAGATGATCTGGCACAGCATCGTCCCATCCTGTTCTCAGTCTGCACAGTTCCTGCAGGATATTTTTGGCAGACAGTATGACTGGAGACAACATCCCAAGTGGGTCGTAGACTGAGCTCATCATTGACAAGATTCCCCTTCTGGTGAGAGGCTTCTGCTGAATGTTCACGTGGAACTTGAACTTATCCGACCGGATACACCACTGTACTCCTAAAGCCTTCTCGATGAGCGAATCCTGGTCGAGGTCGAGATCTTTGACCTCTGTTGCTCGGTCCTCTTGTGGAATGCTTGACAACACGTCTGTGTTGTTGGTCATCCATTTCGTTAGTTTGAATCCACCTGTTAGACAAATGGCTTTCAGGTCTTTGTAAAGCTTGACTGCTTCTTGTTCAGAGGCAACTGACCTCAGGCAGTCGTCGACATAGAAGTTACATAACACTGTATCCACAACTGCTTCATCGAAACTGCTCCTGTTATCCTCGGCACATCTTCTCAAAGCATAACTCGCGCAGCTTGGTGAGGAGGTGGCGCCAAACAAGTGGACCTCCATCCTGTATTCTTGCAGCTCTTGTGAGACGTCGCCGTCCGGCCACCACAGGAACCTGAGAAGGTCGGCGTCTTCTGGAGGGACCCTCACTTGGTGGAACATTGATTCCACGTCCGCCATTACAGCGACTTGCTCTTGACGGAACCTTGTTAAAACACCAATAAGACTACTTGTCAAGTCAGGCCCTTGTAGTAGTTGTTCGTTGAGTGTGGTTCCTTGGTAAGAAGCGCCACAATCAAATACCACTCGTATTTTGTGCTTCTTAGGGTGGTAAACACCGTGGTGCGGGATAAACCACACCTTTCCATCACGCCGGTGTAAGTCTTTCTCTGGTACTTTTACAGCGTAGCCCTTGCTGATCATGTCGTTCATGAAGCCGACGTAGTCCTCTTTGAACGTCTGGCTTTTCTGAAGCTTCTTCTTTATGTTGAGCGCTCTTTGCTCTGCCACTGCTCTGTTCTTGGGCATTTTTACATCTTTGTTTTTCAACGGCAAACTGATGGAGTAATGGCCGTTGACCAGCTTGGCTGATTCAGTGACTCTGTCCATGAACAGCTGATCTTCCTTGGACATTTCCAACTGCTCTCCTTGAGCTTTCTCAGGAAAATCACACTTGAATTGCTGAGTCCACAATTCTTCCAGACGAGCAACTGAAATGCGATTCATTTTGATCTCTGGGTATCCATGTTTTGTTCGATTTTTGATGTTTTCACGCAGTGGTCCGTTTACAGTCCATCCCAGGGCTGTGCGTACTGCATACGGCCCGTCTTTGACACTGCGGATTACTTCTTCTGGTTCCAAGGCTTTTGCTACGTCCGTTCCGATGAGAAGACTGATATCTGCGTTGATAGAAGGGATTCGTACACCTTGCAGATGTGGCCATTTATCCACGTCTTCTTGAGTCGGAATGTTCTCTTGACTCACAGGGATAACCTTTTGTGTGAAATCTCAATCAGCTCAATGAAGTCGTCACCTTCAAGGCTGCTAACTTCGAGGTCTGGTACAGCTTTGCAAGAAACTGCCTTTTGTTCTCCCATGGTGGTGAGTAGGATGTTCACATTTTTTCCTTGCAGGTGAAGGTCGTTCGCTAGCTTGTTAGTGCAGAAGGAAGCGTTACTTCCTGGATCCAGAAACGCATAACAAGTCAGCTCCTCGCTCCCCTTCTTTGCCTTTACTCTCACAGGAACGATGGCGAGGATGCTATCAGTACCCCCGGCCCCAGTCTGAGAGTTTGTGTCCCCTGCATCCACAAATCCGCTGACCACCTTTGGAGACTCGTTCTCAGGCTCCTCCCTTGAAGCCTCTTCCTTTGATGAGTCTTTGGGTTTCTGTTTTATGTGTAGGAGTGTGGGGTGTGTGGCTGAACATATCTGACAGCTCTTCTTTTCTTCACAGGCCTTACTCATGTGACCTGCTGCCAGACAACTGAAGCAAAGTCCTTTGCCCTTTAGAAACTCCAACTTTTCTTTATGCAACATTTTTTGAAGTTTTTTGCATTGTTCCATGGTATGGTCTCCCTGACAGAAGATACAGGGTTTATTAAAAGCTTTATCTACATTTGTTCTTTTTTCCTGAGTTTTCTTGTTTCCATCTATGACACGTTTCTCGGCTTTCTGTTCTTTTACTTCTGTTGCCAGAGTTGTGATGCGTTTCTTTCCATCTGACCTTTCTGTCTTGGTGTCTGTCTGACGTTTTGTTTGTCCTGGGATTTCACCAAACACAGGGTGTGATGCCATTTCTGCCTGCGTGTTGATGAACGATACCACGTCTTTAAACTTAGTCCGGCGATCCTGCCTTTTCTGAATGTCTATGGCGACACTCCTAAATCTCTCTCTCATCCTGTAGGGGAGCTTAGAGATAATGGTGCGCATATTAGCAGCATTTTCCATCTCATCTAAGTACTCGAGGTCAGACATTGCGTTGCTGCAACTTGTGAGAAAGAGGGCATATGACTCAAGTGCTTTGCTGTCTTCTGTTTTTATGACAGGCCAGTTTAACGCCTTGTCCAGGTAAGCCATGGATATCTTGTATTTATCTCCAAAGCGTTCTTTCAGAAGTCTCTTGGCTTCAGGATAGCCCTGTTCTGGGTGCATGTGAAAGCAACTGCGCACTAAGTCATTAGGCTGTCCAGTAGTGTGTTGCTCTAAATAGTAAAGACGATCTTTGCTATTTTCTGTCTTACTCTCCACGCTGTGTTCGAACGCTCTCATGAAGAGGCGGTATTCTATTGGATCACCTTTGAAAACTGGGATGTTCTGAGGTGGCAATGTAGAGAGCTTCTGTTGCTTTATTAGGCTTTCTGTGATGTCGTTTTGGCGTTGCATGACAGTAACCAGTTTATCTGCGCTCACAGAATTGTCCATTGCATAAACAGGGGCTTGTATCACACTGTCATATGAATTTCCTCTTATTGTGTGGATATGTTGACCACCACTGTCTGCTGCAACACTCCTATTGACGTCTTGGTTCACTGGAGCAGACGTTAGTGCAGCCACCTTGCTTCCTTTTGATCTGACAGACACTTCTGAGCCTTCATATTTCTGTAGCACAGCCAATTGCGCATCAGCTACAGCGAGCCCAGCTTGTAGCTCTAACTCTTCTTTTTCTGCCTTTAGCTGTAGCTGTAGCGAAAGCTCATGTTTTTCCAAAGCCTGTTTTTTTCTCAATGTAGCTGACTTGGCTAACAGAGCAGCTCTTCCTAGCTCCACCTTTAAGCGTTCAGAACGAACTGACGATATAGCTGAAGCAGCACTGACAGACTTGGATTTTTTAGATTTCTTGGATGTGACTGACACACTGTCTTCAGGTCGAATCTCATCACTAACCTTTTTAGCTTCTTCTTGGCGTTGTTTAGCTGCCTCTATCCATGAATTCACTTCTTGTATGAAGTTAATGTGCTCACTATTTCTTGGCTCAAACCAACCCCTTTGGTCTGCTTTCATGTTCTCTTCACATCCTATCTGGCAGAATCGGTCTTTAACATGCTCGTTTATTTCACTGAATTCTTTCATCAGTCCATTATAGTTGGTTAACTTTTCTTTTCCGATAGTTTGCACATTGGCATCATCATCCATTAAAGCATGCAACTCGTTCCTTTTCCCAGTAAGTTGGCCCAGTATAGCTCTTCTTGAGGCTATTTTTGTTTGCAGATTATGCTCCAATGCTTTAAGTGTTGGTTTTACAACTCTCTTTACTTTTTCATTTTCCTCTTCCTCTGTTAGTTCTACTGTCTCCTCTGTTTCTGCTCCTGCCATGCTTACTTTGCAGTTGGTTGTTCCAGTAATTACACAGATCCCATTTGCTAACCAACAGTCAATGCAAACAGCAAGCGAGCCTCAGTGAGATAGCTTCTCTCCACTTGCTAGCTAAGATGTTAGCTTATTACTCACGAGTCACTTGTTGCCTCAGTAGGCTAACTGAGGATATTCTTTCAGGTCCATCTTTGAATCTTGAATGTGCTCCACTTTCCACAAACCTCTCCACAGGCTCCTTGTCCAATGTCCAGCAGGTTTTCTTACTAATGTAGAGGTTTGAATTAGTGCTTGGTAACTTGCAATGGCTTACTCAGCTTGGCACTTAGTTACTTCCACAGGCAGTGTCTGCCGCTAGTCCAGCTACACAGGTCAACAAAATCCACTCTGGAAACGTTTTTGTGGTAAAGAAAAAATATAAAAAATCTTCTGGTTTATTTCTTGTATCCAAGGATCCACAAAATTATGAAGACTGGAGCTGACTAACACTAATACACTTGGTGTAACTTTAACAGTAGCAGTAGCAGTAGCTGTAGCAGGTAAGAAAACCGTGTGCTTCTCCAGCTCCAAGCACCGACTGAATCATCTCTGTGTCCACCAAAACAGACGCACGTGCGGTCTTAAAGGGGAAGCAGCCCTGTTATAAAAACATTTACCAAATCACATGAAAGATGAATTTTAGCATATTTTCAACATTTTGACCACAATATGAACTTATAAATGAAATTATGTATCATTAAATCCTATATTTTTATACTGTCAACTTATTTATCTTTTTTAACACATTTCAATCATGTTAACTGTATTCATAACCATGAACTATTCTTCCGCCTCTACAGTAACCTTAAGATGATTCCTCCTGTCCTTGGTTTGCCCTCCTCCACTATACCATATCTCTTCTTCCTCAGACTCATTTACCTCTAAACTCTACACATCAACCTTACTTCAAGCATATCCCTCTCCTTCTTCTCTCTCCGTCCTTCTTTCTTCCACCCTCTGGTCCATGAGCTCAGCCGCTGTGATTGACACATGCAAATTAAATAATCTCCTCTCCGACTGCACGGGTTGGCATGTCTTTTACAATGCATGCCAGGACTTCTCCTGGCTGCTGTTGGATCTTCTTGTGCTGTTTTGGAGGGACTCCTTTGGGGATTCTCTGCACACAAAGATATTTGTTTTCTAAAATAACAACTCGCGGTTAAGAAAGAAATGGAAAATGTAGAGTGGGAAGAGGGGAAAAAACAGCAAAGAGTGTATGAGTGGAATAACAACTGAGAGCTGACCTCAGAGTAAATTTTTCTGTTAAGATTACCACCATTAGTTCCAGATAACAACAGTGTAAAAACCAAGAGAAGTCCAAATAATCTTCCAAATGTTATAAAAGCTCGAAGCCTTCTCAAACTCTGGGTGTACAGTTCATATTACCGGTAAAAACTATACTAAAAACTATACCTGATATTACAAACCTTACTCACTCTGCTGCTGAGAGAAAAGATGCCCCATTCCAGTTTGCACATGAAGCTTTTCACACAGAGGACAATCATACTCTTTATCCTCAATATGCTCACCATGCACAAACATCTGGAGATGCCTGAGGCCCCTGCACAGCTTTTGTTTGCACATTTTTTTCTACCTCTAATAGCATCTCTTCAGACGGGGGAATATACACCACGAGTCCTATTTGGAAAGTATTTATTTCTTCAGGGGGATCTAGGTGATTTAATCTTGAATATTACATGAGCTACAGGGTCATTCTAATACAGTATGGAGCGAATAAGTATGTGCAGATTTTTTCTGTCCTTTTGCTGCAGTAATAAGAACAATCTCTCTGCTTTCTGTTTCAGCAGCACAAGTGTTTATCCTCCCATACTTTTAGAAGACATAAGAAAAGTGATGCACGGCTTTTTTTCTGCCTTGACCTCCCAGTGCCCCTCTATCTCTGACACCTTTTTGGTTCAAACTCAAGCTGAGCCTTTCATCTGCCTCGTATGAAGGAGTTGAAAGCGTGAAATGCATGCCCTTGTAAGACAGTTTGAAGTTCTGAGTTTACGCTCTGAAAACCACAGACGTACGTGACACAACATTAAGCCGGTCTCTGTTTGACTTTTGTTTTCTTCCATTGCTTCTGCTGAACTTTACACCTCACAACATTCAAACTTCTCCACCCACGCCTTGCTGCTACAGCCTTACCTTAAGCCACTTTGATATTTAACAGAAACAGTGTAAGTTTTTCTGGAAGAGAACTACTTTTTATTCATGATGTGCGTCTACATCAGAGGTCAAAGTTATCGGAGAGTTGATCATACAAGGAGCACGGTGAAAAGATGAATTTAAGAGAATTAAAGAAACCTAGGAGACGAGTCAAGTAGGGCTGTGTGATATGGCCTTAAATCAGTATCATGATATATTGAGCAGTTCACCCTGATAACGATAAATGTACAATAACTACTCCACAAGCTGCTCAACCCCTCCCACATTAACGATGTAGGACAGTGTCTTAAAGAGACATGAGACCATAGCCTACCTACACACATCCAAACCAACTTTACTCTGTTTATTTTATTGTCACCGAATATATTGACATGGGTAATATGACGTTGGTTATTGTCGTTAATTTTGGTATTGGTAAATTTCTGGTTTATCTCCCAGCCCTACAGTCAGTCCTTTCTTTTGCCCTCACTCATGGACAGCTGTGTGAAGTGATCATGATTGTTTTTGCTTCTGTAAGAATTAATCAGCACTGCCACTCACACTTAGTTCTCACGCTGAAGACATCTTGATAAAAGTGCACCTATTTTGCATCTTACTGATGCCTCTAATGTGACTCTGTGATGTTTTAAGAAGATGATAATGTCATGTGTTGTCTGGTTTTATCATCATTCCCAGGCTGCCCTCTCCCCCTCTCTGTTCTGCATCTTCTCCCCGTCAGTTCAGTCTCCTGTCTTGTCACCAAGGTCAAAGTGCTCTGTTCCTGTTTCATTACAGTGGACATTATTCTCTCTGACTGATGCCTGACTCTGTCTCTCTCTCTCTTCTTCACAGACTGGTCCTCTCGTCCGTGTCTGATTACTTTGCAGCCATGTTTACTAGTGATGTCAGGGAGGCCAAGCAGGATGAGGTGAAGATGGAAGGAGTTGACCCTGATGCATTGTGGGTTCTGGTGCAGTATGCATACACAGGTACACACACTCAAATCAGACTTATTGGAAAAAGATGAAGCTTCTGTCTTTCTCTAAAGAAGTTCACACACCTCAGTGTTCTGCACTGTCAGATGGCCTTCATCAGAGTCTGACACGTTTCACCTCTTCCTGTTTCAACTGAGGCAAAATTGTTTGTTTCCATCTCTGGCTGATCTTGAGGGTCAGAAAATGATTACAGTCACTGAGCACAGATGTGAGGGCACCCTGAGGGGCCACACGACCCCAACCATCTCTGAAAGGGTAATCCAGGCAACACCAGCTGAGCTAGTGGGTGCATCTTGATTACCACAACGCCCAGCTGTTTATCTGTTGATCTTATGATGGAAATATAAATTAATTAGCATTTTTGAAAATTAACTTTATCAGTGAAAGCAAAATAGTAAAGGATTAAAAGACAGTAGGGTGTGTGTGTTTTTTTAATGTTTATCATGCTTTTAATTACACTGGTTAAACAGGAAAAATATAGCCGGTCATGGTGTTATCTTGTTATCTTATCTTTTTTTTTTGGTCTTGTTTGCCTCGTCTCACCTTGCTGTGTCTTGTTTTTTGTCACTGTTGTCTATTGTCAGTGTGTTCTTTTGACCATTTCTGTTGGATTCTTGTGTATTATGGGTTGTGCAATGTGTGTATGTGCAATGTGCGTGGGTTGTGTGACTGTGTCTTTGTTAGGTCTAGTACTTCGTGTCATCAGTTGGCAGCTTTATCTGAGCAGCTCTTGGAGTGCAAGACAAATTTCCCTTAGGGGACAACAAAGTGTATCGTATCGTATCGATTGTATCGTATCGTATCGTATCGTATTGTATTGTATTGTATCGTATTGTATCGTATTGTATCGTATCGATTGTATCGTATCGTATCGTATCGTATCGATTGTATCGTATCGTATCATAGGAAAGGCGTTGGAAGGTATGATTGACTTTCAGTGGGTTTTGGTCGAGCAGTAAAAATTAAAACAAAATTTTCAGCTAGCCAACTACAGAAGTGAATAGATTCATCTTGGTCTTAATGATCAGTACTGCTACAAATAATTGACTTTCTCCACAGTTTCTTTGAATTAATGGGAGTGTTAGGACAATACATCTTGACCGTTGTAAAATAAGCGTTTCATCTGTCTTTTTTTAATTCTGTCCGACTGTCTGTCTTCTTGTTCAGGACGTCTGGAGTTGAGGGAGGACACCATTGAGTCACTGCTGTCTGCATCTTGCCTGCTCCAGTTGTCGTCTGTGGTCCAGGCCTGCTGCTCGTTCCTCATGAAGCAGCTCCACCCCTCAAACTGTCTAGGTATCCGCTCCTACGCTGACGCCCAGGGCTGCCATGACCTGCAGAGGGCAGCTCATGCCTACACCATGGTGGGTACATCTTTAATTACTGTTAAGTAGATTAAAAAAAAAAACACATCATCTGAGGAAATTTCTTAAAAGATGATGTGAATTCAGGTTCAGGTGAAGTTCACAGTCCTTCACAATCAGTAGGACAAAACAGGCCTGTTTATCCTCTTCTTCTCCTTCTTTGTCCACGTTCCCAAATCTAACTTTGGTCATTTTCCAGTCCCGATTCTTGTTACTAAATTGGTCCCTCTTTCTCATCTCACCACACACCTTATCACAATGGTAGCTTTCAGCCCAGTGTTGCTATGGTGACTGTGAAAAAGGTCCTCTATCACATTCATTATTCCTTTTCTTTTTCTTATATCCTGTCTGCCTTATGAGTCTTTTTATTTTCACCGCGCGTCTCTTGTGCAACTGTCTCCGTCAGTGTCAGCAATCCTCTTTTTCCTCCCCTCACTTCTGCGTGTCTCTCTACGTGGATTATTGTTCCACTGTAATCTGGGGTAATTAGGTCGTTGAAGCTTTTTTATTAGGGTGTGACTGTCTGCCTGTGTCTGTAATTCTCTCACAGACACAGGCAGACACTCTTGGTGTATTATCATTAAAGCCAATACGCAGGAGCTTCAAAACTGAATGGGTAGGGACTGTAGGATATATTAGTGTATTAATCTGAAATAAATAGGGTTGTTTGTTGCAGTCTTACTTCTCTCAGGACTCCTTCTTGTCGTCTGCAACAATTATTCCAACAATTTCTCTCCCTCTTTCTTGTGTTGAGCTTTTCATCCATCTTCCCCTGACCTTTCTCAAGCCTTCATTTCCTTCCTTTCATTCTCTCACCTCCCAACCCCTCATTCCTTTCCACCCTCCTCTCATAGCTTCCAATTGCTTTTTCCTCCCCTCATTCCTCTTTTTTCATCAGCTCATTATTCATTCACCCATTAATCTTTTGAGTCCTCTCTGCCTCTTATCTTCTGTTATTCATCTTTTTATTTTTCTGTCCACCAGGAACACTTCCTCGATGTTGTTGGAGGCCAGGAGTTCCTGCTGCTCCCAGTGGAGGAGATGGAGAGACTGCTAACATCTGAAGATGTCAATGTGCCTGATGAGGAAACTGTGGTAACCTCTCTGCTAACCTGGGTCGAACATGACACAGCCACACGACAACATCACCTACCCAGGCTGATGGGTCACATTCGACTGCCTCTCCTACAGCCGCAGGTGAGAGCTGCATTATGGGTGTGCTATCATAGCTGTGACATTTGAAGCATCTCTGATCAGCATTTAAGTGGATGAAAAACCAGTGAGGTGGAAACTGTGTAATTAATGATTGATACACAGGATCGCTTTAGTTTTATTTAGCTGAACATCAATGTTATTCAGCTCTTGATTCTTTGATTTTACGGTATCCCTTCCTCGCTGCACCAATAGCAGGCACACACACTTAACACTTAAGCGGAGTTGGACACATTAGAGCATTTAGCAACAAAGGAGCAAGGTCTTGGCCTGTACCAACCCTCAGGAGTCAGAGCTAAATAAATATGAATATTAGTATTTTACTCATCCAATAACCAGAAATACAACTACAAATTATGATTTTTTTCCCTCTCATACAATACCATATTTTAAACTGTTATTCATTTTTTCCATTTTTTCTTAGTCACACTCAGTGGCATCTTTTTACAGGCCCAAAGTAGCCCACAGTGGAACTACTGACAGGGAAGGAAATCCTCATAGAACAGAAAGAGGCTGTTTTTATTTGTCCTTTTTTAACATTTCCTTCCCCAAAGAAATAAGCTAAAGTTATGGAGTAAACATGTTGCTGCAGTTTGCTCCTATTTGAAAAGTCCCTCTGTCCAAAAGCACAACAGGCCCAATATTGTAGATAAATCACCGGACAGTCTGGGTTTAACACCCTGTATGTGTGCTTCAGTAACAATTCACTCTGTGTGGAAAATAAAACATTTTACTCTGCTTATGAGCAATTTTTTTTAGTCATAATATCAACAAACGTATTTGCATAGAAGGGGGCAATTTTGAACCAAATGCGTTCATCCTGCCTGATTTAAATATGTGTAAATAGCCCTTTAATACCGTAGCTTCTTGCTTGACAGTTACATGTGCATTTCACCCCTTGCAGATGCTTCGGTATTTACATTCTCTTTTCATCTTATTTGTGAAGGTTCAGTGCCTGTAGAAGTTTCAATACTATTTTTTGTAAATTGGACCCTGAGATTTAGAAACTAATAATATGGATCAAACCTGCCATTGCCAAAAAAGAAAAGAAAAGAGCCTGACTTTATTTCTGAATTTCTCCTTTATTTGTCACTTTTTCTATCCCTCTCCTGTTGTCTTCTTGTCTCTCTCAGGCGCTTAAATCACTTAAATTGGTACTAATGAATATATATACTGCCATTAAGCTAACATTGAGAAATAATCTACATTTATATAAACTACTTTTTAATGAAGCTGTTGTCCAAAATTGTGTGTAAAGCTTTGCAACCAAACAAAGCCTCAGTTTGTCTCAGTGCCTCCCTGATGATTTGCCGCTCTTTTCTACTATCTGTCTTCTTTAGGCAATTAGAGAGACCAATACTATTAGACTAACAGTTTATCCCAGTCATTACTCTATCAGCTGTGTGAGCGTTATTCGTATCTGTGTGCTTATATTTGTATACATCTATTCAGGATGTTTTATGTGGCTCCCATACTCCCTCCACTCCTCCGCTCCTCTTTCTAGCTTATCAAGTTATGTGATGCTGAGAAATTAATATACCAGGCATGAGCTCAATTTCTGCCTTAGGCTTTCAATGCACCCCCTCCACTCACACATACACACACACACATTCTTTTTAAACCTTAATTAAGTGTGAAATCCCCCTTAAATGCAGCTAAATTATCTGTTCTCCTCATCTCCCTCATCAGTCTTCTCCTCCACCACATATATAAAGCCGCCGTAGAGATAAAACTCACCCTTCTCTCCGTGTCCTCTTTCCATCTTCTCCGCCTGCATCCACTCATCTCCCAGGTCGTTCACACGTGCAATTTACAGATATATGACTCTGTCCTGTCGAGCTGAAATCACAATAAGCTGTAGCATGTAATCAGGGGGAAAGATGGATGACAGAGAGGTGAAGCGGTTGAACAAGAGGAGAGAGAGTATCTGCAGGACACACACAGAGCCGGAGTGAGATCTAGGCTTTAACAGCTAAACGCCAACCACCACCACCACCACAATGTGACCATGATAAATGAATCAACAGCAAGCGCCCCATGAGCTGTAAAATGCCAATAAAACAGCATATAAACCTCACACAGACAGCCAATCAATATTTATCAACCAATTAGTCAGTGCTCTATCTAGGCCGCTGTGAGATTTCTCATCAAGAGGGATGTCAGTGCCTCAAATTAATACCTTTAATCCCTTCTCTCTGTTACACACACTAACTCTCAAACACATGGTTTAATCTTCTCTGCGGAGCATCTGTTGGCTGTTCACCAGGCAGTAAACATGTGTGGGTGTCTTCATCAACAATGATCACACTTTCATCGCTTGATTAATCTCTTAAGTATCTATTTTGTCTATAAAATCGAGGACATTTCCTGATCCTAACATTATTTTTTTTTGCTTGAATATTTTCTTTACGGTTTGTTTTTGGGGCATTTATGTCTTAATTAAATATGACAGCTGAGGAGAGACAGGAAATGCAGCGTATAGAGAGCGGAGGAAGACATTGAATGAAGGGGACTGTAGCCTCACATTGGCACCTGTGGGTTTATTGGTTTTGAAATAAGGTGTTTTTGGGGTCAAAGGTGGGGAATTGCTTTCTTTGAGGACGCAGAGAGGATTTGGGCCTTAGACCAGTAAAAACCTGGTCTTTAGTTTAGAGTCCTTGGCACAGTACTTTCCTGATATTTAGTAAGTGTATAGATGAGATAGTAAGGTGTGCTTAAGGACTTGCAACTCACATTTCTCTGCTTGTTACATAGAGACACATATATTAGTGCTCCCACTCCTTATCGAACATCTATGTTTTTGATCTATGTGAGTAAAGGCTGATGAGAACACTGGTTTCTACGGGGTCTAGAAAAAAAGTTAGAAGGTTTCAGAAATCAAAGAGTTCCATTCTTTGTGAGAAGTGGTTTGGGGTTTCAGAAATGATGTCAAGTGTAGGCAGAGAGGTGTCAGTTGAAGGCTCAGTCGCCACTCTATGGTGGTGCAAATGAAAAGTAAGGAGACCGAGGATCAGTATGCTTTGTCTTCTGCGGATCATGTGACGAAGTCATCAATGTCAAAGGCTTAGATGAAAAAAACTCAAATATTACACAATATTGTGATCGTACCAAATAGGGCTGGGCGATAAACCGAAAATCTACAGATATCGAATTTTAATTTTGCCCATATTGGTTTATTCAGTGTCAAAAAATGAATAAATAAAAGTTGGTTTTGGATGTGTGTAGGTAGGCTATGGTCTCATGTCCCTTTAAGACGCTGTTCTATGTCAGAGACGTGACTCCACCTCATCCAGTCCGTAACAAAGAGGGAAAGACAGGTGAGGAGATGGAGGACGGTTCAAAAGTTGTAGCAGCTGAAGTAGACAAAGTTAATGTAGGAGGAGGTGAGCAGCTTGTGGAGTAGTTATCGTCCATTTATCATTATGGAGGTGAACTGATCAATATATCATGATATTGATTTGAGGCACTATCGCCCAGCCCTATACCTGCTGTATATATCACAATGAATTTTCCATTCATGCTAATCAACTGATGAACAAATTTAACTCTGTTTTTATGCATGGATTGAGAATGATTGGTGCTAGACCAGGTCTTTTGAGAGAAACTACAGGGGAATGGAGCATAAACACACATAGCTGGGAGATTTGTCCTATTGTATGTGCAGGAGTGTGCCTCTGTGTGTGTAATAAGCGGTCCTTTTTGGTCCAAACAGAGAAAGAGAAGTACTCCTTCCTCCCTTCCTGCTGTAAAGTAAAGAGAGGACAGAGAGGGTGAGTTAGAGCGTCTGCAGGATGCGGTCTTATCTTGCCGTCCATGTTCAGTCTCCTCTCAGTGTGATGAATAAATAGCACAGCAGAGGACAAACCCCATATTGTCTCTCTGTCCTTCTTTATCACTTGCACACACAAATAAAAGCCAAAATAGGGTTCACTCTAATTTGTCCCTCTGGGCTTGTGTGCAATAGAAGTGTGTGTTCACCCTGGTGTGTAAGCTGCTTATCCATTTAGCACGCTTGCTTTACGCTCGACACGTCTGGCTGAGAAAATTAATTTCATATTCAGTGACCAAATGGAATTATTCAGGCTGAATCTGTCTTCACGTGGTGGAATTATGGAGGAAAAGGAGGGTGTAAAATAATTTATCTTTTTTTTCCTTTTCCTCAATTCTCTCTTCCATCTTTTTTTTGTCTGCCTGTGTCTCTAACTTCTACTCTGGTTGAATCTTGACAGTCATAAATTTCAGAGTTCACTCTGACTTAGTTCAGCAAACATACACACACGTGTTTGAGCAAGTATACGTACACTCAGTCTGGAAACTTTAAATTACTTTTATTAAAAAAAATGCTTCCCTCTGCAGCCGTTTATTAACACACACACACACATATATATATATATATATAAACACACACACATCTATCTAAATGTAAATCATGTCATTCTTGCCTTCAGGGAAAACTTGCCTCTCACCAGCCTGCCGCTCTCTCAGGCAGTGATTTCCTGTGAATGTATTTTAAGGAACAGACTGGTGGATTGAAGTGCTTCATACTGCAGCCTCAGGCTGTTTCTGTGTGTGTGTGTGTGTGTGTGTGTGTGTGTGTGTGTGTGTGTGTGTGTGTGTGTGTGTGTGTGTGTGTGTGTGTGTCTGTGCGGTGAAAGATGAGGTTAGAGGATACAGGCTAAGTTGATGAGATGCTGAGGACAGATTAGTGGTCTAGTGTGTCTGATGATCAGTGTGTGCGTGCTCCTCTCTATGAGTGTGTGTAATACTAATGACTGCTGCTCTGGTCTGATCTAATCTCTCAATCAATGAGAGATCAGCTTTGTTCCGACCCTCAGACCTCCTCAATCAGTGATAACATCCTAACACACAGGCCTACACTTGGAATAGACACACACACATCAACATCTACACACGGACCAGCCCTGTATTTGTTTCTACTGCCTGTTGACTTGATTGTGTTATCTTTTATGCCTGTAGTTCCTGGCAGACCTGGAGTCTAACCCTCTGCTGCAGGATAGTATTGAGTGCCAGCGGCTGCTGATGGAGGGGATGAAGTATCACCTCCTGCCCCAGCGTCGGCCCCTGCTTCAGAGCCCTCGCACCCGGCCACGCAAAGCCACTGTAGGGGCCATGTTTGCTGTGGGGGGCATGGACGCTACGAAAGGTAGAACAATTGTACACAACCCACACAGCCAAACGTTTCATTCTTTAAGTGTATCAACTGGTTGTTTTGGAGTAAGTTCTATAGCTACTTCCATTAATTTAGTGACACTTCAACCTTTTATAGGATGGTTCTTGATACAGAGTTTAACAGAAATATTAGGGAGGAGTGGGCTCAGGGGCAGAGACATGGTTAGAAGTTTGGTTATAGAATAGTATCTTTGTTTATATGTTGATCTAATGTATTTAATGCACATGTTCTTTTTTAGTCATTACAATTGTAGTCAGATACTTTGCTCATTCATTTCTCTAGTCCAGTACATTGGAGAGGAATCAGTGCATCAATAATTAAAAAAAAATAAATGTGTTTTCCAAGTATTTAGTAGTTTTTGTGCAGAGAATCAGGGCACTGTTTAGTAACTACCAAAAAACCTGGGATTTGTTTAACACCTGCAAGATTTTTATGACTTCCTTTGACTCCTACGATGATCAAAGAAATATCTTTGCATTTTGAATTACTAGATGGAAAAAAAAAACATTTCAGTCTCTTAATTTTCAGCTCAGGATTTCTGTGGTTTGTCTCAGACATTTTAAACAACCAGTGCTCTGAGAAAACAGTGATGAGTGAAACTGAGATTGATTTTTGGCAGAGTGATGATTCAGCATGTCGTGTAAAAGAAGATAAAAAAACTTTTTCTGAGTTACTTTTTGATGATTTAACTGTATAATAATAATTATTAGAGCTTTATCTCTCAATTTTAAAGATGTAGCTCATAATGGACAGCTCAGTGACCAATGAGAGCTTTCACACAAATGTCAACATAGTCTTGTTTTGTTAATAATAGGCCTGTAATCTTAACCAGAGTATCCCTTTCAAATTTGTCACTGTAAATGTAGGAACCAAAGAAAAATGTCAAATGTAGCCCCAGGAACCAGCTTTAACCCTTTTGTATTGTTTTGTGTGAAGGAGCAACCAGTATCGAGCAGTACTGTCTGCGTCGGGACACGTGGAGACAGGTGGCCACCATGAGTGGACGCAGACTTCAGTTTGGTGTAGCTGTCCTTGACGGCCGTCTTTATGTGGTGGGTGGCCGAGATGGACTTAAAACCCTCAACACTGTGGAGTGTTACAACCCTCACAGCAAGACCTGGAGCGTCATGCCTCCCATGTCCACACACAGGCACGGATTAGGTAAGGATGAGGTTTGAATGAATGTGACAAAGTTGAAGCTGCTGAGATTTTCGATCTCTCAAAGAAAATCTGTGATGATCGAAGCTTTTATTTTCTAATTTTTATCATGTTTTATTTTTACTATTCAGTGAAAACAAATAATGGTCACAGCGAGGTCAAAGGTCAAAAACATTTCAACAACAGTACCTTCACAGTAAGTGATCTAAGAGCACTTAAAGTGGGTGAACTAACCATTTGAAGGACAGTCTCTCCAATAACAAAAGGCGGGATGTACCGTCCTGGTGTGCCATTGTTTTATAAAATCTGTGCATGAGTGTGAGGGCAGGGGAATATTCATACACATCTGGCAGTGCAGATGTTCTGGCAGATGAACCTCACCAGTATGAAGGTGTCAACATGTTGCTAACGCTGGCTGCCTGAAGCCCAGCGTGTGGTTGCCCACACACAACGAACTCACTCTGTTATCCTGAGCGTATTTGGTTGCCTGTCCAGGCTGATTGTGTTTTGGTGAGTTGCCATTGTTTAATCACGCATGTTCGGTGTGTGTGTGTGTGTGTTGCAGGCGTTGCTGTTCTGGAGGGGCCAATGTACGCTGTAGGGGGACATGATGGCTGGAGCTACCTCAGCACAGTGGAAAGGTGCAGAGAAATCTCACAGCTGCTTACAGAATTAAATCACCCAATTAAAAACTAAATGTTTATTTTTCACCTTCCTCTGATGGTAATCTGTACAGACAGCTACAGTATTGTTTATCTAGATTTCAGCATATGTTCTCTTACCAGTGGCGATTGCTCTAAGACTGCAAGGGAAGCTCGGCTTCCCTTAAAATGTCACCCCCCCCAAAAAAGAAAAAGTGGTGAAATACGTACGGCTGTGTGTACATTCATTAACTAAATACGCACTAGAAAGCCTTCATCTTTTGTTCAGACACTGTGATAAGAAGCTGATAATCACAGGTAACCGGCATAACTTCGTTCTCATTCATCCTCGCAGCGCCTCAGCGCTTCAAACAGCCGGACGCTGGGCTTCTGCTGACTTCAATGTGGAAGCTTAAAGTGGGTTGTTCCAGCAGCGAAACTAGACGCTCATTGGATAAATGCTGGGCTTTGTCCCGCCCAATGGAAGCTTAGCTTCACTGGAGTTCTATGGCGAGAGGGCGGTCCCGACTTTCTCCCGGACTGCAAGCTTCTGCATCCATGATTGGATGAGCTGTCTGAGGAGAAATCCTTTTTTGATTGACAGCTAAACAAGCGAATCAGCGATCTTGAAGAATAAAACATCTACCAGAGCATTTTCCAAGTCATTCATTCCGTTGTTCTTAACTGCTCCGGAGACTTTATCGATCCTCAGCGACTTCTGTCTTTATTAAAAACGACTGCCGTTGTGTCTGGCGACTCTGTTCTGTTACATACTAATAAACAAATACAATTATGATGTAGGCCAGAAAAATGAGCTTCCCCTCCTTGAAAGACCAGCAGCCGCCACTGTCTCTTACATATGAATATGTCTTCATAATACAGTCATACACTTCAAATGAAAACTGTACGGTCATGTCAAGGGTTTAGATAGATATTCAAAGATGTTTGAAGTGGAAATACGATGTTTCACCCTTACTTCTCATTTGGGGATTTTTAGGGGCTACTGTTAGATGTGTTTTGTTTCAAGGGATACTCCGGCATAAAATTAACTTCAAACACACCGTAACACCGAGTTAGACACCCCCTTGAGAAATTAATGTTGCCGACTGCTTGCTTCTCTAGTTATACCGGCTTTAGTAACGGCTGCGCGATAGAAATACACAGTGGTCTATCACTCCATGCACACACCGCAACCAAAACACCCCTCTGTAGCCACAAGTAATGCTCAGAACAGCACCTAACTTCATCAACAGGACATATAGGGTCACAGACATAGTACTAGACACCAAACATCTTTTTAACTTTGACTCATTTCTTTAGTAAAGAGACTAAATACAACTCACCTACTCTCCTACAGCAGCCGCCTGTTGGTGGAGGGAGTCGAACACTGAGTGCAGCGGAGTTTCGCAGCTCAAGGAAGAACATATATAATTATTCCTTATGGAAATGCAATCAGACCAAGATGCTAAGGCAGACAAACTACCACGTCTGGAGTGCAAAATGATTATTACAATGATTATTAATTCAAGGGAATGATCCGCTGCACTTGGTAATCAACTCGACAGGGCTCCCCCCCACAAACAAGCGGCTGCTGGAAGAGAGTAGGTGAGTTGTGTTTAGTCTCTTTGGAAAAAATGTTTGGTGTCTAGTACTACGGCTGTGACCCTATATGTCCTGTTGATGAAGTTAGGTGCTGTTCTGAGCATTATTTGTGGCTATAGAGTGGCGTTTTGGTTGAGGTTTTGTGTGTGGTGACAAAGACCACTGTGTATTGCTATTGTGTGGTTGTTACAAAAGTTGGTATTACTAGAGAAAAAGGCAGTCGGCGACATTCATCTCTCGAGGGGGTGTGTAATTCGATGTTACAGTGTGTTTGACCTTTACTTAAATTTACGCCGGAATGTCCCTTTAATGTAAGAATTGTATTAACCTCATTGACTCAAAGGTGGGACCCCCAAGCTCGCCAGTGGAGCTTTGTTGCAAGTATGGCAACGCCCAGAAGCACAGTTGGAGTCGCTGTACTCAATGGCAAGTAAGTAACCCCATAAATAAGTGTTTTTACTCTACTTGTAATATTCAACCATTCACACCACATCCATAAATTCATGGCAGAGGATACTGGAGTTAATACTGAATTAATAGCATTACTATAAAAGTCAGTCTGACGAAAAAGAGCCCAAGTATTATTGTTTGATATATCGTTCACATTCTCAGTTAGTTACAAACTAAATACCTCAGTGTGTTTTATTAAAATACTCTGTTAATATACAGTAACTATATTCATACAAGTATTTCTTTTTAATCTGACATGTTGCTGCTTGCTCGGACAATCTATTTTTTTGAGTGAAAATGATTTTTCTGTAACTTTTCGTCGAAATGCCTCCTCTCCTGCTCAGACACGCTGCAACATGAAGCAATAACAGAAAAGGTTAACAATACTCACAGTCAGCAGCTCACACAAAAACACATCCACACTGTCACTTAGTCACTACTGCACACATTAATAATGGCATTTCATAAGTTCAAGCCTTGACATTCATGACTTGGCTCAGAATTTATTAGAACTGCAGTATTTCAATATCGTTGTGATGCACACAATATTTAGTGCCTCAGACTGAAGAGGCAATATAGATGCTAATTAATACACAAGCAACTGAGTCTGCTGGGCATGCCTGGAAGAAGTGTGTTTGTCTGTGTTTGTGTTTGTGTGTGTGTGTGTGTGTGTGTGTGTGTGTGTGTGTGTGTGTGTGTGTGTGGCCCCTGGTGAGGGGTATGAGTATGTGCTGTGTATCCTCTGGGCTCTTTGCCTGATGGAGCTCATTACTTGCTTGACTAGTTCTGATGCACTCCTTTCTTTGCCTGTCCGTGTATTCTGAGAGACACACACACACACACACACACACACATGCACACACACACGTCGAGTGACCGCTCGGGGTTGTGATGCCCTGTGAAGGCTGACTGATTGATTTTGCTCACCTCATATTGTCCCTAAGTTCTACACACCACAAGCACATAAACAAACCCTCACACCATCTGTTTTATTGTCACTTAATTGGAGAGGGACTTCCTGATCCAGAAATGTGTGCGGTTTTTTGTGTGTAGCAGATGTTAGGCATTTAGTGTGTGAGTCCACAGGGATAACACTATCTTGTCTTCCTCAGGTTATACGCAGTAGGAGGTCGTGATGGCTCGTCCTGCCTGCGCTCAGTGGAGTGTTTCGACCCGCACACCAACAGGTCAGAGACGAGGGACTTCTTCTGACCTGAATTAATTGCAGCCTCCTGATTTATTTCCTGTCCGCTCTTCTTTGTAGTGAAGAGCTTCTGGGCTTTTTAGGTTGTTTACCCACAGATCAAAGGAGACAGCTAAACCTCTCAGGATGGTGGAAATAGATCACGCTCAAACAACTTCTGTTTACCAAGCACATTTATTATGGGCTTGAGTGGAAGGGCTAGGATGGAGTGTCAAACTTGGCAGGAACCTAAGTCTGAACATTTGTCATGTCTCCTTCACTGATGGAGAAAGTCTTTTTTCTGCTCTTTACAATCTTTATCTTCAGGTGGAGTGCTTGTGCTCCCATGGCAAAAAGGCGTGGAGGTGTGGGTGTAGCCACATGGCATGGCTTCCTGTACGCTATTGGAGGTCATGATGCTCCAGCTTCATCCCTTGCGTCTCGTCTAAGTGACTGTGTGGAGAGGTGAGTCTTTACGTTCTGTGTGTGTTTGTGTAGGATACTACTTGACTCAAAAAATGACCAAGTTGTGTGGGATACAATGTCCTCACAATACACTGCCTTTTTCATTTGATATCCTTTAAAATTATCACCAAAAAAAACCCTCTCTTGTTTATAAAAATGAGCACAGACTTGTTCAGATTTAGTGCAGATGATACATACAATACAATACAAAACAATGTTATAATCACACCTTTACTTCTCATTTGGGGATTTTTAGGGGCTACTGTTAGATGTGTTTTGTTTAAAAGGATATTCCTGCATAAAATTAATTTAAGATCAAACACACAGTAACACCGAGTTAGACTCCCCCTCCAGAGATGAATGTTGACGACCGCTTGATTCTCTAGTTATACCGACTTTAGTAACGACCGCCCAATACACAGCGGTCTGAGGAGCCATAAACAGACCTCAACCAAAACGCCACTCTATAGCCACAAATAATGCTCAGAACAGCACCTAACTTCATCAACAGGACATATAGGGTCACAGACATAGTACTAGACACCAAACATCTTTTTAACTTTGACTCATTTCTTTAGAAAAGAGACTAAACACAACTCACCTACACAACTCACCTTCGCAATAAACAAGCAGCTGCTGGAAGAGAGTAGGTGAGTTGTATTTAGTCTCTTTGCTAAAGAAATCAGTCAAAGTTAAAAAGATGTTTGGTGTCTAGTACTATGTCTGTGACCCTATATGTCCTGTTGATGAAGTTAGGTGCTGTTCTGAGCATTAGTTGTGTCTATAGAGTGGCGTTTTGGTTGAGGTTTGTTCATGGCTCCTCAGACCTCTCTGTATTTCTATCCTGCGGTCGTGACTAAAGTTGGTATAACTAGAGAAGAAAGTGGTCGGCAACATTCATCTCTTGAGGGGGTGTCTGACTCGGTGTTCCGGTGTGTTCGACCCTAAATTAATTTTACGCAGGAATATCCCTTTAAGAAGTCGTTGTGTTTGAATTGAAAGCAAAGTAACATTTGCCTGTGGAGATGAGTGAATTAGTGTTAGATCACTGCCAACAGGAGTCAGTGTGTCATTGCTGTGTCTTAACAGGTATGACCCTCAGACAGATGTGTGGACGGCGGTTGCCCCCATGAGTATCAGCAGGGATGCTGTTGGCGTTTGTCTCCTTGGCGACCGCCTCTATGCTGTGGGTGGATATGATGGGCAGGTGTATCTCAATACTGTGGAAGCTTATGACCCTCAGACAAACGAGTGGACACAGGTACAGACACAATTGCTACACAAAATTACAAACCACAAAGAGGAAGTATTAATAAGATTTACTTGATGTAAAAGCACTTATTCAAATGGCATGCCTACTCTAGGAGATACAGAAACATAAACATACATACACAGTCTTGGTTTGACCTTCCTGAGCTTCTCTCCTTGTCTTCACTGTTATGTTAATGTGTGTTTTCCTTATGCTAATCTAATATTGTCCTTGCTGCTGCAGCAGTAGGTGAAAGAGGGGACTATTTCAGAGTTGAATGATCTCATTCATAAAAAACAGTCTCTGGTACTTCAATTGATACCTCATCTCCTGAAAAGCCTCTGAGGATTTCCAACCAAAGTCACTCGAAATCTTCTATTTTAGAGACATGCACCATGCTGAGTAAAAGAGGGCTGCGAGCGGGCACACATGGCATACAGAGAGTGCTTAAACTGACACAGAGAGAGGATGAGAGGGAGCATGTGGGGATCACTAAACGTGTCCTCTGTCAGAAACTGGAACAAACAAATCAGTGGTTTGATTATCTGTCATTTCTCTGTTTGCCTGAGCATAAATCTGTCAAATTGTTCTGTTTCTAAGACTGAAAACACGGGTGGTAAGTTTTGGAAAAGGGCAGCCTTGAATATGTGTGTAGAAATATTACCTGAAACAACTAACAGGAGAAGACGACCTAAAAGAAAAGCTTCCCATAGAGCCATGGGATTAACACCACTGCCTGTTTGCTTATAGAAAGCCTTATCTCAAAGTTACTTTTTAAATTATACTCATCTATTTTCTTCAGCCGGCTTACAGAGTTCTTTGAACTGTGCTGCAGAAGTGCCAGCAGATGGTCAGAGGTCACCTGAGATAGCTGACTTTTGAAGCAGTTGGTCATTTACACATTAGACAGAATTAGGGCGATATAAGTGTTTATCAAGAGTCACGTCTGTGAACGACTGTAGACTCTGAACTCTTTGTGAGCTTTCTTTTCAGCTCTGTTTTAGTCCACCTCAACTTTTAAGGAAAGTGGCTCTGTGAGATGTTTCATCATTTTTACATCTTCATTACTAACTCAGTTCCTCCGTTGTTTTTTAACGTAGTTACTGAGACAATCTATCTGCTGCTACTTAAAATGGCCTTAAAAATAACGCCATGAGCTTTGGAGTTTAAAGGAGCTACAACTGGCTGAAGCCATCGAGAGCTGTCGGTGGATTCAGAGTAGAATACTGCTGCCCTTGGATCACTGCTCCAGTGATTCCTCTTTTGTTTCCAGGTAGCGCCTCTGTGTGTGGGCAGGGCAGGAGCGTGTGTGGTGGCCGTCAGACTGTGAGGACTACAGCACTAAACAGTGGGCTTGCACCCTCCTCTTCATCGTCGATGATGTGCAAACCCATCTGCCTACCAGCATGTGACCCAACCTGGAAGTGAGACACTGATTACTGAACACCCTTCAGGTGTCATACTTTGGCGGCGACACGATTTTACGCTCTTCTGACGACTTTGTGTCATTGATTCAACGCTGAAGGTTCTGTGTGGTTCTCGTGTGTCAGGTTTCTTATAATGTTCCCACTTTTGAACTTTCTGATAACTTCTCTAGTGGAAGTGAACTGCCTCCAAAATCCATGATGAAGAGGGATCTGCAGTGTTTGTGTGACTATGGCAGAACAGCTGTCTCACAGCTTTTTTTGCCCTGCCTGTTATTTTCCTCCCGTAGATGGTGCGGAACACACACACACACTCAAACACAAACACACACACACTCAAACACAAACACACACACACTCAAACACACACACACACACACGCAAACCTACAAAGCTGCTTTCAGCTTCTATTCCTGCATACAAAAAGGGGAGACAGAGAGATAGTGGAGACAGGTGAGATGCCTCATCACTTTCCCTAACAACAGCTGATAGTCCATGTCGTGAGCACTGATGCTATTTTAATACATTCCTGATTATTTGATGCTGCAGTCTGCACGCTCTCTGTGCCCCGTTTCCTTCCTCACTTGCTGGTTGACAATTCAAAGAAAGACTTTTGACATAATCAGCACAACCTTATGAACAGCAGCACTGTAAAACACGTGACGCTTTTTACTCTTTTTTTTACAAAAACACATCATGACGCTTTAATACTTCGGTGTGTCTTCTACAATACATCAGCTAACATCTGAAGTGTACATGCTGATCATGATGTAGAGGTTATTTGGGATTTTAACAGGTTACCTTCATCTTTTATTGACTTCATATTGGTCCACTTTTATTAAACTTAGCTGTAAGTCGTTTTACAAACTGAGCTGTAAAAACAGTTGATCAAAGTTGAGGAGTTCCACTTTCAAAGTCACGGGGAGTAAGGGTCAGCTGTTTGCAGACTCTGTTTTAAACAGGGTCAGTCGAACTTTTCCAGCCCATCCTCTCTTCTCGGCCGTAGAAGTTTCCTATTTGTGTAGTCCGGGTGTGTAAGTATGCGTGTCTGTGTGTACATGTGGTTTGTTGTTCAGAAATTGTGAGGAGTATATTTTTATCTCAAATGAGAATCTTCCCTCTTCTCTGCCTCCCCTCCCCACATCTTCAATTCCCTGCTGCCTTCTCTTCATCCCCATTTTCCTGTTTCATTACCACACATGCACTCACACTGTCATTCACGCACAGACACACACACACAGACACACCACTGTGTTTAAGAGGCAGAATTAGACACAAGGACAGAAGTGAACAACAGACCATATAATGAGTCCCTGAGTTTAATAACCTTGATTCAGCGGGTGCAACGTTTTGTTTGATGTGGGCTTCAAAGCATTATTAAATTTGATGCTGCAGCAGACAGAATCAGACATCAGCTGGAACACGGAAAAACAGACCTGACTTCATGTGCTCATGTTGGAGGAAACTTACTGAACATATCAGGAAACCTGAGAAACACAAATCTGCTGACTGCTAGGTTCAGTACCGACACACCACCAGCATTTAGTGCTATATATGTAACTGTGTGTTTCCCTGTGTGGCTAAATCTGCTCCTCTGGTGTGTGCGTTTGTGTGTGTTTGTGTGTGCATGTCTGTTTGTATGCTTCGTGTACAGAAAGCCAGCTCCTGACAGTGTGAGGCAAAACAGGCATCCTGTCTGAACTGACAGATCTGGAGCTAATGTAGCCCCCAGGATGCACTTCAGAGACACACATGGATATTCACATATACACTCCCACCGCACACTGAAAAACTAAACAACACAGCTAAAAGCCAAATGCCCCACCAGCCAGTGAAGATTGAAAAGCCTCCCTTATTTGCCAGCATGACATCTAAAAATCAGAGCTGGGCTGGTGTGTGATTCCCCACAGCAGAGCTGATGTTTATTCAGGCCTAATGCACCGCTGCATTATTCTGTTTCCCTCCCTTTTGAAGACCTTCAAACCTGCCCGCTGTTTATTTAGAGAGTCATTCTTCTGGGATCAGAGCAGAGGAGTCACTTTCACTGCAGTATCAGCGTAAATGAAGACATTCCAAATAAATCTATGTATTTAATGTAGATATTGTATATACATAATTATGAAATCTGTATGTAGTCTTATTGCAGTATGCTGTTTTAAACAGCGTCCACTAAATCAACAGTGTGTGACTGTGTTTTGTTCTGTACCATGAATTAAAATGTAGAGGTGCAGTCATATGAAGCTTCATGACTAATGGTACAGCTGCTTATTCCCCTCATGTAGTACCAGACAGTTACACCTCCTGTTGTAAAATATGAAACAAGTATGTACAATATATATGCTGCTGTTATCCATCTTTTTATACATTAAAGTCAAAATGTGATTTAACTCTTGTGTGTCTGTTTTTATTTGCCCTGTAAAATACTAATAGACTGTTTCACAAAGAGAACTAAATCATGTTTATGTTATGTTTGTTTTTGCAAGCTGTCTCTATTTGTCATAACAGCACTATAAACGCCATCATGTAGTACATTTGTATGTTTATATGTGGCTTTTATCTTGAACATCATCTTATTAGGGCAGCAAGACTGATATCCTTTACATGGTACAGGGTTCTGATGTTTAAGGCCGGGTGTTTCTGCTTATTTATGGCTCTGCATTAATCATCTGAGCCGGAGGTTAATATGAAACCTCATTACTCTTAAGTACGGATGCTCTAAGTTTAAAGCCAGAAACAAAGCAGCAGACTGAAACATCCACCAAGTGAAACAAGTGTATGAGGGAGAGGAATGCTCCAGATTTACACACACTTTAACCCTGGGACAGCAGCCGGTAGAAAACGGATTCACTCTGTTATTTATCGCAAGGGAAGCTTTAAATCATAACCTGCACAGACGAATGGCTCCTGGTGGGTCTGAGAAATGGAACCAGTGACCTTGTCTTGCTGCCTTAGCATCACCTCAGTCCATTATGTCTGACGGGAACAAGAGGGAGACAGAAAGTGCAGGACCGTCTGACTCCACATTTTTGACATCAAAATGCACAAAGCACCTGCAGACAGTTCAGACACGCAGCTGCAGGTTCTTTATAGCATATGTCAGTGCTGTGTACAAGTGTATACATCCTTATGAACAAAGTAGAGTCAGTGAACAGCAGAGACCAAAGAAAAGAGGAAATCATTATACAATAGCTCTGATGAAACAATTGAATTCATATTGTTTCATCATTACTTGCTCTTTAACCACAGCTTTGCATGAGCTGCTGTTGTTGTTGTTTTAATGTTGCTGCTGTCCCCTGTCTCTCTCTCTCTCTCTCACCCTCGTTCTCTATTTTCTCTCCCTTACTCATTCTCTCTCTCTCCTTCTCTCTATCTTGTTCTCTTTCTCTCCCCCTGCCCTCTCTCCTCTTCCCTCCTATCTCTCTGTATTCTTCCCCAGCAGCGGCCTGGTGGTTGTCTAGCATGAGTCTGGTCCTTTCCTTGCCACTGTCACTCATATTAGATGAGACGGGCCAAATCCAATCTTAGGTTGGGTCTCGATAATTCATCAAACAATGAGCGTGGTCTAGACCTGCTCTTGTTCTTTGGAAATGAAGACTGGGATGACGACTGTTGTGAATGATCGCTATATAAATAAAATTTGATTGATTGATTTGATTGATGCAGAACTATAGGGAAATTTAAGACATTGTGTACAGTATTTAAAATGTTTTTGATATATAGTCACATATACACTGTATAAAGATATACAATTTTCACTCACAGTTTAGCTTTTATTAGTGTTTAATTTGTCTTTATTGTTAGTTCAGTGTTTAATTTTTTAAAATTGTTAAGTTGACATTTAGATAAAAAATCCAAACATCATTCCATTTGGGTATTTTCCTTGTCAGAGGCAGAACTAAATGTGTGGTGCTACCACATAGATGAAACCATGTCTACCATCTATTGGTGTGTGGGCTCACATACCCAATGCTACCCCTGCATTAGTCGGTATCTCAGCTGGGCCACACCGCTCAGAAGTGTCTGGACTCCACTGTTTGTTAGAGCTTATCTAGTGGGTACATCGTGTTGTTGTGTTCAGCAGCAGGTAGACCCAGGCTGACTGAAGGGCTCTGTAGGTGAAATTAGGAAGGGTTGTGGTCAAAGAGATCGTCTCCACTTAAACCCTGATAGATGTCACATACTTATTTTACTCAAGCATCTATGTTCATGAAGGGTGCCATGTAGATACGAAGTCTAGCAGCAGTGAGACATTCTCTCTGGTCAGGGCACGGTTAACATTTTACCGTCACATTCTTGTTCTTCAGCACAACAAATTCAAAATGATGTTCACACCATCAAACTTTCAAGTCACCTTCGCCTCAGGTGCCCTGTCATTTTAGCTCTCCCCCTCTGTAAGCTGAGGTCACAGAAAGATCGAGGTCAGAGTGTGTTGGAAGTGTGGGATATTTGATTCGCCCTCTCACTGATTACTGAAAACGTTGAATGACCCTAATGCAAGTAAGGAGGTAACTATTTGGTATTGATAAGTAACAATAATATACTAAACTTAATACACTACAGACATATGTAACCCCACAACAGTAACACCCTAGTAATGGATCATCCCAGACACTGGTCACAGTTTATGATGTTCCACAGCTGATGGACTAGGAAGCTCCTGTTAGGAGTTTAGCTGGTCATAGCAGCAGGCTAGAATAAAGACTGGACCACGTACTTGAGGAGAATGGAGCCTCTGTACGTGGGGCACACAACATCACCACCTGTGCCTCAGAAACAAGCTAGTTTTTCAAAACCATGCCTCTCTATGACCCAGAAAGCAAACAAATCATCCACAACAAGACTGACAATCCCGATATTTTCATTTTAATGCCTCTAACTGAAGTGAAGGTGTGAGAGTGGACGTTTCACAGCATCAACCTTATTTCTAAATCGTACAGTGCAAATATTCAAAGTGAGCAGAAGCCTATGATTGACTTTTAAAGATAGAAGGATGAGTTTTTGTTTTTTTAATCAGGTATCACTTTTTATATCTGTATCAAACCAAATCAGCAAAAAGATAAGAGGCACTACTACAGGGAGCTAAATTTGGTACAAACTTCCTCCCGGGTGCTTTAAGAGCAGCAGGACACTCCAATTAGCCAACTGTGAACAGTTGTTTGATAAAATCTAAAGCTCCTGCATTAAAGTTTGTCTGTTAGTACTCATATTAGTCAGAGAAAACTTAGTTTGCTGGACTCTGAACAGTTTAATTTAACTGCAACAAACAGTGCCTGAAATTTTATGTTTCAGTGTTGATTTTAAAATCATCAAGCTGATGTGTTCACTTCGATGTTTATAAATGTTTACAGATAAAAATGAAAACTCCTATCTCAACATCGTTCGTTTTCATTGATTCTATTTAATTTTACTATTTGCTTGGAAATCATACAGCTGCTCCCTTCAGTGCATCTAAATGAGATCTGAGTCAGCAGGGTGTGCTCTGCAGTGAGGGAATATTTGTGTCACATAGCTGGTATTTCACTGCAGCTCCATGTTTGTACAGCAGAAATACGCCAGTGTCCTTCATTCAGTATATGAGACAGGACTGCAGAAGGTGCTGTGTGACCATGAGTGTTTCCCTCTGATTCTCCACAATGTTGAAATAACACAAGTGAAGGATCAGCTGACCTTCATTTCAATTTAGTTTGCTGTCTGTGCACCAGTTCATTGTATCAAAAAAAAAAAACTTGATTAACCCTAGAACACTTTCGCTGAGCAATTTTCACCCGACCAAACATGTTTATGTGATTTTCATTATGCTGCGTTTGTCTGAGTATCATGGGTCTCTGGGTAGCTTCAGCATTTCCTTTGACATCTTTGAAGGCATATTTGTTTCCCTGATCCAAAACCTGTTTTTTCCTACAGGCACGTGTTCGGGTGATTTTCACCCAGCAATAGTGATAGAGGGTAAAGTAGGTTTGGGTGGATTTTATATCTGCATGTAGAGAATAAGGTCAGTAAGAGTGGTCCTGGAATTTGCATACTATCTTTATTTAGCGCAGTGGTTATGAATAACTATCACAAAGTAGTGATTTTGAAGGGAATTCATATGGAATTAGAAATATTTTTGTCAGCTGGTCATTTTTACTCTCTCAAAATCTGCCATATTTTGGTTCTCTCTCTCTCCTGCAGCTGTAATTGTGCCAAAGACCCTGAGTCTTCACCTGGGAAGACTAACATGCCCCAAGAATGGGAGGAAAAGAAACTAAGTTTACAGTTTATACATGTTAGGAGAATTTTCTTTAGCCAATCCCATCAGCCTTTAGAGTGGTGGAGCCATGCAATTCAAATACCATGGATGCGTTGGTATTAGATTCCTGGAGCCGGGGGCCTCCGACCACCATCCTCGACCAAAAAACCTTGTACACATTTTTGACATCACTCAGGTACCAAAAATATGTTCTGCCATGGTATTTTCTTCTATGGACTCTCCATATGCTCACCTAAGGACAAAATATGTTGTCCTTAGTTCTTACCGTAGATGGACTTTTATTAGGGTCAACTAAATGCCAGCAGAATGTTTGGAAATGTGGACAGCTATACATACTTGAACAGTCTCAGACCAGTCTTTGTTACACTTGTGGCATGATGAAGGTGTAACCCAGATCTGCAATCAGTAAAGTTTGTCAAACTGACCGTTCGTGTGGACCTTCCATTCTTTCCAGTGTGAACCTGGGCTAGGCATCCTTACATCAGGCGATAGAGCTGGTGTTACTAATTTCAGTGATAGTGTTCTCGGGTTAAAAGTAAAACTATATTTTACAAATAGATCACGAGATAGAGAGAACCGATTAACACGTGAGGCCCTTGAGATAGAGTAAAAAACATTGCTTGTAGTATGAAAAAAGTATTCAATTTGTGCAATGTTGCCATCTGCTGCTCATAAGATGTCAAAACAACTTTAGAAAGCTCTGACAGCAAACTGCTGTGATGCTCCTACATACGCCTGTGAACCGTGTTCGTTTAGCAGACAGAAAAATCAATAATGAATATGTTTACAACAGAAGTTTACAGGGTTAGATTAGGAAAAGAGTATTGTGTGTACAGGTTATGTTTTTTTATTTTATAATGAGGAAGCCACCGTGTGGTTTGACTTCAAAGAAATCGCCGCTCAGATTTGGGAGCTGCTCATTGGCGGATTGATGTTGCTATGGCATCGGTGAAGACAGACGCCTCAGAGCGGTGCATTGTGGGGGATATAAACGTTTTTTTATTAAAGATGCTTTAACCAGGATTCATCGATTTAAACTCTGTATGTCCAAACGAGATCGAGATGAAGGTTTGTACTAAATGCACACACAGCTTTGAACGTACTTTAAGCTTTCTGTTCGTCGAGTTTTATTTCGTGACTGTACTACAGTTAGTTAGCTATCTAACCTAGCTACATGCTAATCAGGCCAGTCGTGGAAATAAAACTAACGGCAGAAACGTTAGATTAAAGTTAAGGGTGACGACTGAAGCAGATATACTCGGTACTAACAAACGTGCACCGACTATCTCTGCGTGTTCAGGTTATAAATGTAATACTTTTACCAGCACAGTGTAAACTTCCCATTAAGAGCACAGAGAACTGGTTGGATAGTGGGTGTAGTGGGTGTAGACAGTTGTTTTTGCTGTTTTGAAACTCTTGCTCTGCCTTTACATTTGCTTTGTAATTTGTGTGCAGCTTTGCAATGATGAAGTTATTACTCTGTAAATAGATGGATGCAATAAATAGGAAAGGGTTAACAGTTATAAAGCAGCACTCATGTTTGTCATTTTGAAGTAAAGCTACAGACAATTCAAGTCTTTTAGCTTCTTATTTACAGACCACAAGAATATGATCTGAGATTCTTGTATTAACCCAAATCCATAAGAAAAACTTGACTGAAATATTTATTATGCAATATCACACTGTCGTATAAATATTGTGTGGGTTACACCCAGTGAGTTTTTTTCTTCAAGATTCTCTGGAGATTTTTGCATTTACATAACAACAGTTTCACTTCTGAACTGTGTGGATGATTCTACCTTCAGTCTGACATAAAGAATCATAAAGAATTATTATAGTTAACACAAGATGATCTCCAGTAGGGCTGGACGATACAGGAAAAAGTTTTTTACAATATATTTTTTTCACATAGTCGATATCGATTTATATCAGGATATAAAAAATGAAATTTAGCAGTGCTTATCTGTAACATGCACGTGACATAATTTACAGTGCACATTACTCTGCTTCATGTCCAACCTCCAAAAACCAAAATACCTCCACACCACCGACGTTTTCGTGTCAGTGTTGTCGAGCCTTCATCTGTATTTCTGTCGGGGGTAGCACTCATTTCCTTTTTTTCTCACCAACAGCGCTGTCGGCTCCACGTGTTAAAGTGCTATGGTTGCGTGTAGCTCAGTGTTGTTTTTGTTGACGTTGATGAAAATATTTCATAATGTAAACGCACATTCGTCTCGTCACATTTTAGTCATCTAACACTTTTATTTAGCTCATCAACGTCACGTCTTAGTCGTGGAAAAAAAAGGAGCGTTGTCAAAATATTTTCGTCAACGAAAACAACACTGGTGTAGCTGCAGCCTGCTTCTATGCAGTTGTCTGCTACATGTTTCTAATTCAGCACATGATTGGTTCAGTGCGAACCCTAAGCAACTCCTCTTTCATTGGCCATTCGTATAGTCTACTAAAACATGACAGAATGCCGACTATCAAAAAGCTTATTGACCATGTTTTATATTGTTATTGAGGGAAATTAATTTTGGATATTTATTATTATCGTTTTATCGCCCAGCCCTAAGTTATACACTCTCACATTTTACTACATTTTATACTGTCAACAGGAAGCTCACAGAGACTTTCTGACATACTGTGTCCTCTCCATATAAGGGTTTCTCTGTTGAAAACATCTTAGATTTAAATATAAAATTTTCAGTAGAAGTAACTCTCAAGGTAATCTTTGTATTTACAGAGTGTTTTCATCCTCCAAGACAAAGCCTGGGCAGGGTCGAGCCTGCTTTACAGGTGGCAGAAAACCCTTGGTAATTACATCGCTGTTGCAGGGTAAGTGAACTGTTTCAGTAGAAAATGTAACCTGAATTACTAATGTGTGCACTGAATGAATTTAGGGAAGTACATTTCTTAAATAAACATTTTATCTCTCATCACACAGACAGGACAACTCAGTGAAAATTTTTGACCGACATGGACACGAGTGGACTGAAATCAACCTGCCAGGGTGAGTTTTAGTGTGTTCGCTGTTCTAATTTTATGTTTTGTTTTGTCTTTTACTGTTTTAAAGTAATTTTGGTTCTACTTTCTGTTCCTTTTCCTGATCCCCTCAGACGTTGCGTGGGAATGGATTGGGACAAAGATGGGGACATTTTGGCAGTGATAGCTGCAAAATCCAGCTCTATCTACCTCTGGGATGCCAGTGTCAACAAAACATCCCAGATAGAGAGCGGCATGAGGTGTGACAAACATGCAACGCGTTGAGAGTCGCTGTTATAATTGTGTTGACCAGATCTTAACTCTGGATTATTTTCTCGCTGTTGTTAATTTTAATAGAGACCAGATGTCCTTCCTACTGTGGTCAAAGATGAGCCCGCTGCTCGCAGTTGGCACAGTCAAAGGAAACCTGCTGATCTACAATCAGCAGACCTCACGAAAGATCCCTGTACTGGGTAATACAACCCAACTGGCAGACAGTGGCTCTTGCTTTTCTCAGACTTTTCGTCAGTCTTGATTTCCTCTCTCCTCAAATTTTAGGTAAACACACCAAGAAGATCACCTGTGGGTGCTGGAGTTCTCAGAACCTGCTGGCCTTGGGTAGTGATGACAACTCTTTGAGTATCAGCAACCATGAAGGAGACACAGTCAGACAGGTAGACACACTGCATCTGCCACATATGCCTAACTATTTGGTTCATTCGCATCAATAGTGACCCAAAAGTACTGTGAGTTATTCAAGAGCGGTCACACTGTTTGTGATGTGGAGAGCAAGATGAAAAAAGTGGAACTCTTTGAAGTTATGTGTAAGAAAATGGAAAACAAGTGCCAGGAGAAGAGCAGTGTCAACAAAAGTTTTATAGAATAACAACAAGAGTTCAAAGAAACCTCTTCTCTTCACAGACGACACTTCGGGGTGAGCCTGCTGAGATTTTCTTTTCAGTGATGAAGACAGATGAAAGGTCTGCGATCGGGGAGGGCACGGTGAGTGTCAGTGTTTTCTTCTATATTATATCAACATTAATTTATGGTTTTTTAAATGTTCATGATATCATTTCACATCACACCTTACTTTCTCAGGTGAGTGTGTCTGTGGACAAGAAGATACTGATGCTGTTCAGTGTCAATGACCCTGAAAACAGGATTGAATTGACCTTCCAGCGTCACTATGGAAACATTGTGTCCTACCGCTGGTATTTATCACACAGCTCAGCAGCTCAACGTAAATTCTGAGCCACTGTAGTGAGATATCTGTTTTAAAGTGAGCTTTTCTCCTCTGTCTTTTTTAGGTACGGCGATGGATACATACTAATCGGATTCTCCCACGGATACTTTGTGGTCATTTCCACTCACATCAGAGAGATCGGACAGGAGCTCTATCAGGCTCACAACCACAAAGACAGTCTGAACAGTGTGGCCATCTCAACGACTTTAAATAAGGCGGCCTCTTGTGGGGACAACAGGTACACACAGGCTTTAAAAATAACAGTACAGCTATCCCTTTTGTTATTTTTTAAAGTGAAGCTGAATCACTCTGATTTTTGTTGCAGCATTAAGATCCACGAGCTGTCAGAGCTCAAAGATATCAGTAATGTAGTTCAGCTGGATGATGAGACCAAAGGTGAGACAGTCTTATCTTGTCATACTTGTTAGCTAGGAGACACCCACCACCACCCACTCCTCCATCATCTGTCCCTGTTCTCCTCCTCCAGGTCTGGATCAGCTGAGCTGGACAGATGACGGACAGCTGTTGGCGATCTCCACACAGAAAGGGACACTCCACGTCTTTCTAACCAAGCTACCTATCTTAGGCGGCAGCTTTGGTACTCAGTTGGCCTACCTTACCTCTCTGTTGGAGGTCACAGTGTTCAACTGGGTGGAGTGGGTGAGGACGTGTGTATTTTGTTTGGTTAGCTTAGAGGTCACTACCAAATTTCCCCTCAGGAATAAATAAAGCTCTGATTTGATCTTATCCAAGTTTAGATGGAACTTAATTGATCTTTTCAGGAAGGCACCCTCAGGGAAATTAAAATCATTACATGGACAATGTAATAATGTCAAAATTTTACATGGAGAAATCCCCAATCATATATCTTTGGATATCAAAAAAAAGGAAAAAGGAAAATTGACTATGTTTCATTTAAATAATAGACATAAAATCACTGTTTGCAAAAGCAGGAAGTAACATAAGGATAGAGTATATTTATGATAATGCACTGAAAAATTTACTTAGACACAGTAGATTTCAGGTAGAACACACACAAAAAAAGAAGTCAACTCCTTTACAGATGATCACATCAGTGAGTTATTGAATCGTGGCTCTGTACCAAATTAAATTTGACAACAAACTGTCAAACAATATCTGATCTCTTGACTATGACTTCTAAAGTTCTGTTTCTGTTGTGGTGATATTCTTAAAATAAGACTCATCAGGACTTTTTTTGCCTCGTGACGTATTTTTCAGGATAAACCTGTCACCATAGAAGTGGAAGTGGAGCCTACTTTCATTGCCGTGGGGCCGTTCCATGTGGCTGTGGGAATGAACAACAGAGCCTGGTTCTACGCCCTGACAGATAGAGAACCTGGTGTGTTTATGTCGGGTTGTGACAGTAGATCCTGTTTAACAGTATTCTGGTATTTGTCAAACCTTGCATCACTGTTTTGTTATTGCTCAGGTTTTCAGAAGCTGAAGGACATCGAGTATTTGGGGACCATAGCCAGTATGTGCCTTAACATAAACTACGCAGCAGCTCTGTTTGAGGGAAAAGTTCAGCTTCACATGGTGAGGAATTATTGATCACACAGCAGCACTTACAAGTCTCTGTGTTGTAAAGCCTGTACTGTGACGTCTCTGTGTGGGTTTAGATTGAAGGTAGAGACCAGGAGGAGAAGAAGCAGATGAAGTTGTTTCCAGATGATGATACAAAAGGACGGATCCTTTGCCACGCTCTGACTGCTGACTTCCTCTACTACGGCACTGATGTGAGGCTCAGTACATCCTCATATCCTCGTAAAAATCAGCTGTAGAAAGCAGAGCAACATTTTAACATCAGTGAACATCTCTTTTTTAAATTAAATATACTCTTGTGCTTTGTCTCCCCTCAGTCCCTTGCTCTGTTTTCATGCATGCAACCAACCGTCTCTTAATGTTTCTCAGTCAGGTAATATCGTGTGTGTGTTGGTGGAGGACTGGAAAACGGTGAGCAGCTACAGCCACTTGGTTGGCGTCAGGAAGATGTTCCCCGACATCAACGGCACTCGGCTGGTTTTTATTGATGATAAAAACAGCGGCTTCCTGCTTTCATCTGCAAACGTCAGTAAAATACGGTCATTAAATTGTCACTTTTTCAACCTCCATATTTAGATTTGTGCGGATCATGTCTTGAATTGCTTCACGGACGGATATCATTGAGCATTTCAAGTTGTCAAATCTAGATTTTTTTACTACATGGGCAGGTCTGTGGCACATGTCGGGGTCTCATAGCATTAAATACAAAATATTAGATTCTATAAGATTGATGCAGCTGCACTACGTTTATAGTAGGTTTATTTATGATAAGTGTGTGTGTGTGTTTTTGTGTGTGTCCTGTCCAGGCAACAGACCCCTGCTATGAACTTCCAAACTTCTCTCCGACCATCACTGGAGTGCTGTGGGACAACTGGCATGCTGACAGAGGAGTGTTTGTCGCTTATGACGATGATAAGGTCTACACCTACGCCCTGCATAAAACCACCATATACGGTGAGAGGTTCAACACTATCTCTTTTTTTTGTCATGTGTGAATAAGAAATGCAACAACATACACTTCCACTGCCTCATCATCAAACTGCACTCCTTCCTCCCTCTTATCCCACAGGCCCCAGGGTGGAGTTAGTGGGGAGTACTCCTCTTCTGTTTTCCCAGAAGCCTTTGCTTTTGCATAACGGGGAGCTGACATGTCAAACAGCCAGTGGAAAGACCAGCGACGTCACACTGAGCACTCACTCTTTCCTCAAGAACTCAACCAGTACAGTCCCAGTTTCACCAGCGCAGCTCAGTGAGCAGCTGGCGAATGCTCTGTTACTCAAGAGGTCGGTCATGTTGGAGACATTGAATTCTGTGTGTTGAATTGGAAGGATGCTTTGGAGAGGTTTTAAATAAGTGCCATTGTGGGTTAATTGGTTGTAAATCCAGTGTAATCCAGATGCAGCTGTCAAACCTTCATGTAGGTTCATTGATGTAAAAAGACGTTCCTCTCCATGTCAGACTCAGCACAGGTTTAAAAATGAAAAACGGTCAAATTTACGCTGTGCCCTTTTCTGTCGTTTGTCCAGATTTCACAAGGCCCTGAATCTGTGTAAGTCTGCAGGCAGCACCTCAGACTGGGCAGATTTAGGGAAAGCTTGTCTCGTCCACATGGAGGTAGAGTTCGCCATCCAGGTGTTTCGTATGAGCAGCAATGTTGGCATGGTGCTGTCCCTGCAGGGTATCCAGGTACAAACTAACCATAGTTCACACTCCCCCTTCGCTCCTCGAGAGTCCCATCTTCATCTCTCCCTCCTCTGTCTCTGTTCAGGGTATAGAGGATAAGAATTTACTGGCAGGACATCTGGCCATGTTTCTAGGTGACTACAACCTGGCACAAGACCTTTATATGTCCTCAACCTGCCCAATCGCTGCACTGGAGGTAAAACATACTCACATTAAAAAAAAACAAACAGCATGTTCATTTATGCACTTTTGCTACAAGACGTTTGTTAATATTCCAGGTTTCTTTTATTTTTAAATGTTGCATTAAAGCTTCGATAGTTAATATCAGCTCAGATACAAACTAAAGTCTTTAACTCTGTTTCTGTGTTTGTGTTTGAGATGAGGAGAGACCTGTTACACTGGGACAGCGCTCTGATGTTAGCCAAGAGCTTAGCAGTCCACCAGATTCCATTAATATCCAAAGAGTACGCTGTCCATCTGGAGTTTATGTAAGGCCGTGTAAACATATCCCCCACATGCTCTCATTAGTCAGATGTAGTAATGAAATGAAGTCTTTTTGACTTTTAATCAGTGATCATCGTGGAACTTTAATTTTATCTCTCTTTTTCGACCTTTCAGTGGGGACTATGTGAACGCTCTCTCTCACTATGAAAAAGGCTTGACACATGACATTAAAGTAAGTGGATTCTTTTTGATCTCAGTTCACCGCAGAGTTAATCAGATCAAATGAAATTTCCCTCGGGGACAGTGAAGTATCTGTCAAATCGATCTGAAACTGTTCTGTTGGTTTTTTTAACTATGCTCCTCCATAACACCTGACTGAACGAAGATTTACATCTGATCATTTCTCTCCTGTACCTTTCACTTCAAGGACCACGATGAGGCATGTCAAGCGGGTGTCGCCAGGATGTCCATCAGGATGGGTGACATCAGGAAAGGAGTCGCTCAGGCGGTTCAGCACCCGAGCAGAGTCCTCAAAAAGGAGTGTGGGGCCATCCTGGAGAGCATGAAGGTAAAGAGTCAGCCGTGTGTTTGTGTTTGGTGGTGCAGGTTTCTTTAGAGGAAGTAGTATGTGATTGTTTTTGTTCATATTCTCTTCTGTGGTTCTTTTCTTCTTGAAGCAATTCTCTGAAGCTGCTCAGCTCTATGAAAAAGGCCAGTATTACGACAAGGCTGCATCTGTTTATATCCGCTGTAAAAACTGGTGAGACAAACTACATTCACAGATTTGAACACCCGCAAGACTCTTTCCTCTTTTAAACAATCAACTTTATTTTGATTTGATGCTCAGGGCGAAGGTGGGAGAGTTGCTTCCACATGTCTCCTCTCCTAAGATTCATCTGCAGTACGCTAAAGCAAAGGAGGCAGACGGCAAGTGAGTTGTTTGTTTAGAAGTCTGTTATACTGGAAATAAAGCCTAAACAGAGGAGGTACTGTGTAACTTGCATCATGTGCACCAGGTACAAGGAGGCAGCACAAGCCTATGAGAGTGCGAAGGACTGGGACAATGTGATCCGTGTGCTGTTAGACCATCTGAACAACCCTGAAGATGCTGTGCGCATAGTCAGGGAGACACAGAGCATCGACGGGGCGAAGACGGTAGCCAGGTAGGAGAGACACGAGGACAGATGTGGACAAACAATTCAATTTACTTTGACATGAAACAGAGGGACACAAAATCCCAACTATGTGGTTCTTCTAATTCTTCTTTGTTACCTTGTGAATGTTATTATGAAATGACTGTAATTTTCCTCATTTAGATGAAATGATCTTTCTTTGTGTGAAGTACCTTTGACATACTGCGTTTTTCTGTGACAGGTTCTTCCTGCGCTTGGATGACTATGGCTCAGCCATCCACTTCCTGGTGATGTCCCAGTGCAACGATGAGGCTTTCCAACTTGCACAGCAGCACGGGCAGATGGAGGTCTATGCCGACATCATTGGTCAGTCCTTTAAGTAGTGTTTAAACTGCATAAATTAATGTTTGAAACTTCTATTCAGAATGGCTTCAGAGTTCAAGTGTTTGGTTGTCCTCATCCTGCTATGTGACTGTTTCTTTGTTCATCAGGTCCTGAGGCGACGCAGGAGGACTACCAGAGCATTGCTTTATACTTTGAGGGGGAGAAGAAACACCTGCAAGCCGGGAAGTTCTTTCAAAAGTGTGGCCAGTACAGCCGAGTAAGACATATCTCTTTATACATATATATATACACCTATATATCTATTTTACAGCGTAATGTATGTCCCAGCAGTTGACTGACTGATGTTGACACATCTGTGGGTTCCTCCTCAGGCGCTGAAGCACTTCTTGAAGTGTCCAAACAGTGAAGACAACCTGGCTGTGGAAATGGCCATAGAGACGGTGAGAGAGAGCAGTGTGATAGTGACAAACTGAATATGATCCCACGGCTTCATTATCATGTGGCAACTCATTAGAGTGTGTGTGTGTGTGTGTGTGTGTGTGTGTGTGTGTGTTTCAGGTGGGTCAGGCAAAGGACCCTTCACTGACTGTTCAGCTGATAGATTACCTCATGGGAGAGAGTGATGGCATGCCAAAGGTAATCCTCTCACCTGAACTCTTGGGCTGTCTCTCTCTTTGGTTCTTAAACTCAGTGGATGTGACTCTACGTGTAACAAACATACATGTGAATATCTTCAATGATATACTGACCAGCCTTCACAAAAACACTTGGGCAAGCTAATGCGATCCAACACAACAGGTGAACCACAAACTGAACTTCTAGGAAGTTTTTAGTTTTTTTTTTAGCGCCCTGACTGAGTTGGTCAGTTTATCGGTCGATACATGCTGAGTCGACTCGGCACGTTTCGACCAATAAGTCGACCAGGACTTCACAGCTCTGATCAGCTGATCATGTCAATAAAAATTAAAACCGTAGAAGCCAATTCAAAGCAGAATTTATGTTGTATCTATACTGTAACACGATTTTCAACTGCTTTCCTAGTGGCGTTATCAATTTCAACATTTTATCAACACTTCTCCCTTATTTTGAGAAGTCAGATTATTTAATTGATATCAACACGCTTCCTCTACCAGTGTCCCACCACTTCTGGTTCATGAGGAAAACTCATCCTTTGTTTAAAAGCACTCCTCAGTAAATGTGCTTAAAGGTGTTTATTGAGTTAATTTCCCAGAAGACACTTCCTGTCGGTGTTGGTCTTACTCAGTTGGATTGAAAATGAAGCGTAACCTGCCTGATATCCCCTCCATGCTTTACTTTACATCAGTCGTTGGCATTGTTAAGCAGACAGCTGAAGGTCAGTCGAACTCTTCATCTCCTTCCCCTAGGATGCCAAGTACCTGTTCCGTCTTTACATGGCCCTGCAGCAGTACAGGGAGGCAGCCCGTACCGCCATCATCATCGCCAGAGAAGAGCAAAATGCAGGTTTGACAATAATCACACAAAACAAACTAATACCTTTAAAAGTCTGTAGTTTCTCTACCATCTCCGAATGTTTTTATCTTCCTGTTACTTCAACAGGAAACTACCGTAACGCTCATGACGTGCTGTTCAGCATGTACACTGAGCTGCAGGCCCAGAAGATTAAAATCCCGGCTGAGATGGCCACAAACCTGATGATCCTCCACTCCTACCTGCTGGTGAAGGTCAGTACAGACAAAATGTTTAGATGATTATCTGTCACTGTTTAGAAAAAACAGTTTAGGGGGTTGGGACAGAATAAATCTTATTTTAACAATTTGGATGAAAAAATTAGAAAATCTCCACATTTTTTTCCTCACATGTAATTTCTTTAACTTCTCAAAAGCTTTCACTCGACAACACTGTAAGCAGCCATAAGTTTCCAGTTCAGTGCTCATCAGATCAAATATCAGCATCTGATATCAGAGCTTCATACATTTTTCACAGTGAGATCTGCTACTGAACAGACTCCTGGCTAAAAGCTCAATACAGCTTGATCAGCATGTCATCTTCAAGATAAATATTTCCAGTAAATGTGTCATTATGTAGATCCATGTCAAGAAGGGAGACCACCTGAAAGGGGCGCGCATGCTCATCCGTGTCAGTAACAGCATCAGCAAGTTTCCTGCTCGTGAGTCCACCTTTCTAAAAACTTAAATATGTAGCTGGAGTGTAAGTGCTTTCAGGCAGTCATCAGTACTTGTGTTGATTTGTTCGGGCGTAGATGTTGTTCCTATTCTGACGTCAGCGGTCATCGAATGTCGCCGTGCCGGGCTGAAGAACTCGGCCTTTGGCTTTGCCGCGATGCTGATGAGACCGGAGTACAGAAATGATATCGACCCCAAGTACAGGAAGAAGATTGAGGCTATGGTTCGGTAAGCCAACAAGAGAAATCTTTACACCATCTGCTAATTGCTGCAATTAAATCTTTAACGCTTCTTTCTTCCACCGCAGGCGTCCAGACACATCCGAGCTGGAGGAGGAAACCACGCCGTGTCCTTTCTGTGGCTCTCAGCTGCCTCAGAATGACCTGCTCTGCATCTACTGCAAGAACAACCTGCCTTACTGCATCGCCACGGTACAAACACACACAGACAAGGACCTACGCTCACACATGGACTGTTTTTCTTTCACACATCATAGTAAACTCTGATGATTTTATACTTTTCTCAGGGACGTCATATGCTGAAAGAAGACTGGTGTGTGTGTCCTCACTGTGAATTCCCTGCTCTCTACTCACAGTTCATTCTGTAAGTCAAGTATTCTTAGAAATGAGAGAAATTCAGCAGCTCTCACTCTCAACAAATGCATCATTTACTATCAGACACAGCAGTGTGCCTATTTTTGAGAAGGATTCAGAAACTCTAACGTGGACCAAACAGACACATTCTCAAAATTATCATTTGGTGTAAATAGAGGCCGACAGCAGTAAATGGTGGTTAAGTTATTTTCACCACACAGTGATCAGCTGTACTGTACAGAACTCCTGAGCTACTGGGGCGGCAGCAGCTCAGGAGGTAGAGCAGTCGTGCAATAACCAGACGGTTGGTGATTCGATTTCCCCCCTATCCTGAGTCTGTTCATTGTGTCCTCGGGCAAGACACTCAACCCACCCTGCTCCTAGTGTGTGTCCTCCACTGGTGTGTGATTGTGAGTGTTGTGTGGTGGTGGTTAGAGAGGCGCAAACCGGCAGCCACGTTTCCGTCAGTCTGCCCCAGAGCAGCTGTGATGACTAAGGTAGTTTACCACCACCAGGGTGTGACTGTGTGAGTGAATGAATGGTGTATCCAATGTAAAGCGCTTTATGAACTCTGATGCATCATTATTATTATTATTATTATTTATTATTAGTGTGTCAGTATGGTCACAGGGAAATCCCGTCTCTGATCTCACTTGTGTGTAGGTTGCTGGAAACAGAGACGGTGTGTCCCATGTGCTCTGAGGCTCTGAGCGCCAAACAGCTGAAGAAGATCTCCGATTGTTCGAGTTACCTTCAGGCTGAAGAGGTGGATCAATAAAGAAAGAAAAAAGTATCTCAGCTATAAAAACGTCTGAATGAATAAATGAATTTCTATTTGTTTATAACATCACATGTATAAAAAGAGAGTGAATGTAGCTACGAGTTTTGTATGATGTAAAAATAGGAGAATTGAGATTTTAAAGGTGTTTGATTTGCTTTTAACTGAGAAATCAATAAAAGCTTTGTATTTTTGGTGAATCCTTCTCTGCTTATACTGGTTTTAAATCACAGTGAAGGGGGTTGTTAATAATACTTTCTGCATCAACCTGAGAAGGTCACCTGAAGTTTAGGATCTTAGTGAAAGAAATGATTTGATTGTATTTGCTCCAAAATGAAAATAGATTTTCCAGCTTTTTATTTTAAACGATGGTTATTCAATTAATTTTCCTCTCAGAGTTAAACTAGCGCTCTAAACTTTTTTAGACAGTGTTAAGTGCGATATAAAAGTAGAGACGTTTTAGTTTGAACATTTTTCCTCTTTATCATATACAAAATAATTGGCCTAGATTTATCATATCCAAAGGTTTGTGTTGAAATTGTGACAGTATTTGTTGGTTTCATAATTCAACAACAGGTCATTTTTGAAAACTTGTAATTTAGAACAACAACAACAAAAAAGACGCTCATGCAGGACACATTTCTCTACTTCTCCTCATGACATTTATACAAAATTGAAATATACATGAACATCAGTGCCAACAACTGTGGCACTAAAGCTAGCTCAAGTAGCCAAAGGCTGCAGTCTAGTACACCAGAGTCCTATTATTTACAGCTCCCACACCTGGATCACAAACTACTGAAGGCTAAAACTCAAGCCTGTAACTCCTGTTAAGACACGCATTACTACAGAGGGATAAAGACATGATAACGGGTGTAACCAGCAGATAATACGCATCATTGGAAGGTCTCTGTTGAAACATGACAGGAAGTTTAAAAAACAGTTGATGTCTCAGTGGTGTGTGGACAGACTCAGAATCAAGTGCTGAAAGGGGACACATGAGTTACCTGCAGAATCTAAGACCAGCTTCACTACTTTCTGATGCTCAGGAGAGGATTACTGCGAGTGTTATAAGAGTCTGTGGGGGGCGGAGGAACGTCTGTTTTCCTCATTTTCTCTTCCTCTGTTATTTCTTGCCCTTTCCTTTGCCCTTGCCTTTTCCCTTGCCAGAATCCTCTTTCTTCGTCTCCTTCTTTGTCTCCTTCTTTGTCTCCTTGGTGGCTTTTGCCTTTTTCTGCTGCAGAGAAACAACGCAGACAAGATGTCAGAGAAAATAAGAAGAAAGTCTTTGGTATTTAAGTTAAATAATCAATTTCTCCTAATCTTACTTTGATCATGGCATCTGTTTTTAAGCCCGCTTCCTCATCCTCTGACTCCTGCACCTCGTTGTCCATGTCCTCTCCTCCTAACTCGGACTCCCCTCCACCTCCACCACGTCGGCCTTTCTTCACCACTTGTAGTGAGTACGGTGTGAGGTGGACTTCTTTATTGTACGCCCGTGTGAAAGCTGCTTTTACCTGTGAGGAGACAGACAGAGAAGAGGGTCATGGTAATTTTGATGGATGCTACCAAAAGAGATCATGATCGGCAGAAATGTGGTTCAAGTAACTTCCTTAAGTGACGCTATAAAAGGTCGAACCATACTGTCAAATATCAACACTAATGATGTGTCAGTACTGAAGCTAGTCTGTCTGTAGTTGATCTACGGTGGACAGAGAAGCTGTGTTGGATTGATACAAGAATTAACAGCAGAATTAAAAGCAAAACAAATTGACCCCAAACCAGCTACTAAACTTCATCCCCTCAGCTGCTCACCTTAGAGTCCAGTCTGGAGTAGGGATCAGGCTGTCCCCCCCAGACACTGATCTCCATGATGCTGTCTACATCCTCTCTGATGAGCTGGTAGTCGTCCAGCAGCTGCACGGCCTCACTGGCGCCCTCCGCTCCTCTCCTCTGAAGTGGGCTCAGCAGCGCCTGCCGTAGGTAGTGCAGGTAGTCCAGGTTCACCGCCTGTTTGCTGCTCAGAGTCCTGAGGAAGCCAAAAACACACAGGGCACTTTAATGTGATTATTTTCTTTGGTATAGTCAGAGAGGACACATGCTGGCGAGGAAGGCTTGCTCACTTTAGACCCATGTGTGAGGACAGCTCCTGGACGATGCGAGAGTGTTTGTTTGTGGACGAGTATTTGCCGAGCCAGCTGGGGAAGGAGGGGAACTGACTCATGTAGCCTCTCATGAGCTCGCCTGGAAGCACGCTGGCATAGATGGCCTATAAAAAACACAGATACCGATGACACGTCCCCTCTCTAACACCAACACAATAGCAGCAGACGACTGTCGGGTTCTGCTCAAGGTTTCTCAAGATGGCCCAGATCCGAGCTGATCCTGTACAGACAGTGATGGGGACTGACGCTAGAATTACTCGGCACAAATGTCACTCTGAATAAAATCATCCTGTCAACTTGTTAGGGGTGAAAATCACCTGTGGCCCCACGATACCATATTATCACCATACTTGGGCCATGATACGATATTATTGAGATTTTAACATTTTGTGATAGTGACTATTGTGATACAATATATTGCAATTTATACAATTTTTTCAACTGTTTAGCTAATTTAGCATTTGTCTTTCCTTTATGTTTGTCTTATTTACTCAGTATTTCATGTTCATGTTGCACATCTTGCAAACCTCATGTGTCAGGTCCATCTCATTTGTGTCCTGCCTGCATTCCTAATGTCTATCCTCAGGTGCTGCGATATTTGTTGCACTAACTTTCTTGTCACTTCTGCGAACCTCACTGGACAAACAGATGATTTTATTTTCCCATTATCATAGATTTGACTTCATATTAACAATTAATTTGGAAAAAAAATGGATAATTAGTCAAGGAGACGATACGATATATCACCAGAAAAAATATCACGATAAAATGCTGTATGGATTTTTTCTCCCACCCCTACAACGTGTGCCATTTCACACCTTCACCACTTTAGAGCGTTTGCTTATCGATGTGGGTTACCTGGGTGGGCAGCAGGGACCAGTTCTGCCCTGAGCGGATCCGTCTGTCCACAAGATCTCCATCACAGATGGAGTCAGCCGTCTTGCTGAGCAACACCAACTGAGACTTCAGATCATTGCTGGAAGAAAAAAGTACGCACAGGTAAATACAGGAACTGGATTTGAGTTCTGGAGGATTTTCTCTTTTGTTTCATTTAAACATGTTTTCGTGCAACTGGAGTAAAGTGGGTCTTAGATTCCCACTGGAGAACGTTTGCCTCGCTCACCCTGCAGCTTTTGGCCGAACATGCAGGTAGTTCTCCTGGACAAAGAGCGGGGCTAGCGAGTAGTCGTGGAAGAACAGATCCGACTTGTCGATTAGGCTCATGCGGTCGGCGTCCTCCCCTGCCGCGAACACCTTTCGACAAACATCAAATGGCCCCATCTTCATGTCCTTACGGGCTCTGGCTGCGTCAGACTTGCACTGATCGTACGTCATGACCTTGTCTCCAGCAGACCACATGCTCAGGTTGTGGATGATCTGGACAGAGAACAGACAGTGGTGAGGAGGAAACACAAAACCACAGGATGAGTTGATCTACATGGATCTTCTGTTGGTCTTCTTTACCTGCCGAACATCCTGGTTGGAGGCTAGGATGATTTCATTAAGTGCTGGAGGCGGGATCTTGATTCCCTCTTTGAAAGCGATGGACATCATGGCTCCCTGAAGACCAAAAACCCAGAAGCTGAGAAGCCGATAAAAAGGAAGACATTTATTTCATCACTTTGGTGTGTGCTTTTGTACCTTAATCTGTTCCACTCTTGGTCTCTGGAAGCGAAGGTCGAAACAGTAGTTTGCCAGAGATCGGATCTTTTGGTGGTTGCGATCGTTGCACATGCAGATGATAGGAATCTTTGAATTCTTGATCAGGCCGATCATCTCCTACAGCAGACAAAGTGTCAGAGGTAAGTTTCAAGACAAGCTTACACATCCATCAGCTGTCATAGATTTATTATTATTTTTTTTTTAAAAGGTTTTTTAAAACTGCTACATCGACTCAGACAAATTAAATGTTATTTTCTCTTTACCTGGATTCCACCGCGGTCCTCGTTGCCAGCCATACCATCGACTTCATCCATGATCAGGACGTGTTTACTACTCACAGTCTGAGATGTGCCTGTACACACACACACACACACACACACACACACACACACACACACACACACACACACACACATGGTTCATTAAAACAAATGGTTATAAAGTTTTGACCTAATACTACAAATCACACTCCATCGTCCCTTCATAAACTAATTTAAGCCTGAATATGGCAGGTGACAGTTAAAGGGATATTCCGCTGTAAATTTAAGTAACGGTCAAAACGCCACTCTATAGCCACAAATAATGCTCAGAACAGCACCTAACTTCATCAACAGGACATATAGGGTCACAGACATAGTACTAGACACCAAACATCTTTTTAACTTTGACTCATTTCTTTAGCAAAGAGACTAAACACAACTCACCCTCCTCCAGCAGCCGCTTGTTTGTGGGGGAACCCTGACGAGTCGATCACCGAGTACAGCGGATCATTTCCTTGATGTGATAATCATCATAATAATCATTTTGCACTGCAGACACGACAGTTTTTCTGCCCTAGCGTCCCTAGGGTCTGATTGTATTTCTATGAAGTAATAATCATAAATGTTCTTCCTTGAGCTGCGAAACTCCGCTGCACTCAGTGATCGAGCATTATTTGTGTCTATAGAGTGGCGTTTTGGTTGAGGTTTGTTTATGGCTCCACAGACCGCTGTGTAATCTATCCTGCGGTCATTACAAAAGTTGGTATAACTAGAGAAGCAAGCGGTCGCCAACATTCATCTCTGGAGGGGGTGTCTAACTCGGTGTTACGGTGGGTTTGACCCTAAATTAATTTTACTCCAGAAATTCCCTTTAAGTGGCTAAAATTCATAGAACTGTCCCTCTGGGAAGCACTCACCTTTGTAGAAATTCTCAATACTGGTGTTGTTCAGTGACTCTGCCACAACTTCCTTCAGGCTGTTTTTGCTGCGAGTACAGCTGGCGTTCATCTCCACATAACTGAAACCCAGCTCCTGCAGGATGGACCCATCACAACAAAACAGGTTCACTCTACAACACACTAAGACCGAACAAGGATGTTCAAGTGTCAAAGATGTCCTCACTCAGGTGTCAGTACCAAACACTAGAAACAAACAAGTGTTTTCAGACTGACCTCACAGACCAAGGCAGCTGTGGTGGTCTTTCCAACACCTGGAGGTCCTGAGAGCAGAGCAGCTTTGAATCCTGATCCATCGTCTTTCCCTCCTCCAAACTTACCAAACCGTGCTGCAACACAGTGAAAAAGACGCACAACACAGACTGTCTTCAACAAAGGTGTATCAAGCAGAGCTCACTGTTAAAGTTAAACAGATTAATACTTTGATTCTTGTCACACATTTCAAAATAAAAGCAGAGCTCACTGTTAAAGTTAAACAGATTAATACTTTGATTCTTGTCACACATTTCAAAATAAAAGCAGAGCTCACTGTTAAAGTTAAACAGATTAATACTTTCATTCTTGTCACACATTTCAAAATAAAAGCAGAGCTCACTGTTAAAGTTAAACAGATTAATACTCTGATTCTTGTCACACATTTCAAAATAAAAGCAGAGCTCAAGTACCTGCAGGTTTGGTAGCACCCCCGCTGTGGTTTTTGTGCCAGTTCTGCAGCCAGCGCGTCAGCTTGTTGGCACAGCTCTGGTCTCCCTGCTGGCCGATTATAGTCTTAAGAGAGCGCGGTCGGTACTTGTCCACCCAGAGCAGACTGGCGCCCTCTGTGGTGGGTGATGGAGACGAGGATGGTGGAGCAGAAGATGAAGAAGGGAAGGAGCTGGAGGAAAGGCTTAGCTCCTTCCTGGCTGAGTGACCTGAGCCTCTCCCTGGTGGAGTGCCCCTGTCTTTGCTCCTGGCACCGTGTCCTTGTGCCATGCTGGTTTTTGAGGGGCTCGGTGTCTGGGGGGACCTGGAGTTACCTTGAGAGGGAGAGATCTTCTGGGATTGAGGGCTGCTTTTAGTCGTGTGACTCGGGGGAATCCTGCTTTTTGAGACTTTGCTCTACAAAAGAAAAAAAAAACAGAGTTTGGAAAAGACGAGTGAGATTATTATTGTTTTTTCTTAAAGGATCTTTGGCGTCGTGTCTTTGCCAGTGAAGATGAGTTGGGAGTTTCCTCACCAATAAACTAAATCTGAGAATATCTGTCTAATACAATTTTATAAATAATTCTCATTAAGAAACAGTTTAAAGAAAACCAGAAGCAAAAGAGAGACGACAGCCAAACTCAGAGCACTGAATCTCAGGAAAATTAATTTCTTTATTGGCCCTCATGTGAATGTAGTAATTCACCTGACTGCTAAATAAGCCTCTCTGATGCATCATGGAGGGTAATTCTTCATAAAAAAAGAAGGTTAACTCCAACTTTCTTAAAAAGATATAAAGAGTTTTCAGCTCAGAGCTGACCTCAGCTTCTGCAGCGATCTCGTACTTGGACTTCTTTCCCGGTTTAGTTCTGATTAGCGCCAAAAGACCGTCTTCATCCAGGATCTTGGTGCCCAAACTCTCCGCCTGAGGACGAGGAGAGTTGAACAGACATGTTTTGTTAAATCGGACAAGTAGATGCAGAAATGTAGCAAAGAAAAGAGGCAGTAGAAGAAATGCAGGACTGACTCAGCTGAAACTATGATTTTAAACACTCAGAAAACTCAGTCTTGTTTCTGAACATATGTGTGTGTTTATGTAAGTGGAATGTATTATTTCTTAGTTGTGCGTTTTTAAGCCTAACGTAGCAGCACACCATCTACAGTCTTATTACAGACGATTCAAAAATCAGTCCTCTCACTGATCACAAGTCTGAAGACCTGATTTTGTTGGTCTACATAAAAAAGGTTCACCTTTTCAAGCTTGGAAACACCGCTGTCTCTGCCCTGCACCAGGTAGGTGGTCTTCTTGCTGATGTTCCCCGTCACCTTCCCACCATAGCGTTCAATGAGAGCTTTGGCATCGTCTCTCTCCATGGACTCCAGGACTCCTGTTAGCACGAACACACAGTCCTCCAAACAGTTCTCTGCACCCTGAAAGACACACAGACAAAAACAGTTATAATAATAAACAGTCAGTAAGTAAGAAGAAGAGAGGAGGATACGACAAGAACATTTTTACAGCCAACAAGCATGTTTGTGTTTACCTGAGGGATCTCCTTGGAGCCCAGAGCTCGTGGGCCGTCTCTGTTGAGGAAGTTTCTGTAAGCTGAGGCGTTGGCTTTCTTCTTCTCGGGGTCATCAGGACTTGTAGTTGTGCTCTGCGGGGACATAAAGAAGCTTGAATGCTCATCATAACGTCGTTTCACTGCATTGAAACCGACAGACAAGTGGATAAGTCCTCACCTCAGGCTTCTTGGGGGAAGTTTGGAGTGTTTTGGGCGTGGTCCCTGATTTTGGTGTGAAGGTCATGTCCGAGCTGGTCGAGGCCATCAGCTCCTTTTTGGGTGAAATTTTGATTTTTGTGGGTGAAATTGGTGTTTTACCCTTGGACCCTTCATCTCTCTCCTCAGCTCTTTTCTTCATCAGGGCCAGTTTGGAGCTGGTTCTGACAGGGGAGGGCTTCTTCTCTGGAGTTGGACTGATCACATCCTCAGACAGGCTTGTCCTTTGTCCTGTTTTTTCATCCGAGCCTTTACGGGCCTTTACGATGAAACACCAAAAACATCAGATTTACAAACTGACTACATTATGAGTGACTGTACATTAGTTATGTTGTTTTAACCACCTTCTTTGTAGGAGGTTTCCCGTCCAGCATGGCCAGTGTTCTGGCAAACTCCTCATCCTCATGGACCTGCTTCTCCAGCTGAGTGAGGAAGAAAGGAACAAGGAAGGAAAAAAAGGTCATATAACCTAAACTTGAAGTTTATGAACTGTTTTAGGCTTTTAAGGACGCAATCTTTTTTTTTGGTAGGATGGTAGGAGAAGGTCCCGCCTCCTTCACCTCTGATTGGACCGAGCGCGGCTGTCGGCTCTGAACATCGAACAGAACATTATCACAAGTCTGAATCTCCTAACCCTAACCCGACAGACGATGATGTTTCACAGCCATAAGAAATAACCAATCAGAGCCCAGCACTTCTAGCCAATCAGAGGCGAAGGAGGCAGGACCTTCCCCTACCATCCGACAAAAAAAACTCTCTTTTAAAAGGACTCATAACCCTAAAGACAGGAGGACATGACTGACATCAATCCTCTCATGGATCGGCAGATTTCCTTTTTTTCTTCAACAAAACTCAAGAATTAAATATTAAAGTGATCAAATCTGTTTGTTTATCCAACAAACTAACGTCACTCTGTTCATTATCCCACATTAAAAGAAGATATAATTTAACACTGAAAAATCACAGAAGTTATTTTAAATTAACAGAGAAGTTGAAGATCGGTTCACTAACATCATCGATCATCTAAATTGTACAAAGAAGAGCAGAGACAGAAAGTGCAGCTCACCTCCATGTCCTCTTCCATCTGCAGCTCTCTGGCGATCTGCTCATCAGTCAGATCATCAACCATGTCCTGAGTTGGCTACAAAGAGGATCAGTTTTTACTAAGTCAGTTTGTTGTAAAAGGATCCTCGTTTTAGTTTCCTAACATGAGTGTTTCTTCTTTTTTTTAGATTAATAAAATCTTTGAAATAAAATCAGTACTCACTGCTTTCCTTTTAGTGCTGGCCACCAGCTTCTTCTCAGAGCGCTGAACAGCCCCACTACCAAAGTAGTCCAGAACTGAGGTCGGGGTGTGTTTGGGAGGAGGAGGTGGAGTTGACTTGGGGGTGACGGGCACAGAAGGAGATTTCACAGCAGTTTTCCCCTGAGTAGAGGAGGACTGGGTAGGAGACTTCATCCCTGCTTTGGCTCCTGGACCTGAACTCTGTGTCTCTGGTTTTGTTGGTTTTGAGACCTTCTTTAATGACTGAAAGTTGTCGTTGTCTGAATCTACAGACAGAGAGAGGTGAAAAAAACAACAACCTTTAAAACTTGGACATGGTTCAGCATATTTCTGTTTGTATTTCTTTGATGGCAGCTGTAACAATCAATGACAACATGAAGTTCAGGTCTCCCTGCCCAACAGAAACATTTACCTCTGCTGTCTGAGTCCATTTACCTGATTCAGAGACATACTGCACTGGATCCTTTTTGGGCTGGAGCGCTGTCTTGCTTTTTGTCTTTTTCTCTTGAGGGGATTTTTTTGACTTCCTCACTGGCTGCTCGTCCTCTGAGTCTAAAGACAGACAAACTCAAAATTAGAAAATGTGACAGCAAGAGAACGACGGAGGGGTGGTGAGGGTCAAAGTGTCAAGGTGTCAATCCCAGCTCATGTTGCCCATGTTCTTGTTACCCGTCTAGATGTCTCTGAATTTGTCTCTGCACATAAGAGTTGTTCAGCAGTTCATTTAGAGGATGAATGAAATGAAACAACGTGGCAAAACAAAAAACACAAGTTAGTGTAAATACCAAACTACTGCAGATAGACGAGAACATTCAAAAAGAGCTTGTTTCTGTATATAAAAAAGGGAGATGAGAATGTTTCCTTAAAGTTGGTAAAACTAGAGAAGCAAGTGGTCAAAAACATTCATCTCTGGAGGGGGTGTCTAACTCTGAATATCCCTTTAATATCAGCTCTTTGACTTTACAGTATCTGTAATAAGAGAGGATTGTAGATGGACTATTCACAGAGTCATAGTCAGAGTATGAGGGGTTACACACACCTGATTCTATGACAGCATGCTTCTTCCTTTTTTTCTCACTGTCCTTGTGTTTCTCTTCTTGTTTGGAGCTTTTAACCTGCTGCATGAAAAAAACACAATAAAATGAAGACTAAAGCAAATAAAGAATGAATAAAATGATTCATTACAAGATAGTGTGCAGAAAATGACGACTGTGTCTTTACCTTGGCGGTCTCTTTCTTTTTCACTTCCTCATCTGATGAAGGCAGACTCTTCTTCTTCTTCTTCTCCTCTGGTTTGATGTTTCCATTTTGAGCTGGTTTGTTCTGCACCACAGGCTTGACTGAACTCGGTGCAAAGAACCGCCTGATGTCCTGAGTGACACAAACATGTGTGACACATCATGAGCCTCGTTTTAACCTTTAATGGGGGAAACTGCACACATACTGAGTACTCTGCAGACAGGCGTCTTCTTATATCCACTGAGGGACTAAAAATTGATGCTTTGCAGTTTGAGGATTTCACTTTTAGACGTCTGTTCCGCAGAATATGGATGATAAAAGTTTGTTAACAAAAAAAGAGGACATGTATCAAATGTTACAATAATGGTCCAAATCCTTTCCTCCTTTAACTATCACCCTTTTGCTCTAATTGATATGTTGATCAGTCTTTCTCTGGAGCTAACACGGTGAGCACTTTTGGAGCGAGCACGGTTCATGAGACTGCAGGATTATCTCCTTATTTACTTGGACAGGTTGTTTATAATGACAGCTCGCACTAAAATAAAAACATCAAAATAGTTTAAATCTGAAACGTACCATAATGAAGACGGTTCTTCGCAGTTGTGAGTCAAGATAGATGTCAGAAAAGTAATCAAATTACTTCAACTGGTTGGCGCGAAGCTGGTTTCTGTTGTCGCCCGGAGATGACGCACCCTGGTTGGGTTTACGTCGTGCGTCATTGCGCGTACGTTTTATTCATAGACTGTTTTGTGTTTTAGCAACTAGATGTCCCCAAATTAATTGTAAATAAATACTCTTCTCCATTCAACTCTCTGTGGAAAAACTAATCACACTACTAACGCAGGAGAGCGTTACATAATTCAGAATGTGAAGGAGGTTTGGACTTTCATTCATCTAACATAGTCTTCAAGTTGAACTGGATCAAACATTATATCCAAAATAAAGATAAATTATGACACTTAATTCCCAATGTTATCTTTGAAAAAGCAGGTGGTATAGAGTTCCTTCCAAATTCAATTTTGATATAAATAAACTCCAGATTCAGCTATCTAACTTTTACAGACAAGTGCTTTTATGTTGGCTTCTTCTATACAAACATAATTTCTCTCCCTATAAACATCTAATTTGGAACAATACATACATCAGATATAAAAACAAATCAATATTTTTTTGAGAATTGGGTTAGAAACAAGATTCTGTTTGTTTTACAATTGCTCAACAAGAATGGTCAACTATTTTCATACAAAGAATTTTTAAAGACCTTTGGTATTCCACTACCTGCACAAGAACATTGTATTGTATTACCACTATTACCATGCAGCAATGTATTTAACAAACAACCATTATTGAAGACTGATATCGTGCTGAATGGCATCAATATCAAAGATAAAAAATTCTATTATAAACTGTTTCAACATATCATGCAGTGTTCCTCTAATTCTTGTGCCAAAAGTTTTTGGAAAGGTCTGTTTGATGCAATTATTTAGAAAAGGGTATGGATTTACTACAAAAAATATTTAATCAACAATAAAGTAACTGAGGTTTATTTTAAAATGATTAACTTTACCTATCCAACTAACCACTTTCTCAAAAATATATATAGAACTGATATCTCAGACTCGTGCGTATTTTGTAACCTTGAAAAAGAAACAATTGAACATTTATTTTTTGACTGTATTCATGTTGAATTTCTCTGGATTGAGGTTAAAAATTTATTTGAATCGTTGTCTGGGTGTAAGATAAACCTGCAAAAGAGAGATATTTATTTTGAAAAAAAGAACATGGACTAAAGTCATATTTTTTTGTTAAACCTTTTTACTTTGTATAGACGATTTTATATACATAAATTTAAATGGTCTAAAAAGAAACCAAATATCCACCAGTTTAAAAATGAAATGAAGATATATTTTAAAATACTTAACTGGACCAACGAATAAGAATGCAATAGGAACTATGACTGTCTATGAAGCCTTGAGGTCCTCTCTATGATCTGTACTGAATATATGATCCCCATGTCATAATTGATGTTATAAATTATTTATTTTTGGTTTTCAAAGAATGAAACAGGTGTCAGGTTAAATGGAAAAGATGGTAACTTTATTGGTCACAACAGGACATGGTGGTTATTATTCAACATCTTGCTCCACTACAGTGGTCTTCTCACTGATGTAGATGCCATCCAGGAACTTCCTGATGTCCTTTTTTTTGACCGTAGTGGCCTGTTGGATCAAGGCCGCTGAAAAGAAACGAGAGGAAAACGTGTAAGATTCAGTTGGTTAAGTAACATCAGGTGATCACAGCATGGACAAAGACTGAATATGATCCCCTTCAAGTGTAAAAAAATAAATTTTGGTAGAATTTTGTCGTCAAAAGGACTCACAAAACACTGACCATCATTTCACCAACAGAGGTTTAGTACCCCAATTATAACAGTGCTGATACTGAGAAAATTTAGCTCATTTCTCAGTTGCTTTGGGACAATGACACTAAAACATTAACATTTCATAAACAACTTCATTCTTTTTTTAAACAGCATATCCATGGTTACAGAACTACTTTTATATTTAGAAATAATAAAGAGGTAAAATCTAACCTGAGAGATTATAAGAAAAACATGTTACTGTTCCCAATCCAGAAGATTTTATTCATTTGTAAAATTACCAACAGGATCAATGATTTAAAAGAGTCATGTATTCATTATAAACTTTCGATTGATTTCTATATTATCCTTAACCTATAAATTAACCTATATAATTGAGGCTGTCATATATGTTGGAAAAACATTTAAGTTTTGAGTGCTGGTCATATGAAAAGATAAATATACTGAAATTAAATTAAATAAGACAGTCCAATTAAGATGTTTTGAGAAACAGCACACAAAAACATTTGCTTACATTGCCAGAGAAAACTTCTAAACATTGCTAGAACAATTGAGGTAAAAGGACAAGATGTCTTCACATGCAGCAAGACATCAAACAGAACATGCAAAAAATAAATTAAACAGTCAACAAAAAGGTCAACAACAAGGGAGGCTTTCAGCGGCATTGTCTAACCTCTACAAGTGCAGCTGTAACTTTTACTGATCCGGCTCCACTACTGTTCCCTTCTCAGACACGTAAATACCGTCCAAGAACTTTCTGATATCCTTATTTTTGACTGTGGTGGCCTGTTGGATCAGAGCAGCTGGAACAGAGAGAAGGTTGGGAGGTTGAACATCACATCACATCACACAGGGTTCACAATAATCACAGAGGAGGCTGGAGGAAAACTAATCATGGTGTGATGGGATAGTGACAGCTTTCTATTTACGGTTCTGTACTCCACATCTGTGTTCCAAGTATGACTGACGTTTTAATACCAACTTTTAAAGTGACAGCTTGTCTGTCACTTGTACTCGTTTTGTTTGTGTACATTAGTTCAGCAGCTGGATGGAGGTCAGACTTGACTGTGTGGTTCAAATTTTGTGTCAAGGAAAAATGCAAGTATCTCATTTAGATTTTAAGTCAAATGTGACGAGTACAGAACCAAAATAGAGAAAAAAAGTCAATCCCAGACATTAACAGTGTCCCAGAGGAGACTGGGGAATATTAAATGATGCTTTTTGGCAGGAATACAAACTAATACGAGATGTAGCAGTTTGATTTTGTTCAGAGTTTCTAAGTGGCTCAGGTTTAAGGCCTGTCGCTTCCATCCTCACATTTAGGACCTTTTCAAGACACAAATCAGCACATTATGCAACTTTGATGCCATGAAACAGAAAAGTTTAGCAGCCAGTGTCATTTATCCAACACCACAGGTGGCTGTAATTTCTGATATTTCTACATTTAATGATAAAACAAAAAGATTACTTTCAGGCTGGAGGAATGGTCTATCATACAACAGCAGACTAAATCAAACTCACGTTCATAGATTAGGGAAATGGAAAAGTAACTCTAGACATGAAAATAGGGTTTGATACGTCTACCTACTTTACTGGACGACAGATATTAAACTAGCAAGGGATAAAATTTTGGTGAAGAATTACCAGCAAACCTGCCAACCACATGACACCTACAGATTTCCTCTTTCTTTGTGTTTATTAAATCAGTAACAAAAGTCCACATTATGTTTCAAAGCCACAAAGTGTCAGTGTAAAAATATTGAGCTTTAACATGGCAAGAACCTTCAACGTCTTAGTGTTGAAGAGTCCACAAACAAAAAATAAGCTCAAATACAAAAGGTACATCTCAGGAAGGTGGTGTTATGAATGATCTGCCCTGACGGGACAGAAAAAAAGACTAGACCGTGAACAGAAGCGGAGAAACAGAGAGCAGAGTGTACCTGAGTTTGAAACCAGCTCAATGTCGTTACCCTCCAGCACCAGCTCGTCCTTCTGGGCCGCTGAGACAGAGCAGTTCACACCTAGAGAAGAGTGCAGGGGAAAAGATAATCAATCGACCGGCATCAACTCTAAAAAAAGTTTCTCAAATGCTGTTGATGTGGGACGCTCCCCTTATAACACAAGAGCACGAGGCACATTACACTGACTCGTTCACGCAGAATGATTGCTGAACAGCTTCATGCACAGAGAGGATTAATGAGCTCAAAACTCACACAGGCCTCCCACAAAACTCACTTAAGAATTTTCATAGTTTTCACATTTGATTGGCTTTTTCAATCTATAAGTTACAGAAAAGACAGTCACTTTGTAAATACTTTAGGTAAAAAAAAATTATAAAAAACATTTCTGATATCTTCTGTGACATTATGTGTTCATTTATAGTGACGCCCCACTGTCAAAGCTCAAGTTTACTCCCTTGCAAATGTTACAAATCAGAAACTTAAATCTTACAAATAAAAAATTAGAAGTGCCCAATTATATTTGTCCCAATATTCCACTAACTAGCAGCAAACCCACCAGTCCTCATGCGGACACGACGAATGTATTTCTCTCCCAGGAAGTTCCTGATCTCCACCATGGTTCCACTCTCCTGAATGACGACGTTAATGGGGAAATGGGCGTACACTGATCGCATTTTGTAGCGGAAACCCTGCAGTCAGACAAAGATAAGTTTTCTCTAAAACATGAGCATCTACAAAAGAATGAAATAGCATCAGATTCTGATTAAGGTATGAAGACTGGAAGTCATCAAACTGCTTCCTCACCAGAGTGACTCCCTTGATCATGTTCTGGACGTGGCTGCAGATGGTGCGGACTGTGGCCAGCTCCTTCCTGTTTCCCCACCATTTATCCACACGAAGCTGAGAAACCACACAGCACAGTTAACACCACTTTCTAACTTAAAAACTCCTGATAAATCTTCCCCCAAAGACGTTAACATGATATAATTCGATGTGACTCCTGGATTTTGACTTTTAACCAAGAAAACAACCATCTATGACTTATAAAAGTATCAAACCGTTTAAACAGAGCCTTGAAGGACCCTTGCATTCAATACCTTTTAAACATCAGTGTATTCTGATAAAGCAGGTTGCTTACTCTGTGTCTGAGATAACATTAACAATGTCCAGCCATGTATAACAGTTGATGAAGGTAAATGCAGCTAAAACTGAGTTACACATATTCTCTCAATGTGATCAGGAGGGTAACACTTTGTTCCTTAAAGGGATGGCGTAAAATTCATTTGGGGTCAAACACACCGCAACACCGAGTTAGACACCCCCTTGAAAGATGAATGTTGCCGACCACTTGCTTCTCTTGTTATACCAACTTTAGTAACGACCACATGATAGCAATACACAGCCGTCGCTTGTTTGTCGTGAGACCTCAGGCCAGTCCATTATGGACTGCTGCGGGGTGACGCAGCTCAAGGAAGAACATTTGTGATCATTTCTTTATAATTTCCTTTAAGTAATAATCACCATATTAATCATTTTGCACTGCAGGGGCAGTAGTTCTTCTGCCTTAGCGTCTTGGTCTGACTGTATTTCCATGAAGAAATGATCACAAATGTTCTTCCTAGCGGTCATTACTAAAGTTGGTATAACTAGAGAAACAAGTGGTCGGCAACATTCATCTCACGAGAGGGTGTCTACCCTTGTGTTAGGGTGTGTTTGACCCTAACTTAATTTTACATCAGAATTTCCCTTTAACTATATTGAGCTCGAATTAATGTATAATTTACTGATTTAATCTGACACTTCTCCTGAAAACCACGTGTTATACAGCATTGGAAAAACATTACATGCTACCTGATAAGAGGTAAAAAAAGGCCTGATGGACCTTACCTTCTTCTGTTTTTTGCCCAACAGACTGAGCTCCAGGTTGATGTGGTTGAACGGCCTGACGAGTTGGCCACGGGGCCCCTTGACGATCACTGTCCGCCCCTTCAACCTCACCTCGACTGTGCCATCACATCACATGAAGGGAAACACACACACACACACGCACACACACACACACACGATAATAATAAGGGGGTGCACACTACACAGGTACAAGTGAAATGACTACATCAGAGTCCTGGTCCGAGTGTGTAGAAGTATGCTGATTCTTACCATTGTCGGGGATGTCGACAGTCTGACTGCTGAGAATGGTCTTCATTCTACACACGAAAAACACACAAATGATGCGTTCAATGACCTCTTCTTATAAACTCTGATCACACCTGACAACTTTACTCCCCACACCTCAGATTTCATGGTGAAACAATCACAGGACAAAATCTGTTGCTGACAGACACTGCTGTAGAGTTATATTATACCAGATTTAGTTTAACTGTAACCTCTGTGAAGTGAGACACTAATACATCCAGACTGTGTTATTTTAGTTAGCATCTGCGCTATTAGCTCCAATGAGCAGCGAGACTAGAGCTGACACACTTCACTGAATTTACCAATATAACTTCACACATCACTACTCTGCGCATTACACGTCTTAAATGACGCCGAAAACCATCTTTTCACAACGATATTGTTACACCCATGGCGGCCCTCAGTAAAGACGGGGCAGCAACAGCAGGCCGTGAACAACACTGATCTAACCATCCACCAAATTACATATCTTAACTCACTCAATGGGGAAAATACAGCTCGGATGGTGAAATACAATACTTTACGCTACGGATAGTTGACAGTTTAGCAAATAGCGTCTTTAATTGACACAGATGAGTTTAGATGAAACACAGACAGACATTTTTTAGCTATCTCACCTCGCCGGTAGCAGAGGAAAGGAGGAAGGAAGGACGTCACGACGCAAATGAAGCGCACGTACGCAACGTCACCAGACATTACGAGACAATAAAGATAAAATACAGAAAATATATACAAATATATGTTATATTATATGATATGATATGATATTATATTATATTATACAAAAAACTAAAATAAATACAAATATAGTTGATGGAGTTTATTTAAAAAATCCATCCAACTCATAGAACAAAAAGCTTCACAAATTCCAAAGATAGGCTCTACTTAAATATGTTTTTTTTTAATTTTACTACCACCTCTTTACCTTCTGTTTGCGCTCTCCTTTCCACCGACGCTGTGTATCTTCCTCCATTTATTTAGTCCTTGTTCTCTTTTTGTATATGTGTTAAAGCCATTTTTAAAACTATTTTTGCATTTTTCCAATAAACAAACAAACAAGTATACATAAATGAAAATAGCAGTAGATTTCTTGTCATGTCAGAAAAATAAAAAAAGAAAAATAAAAAAACAATAAAAAGAAAGCTATCCGTTGCGTTATTGTCTATATTTCACTTTTGTTAAATCTTCCACCCATTGTTCGTAGTGACCGGCACCTTCTTTTGTCTGAGTCTAACTTCAACCTCTCATAGTCCCATGTTTTTTAGTTATAAGCTTTAATAACATACTTGCAAAAAAAGACAAAAAAACTGACCGGACCAAATAAAGGGGTCGTCAGTGAACGCCTCATCCGTTTTACCGACATCCTCTGAACGCAGCACAAGACCAAAGTAGCTGCACATCGATTATTGTTGCCAATGACAGATCCCCGATAGCCAAAGTCATGGCGTTGCTCAAACAGAGCTGTTGTGTCGCAGGACGTTTCTCCACTAACCACCTATGGCTGAGCCCCAGAATCATCCCACATGTGAGTATTTAATTCATAACTCAAATTTGTTCACTTTAACAAACTCTTAGGGTGTAAATAATAATCTGTTAGCAGCTCCAGACGGCAGTGATCCTGGTCCCAGGCCTGGAGTTAAAGTCTGCTCTGATGTAACTTCATGTGATGTTGTCTTTATCAGCAGTAGAGAAAGGAAACACCTTGTAACTTCGTCATATAGGTAGTTAGTACAGTTTTAGGACAGTAAACAGACTCCCAAACGGCAGACTGTGCCTGTGTGAAAACAGTTCATGCGATTATGTTGTTGTTGTTTTTATTATTAATCCTCAGGTTTACAGCAGCAGCAGCAGTCTGAGCACTGTGACCAAGTCCTCACAGGACCGAGCTGACAGAAAGAAAGAGCTGCTGAGTGATGATGGACCTGATCTGCAAGACTTCATCTCAGGGGAACTGTCAGAGAAAAGCAAGTGGACCGAGTACAGAGGAAACCTGAAGAGAGGGAAGGGGGAGAGGTAAGACAGCATGACTGTGGCACTGGAAGGAAATACTACATATGTTATATGTTAGTTTGTACGTTGTTATCAGAAGCGAGTTTAAAGACCAGATCAAACTTAACCTTATCTAACCAGACAACGCTGAGCTGAATCAATGTAAGCTCTTCTGGCTTCAGTAATGTAAGGGAAATCGATAAGGGTGACACACAAACTTTATTGGGAAATTCCCATGAGAACTGGTGGATATTGTGATATCAGCAAATTATTTATTATTGTCCACAGAAACTTCACACCAAACTTTTAGACCAGCTCTCTCCTGCAAATCTAACAAAAAGTGTAATTTTTGTGTGTGCTTGTGTGACAGGCTACGTCTTCCTCCATGGCTCAAGACAGAGATCCCCATCGGAAAAAACTACAACAAACTGAAGAACACGCTGAGAGACCTTAACCTGCACACAGTGAGTTACAAAAATTAAAGAAACAGCTGTGTGTGGATAAATCTACAGTTATCGTGGAGTTGTTTTTTTGTAAGATTCAAAAAGCTGTATCTGCCTTTTTCTTCAGGTGTGTGAGGAGGCCAGATGTCCGAACATCGGAGAGTGCTGGGGGGGAGGAGAGTACTCCACAGCCACAGCTACCATCATGGTGAGTCTGAGTGTGTACAAGTTCTTCTCTGTCGAGGTTAATATTTAAAATAGTGGGAATTTGTTATTTAGAAAAGTTATTTGCTTGTGAGTGATCTTATAGATGGATCTCAATTAAATCATAATTAAATAACTGTATGTAAGTATTTCCTGTCTCAAACCTATTTTCCTATCTTTCTTCTTCTCTTTTTTTTTTCTCTCCATGTGTGACCATGTAGCTGATGGGGGACACATGTACTCGTGGGTGCAGGTTCTGTTCAGTAAAGACAGCTCGCCAGCCTCCACCTCTGGACCCAGACGAGCCGTATAACACAGCCAAAGCTATCGCTGCCTGGGGATTGGACTATGTGGTTCTTACCTCAGTGGACCGAGATGGTAGTGACGTCTTTATTTATGATCTTGATTCATTTATTGTTCTATTGAGAGTAGTTATAGTGTCATTACATCACACTACATCTTAATCATGATTCTCAGAGCAGCTTTTACAGCTCAGGGTTTTCTCTAAATTGATTGTTTTACTAAAAATTTCAAATTGAATGTCCTCTCCTTTTTCATGCAGACATTTCTGACGGAGGAGCAGCACACTTTGCTAAGACCGTCTCCCACCTGAAAGAAAGGTGTTATGCCGCCTCTTCTGGTTCATCTGAACATGTGTGTCACACACTCACTTGTATCTGTGTAAAATGATTGAATCAACGCTGTTTCTGTCCTTATTAAGGAGCCCTCAGATCCTGGTCGAATGTCTGACCCCGGATTTTCGAGGTGACTTGGATGCAGTGGAGAAGATCGCCTCGTCTGGATTAGATGTTTACGCCCATAATGTGGAGACAGTGCGAGAGCTACAGAGGTCTGACACTTGAAATAGTGTCTTTAGAGTTTGTGTTTTATATGGATCCTCCCACTCTGCACTAAAGTCTGATTTAGAGGATCTAACAAGTCAAATAAACACAATAACAGGAAACATCTCCCTCAGAATAGACACTAAAAGGGGCAGAGAAACACTTGTATGTTGGTTTTTCATCACTCTACAATAGGTAAATTTGGATAAAATTATATCATACAGCACTACTCTCACTTAGAATCACTGAGAACTGAAAACCAGTGTTGCCCCTATCTGGTTTAGATTATTATGTAGATAACAGCACGACAAAGATATAAGAATGTACTTTAATTTAATTCTGGAATACAGAAATTCAAGTTTCTGTAACTTTTATTTTTTATCACACTTACAATCCACACTTCTACATTTGGTCCATACTTTCTGGCTCAACTGAACTTCTCAAGTAGAGAAAGGTATTTAATTCGTGGCTGAGCCCCTTGTTAAGATCTGGATTATTCAAATGATCCAGGCTTTATTTATTAGCCAGGGGCACTTTCATATTCCTACCATGGAGGACAACTGAAGCTCACAGTGATCAGGCTGCAGCCACATGTCCTCTGTATTTACTAAGAAATCACATTTAGAGATACCTGAAACACAAGCTAGCTCTGTTATAGTTTGGTTTGAACTTTTAAGTTTATACGAAAATTCTGAAGTCAGATGTAGGAGAAGTAATGAACACTTTTACCAGCAGGTGGAACAAGAGGGCAACTTGTCTGCTGTTAGTAAAAGTGCTCGGCAGAATAAAAGGAAACTTAGTGAAGCTGTAATTGTCCACAGTAATCTCAATCCATAATCACCTTTTACGTGACTTTGAATCTGTCTTTTCTGTGTCCAGGCATGTGCGTGACCCTAGAGCGAACATTGACCAGTCTCTGAGTGTCCTGAAGCACGCCAAAAAAGTCAACCCCTCTGTCCTCACGAAAACATCCATAATGCTGGGACTGGGAGAGACTGACCAACAGATACTTGACACAATGACTGGTGAGGACACACACACCGCTATCCAAAGATACGCGTTTGTATCCAAAGTACAGATCGATGTGAAGCTCACTCTGTTGTTTGAATATTGCAGAGCTGCGAGAAGCAGGAGTGGACTGTCTCACACTGGGCCAGTACATGCAACCCACCAAACGCCATCTGAAGGTCAACACTTCATGTTTTCTGGATTATTTCCCCATGTAGTTCTTTGAGCGATGTTTACTTTTGCAAATACATGCACAATGTGATAATGTATGTTTGTGTTTAGGTGGACGAGTATGTCACTCCAGAAAAGTTTGCTCACTGGGAGAAAGTCGGGAATGAAATGGGCTTCATTTATACGGCCAGTGGGCCTCTGGTGAGATCCTCCTACAAAGCAGGTGAGATATGAGTTACACTCAGGTGCACTGCAACAGTAAATCAGGTCTTTTATTTTGTAACAGGAAATGAAACACTGTAAACTTGAGCTCATTCAAAGAGACTGCAGCTCAAAGGTCCAGTTCACTCACTTTGGGTATGTTAGCAGAGTTGTCCCTAACGGTGCGTAAATTATTCTGCCTGATCCAGATTTGGAGTTTTCATACTCTGAGCCACCTGCTGCCACCTCCACCACACAGGAGCTGTTTAAATATTTGAATAGCATAACTAGTTGAAATGATTTAAGTTTCTGCTAATAAATATACCTTTTACAATTCAGCTATGGTGGTATCTTGTGAGAAAGCGTCCCAGACACTCTGATAATCCAAAGAATGTAATAACATCTCTTCACACAGAGCCTTGTTATTTATAAAACTGTTCAGTGCATGTTGAGTAGCACTGACATTGATTCTTTGAGGACATAATGTTCAGAAGTTTTAAAGTTCCATTCCCACGACTTTGAACCTTGAAATCCAAAACCTCAGCAAATACATTTGTAGAGCTCTGATTTGTCAAGCTGCATTTTATCATGTTTTTCCCCTTTGAACTCCTACTAAGATTACAACAGCTATGATTTAAACTGCCCTGCATGTATGTTATCTTGATGGTTGATGATATCTGGAGCAGGCAGGCTGTTTTGATAATGTGCAGGCAGTAATATTAGACCTACAACAGGTCTTCATCAGAATCAGAACAGTAAAGTTGTGTAAATGGTTTTTGCTCAGCTGAGAGCTGGCTGTTAGTGGTCACAGGTTTTCTGCTTTACCTGCAAAGGGTAATGTAGTGTAATTTGATACTGATAGATCAATAACTTGCCTCATGGCCTGTTTGGCTCACTCTGTTGGGACTTCAGTCCATGATAACTGCTAAATATACTACTGTAAATGCTGTCACTTAAAGCCTGACAAGGCTGGATTAAGGTATTTCTTCATGTAAGTACGGCAGCTAAGAACCGCCATTGCTACAAATAAAAAAAGAATGCAAAAAAAAAAGTCCCAGCGAAATTACAGATGCAAAAAAAGAAACCAAAGCCCGCTGCAAAAAAAAAACAAAAAAACGGTGCAGATTAAAAAAATCTCCAACTGAAGTTAACGACACAAAAAAAGTGTTGATGAGAAAAAAATAAGTTACTTACAGCGAAAATAAAAGGATGCAAACTTTCGCAACTTTCTTTTTGTGTTGTTAACTTCAGTTGTGACTTCTGTTTTTTGCATTCTTTTTTATTTGCAGCAGTGGCAGTTCTTGGCCACCGTATAGAAGTCATACAAATGTATCTTAATGATTCTGATAAATGTCATTTCTCTCCACAGGTGAATTCTTCCTGAAAAATCTCCTTAACAAGAGAAAAATAGAAGCTACAACCGCAGAATAAAAAGCACAAAACCAGCAGCTTTCAGTCTTACTCCCAAAAAACTAGCACCTAATGTTTCTAATAACTCAGCATCTATGTCGAACACCTGCTATACCACAAAGTATCCTACGCTGGACGCACATTTAAAAGACTTATCTGAAGTTCAGGGACCATCTGTCTGCACTCGTCCTCCTCCGTTCTGTGATGGCTCAGCGCTTGAAGTTTAAGAGGGAGGAGATCAAAGAGGACAAACCGAAGTTTGAGGAGAACCTGAGTGAAGACCCAGTCTGAGACATCCAGCCAGAAGGAAATGCAACCAGTCGTCACTGTATTTGCACCTCCAGGGGGGCCCTAAATCTCATCCGGCATGAACTCCCTCCCCTCAGGGCCCCAGACTGCAGGTGAAGAACTGCTGACCTCTGACCTCAAGTTCTGAAATGGAGCTCTTTGATGTCTTCTGCTCCAGGACTGATAGTTGAACGAATCCGGAGCAATGTTTATTTTTTATCGTTGGAGTGTTCTCGCAGCAGCAGCAGAACTAAATTAGTTCTATGGTCGTTGAACAGTTTCAACGGGTCAGAGCACTGTTTTCATTTTCACTTACATTAGAAAAAGACAATTAAACTTTGATTTGCTCTTTGTCATCAACAGACATTTCTAAAGAGGTAAAATTAAAGGAGGACTTAAGATCTCTTCATATGACAAAGAGCCAAATCAGCCAAAAAAAAACGGATTATTTTTATTGTCAAAGATGTTTTTGCATACTGTTCAAGATAAAGTGTTGCGAACATGTTAGTTTCACTCCAAACTTACTGGTCATATTTTGCTGTTTTATCATAAATGTAATGTTTGGAATCTCATATTAATAAACAGGCACTAATTAAAAGATGCATCACATTTTATTGCAAAGGCAATTTTAGTGAACAGCAGCTGATACTGGGAAAAAAACAGATTGACATACAGTGAGATGATTTATAAAAATATTTTAAAAAACAGTATAAAATTTAGCGATAATACTTGATTATATAGTAAATACTGTAAGAAAGACTCACATAGAGTTGATTTAAGATGGACTAAAACAGACAGCTCTGAGTATACCTGCATCTGAAATACTATTGGACATGAAATGTATAAAATTAATTGTTTCTGTTCATCCTCAAGCTTCATCAAAAGATTCAAGCACATTCAGGATCACATTTACTCAAATTTGGATTGTAGGCTCGACTTCATCCTCTCTTCGGACCTCCTGTAGGGAGCAGCTGATCATACAGTCTTAATAAGGCATGAACCAAGCAGCAAACCAGGCTTGTATGAAACATTTCACCAGCAATGTAAAGGCAGAGAGAGGAATGTGTTTGTGTCGTGTGATTGAGGCGGGTGAAGTAAGTTTTAGACTTTGGCTTTCTTGGTTGGAGGTTCACTGACAGCAATGCGAGGACCAACGCCTGCCGGGGTGTACGGGATTCTTGTTGCTGTGACTTTCTTGCCGATGGTCTCGATCTGTGAATAGAGACCGGAGCAATGTGATAAAAGCATCAGCTGACTTCCACTGACTGAATTTATGAGGGGTCTGCACAATCCACCGTTTCACTTGGGTTTGATTTCTGTATTCTCACCTGAAAGCCGATGTTTTGGAGGGGAGCGTGGAGGTGATCCAGCACTCTGCGACCATCAAATATGAAGGCCGGCTTCAGCATCTTCTTATAAATCTTTTCATAATCCAGCTCCTGTGGTAGAGAAGAGGGTAGTGAGTGCTCACGCAGTGGTAGGGTTTAGAAATTTGAAGGATGTTTGCTGACAAAGTTGGATTTTGACCTTGAACATGTCCCACTCTGTGCAGATGACCAACGCATGAGCACTCTGGCAGGCCTCATAAGGGTCGGAGGTCACAGTCACCAGCTCTGACACTAAGAAACAAAAAACAAACAAACAAGTTTTTATCAGCCTAAGAGTCCCACTGAGTAACCTTAGTGAATACTACAGCCCTGTATCCACAAAACATGTTGAACTGAGAGTCTGATTACACTTTGGGATTATTCAGACTAACCCCTGAAAATGTGGAACCAATGACTCATTACCAGTGACTGTGCAGAAGAGGAAGAAGCCACAGAGAAGTCACCCACACGTTTGGTCTTCTAAGTACCAGAGTCACCCATGTGTCACTCCGAGAAGCAACAACTATTATCCTCTGCATAACTTTAAACCTTAAAACTAAAGACTAGTGAGTTTTTTAGTAGCAAAGATTGGTAAACTTGTCATGAAAGAGAAAATACAAAGTGTACCAGACTTTAACCTTCTTTTACAAGTCTTACATTTTGAGGTTCGGCTCTTTTTCTGTCTTGCTTCAAGTAGTAATTTGTGGGACTGCAGGTTTAACATTTTGGCTTTGGCTTCATGTTTAGGTCTCTGAGGTTTGCTGCTTTCCAGAAGTGAAGAACATGATGTTCATGAACACGTAGAACTTTTAATTAAAGGTGCCAAAAAAACCCAGTTTTTTAAATCTATGTCTGTAGCACTTTGAGATTGTTTGTTCAATAAGAAGTTCACTAAAATAAAATTCATTATTATTATCAATACATTTATTTTCTCAACCATGTGATTTCTATTGTCATTTTTTTAAACTTTTTTTAATTTGGCATTTTACAAAAAAGTTTTAGATTAATGTGTTTGGCTTACGTGAATGGTAATTTTGAATACTAAACATGCAATAACAACTTTAGGTTTATTCAAGCAGCCACACATCACAAACTTGCTTTGAGGAGATTTTATTAGTTTCCTCTGACTTCATTTGCAACAAGAACAAGTCGCATTTCACAAATAACTAAATAAACAAATGGACATGGGCTTTCCGGGGCTACATTGTGCCGTTACTCACCTCTTTCTGGGTTGTCCTCTGAGATGCTGGGCTGCGATAGGTCATGAATGATTTGTTCTTTAAGCACTTTGGGGTCGTAGATAAACAGCTTGGCTCCTTCATCCATCAGATATTTAGAAATGTAGATACTGGACGACTCCCTGGAGTTGCATAACAAACACACACACACACACACACACACACACACACACACACACACACACACACACACACACACACGCCCATCAGCGACAACTTTGATCAGGGGCCACAGTTCAGCTCTGAGGGTTGGTTCATGTAGAGGAAAGTGTGATCAACAGTGACACTGCAGATTTGATTTGTATACAGATTGTAAGTGTTGTTTGAATTGCTCTTTGAATGTTTCTGATCACTGGTTACTGATTGACATGAAGCTGTCTAGGAGAAATAAAGAGTTGTATGGTCGAGGATGTTTACAAGGGCGTGACGAGAGGATTGGAATAGGAAAGGTGAATGAGACACACCTTGTGTCACCTGTGTCCTTTTTGAAGGAGAAGCCCAGCAGAGCGATCTTTTTACCCGTGACAGTGTTGAAGAGGCAGTCAATGATCCTGCAGGCAAACCGCCGCCTCTGGTACTCATTCATATCTATGACCTGAGAGAGTCACAAACAGAGGAGGAGAGGAAGGTGAACTCAAAGGGAGAATACTTTCAGGGAGAGGAAGAAAAAACGGTCTGTACCGGCACACATCTCACCTGCTGCCAGTAGGAAGCGACCTCTGGCAGGTTGAGGGCCTCACACAGGTACACCAAGTTCAACACATCCTTCTGGAAACAGCTTCCACCGAAACCTGAGAAGTGTTTGAATTAATTAATGCGACAGAAAACAGAAAAAGCTTCAAAGTCAACACAGAAGCTCCCTTCATTGTTTCTTACCCACGCTAGCTTTGAGGAACTTGCTGCCTATTCTCTGGTCCATACCGATCGCCTTCGCTACCTCCTCCACGTCGGCGCCCGTGGCCTCGCACAGCGCGCTAATGCTGTTGATGCTGCTGATTCGCTGTGCCAGGAATGCATTGGCTGCCTACAAAAACAAACATCATGTTAGTCTTTTTTTTTCAGAGATTACACAAAGTATTACTCCACTTCAGACCTCATTTACTCTCAGAGGAACACAAAGGAACGTATTAACCATGAGTAAGTCCGAAGAAATTAAGTCCTAAATTATTCTGAACAGTTCAGTCATTCTTCATCAAAATTTCTTCACATTTGCAGGTTTCATTCGTCAAATAGGAGTTTTAATTTTCTGTTTTTTAGTTTTTCTTTTAAACAAAGAGAAAAAGCCTAAAGAACTTGAACTGAAACTGAATCAAAAGTTCGATCATAACACATCTGCGAACGCACGCACACACCAGTTTGGACAGTTCAGATGACCATGTGTTGGTGGTGATGATTCTAGATTTGGGGACCCAGTGTTCATAGACAGCACACAGTGCCTTGATTGCCCTTTGACCTTCTGCAGTTTCATCTCCACCAATCAAGACGCGGTCTGGCTCTTTCAGGTCCCGCACTGCTGTTCCCTCCGCAAGGAACTCTGGGTTGGACAGTACCTGCCGCAGAGACATCGTTTAAATAATTTTCAGAGCAACACATTGAAGATTTTGATTCTGCTATTCGAGCGTAAAAACACACTTGTAGATTGAGGCTGGGTTTAGTGTTGGCGTCAAATATCCGTCTTATGCTCTCAGCAGCTCGGACTGGGACTGTGCTCTTCTCTGTGACGATCTTGTATCCATCAGACACCTCAACAATCCGCCGAGCACACGCCTCGATGAATTTAAGGTCAGCTGCACGACCCTTCCCCATCCCATAGGTCTTTGTTGGTGTGTTCACCTGTGGAGAAATTAAAACTCTAATCATGCGTGTCAGACATGGATTTAAATTCACCAAGTCAAACAGCAGAAACTGTGGGTCAGTGTTTGTGTTTAGGGCGTGGACTCACAGAAATAAAGACAAGGTCTGCATCCCTGATGGCTGAGTCTATGTCTGTGGAGAAAAACAAATTTCTCCCTCGGCATGATTCAACCACTTCTTTCAGACCCGGCTGGAGTGGGGGGAAGTGGAAAGATGAGACAGGGAGGGTGGGTCAGTGAACGCGTAGGACAAAACACAGCACAGACAGCCCCAAATGTAATACGAGTGACTCCTCATAAACTGCTCTTACACTAGTCGTAATGATGCAATTCCTTGCGGTGGTTATTGCGACACTGAGAGGCCTGGAACTAATTTATGTTTTAGTCAGCCCACGATGGAGTAATGTTGTCCAGAAACACCATGATACTGAAATGGTTGCCTAGAGACAGTATATCTACTAAAACACGAATACTGAGTGTAATTAATAAAACAAAATAGCTATTTTGACCTCTGATCAAGATACAGGTAATAAAATCTCGGCATATCAGCACTCAACCTTCTTCTTGTTCAAGTTTAACCAGAGGTCACACAGAACAAACACACAAACGTTTCTTGGATAAATCAATGACGTCAAAGTTTTACCTCATAAATGGGCAGGGTGTCTGAGTTCCAGGCTTTGATGCGGGACTCGTTGACATCCACTACGGTCACAGTGATCTCTGGACACATGTGGGCGATCACACTACACGTTGGGCCTCCTACATACCCAGCACCGATGCAGCAGATCCTCTTTATCTGAAACATCTACCGAAAGAAAGAGAAAAAGATGAAACAAAAAAAGAAACACAGATTTCATACACACAAAAAATCTGTCCGAGCTCTATCCAAATAATCTTTTAAACTCAGTAACCCTCAGACATACTGTAGTTTTTCTTGTCTTATACCAACAACCTTGATTATGGTGACATCTTGTATTAACATGCAGCTCCATCAACTCTTCAGCAGTTAAATCCTGTGTATCATAGTGCACTACGTTTCATCACTAATGACACATTTCTCACTCTTCACTGTTCCCTCTGTCAAAAGGTTGGCTGGACCTCTTTACAGTTGAGAAGAAACTAGTAACTAAAAGAAAACCAGTAACTATCTCACCTTAGATATTCCATATATCAGTACTAATATTGGCAGAACTGGTTTCAACTCCAGCTGCAAACCGCTCTTAAACTGAACTCTTTCATTCATCTTGGAGATTTTAAATACTTGTTGTCTGATGTTTTCAATAATCACTGTAAGTGTTTTAACTGATTCTTTTGCTTTTACCTCTTGTTTGTTTCCTGTGTTGTGGGTTGATTGTGAATGTTTCATGTTCTCAGGCCTCTCGTAAAAAAGATCTTTATCTCAATGAGACCGCCGGATAAAATAACATAACAATAGTGATTTGTAACTTTAAAATAAGTATCAACATCAATTATTATGGTCTGTCCATATTGAACATGTAATGATGAGTGATTTTGCATTTTCCTGCTCAGATCTGTTTTGACAGATCATAAATTCTTTCACTAAGGTTTTACATACATATCTTATATGTACTGAATAAAACTGGCATCTATTCTTGTGGCACTGACTAAGCCCTGCTCCTCATTGATATCAGATTCTCAGTTACTTCCATAGAGGTGAACTCAAAGTCCTCAAGTCTGGGTTTGAACTATGTGATTACTTTTACTATCAAATTCCCAACCATACATTTCTAAAATCGTCCAATCTGTAAAAACACAACCTCCACTGGCTGATCTGGGTTGTTGAACAAAGCTCTGAAATAACTAATCTCTTTAATAAAAAACTGGCTTGTCTTTACTAAATGATCTTTAATCCTCCTCCAGTCCTCACATGTAATAGTTACCAGCCGCACCGTTGCAGCCTGCTTGAAATCAAAGAGCCTTTCATTACAGCTGGACCACAGATACATGAAAAAAAAAACACATCTTTTTATTCCAGGTATCTTCAAATTCAGCCACGTCGTGATAACTACTGTGTTTATATGCAGTAATACCCTAAAGCAGTGTCACAAACAGGATTACTACCATGCTAGTTGTCTTTCCATTAAATATCACACAGTAAACACACAAGATTTAATGAATGGACGTCTCTGTATATGAGCTAGCCAACAGTTAGCCAGCCAGTCCGTTACCTTTGCCAACTCGACAGTCAGTCAACTTCAGGAATGTGCAGATCGCTCCAGTTAGCTCCTCTTTAATGTGTCTGAAGAAAGCCCAAAATGTCGATTCCAGAAACTTCCTGCTGTGTTAATAAAATATCAAATGTCTGAAACGCGAATAGACCGACACTCGACTGACAAGCTTAGAACATCTGCGCCTCTGTAACAACTTTTCAGCTCTACCTTTAACTAAAATGAGACTTAAATCAAGGTAACACCGCCTCATTCATGACACCGACATATACGTATCAGGCACTTCCGGTGTTTGGATTTTCAGAGTAAAAGCATTTAATGCTGCTTTATATGTATGTAATGGGATGAACCAATAAAAAGGAAACCAGCAGTTAAAAATAAGGACTCAGTGTGTTTTTTACTCAACAATATATTTTTATACAGTTTTATATACTGTATATATAAAACTCATTATTTCAGACAGGCCTACTCAGACCAGCAGTTGATGTTCTGCTGCAGAGACCAGACTTACACCTTTTTTATTTAATACTTTGTTGTGTTGATGGTTTTTTTTTAAATGAATTTTACGATTCTACTGATGTATCTTTTAATTGCTCTGTAAGGTGTCCTTGAGTGTCCTGAAAGGCGCCCACAAATGAAATGTATTATTATTATTATTATTATTATTATTATTATTATTATTATTGTTGTTGTTGTTGTTGTTGTTATTATTATATTAGTTTTATACTGATTAATACAGTACAGCTCTTGAAAGAGCACAAGATACAAAGGAAACACATCACAAACATCCCCTTTCTCCAAAGACCCTGTCCTTAAAGAAAGGTCTTTAGTTTTGTAGATCTTGAAATATATAAGATGTTGAGAAATGAAAAGTCAAAAGAAAATAAATCAAATGTACTACTGTACGTTAAGAGAAACACATATGTAGACAAGCCGCTGAAAACTGGAAAAGTCCATAAGAGAGATAAGAATTTAAATTGTATGATTATAAAACATCACAGATATATATTTTAGAAAGAAAACCACTAGAAGAGGAGAGTACTGATTAAAAATGAGAGTTTCTGAATGTGGTCCAGAAAAGGTTCCAAAACTGTTTTTAAAAAAAAAACAACAACACCAGTGTGGTTGGTTTACTGCCATATATACTACATTATCACACTACAATGGACCTCGTGGGTTTGTAATACCATGTTTAGGAGAACACCAATACGTTACACTATATTCTTGGTTACCCAATACATCACTGAGTGGATAACTGTGAAAATAGTGAAATATGCCAGTCCATCATTCTGAAAAGTTGGACATATCAATGTTTTACATGAAATGGGACTCTCCAAACTGGAAGTTATGTATCTGCTGTACTAATTATACTATAATGCTATTTTATCTGTAACATAACTGATTCTAAATTTATAGATTTGAATGCTTTATTAGGAGTAGCCCCTTGAAATGTCCTATTTTATTTGAAGGGGATCCTCAATACAGAAATAAACAGACACAAAATGTGATGAACTCTGTGTTATATAGGTGTGATTTTTACTGAAATGTTGTAAATGTACATGTCAAGAATTGTTTACAATATTTATACATGTTTAAGGACAGTAAAAATGAAAGTGGATGCATCCCATCATTCTGTTTTAATTGCTGTAATAAGAAGTTCTTGCCTAAGTTCACTTTACACCTTGTAAGTCTATTATTTCTAAAACACTTAACATATCAGGCCATTTGAATTTATTCCAAACATCAGTGATGTATTACAGGTGAGGGTCAACCAGCCTAAACTACAAACAACTCCTGCATAAAAGGTCATGGTAACCTCAAAGGTATCTTAGAGGAAAAAGTCAAGCTGTCACATTTAAAGAAACACCTCCTCAGGAGAGACGACCAGCTCAGACAAAGATTTGAGAGTCTGAAAGTTCTGAGAAAGTATTTTATTGTACTTAAGAGCATGAACACATGGTTTACAATGAGTAATTAACAAAGGCAGTAACAGAGTCTCTAATTAGGACAACTTGAGTTGTAAATCCAAATTGCTCCCCTCTGTGGGAACTTGTTTCAAGAATCCCTCTCCTGATGGTGGGGAGGACTCAGCTGATTATGTCGTATCATTGGAAACAATTTTGAAGACTGTAAATCACTGCATTTTAAAAAATAACCAAGACATCAAACTGTGGTTATTAAACAGATCAGTCTCAATGAGATTAAGTGGTCTTTTGGAACATCTTGTATTTCATTACCAAAATATGAACTTTGCATGGAAATTAAAAACATAAACCTAAAAATCTGCCTTTGAGACAATTTGAAACAACAAAATAAAACAAAAACAAAAAAATGTACTTATTTCACAGTACTCACACTGCTCTCCTTTCATACTAGATAACACACAGTGTCAACTTTTCCAAATCCACAGCAACATTTTAAACAAATCATGTATAAAAATATGAACTAGCGCTACACTTCCTGGTTCATACAAAACTAAAAGCTGATGTCAGCTTTGTTTAGAATAAACTTCAGAAAAGAGAGTGAAACCTCCTCTTCAAACCTACCACCTACAGATTTCCGGTGTTATTTCCTGAATGGTATAGTTTTATTTGGAGGGCTCCATGGTGGAGGGGGACTGTCTCTGAGTATCTCCTGTATTCGTCTTTCTTCTTTCTTTCTCCTCTGTTCTAGGTCTTTCCTTACCTGTTGGAAAAATGAATCAGTCTTATTAACCCTTGTAGACTTCTTCACTGTAAGCACTTCTCTGAGTAATAACAATAGTAATAGCAGGTACGATGAGATAAACTACTTACCAGCCAGTTTTCATACATCTCTGAAGCCATGCTGTCTCTTTCTTCCTTCATGTAATGTTCCTCCTCTGCTTTAGTTCTGATTTCTTTGCGCTCTTTTACAGTTTTCTCATGGAGAACATCTTTCTTCTTCTCGTTCCTTCACATTTATAGAAAGAAATGGCGTGAGATTCAAGCCAATTTCTGTGTTGATGGTTAGTTGGCTGAGATAGAAGAGATCGAACATTGATAATCTTTTAGTCTTGGCTGCCATCTAGAGGTTGTGACCACTGACTGCAGCAACTTGAAATACACATTCAACACGGTGTCTTAAGAGTTATTCAGAATTATTGGGAAATGTTATAAAAAAACAACTTATCTTCCACTTAGCCATTACATAGCAAAGGTGCATAATGTTTGTGTTGTGTTTCTTTTGTGTCACAATGAGCCTGTTGACTCTGACAGCACGACACGTTTAACTGATTCAACTCTACTGTGAACATCACAGCCAGTGCTGCTTTCACTTTTCAGGCAAGTTGTGTAAAATACGAAACATTTGCAGTGTACAGAGAGGGCGTATGTTACACAAAGTTTCCATTGTATAAAAGAAATGAGTAATGTTTGAAAAGTCTGAAATAAACACTCACCAGTTATTAAAAGCAGATTTGCTGTCTCTCTTTCTCTCCTCCTCTTTCTCTTGTGTTTTCAGCTTCTGTTTTTTTTCAGCTTCTCTTTGTTTTCTGTGCTTTTCCTTTAACAGGTGATCGTGCTCCTGTTTCCATTTTTCAAACACCTGTAGCATTTATGATATTGTTCTCTAATATGACATTCCTCCACAGGCTTCTTCTATGATTCAGAAAAGTTAACAATGAATGAAAGTTATACCTGTTTGGCAGATTGTCTTTTCTCCTCTTTCTCTTCGGTCGCCTTTTGCTCTTTTCTGATCGTTTCTTGCTTTTCTTTGGCCTTTGCTCTGAGACTGTTCGCTTTCCTTTCTTTCCAAGCCTGGTATGATGCGACAGCATCTCCCTTTTTAGCCTCTTCTTCCTGTTTTTTTTTATTTTTTTATGGAAAGAAAGGAAAGTGCAAACTAAAATACTCTGGTGAGAATTCAAGCATCTGTGGTTCTGCACGTACAATCTACAAAAAAGCATTACCATTTTCTTTTTTTCTTCCAAGGTTGCCTCTTTCTTCTTGAGTTGCATGTTTTCTCTTGATTTTTCCTTCTTCTTTTTGAGCCATTCCTGTGGGACCAAACGTGTAAACTAGAACACTGAGAGTCTAACAGGAGCGTTTCTTCCAGGTTGGACTAGTAATCGGTCATAATGAGCATATTTCTACTAACAAGTTTTTATAATGACAACTAAAGTGAACTCTGAAAAATCACTGTCAAAGCATCAGGATTGACTAGAGCTTCATTTGTGTTGCTTCAGTGAGGAGCAAAAATACCAGGACTGATTTTGTGTTTGACTCCACCCACTTTCCTCCATTTACTGGTTACTGTTCTCCACATGACAGGCTCACTATCACACTAACCTGGTAAACAGCAGCTCTCATTGAAGCTGCTTCTTGAGGCTGAGACTCTTGGAGTGAAACTCTGCGATCCAGGACTTTGAGACTCCCCAAATACTTTGACTCCACTTTCTTGGAGCACGTACTCTGAGATCTCTGGGTGGTCTTTGAGTCAGAACTTGGTGTCCTATTTTCAACACAATGACAGACATTGAACTTAATTTCCTGTTCTGGAGCTGAAGGTTTTATATTGTTGCATCTAGATCACCTACCTGCCGTCAGATGCTTTTTCCTGGACATGAGAGGGTTGATCTGAGTGATCCTCCGAGTCCTGCTGAAACACGACAATAATCAGAGCTACGAAGATCTAATCCTATCACAGTAAGAGACTCAGTATATTTAACATACTTTAATAAAATTAATGACTCACATTTAACTCCTCAAATGATGTCGAGTACTTTCTTTCCTCTTCTTTGCTATCATCAGAAAACAAGCTCTCTGAATCAGTAAATGAAATAAAGATGGTTAGTGGGTTGAGAGCAACTTTAAACAAAACCTTAGTATTGAACATGTCACTAATTACTTCTGGATCCAGAGTCAACTGTGGACTTGGTCATGAGCTGTGACAGGTCACTCTTGCTTGAAGAGGACTTGCTGAAGCTTCGTGAAACTGTGTGTTCTTTATCCGTCCACTAAAGACAAAACAAACATGTGGTCCGATTAGAAAAGGTTTCCTTTTTCACCCTTAACCACAAGTATTAAAAAACTAGGCTTGTGTGTGGACTACAGGTCGTTACTGTTGCGGTGCCGTCTGTATCAGTGGAGACAGGAATGGATGCAGAGGAAGTCTGAGCCCCGCTGAGAGCCTCAGGTTCAGCATCTTCAGCTATCTTTTCTGTAACTTGAACGTTCAATCCCAGAGTCCTTTGCCTTGGTTTCGGCCTGGGTGGTTCCCTCTCAGTAGTACTGTCTGTAAAATGAAAGTTAGAGGGATATCACATTTAAAACCCAACTATGTGGAATGTATGTGGCATTTGTAATGCTCTTCGCCTCTCGTGAATGACGCCAAGTTAACTGACCTGCTGAGGAAGCATATTTGAGCTCAGCTGCTGGAAACCGCACAGTCTGTGGAGAGCTGCTCTTCTTTTCTGGTGTAACCGTTCCACTGTTGTCACTTGGTAAAGGTAAAGGCATGTCCAACAGAGTATCCCCTGATGTCTGGTATGACAGAGACCTACTTGAGCTCTGTCTTGAGATCTGAGAATCGCTAAACTCCACATTGCTGCTCTTCGATGGTACATCACCTTCACTGGCAGGTGTGGAGAGTTGTGAGAACCATGAATCTTCATGGTCATTGTTTTGACTGGCTGGTTGGTCAAGAGACTCCTTTTCATGTGATGCTGTTGTGTCTGACGAGGAAGAGCTAATTCTCTGGGTTTTCAAAAACGAGACTCTCTTTGTCCTGCTGTGTTTGCTTTCATCATCTGAAAGCTCAAAGTCATTGATTTTGGTTTTGCTTTTCTCAGCCCTGAGTGCACTGGTCTTCTTTTTCCTTGATTTGAGGAGTTTGTTAAGAAAATCTGTGAAACACAGAATGTCAAAGAACAATCAATCAAACAGTAAATAAAGTAAGCATTTACTATTATTGCACCATTCATGTAATGGAGGACAATGAAAACTGTTTCTAGCCATAATGTACTGACCAAAAGCAAGAATTATTCCTCAACTATAGCAAGGAAATACCAGAGATAGAATAAGAAATACAGTAAATAAGCTAATCAGATGTGAAACATACTCTTACCGAAATATCTAGGAAAATGAAATGAAATAAATTAAATAAAGGAGCATAAAAATGTTAAATTTATGATTCATTAAACAACAATTAGTTAATTTAAAAAGGATTTAGATAGCTGAGTAGCTCAGTAGCTGTCTCCAGTCACAGATACAGTGATATTTACCACAAAAACCCCTATCTCTTGAGGCACTCATGTCCAAGCCCCCCAATCTTACCATCTTCATCCTCGTTGAAGTCATCGGAATACGAGGAGTGGTCTGTTTTGGGTTTGTTTGCCCTGGCAGAGACAGCAGCCTTGAGCTCATCCTGCAAAGACATCAAATAAAGTTGGTATTAAGATTTATCTTCTCATCTGGTCTGACTAATCGAGTCGCATATTGTTACAAAAGACGATAAACAGATTTTTCACCTGAAATGTCGTCCTTCTCGATGTTTTCGGACTTTTCGTGTAAGCAAGTGTCATAAAATCCTCACTTGTCATGCTGAAAGTTTCCTCACAGTTTCCTCCCATCGCCTTTGTTGACATTAGCTTATTAGCTAGTGCCGACATTTGTCGTGAACGATAGCTAACTGGAAAGCTCCAGAGCTACCATTACTACAGTATCAGTTAAAAGCAAAATTTGATTGTTAAGTGCTACTGTGAGCTTCGACCAACGATATACTGCTTCATGCTGATACATGTTACTATCTCACGGCAGAACAACGTTGGTAACTTGTTGATGGTAACCATGGGAGACTTGGCGGACACTTCCGTTTTCTCACTGCGCATGTTCAAAGGTCTATCCGGAACACGTCATCGATAGACGGAGTGCGGAGTTGATGGTTGAGTAAATATACTGACTTTATAAAAATATACACCAACTGAACTGAATGCGCAGAAAAGTTGACGTGTCCAAGTCGTACTGTTAGAAAACAATGTAAAAAAAAAGTTTATGGAAGTAAATCTGTGCCATTTGAGTTTGAATTTGAACTTCTAATGCTGATTTTTTTTTCCATCAAAATCAGACTTTGAATTTCAAAACCATCGAATTTCAAGCACGCATTTTTATTTCTTACACTCATTTTTTTTTTCACAATGATGAAATAAACTCAGTGTATGAAAAAATTGGTCTAGTAGAAATTTGACTTAAAAAACTGTTTAAAAAAATTAAACACAATTCAAAATCAGATTGGATTAGCTGCATTAACTACTGCACCCTAGTAGCCAAAGTAGCATATAGGCCGAGTAAAAAAAAAAAGACACTCATAAACCTAACTGGGTCAAGTTTAACATACATATATACGGAGGACTGAGCTTAAAAGTGGTGTCTTTTTACTAATACATTTGTTTCTTAAGCTTTTCTTTATCGCATTTGTAAGGTGTAACCAACAAATCCACACTAAGTATGAATTACTGAATGCATAGTAATTCATACTTAGAATGACACTTACATAGTGTTTCTTTAAAGCACACCAGACAGATTAGACTGAATTCCTTTTATTTAGTTGTTTTGTTGTAGGAAAAGTGCATAGTTTAAGCCTCTTTTCTCATGTACAGTAACAGTGTAAATCATTGTCTCCTGTGCTATTCATCTCAACAGTCTAGTATGGCTTCCCATTTTATCTGACCGATGGTTTAATTTTCCTGTCATCTTCTTTCTTCTCTCTTTGAATGAGGTAACATTCTCCGAGTGTATTAGTTGATGTGGAAATGACAAGAAGCCATTGAAGACTGTCGAGATGAACTAAGCTCATACAGTTAAAGAGCTGATCAACCTGCTGAATATTTTAGATAATACACTCAAGAAAGATCCTTTACTTGAAGCATAATCCATTTCATTGCTGAAATTACTCCAGAGCACAGACCAAGTCCTGGAAAAACTTGAATGGCGTTGTCACCATAGAAGATACATGAGTAAAATAACTAAAATAGAAAACCTACTACCATGTACTGCATCCAAAAGCAGATAATAAACACAAACATATTTTGATTTGCAGAGGTCTTGTAAAAGAGAATAAAGATTTCTTACTGGAGAGGTCACCTTTCAGAAAGAAATATATGATAGAAACATGTACTGCAGATCCCCCAGACCCTTTCATCAGTTTAAAGAGTAAAATTACTTCATCTATACGGTTTTTAAACAAGACCCTCCTACTTTGTAAAAGCAATTGAAACCAGTACTGTAAATGAAGATTAGCACTGGCTTTAACAGCTCCTTTCCCCCCCTGTCTTTTCTTGTCTTTTCTTGTCTTTCTTCTCCATTCCTTCCCCTCATACAGTATTATACAGAGGTTGCAAAGTCGAAACCTTGGTGTGCACCTGTTAATGAAAGACTCCTGAGGTTTAAATAAGAAAGACCAGGCACTCATCTCTGCAAATCTTCACACATCAAAAAGGAACCGACATACAACAACAAAAAGTGCTAAAGAAACATGAATCTTGAATACAAAAAAGCCAGTATACAATTCTTATTTTTGACTTCAAACAAAAAGATAATTAAAGTGCAAAGAATCATTTTAAGATGATAAAACTTACTTTGCTTGCTGTGATTTTATTCAGTTTTCATTAAATGAAATGTAATCTTTCTGCTGGTTTAAACATAATTCTATAACGGTGTGTGATATTGACATCAGTACTGGCAGTCTAGAGATGTGTACAGATAAAAGACAGGAATCAGGAACCCGTCACCTTTCATTACTCAACAAGAGCAGAAACAACATCAAAAGTTCCCCAAAATAAACTTCCTGTAACCCCACCCTTTCCCCCATTGGACTCATTCCTTCATTTAGAGTTTCTGCAGGTCTGTCAACACTAAAGCTGGTATCAGAAACAAACTCAAAACAATACAACAGCCTCAGATTATAACATTTGGAGAACACCCAGCTATATTTCAACATACTAGTGTCACTGGCTAATGTAAATGTCTGAAGGGAAAAACTTTTTTAGTATTTGTTAATCTCTTTGAAGTTTTGTGTTGGGGAAAAAGTGTGTCCATAACATTGGGTTTTAACACATCTTATCCTTTTCGGTAAGAATATGTTCCGCTAAAAAAATCTGTATTTACCTCTGTATTATCAGATTTTTGTGTTTGTATTTGGCCTCATCAAACAAGAGAGAGTTTGTGTCCTGATAGTAGGACTCGTTGGCTGGTCCACAGCAAAATAAAGTCAGAAAAAAAAAGACAGAAAAGTCATAGATGTTTGGAGAAAGCTTGGCAGGGAGATGGTCGCTGGTCACTGGGAATTTGTCACTGTGCAGTTCCAGTCAGAGTAGGTGTCAAAGAGCAGGTGCTCGGCTTTGACTGCTAATCAATGGGAGGTGGGGGGGGCTCTCTTCTGTCGCTCTGAAAACCAAGACAAACGATTGTAAATCTTAACTTCAGGGAAAAATGAAAAGTCTTCAAAATGCCAGATTTAGGTCACAGTAAAAAGAAAAGTTAACTGCCTCTCTGACTGCGCTAAATTCAACTAATTTTCTCTTATTCAGGAAAATAATCACACATCACAGGTGTTTAAAGTAACTCTAAGGATGGATGAAATACTCTTGACTGGTCTGATTTCAGTTTCCTCTGAGGGACCTCTAGATACAGCTGAGCCAATTATTAGAAGTAACATCAGTGCTTTACTTGCTAAAATTTTAGAAAAAAAACTAAAGAAGACTTTTGAAAATGCACGCCACTACACATATTTTAATATTTCTTCATTACAAAGGTGGGACAGCAGTCAGTACTGACATTGTGGGGTCCAGAGGGTTTGGCTGTTTGACTGGGACCTCTGAGACTGGATGGACGCAGCAGGTACAAGATAAGAGCCAGCACCATCCATCCCATCATAATCATAGGGAGGGTCAGTTCTCCACCCCCACCGACTGGACCACTTGGACCTGGCACTGAAACCAAATACAACTTTAGACCCTGAAAATAAGCAGTCAACACTGACAGGATCATAAGTGAAGTTACGATTTTACACAATATTAGACAAACATCTATCAATAAATCTCATACTGACATATTTAGACTCTAATCTGTGTAGTATTTATAATAATGTATTTAATGGTCATACATACATTCCTGAAAGCATTCGGTGTCTGTACAGTAAGACTGAGAATTCCTCAGCTGAAAAAAAACAGAAATCACATTGAATCACATTAATTGTAGTGAGAGGAAATTGTCATAAATATTGTTTACATACAGTTATAAAGACCCAAGTTCAGCTTGCAGTTGCCAAAAGCTAATTTTCACATATGAACGATAAAAAAAAAAAAAGAAAGAGCACGTCATGATTCTTGTAGTCTGGTTTATTTCTGATAGGCCTACTGTTCTGCGAATTCTTAAGTTGGTTAGACAACATACTTTTCCTGCTGCAAACAAACCAGAAATCCCTGGGGCACCTGCAGGCTCTGAGCCAACTGCAGATTGCCATGCAAGATACACCTGTGCACAAAGAGGCAATCAGGTTGCCTGGAAACAGACACTACTTGTAATTACACAATGTTCTTTCTCTGTAAAGTTACTTAATACTTTGGTCTCTTCACTTTTTTACAAAAAGCTTTTCATTAAGAAAAGCCAAAAAGTACAAACACAATTCAAATCTGACAGTGGACAGGGGGGTGGCAGAGAGAAACCTTACTGCGTGGCCAATCTGATAGGAGCTGAGGATAAACAAGGAAGAGGAACCAGGATATGAAGGCTGAGCGTCATCTTTTCTTTTCTTTCCTTGGAAACTTGCTGCTGGTTTCTTCACTTCTTCCCTTTCTCCACTTTACAGCAGGGTATACTTAATCTTTGAACAACACACTTGAAATATTTTGACCTGGCCCTGCTCTATCATAGCAATGCCTAACAATAAAAACTGTTTATTTTTTTTTAAAAGGACCTACCAGGTTGATGAGGCGCCTCATGGCGTACTCATGGTTGCAGATGCATTCACACGGGTCAAAGCCTCCCTCTGCCATTTCTCAGTCGATGTCCACCTTGGTACAAAACAAAAGATCTGTGAGGAGCAAGGACTTCCAAGAATAAGAGCCAGAAACCTAATGCTGCACCCTGTTGTTGTATTACATGCGTGCTGTGCTCACATTAGAGGGTGGAGACTGCTGAGTTTAAGACAGACGGCAAACCTTGTGGCTTTAATATCTTGCATGTCTTTCAGGTTTTTGTCAACTGCACAGGCTGATGCAATGCTTACTGCTTGTGATCATCATTTACAATTACGCTGCAGTAATGTAAAATATTAAAGCAACCTTAAAAGGTGAACAATAAAGCTATTAACCAACTATCTAAAATGAAGGTCATTCTGATGTTAATTCTATTATAAGCCTTTGTTAAATTTAATCCAACCAGCAACTGCCACACTGAGGATGACGGCTCTGCGGGGTGGGTACTTATGCTGCTAGGTTGACTTGCACCCCAGTGACTTTTAAAAAAAGACTGGGAGCAGCATATTTTTATAACTCTTTCCATTAAAGAGTATTTAACATTTACGATCTTGCACCTGTTGTTTGCTGATCTTTCTTTTTTTCTATGTTGCTTGTACTTCCTCATTTTTGCACTCTTATCTGTGTGTCTTAAAGTTTGTAATTACACGAGACACATCTTGAGCATCTTGGTTCTGTGACTCCATCATATATGAGCCAACTGCTCGTATAAGCATACAACCAAATGGTTCATATTCATCAGGACGATAATTTCAGAAAGTAAAAATGTCAGTATTCTAGGCCCATTACATGTAAACTTAAATTCTCGGGGTCTTTTTTAATTTATTGAAAACTATGGCCTGCACCTCAAAAACTGCACGTTCAAGTTCAATATGAGTTGATTCCTATTCAAACAGAGGAAATACTATCTCTTGGCCTAGAAAACACACAACCACAACAATGGGGGAGACTGCTGACTTGATAGTCATCCATAATGAACAGCCTCAGAAAGGAGGGTAAACCACAGAAGATCATTGCTGAAAAAGACAGCATCTCAAAGCATATCAATGGAAAGTTGAGTGGAAGGAAGTGTGGTAGGAAAGGGTGCATGAGCAACAGGGATGATCGCAGCCCTGAGAGGATGGTCAAAGAAAGAGGACTCTGAAGAGGACCTCACAAGGAGTAGACTGACGTCAATGCATGAAGAGCCACCACTCACAGATGTCTCCAGAAAAGGTTACGACTGCTGCTTTCCAAAACATCAAGCCAGTCCTAAACCAGAGATGTCACGAGTGTTATACCTCGGCTGAGGGGACAAAAAAAACTTGACAATAGCTCAGTGGTCCAAAGTCCTCATGTAAAGTTCAAGGTTTGAATTGTATTTGGAAATCCAGGTCCTGTGGTATGGTGGAAGAGTGGAGAGGCACAGAATCCAAGGTGTTTGGAGTCCAGTGTGAAATATCTGCTGTCTCTGGTGGTTTGGGATGTAATGTCAACTACTGGTGTTGGTCCACTGTGTTTTATCAAGTTCTATGGAGATGCTCCTTTTCCAGCAGGACTCTGCACCTGCCCACAACACCAAAACTACCACCAGATGGCTTGCTGACTATGAAACTACTGTGCTTGACAGGCCAGCCAACTCACCAGGTCCCTTAAAGAATCTAGGGAACATTTGTCAAGAGGAGGATCAGAAACATCAAAACTTCATAAACACCACAGGCTAATAACCTAAATACCACACAGTGCAGTGATTTGGGGTAAAGGTACGGTGGCCGAGAACCGCCACTGCTGCAAATGAAAAAAAAAATAATAATAATGAAAAAAAAAGTTACTAAGAAAATAAGAGGAAGCAAATAAAAAAAAGCCACAATGGAAGTGAGCTGCCGGGGACCAATAAAGATGATGCTCCGTTGTTTTACGATCTAGGCACAAAAGACAACGGCGAGAAGACGAGCAAAGAAGTAAGTGGAAAAGTTATTGTTTAATTTCACTTTGTGTACTTTTCAATGTGTCATTTGGTCAATGGCAGTGAGCTGCTAGGGACTAATAATGATGATGCACCGGTGTTTTACGATCTAGGCACAGAAGACGACAGCAGGAAGACGAGCAAAGAAGTGGAAAGGTTGTTGATTAATTTCACTTTGTGTACTTTTCAATGTGTCACTTGGTTAGGCCATGTAGCGCCTGAGTTGATATGAAGTTAAAATAGAGGATAACCAGGTAGTATTAGCCTCAGTTCAACTTCATATTGACTCAGGCGCTACATGGCCTGTGCCTTGATTGTTAAACGCCGGTGCATCATCATTATTAGTCCCCAGCAGCTCACTTCCGTTGTGGTTCTTTTTAATTTGCATCCTTTAATTTTCGCAGTACCTAACTTTTTTTCTATCCATCACCACTTTTTTGTGTTATTAACTTCTGATGTGGCTTTTTTTTATTATTATTATTATTATTATTTTTTAATCTGCACCCTTTCTTTTTTATTTGCAGCAGACTTCAGGTTCTTTCTTTTTTTATTATTCGCATCAGTAACTTCCGTTGTGACTTTTTTAATGCATTCTTCTTTATTTGCAGCAGTGGCGGTTCTTGGTCACCATACTAGGCACCCCAGACGAGCGATAAGTACATATATAAACATATTTTACAAAAGTTTGCCATTTTTATATTAAATCATTTTTATTGAACTTAAGAATTACCACAATAATTTGAGATAATGGATATAAGCCATTATCATCTAAATAAAAAACAAAAACAAAACAAGACTTGATATATTTCACTCTGCACAACACGTTTCTATGAATGTAGAGGTTTACCTGTTGAATTAAAATACAAAGAAACAACTTTTAAAAGGACAGCCTACTCTAAATAATTGAAACTATTAAAGTGCAACTGTATATTAATGCAACACTGACCTGCAAAGACTCTTGCATTTCGGCTCAATGTCAAACTCTATACATTACATAAAACATGGGCACATTTTAGTTTCCATGACCGTCTGCCTGAATATTTTGAGAGTGACGTCAAAACAGGCCAGATGATTTCGACCCTGAAACTGAAGCTTGCGGAGTTCAACATTCACACGGTAACTTATTTAGCTGACGTTAGACTAGCTCCGCGCTCACCTCGCCATCAAACCCACTGAATCCACAGCTGTTTTTATGTCCGCCTATTAATGAACATGTAATTAGTGACAGATGTGGAAGAGACATGGTATCGAAACACGACTTACTTCGTCACCTCGTAGATGAAAACACAACGTTAGATGTCTTCAATAGACATAGGCTGGGCTGCAGTTGCACAGTCGGTCTCCACAAGACCGTAAAACAGCCGTAATTCAACCCACCGTCCGTGTTTGTTTGATACACATGAGCAAACCACTCAGCTATTCTTCATGACAGACATCCGGGTGTGTTATGGGGGCGCGGCGTAGACGGAGAGGGGCGTTTAAATAATTTCATTGGTCTAAAACGTTGATGGGCGGGTCTTTGAGCCAATCACAATAAGATACGATAAAGGCGTATGGATTGTAAACAAACGGCTGAACTGCCTATTATCTTGCATAGATATGTGAACTTCAACATCTCCATAGCTGTAGAACTAAATAAACAAAAGGAGATTGCTATACCAAAATCCTTAAAATTAAAAGAGAACACTGTGATTTTTATTAGTTTAAGATTGCTTTGGATAATTTGTGGATATTTACTGTTGGTCTACATACAAAACAAAACAAAACAAAACAAAACAATAGTCCTCAGCACAAAAATCGCTATCCCACAAAATCATATTAAGTTTATGGCAGTGTGCACAGAGATCAATAATAAAGGTACCAACCGACACTAACTAACTAACCAACTAACTAACTAACTAACTAACTAAATAAATAAATAGATAAATGTATTTATTGTCTTTGGCATTAAATGTTCCAGACTTGATGAATGTTTTGTGAATAAAGTCTGAAAAGGGTCAACTGTAAAATAAGTGGCGTTAAGAACAGTAATCCAGTTCTTTAACGGTGCTAATCCAAATAAATTTTGCTCAAAAAGATATTGACATTTTCCTTTTTTTTTTTCGTCTCACCTAACAATTGGACTTGGCAACCAATATTTCGCAAATGTCTTGAACATAAAAGCAGCTTTGGAAACTGAAAATGAAAGCACTTAAGAAACAAAAAAAAAACGTATGACATAGGGGAGAGTGGGGTAAGATGAGCCATTTTTCATATTTCGGATCACTACATCAAGGCAATCATAGTTTTGTCTCTAACTAGTGTATCTGCATAAATTTCAAGATGTTGTGCATCCCTGCAAACCAACAGAATGAGTGTAAGCATAAATGTCTTAATAATATAGCATGCCAAAATTAAGTGGTCTCCTATGGTCAACTTACCCCGTGTATAGGGTAAGTGTCTGAACTGAAACTCTGAACCTCTTATTAGACTCCTTTACTTTCTCTACCCCAGAACTACTTTTATGACTTTATTAGTCCTCTAAGCTAAAATGGTGGACTTTTATGCTAGGTTTTTGACCTGATGTTGTAGCTCATAGATACCACAAGTGATGTATGAAACAAATTTAAAATTATCTTTTTTGGACTGAACATAATTCTAAAAAAACTGATGACAGACTATATTCACTAGTCTGTCATAAGCGTGTAGAAACAGTTGCTTCTTTTAAGTCACATTTAAAAACTCACTTTTACAGACTTGCTTTAATGTGATGCTGTCTTTTCTCTTTTTTTCTTTTATCTCTTTTACCTCTATCTTATTCCGACTTACTATCCTTTTAACCTTTGTTTTACTTATAATCTTTTCTTATTTGACCTTTTAGGTCCTTTATTGATTTCATTATTTTTTCCTGCTCATTTTTATTATTCCATTTTATCATATTACCATCATTATTATTTTATTATATTTATTAATATCCTCTGTTTTTAAAAGTGCCATATAAATAAAGTTATTATTATTACTATTATTATTACTTTCAAGAGTGAAAAATGTGTTTGTTTGGTTTTTTGGAGATAAATGTCTAACCCCTTCACCCATGTGCTTCACGAATTGATGTCCATGTCCTAAATATTTGGTCACATGATCAATTTCTTTTACCATTTCCAAGCAACAGGGGGTGGCTCAATTTACCCTTTGGCTCATTTTACCCCACTCTCCCCTAAAATAGATTTAATATCCCAAATTTTAAAAAGTGCTGGAACTCATATGTCATTGGCACATGATGAGAAATACCCTGAAAAATGCCAGAATAGCACAAAAGCCCATTTAGCAGAGTTCATTAATGAAAGTTCCAGTTTCCTCCTCATCGAGCTGCATTGTGTGTGTATGTATCTGTATGTGTGTGTGCTGTTTGTTCTGGACTCACTTACGGTGTGCACTGGTAGGCAGGCAGCAGTACACGGCAACGCTGAGCTGCCTGTGAGGTAAAAAGAGAAGCGACAGACGGTGAAAGTGGAAGGACGGCTTCCTAACAGTGAAAAGCACCGAGTAAGCAGTCCCCATACAGACGGTCAACACAGGGAGAGAGAGGCCCCGGGTGTAGCTCGAAGGCAGGAGCGGTTCAGCAGACACAGCCATGGCTAACATCGCGGCCCAAAGAATCAAGCGGGAGTTCAAAGAAGTTGTCAAAAGCGAAGAGGTGCGGTAACGTTACTGCTTATTCTGTATCTCTGTAGGTTGTTTTTTCTGTGTAAATTCCTTTAAAATCTCTACAGTCTGTTGCCACTACGACAGAGACAAAAAATACCTTCGCTAACGTCAGGTCTCACAGTCTGGTGTTGCAGTAGGTCAGGCCTAAAGAGAACAACTTCAGCTAGCCTGAGATCACTGACTGCCCGAACCTGTGCTATTATGTCAGGTGGGAGTGTTCAGGAAACACGGGGGCTTTGTCAACTAACAGGCCCCTTGTGTTTCACAAACAATACCGCATATCTTTGGGTAGTTATCACGCTAAAATTAACTTAACTTGTGCGACACAGGCCTTTTGTTTTTATACTGTGTTAACCATCAGACTTTGTAGCTGACGTTTCGTGTATGCTAACAGAAACGTTAGTTTGACATCTCACTTTCGGCTAGCGTTAGCCTGTTTTGTTATGCTAGAACGTACTCTAACTGGATCACATTTACTGAACCTTATTCAACATAACATGAGAACAATGTGGGTCTTTTAAAGGGTGTATTTTGTCATCGGGCTATCCGTTAAGTCCTAGTATTATGGGCTTTGCTCTTTTTGTTAGCTATCCATGTTGCCATCATTATAAAATATCATAACCTCTCTGTAAGTGTCTGACACTACATACGATTTAAGTCCCCGGCATTTTAAAGGCAACGTTTTTACATGGATGTACATTAGTATATAGGGCTGGGCGATATGGGAAAAAGTTTCTCATGATATATTTTTTTCATGTCAGTCGATATCTATATAGATAACGATATAATAAATGATATAAAAGCATGTCTTTAGCAATTGACCGGTTTCAGAAAGCAGGACATTTCTTATTAGTTTACTACCGGAGTGAACGGAGAAATAAAATGACAAGGAGCTGTTGCGCTGTAAACTGCACGAATCGGCAAACAAAAAAATCGGTAAACATTACGACCTGATAATAGTAACATCTAAAACAACGTCACAACCTGGTAAATTAGGTGTAAATCATGGATATTTCAGCAAGTGTTTTTCTGATTTTTCAATGAAGTGACATTTTATTCCAATTGTGTCAGGGAAAACTCGCAAACAATACGGCATCTTCATTGATATCAGTCCACTCCGAAGCAGGCTTTTGCCCCATGGTTGCGCGCCAGTGTTGTTTTCGTTGACGCCCCTTTTTTTCCACGACAAAGACGTGACGTTTGCGAGCTAAACTTAAGTCTTAGATGACTAAAATGTGACGAAACAAATGTGCGTTTACGTTTACGTTGACGAGACGAGACTAGACGAAAACGTTAGCGGTGGAAGACGAATAGAGTTGCAAAATTCAGGAGCATTTCGTTAGTCAAACGCTTAACATACATTCTGCAGTGTTGTTTTTATTGACGATTATGTAGATGAAATATTTTCATCAACGAAAACAACACTGTTGCACGCACAATAAGCCACTGCGTCTGTTAGGACTTTGTGTCTCCTTGATGTTATGTCGTAAAGCGTTTTGCTAGAGAAAGTGGACTGAATGGTTGGCTGTTTCGGCTGCACAGGCGCCACGGGTTTCTTGCGCCGCTCTGGGTTTGTAGTGCTGTCGGCTTCACGTGTTAAAGTGCTATGGTTGCACGCAGCTGCAACCTGCTACTATGCAGTTGTTCGCTACTTGGTTCTTATTCAGCACATGATTGGTTCAGTGCGACTCCCCTTTCCATCGGCTAGTTGTATAGTCTACCAACACATGACAGAATGCAGGTTATCGAAAAGCATATTGATTTTAAGGGAAATTTCGATATCATTATCGTTTTATTGCCCAGCCCTTTTAGTATGTCATGAATATGTGTTTTAATTCTTGAATGGACATTGCTAGACACAGGTTGATGTCAAAGTAACCGTTCATGTTGTTTCTCACATTTCTCTTGATACACAGACAAGTAAAAACCAGATAAAAGTAGATATGGTGGATGAGAACTTCACAGAGCTGAGGGGGGAGATAGCAGGTCCTCCAGATACACCGTATGAAGGTACTGTCACATTCCTGTAATGAAACTTCCTGGTGATATATGTGCTTTAAAAAAGCAAGGGGTTGTCACGCCTAATTCTTGTCTTTTCTTCTTCTTGATTCAAGGTGGGAAATATCAGCTTGAAATAAAAATTCCAGAAACCTATCCTTTTAACCCACCAAAGGTATGTGCTTCAGACACTATACAACACTTGGTGCTTTTGTATGGCTTTTGTATGACTGGTCGTGGATACAGCCCAAAGAAATTGAGTTTTTGAGAACAATACAGACAACAAACTAAAGCGAATAGTTGACTTATTATTAGCATAGTAGTAGCATCACTAGTATGGCTTTGCAGATGTTGCCATCCTTAGAATTATAACTTTGACATGATTTGCACGTAGGAGGGAATGCATTCTTATTTTAAAAAACGGGTCTGACTGAAGTTGAGATACTCTGATCTAATGCCAGAAGCTTATTTTAAAAACACAATTTATTTTAGCTTGTTTTGACAATTTTCTGCCTTACCCTTGGTCCCTCAACTCCAGTTATTTGGTAGATTTAAAGATATTATGACTATCTGTGTATTCACATCAAGGTCTGTTACTGACAATTCAAAGAGTCAATTGTAGTTTTGCCTCTGTCTTTGATAACAGAGTGCAGATGGAAAAAAGGTCAATTCAACAGAGTTCAGGCAGCCAGAAAATAACCATCTAAACCAAACCGGTTATGTAACTCGGTACAGAATTTACTGAGAACTACAGAGTTGTTGGGGAATCATAGTCACTCCTACGCACTCACAGATCAGAAACCAGAGTACGGTGTAAGTGTATGGGGAATCCTCGTGTCATAGACTCATCTATTCCTATAATTATGATGGTAACATGATGAAGTTTATAAAAAAGCTGCAGAGGAACAGATCCTTCCTTCTTTTTAGTCATCTAATGACCTGACAAATCCCATTCTTCCTTCTTCACAGTTAAACTATGATAAAAACTATGATGATAAAAACAAGTGGTCGGTCCTTATTGGTTTGTCAGTGATGGATGCTGATGATTAGGGAGCAGTTTGACAAATGGCTGATTTATGATGTTGATACCACATCATTGGATTTTGTGCAGTTATAAAATATGACAATTTAATCACAGCAAATGCGAAACAAGTCATGTCTAAACCAATTATTCCATTTACTGAACAGTCTAGTATACATGGATTTTTGTGGCCAATAATTTGTTTTAGATGGATTTTTGCTCAATTTTTAGAATAGAAAACAAATATGCCAGAGGTTCCAGAGCATGACTTAAAAAAGCACTGTTCTGGACTTCACTACATTCTATGAACATCAGACTGTAGCTGGTATGCTGTCATTTATGATAGTAAACATATCATTTAGAAAAGGTGATTATGAAATTTTGAGGACACTTCATGGCAGATTGCACAAACGTTAAAGTAAAAGCACAGGGTTGTGTAAGTATGTCTGCCACCTTCCCCAAACTGTCCGTTAGCCTTTTTGAATGTTTTTAAAGATTATTGAGATAAACCAAAGAGCCAATCTAAGTGAACAAACTTAATACCATTGCAGTTTGCTTATATACCATCTATCATGTGACCAGAGGTAACAATAACATGGGTTCCCGTGGTGTTCGCAGACACTTTTTGGGGATTTTAATTGGCCTCTCAAGTGCAGATGTTGGCAGATGCTGAATTATTTTGAAATGTCGTTAATAAATCCAATCAATTCATCTATCTCTGTTAAAAACAAACATGAAGAAGTCTAGTCTATAGTTTTGTGATCATAGTCAGACGTATTTAGTGACAGCTTCCACTGCTGAACTAACTCTACCTCAGTGTGAACGTCAAAGTGTAATACTTGCCTTCTCCTACTCTGTTACCATACCCCTGTTCATCTTCAACACCTCTCTCTCTCTCTCTCTCTCTCTCTCTCTCTCTCTCTCTCTCTCTCTCTCTCTCTCTTAGGTGCGTTTCATCACTAAGATCTGGCACCCTAATATCAGTTCTGTAACAGGAGCAATATGTCTGGACATTTTAAAAGATCAGTGGTGAGTGAAATGTATATCTGAACCTTATGAGGTCCTGTATTCAAAAGCTTTCACACTCTGCGTCAGACTCGAGTCAAACCATATTTGTAAATCTTGCTCTCACAGGGCAGCTGCCATGACCCTGCGGACGGTGCTGTTGTCTCTACAGGCTCTTCTTGCTGCAGCAGAACCAGATGATCCACAGGATGCTGTTGTAGCAAACCAGGTTTGTTGTACTCTCATGTTTAACTTCTTAGGATTTTTTGGTCTTGTGTGAAAAGTCACACAATCTTTCTCAAAATCCACTGTTTCTGATGTCTTTCCCATTTAACCCTTTTTACTGTGTTTTCTCTGCATCTTAAGTATAAGCAGAACCCAGAAATGTTCAAACAGACTGCCAGGCTGTGGTCTCACGTCTATGCAGGCGCTCCTGTATCCAGTCCTGATTACACACGCAAAATAGACAAACTTTGTGCCATGGGCTTTGATAAGGTCAGGACCACTTTCTTCTTGTTATACTGTCAGTGTGTTACATTATCATTATTATTATTGTTGTTATTGTTTATTCAGGGGGGTGTGATTTATCTAGCTCACTATGATACAATCACTCAAGCGTCAGATAATTGATGGGCAATAGTTTAAAAATCAGTGAATTTTTTTGTCACTGTGATAAAAATGACACTTGAAGATTTACTGTTTCCGAGCTCTTGAACATTGATATTCTCAGTTTTTTTAAATTATCTTTGATTGGAAATGGAATATCTTTTGGTTTTAGGTGGTTTATCCTGTAGAAATAACTCATTTAGGGACACTAGTACATTTTGTATTATGTTTATTATTGTTTATTAAAGCAGTACTTTAATCTACACTGAAAACATAGTCATAGGTGTTGTTAGTAGAACTTGTTTTAACATTTACAGTTACAGTTGATCTTATCTTGACTTTGTAAAGTAGGACTTGTATTCCAGCCATTTCTAACTTGATTTCCCTGCTTGCTTACAGAATGCAGTAATAGCAGCCTTGTCTTCAAAATCCTGGGATGTAGAAACAGCGACAGAGCTGCTTCTCAGCAACTGAAACCCTGCCAGGTGTGAGGATCCTCCATCATAGCTCCCCACGGCACCATCCCACCATTGCCTTTGTTAAACAGACAGCCCCCTTCTTTTCCCAATTCACTACAGCAGTCTGAGCCTGCTTTTAAAACAAGTTTGTTTGCTACAGACTCAACACGGGTAGCCCTACAATCTTCCATACGCAGCACACCACCCTGTTGCCTGTCTGACTCCATCTGTCCATTATAAGTCTGTTTCTTCCACTAACTCAACCTGTATAAAAAGCCACCACAGTCTTTCAGCCATGCATCTTGCCTTCCATTTCCTTCAATCATGTTTGCTCTGCAGCTTTCTCTCCTTATCTCCAATTTCTGTTCATTGTCGCAGAGAATCAAATAACTGCCATCGTCTGTAGGATTTTCCAGGGTAATAATGTTGAGGATATTCTGAACACTGCTGTCATACCAAACTGCAATCTCCTCCCCACCTGACCCAGTTGGATTCTATATGGACATGAAACGCTATTAAGATCCCGCTGGAATTAATCGAAGCGACTGGAGTGGGTGTGATGGGTAACTCTTGATCAGCAAATTGTAGATGTTTGAATCAACGCAGAGCTTTCAATAAACAGGTTTGTTTTCCATTTGTAGAATCAGTGGACGTCACACATCGAAAAAAGTCAGCAAGAAGAGAAAAGTTATCTGTAAATAGTGGAATGTACATTTGAAGATACATGGGGATATACTTTTTTCTTACATTGCATTGTAAAACAAAGTTATTTTAAATATAAACTATGTCTAGTTTACAGTTATAATGTAGAAATATCTCTTAATGCTTTTGTGAGCCCCGGAGAAATCCCTCTAAATATCCTGCTCTGGGTTTTTTCTTTCTTGGAGACAGTTGTTAAGGGGGCTCAGCCAAAATCCTGTTGCTAACAGTGGGGGAGGTGACGGTCAGCTCAAGCCTGAGACGGTCATTACACTTCACCTTTTCTGCAATCCCACAATCCAACCTTTTCTTGTGTCTTATTATCGTCCTTGCATGTTCTATGCTGCCTTTCTTTTGTTTGGCCAAACGACGTGGTGATGGGGCATCTGTTAGATTTAACGTCTTCTCTGAGTCGTGGAGCTTTTGCAAAGACTCTTTCTGAACCTGTGGGAAGATGCACCTGGATCCTCTGCTTGGCAAGCCACTTTTTCTTTAAAGCACACCCAGTTTGGCTTCATATTTGTGGGGAACCAAAGCCTTTTTCTGTCATTTTCTCAAATATGTTGCTGGAAAATGTTCTTCTCTACTTTGAGCAGGGGATAACTAAACCTCCAGGAGGAAAGGAGAGATTTTGAATGCCATTGATTTTGTGATGCTGTGGTTGTTTTTAAACTTGTTCTCAGAACAATCGTTTTCATCCATGCGCACGATGTTTCAGCCACGGATTACGGATCTGCTGTCCCTCTCGGTCCTGATGTTTATCATTAAAAGGGGCTTCATCTTGAATAACTGATCCAGTCCAGCAGTTCTCAATCAAAACTTTGGCCATAAAGAGGTGTATAGGTAATGTCCTATATGTCTGATCATGCTTTACTACACAGCCAAATAAAATGCTCATTGAGGTTGTCTATGAATGATGTCTTCTGAGTGAAAAGAGGCTGGAACTCCTCTGTTGTGTTATGAGGCAGACGGCATCTCTGCACAATGTCTTCACGTGTTTTGGTTTGAGGATGATGGACTGTAAAGGAGTGTTCTGCGCGATTGGAAGTGGGGTCTTCAATCCTCACACATGGCCTTTTTTTTAAGACATCGTCTTTCCGCTCGGTCTCATATGACAGTACAACACAGATATCATGCACCTCCATTGATGGTGAACCATGTCCAGCCAAGGCCCCCTCCCCCTCCAAACACTCATAGTAAGGGGTCCACATCATCTTGTAAATACTTGGGTCCTGGTTAAGGAACTGTGTCATTATCACTAGAGTGCACCATCGATAGCTGGATCTATATTTTGTAATAAAAAGAAAGGACAAAAAAAGGAAGAGAAGCCCCCTCCTCCCTGTCTTCCTGGTGTTGTATGTACAATATTGCACGATGAAGAAGCATAAAAACAAGGGGCTGTTGCATCTCGGTTTCTCCATTTGGATTGAGACTTTTTTTCCTCTTTTGTTTCCTTGGAAGCAAGCATCAGCAGTATAAAAAAGCATGGTTATTTATTGTGACAGTGTCATGTTTCTTTGATTAAAAAAAGTTGAAAATAAAGTATGTAATCCTTGTGGGTTTTTTTCCCCCAAACTGCACTAAATAATCAAGAAGAATGCACTGAGTAGTACAATCTAAATGCAATTTATTTTTTCTGGAAAAAAAAAAATCAAATATCAAGAGAATAGACGTACTTTTGAAAACCCTGCAAGTTTCCCCCCTGACTCCTGACCAGCCTTGGCTGTGAGAAGTGTCCAGGAACATTTGACAACTTACATTGCCCGTAAACATGTTGAAAATAAACCCAAACACACACCAATCACCTAAAAATGGAAGTTCAACAACAGATTGGGAGTTTCTAGCTGGCCTTGCGACGCCATTACCCAGCTAAAGCATCCGATTACAACAGAATTGAAAGGATGTTGGCATTAGGACATATCTGCAGCAGATTTTCCTCACGCTGGCTATTCAAATTGTTTAACCGCTAAGTAGCATGAAGGGGTTCACAATAGAGGACTGTAAAAGAGAAAAAAACCTGTAAAAAACGATGTGAGGAGCAAAGAGGAAAAGGTCAGGACACATAATTTAGGATTTTTTCCCCAGGGAATTTAATAAGCAACAATCATAACCAGATTAAAACGTTTGTAAAATGTCCATCCTGTTTTTTTTTTTCTTAAAAATGGCTCCACAAAAGAAGCAAAGAGCAACAAACACAAAAAGAAAAAAAATAACATGGTTTTTTTAAGACCTACATACAATGAGTTCAAATAATGACTATTAAGGTATTTAAAACCTTCTAGGATGTCAGTGGTGTGTGTGTGTGTGTGTATATGTGTGTATACATGTGTGTTTTTAAGAAAGGTCCCTAATGTGTCCATGAAAGCTTTAAAGGTCAGAGAGCATGTGCGCAGGGTAAAGAAGGTATGAGGAAGAGTCTGGCCCATTTTCTCTACCGTCTTGATTTCGTCTTCACTGGTTTCCTCTTTACCTGAAAGACAAAATATGGACTCAGTTTCATCATCTTAACACAAGTTTTCCTCACAGCAGACATCATTTCTGATGCTTCCTTTATCTAGTTGTGGTGGACCTGCAGTTTTAACATGAATTAACACTTTGTTGGAATCAATGTAAATAACCATTAAGGTGGGCTCTTTTCATGTTATCCAATGGAGCTTCTTGTTTATGAGCAACTTGTGATATCATGGTAATATGTCCCACCGTCCCCCACTCTCACTCACTGCAAATCTGTCATCATCAGTGTGTGTGAGGGTTCAGTACTGATACCTGATTTATCTCTGAAACTATGTCTCTAAAAAACTAAGTCATTGTGTGAGGGTGATCTGTTCAGAGACTTCCAGAGACTCACTGCCAGCCTGCCTGTCCTGTCATTACCGTCGTACACTCCCTGATCTCTCCTCTTTGTGGACTCGATATCTCCCTGGGTGGATCTCTCTCTCTCTCTCTCTCTCCTTCCTGTCACAGATAACGCCCTCTGGGCTGGATTCCAGCTCTTTCTCAGTGTCACCCTCACTGCCTAGGTGGTGGGTGGATGACCCTACAGCTCTCCCTGTCTCTTCTCCAGGCCCCCACACTCTCAGGTGTTCCATATCTTTGCTCACAAATAGCCAACTAAAGAGAAGATGTTAAACATCTGAAGTATGATAGGACACCTGTGGACGGAGACACACTACAAAGCTCAAAGCATCACCTTTAAACCTTTCCATGCCAGTTCCTGATGTGTCTCATATCAACCAACTTTACAAATACATGACGCTGCAAATACAACGACCTTATTTCTCTTTGTGTGTCTCTCTTCACTCTCACCTCTGCAAGTCAATCTGTCTCTTTGTCCCTTCGTCATTCTGCTGTTTTGACATCTTGGCGTTGATCGAGTCTGTTGATGGGTTGGAGTTGGGATCTGCTGCTCGCTTTCTTCCTCTGCCAGCCCCTGTAGGTACTGCTGCTCCCTCTTTGTCAGCCCCTGTAGGTGCAGCAGTGGTCGATTTAGGAGGACGGCCACGCCGTTTGACAGGTGAAGCTTCTGTCTCGGCGTCAGGGGTCTTGTTCTGGCTGGGCTCCACCTGAGAGACAGTTGAGGACAGCTCAATTAGTGAAACATTTCAGCTGACACAATTCGATTGTCATTTGGTCGTCCCATCTGAATTCACCTTCTTGCCCTCGTCATTCTTGATCACAGGGTTCTCGTTGTTTTCCTGCGCCCGGCTCTCTGACGACTCAGTGGCTGTGTTGCTGTTATTACAAGACATTCTTTAAAAAGTCACACAACTGAAGCCAGCAGTTTTTATTTTGGATGTGTTCATATGTGAATGCATTCATGCTGGTAGTGGTACCTGTTCTTATTGATGGTTGTGGAGCTTAGTGGGGTGGAGTTAGTGCTGGTGTTACTGGCTGTGTCTGAGGCGGGGGTGGTCTTGATGAAGAGCCTCTTCCCTGGTACTGTCAGAGGCTTATTCACAGCGCTCAACACCGGCGCTGGTTTAGGCTACACAGGAGTTACAAGATAGAGTTGATCGGCCCGTCAGCATGTATTAGCTTAGATCCTTATCGAAGTTTTGATCAATGTTTTGCAGAGGACTAATTAGTGATTATTGATCAGTTCTTATCAGTACTCCTTTGAAACACAGTGACAGACGTATGCACTGGCTTTATTATTCTGAACTTATCCAAGTTAAAACAACGTTTTTTTTTTCACCCAGAGCTGAATAATCACCATTGAATAATTCGGTAACGTTTTCTTTTACGGTATACTTATTACCAGGTAATTACCTAGTAACAACATGGAATTATCTGGTAATTACACGTTAACTACTAAGTCAATACTGTCTAGTTTTTCTTTTTCTCTTTTTTTCAGTGCAGCTCCATTTTCAAAAGCTATTTGGGGTTCTTATTTTCTATGATTGACACTTGATACAGCCTATGGGCGTACGAAGATTGCGTAGCGATACGCTGTTTGAGCCGAGCGTCATCACAGCGACTCACCCGCCGAATGCGTACAACGCTACTGCGCAAGTGGTGGTTCCAGGAAGCGGAGAAAATCCTGGAAATACCAGAGCAATTCAGCTTCAAATTTGTATGATGATGGAAGGTTACCTACCTGGTAGATAGACAGTATTGACTTAGTAGTTATCATGTAATTACCAGATAATTTCATGTTGTTACTAGGTACTTAACTGTTAATTACCTGGTAATAAAGAAAGCATTACTAATAATTTACATAACAATTCTAATCACTTCTGATATTAACGAATTTAATGCTATCGGTTAAAAGTTTTGTAAGATATGGACCTCTGAGGAAACTGGAGCGACACTGAGTGTTGCTCTTGACGATTGTGGTCTTGAAAGTTTCGAGTGTTTTGTGTTTACCTTTCCTGTGAGCAGCATTTGTCTCATATCTGATGAGAGATACTCTTTATCGTTTTTGAAGTCCTGTAAAGAGAATCACAGTGGGAAAACTTTCATAAGCTCACGTTTAATAACTCTCCACCTGTGATCATGTGACAACAAGAGAGTAGATGTTACCTTATCCTGTACGATGAAGAACTTGGAGGGTAGAACGGGGTCTTTTGGGAAATCCAGGTGACAGGCAGTGCTCTTATTGGCGATAACGAAGAGGGCAACATCGCAAACAATATACAGCTTCTGTAACCAAAACAATACAGGGCACGGTGTTCTGATTATTTGCTACGATGTTTGCTTAACAAGACCTGCTTTCATGGGAACCAGAAATCAGACAGTTTTCAAAACACTCTAATAGTAGGAGACAATCATGAGGATAATGACAAGCTGCAATACATAAACACCAATTCTAACGATGTAGGGAGATTGTATAAAACATGAATAAAAACAGTTTACAATGATTTGAAAATCCTTTTGGACGTCTATACACCGCAGAGACAAGATTTTTAATGCTCAAAGTGATCAAATCTGGCATGAATTATTAAAAAAAACCAGCCATCAGCGCATGTGATCGTATGATGTTGTAGCCAAATGTCAAAGAAAGACAAAGAGATATAAGAATAGTTCCTAAGGCAACTGTTTTGTCTGTGTGAAAAGAGCAGATGTGATATAGTCAGAGTCTGGAGGGTTTAGTTTTGATCCAGAAGTTAATAAGATTCCAGATCTACAAACCAGTCTGTCTTTTCTCACACTTCACTACAACGTTTGTGTGAATACCTCGTTGGCCTTCGCGTCATCTGGACACTGCGCATCCTTGGTCTGTTTGATGTTCTCTACCATCTTCCGTAAAAATGCATGACTGTTGTTCTCATTCTTCGTCATCAGCACTTCCAACATGAACCACAGGCACCTGTAAACATGAGCAACAGCAAAATAAGAACACTAGGGGGCCCCTAGTAGTGCACTTCCCATGTACGGGGGTAATGATCCTCATATTCTATTCCAGCGGCCCCTTTACCGCATGTCATTCCCCTCTCTCTCCCCATTTCTTGATCTATCCACTGTGCTCTCTAAATAAAGGAAAACAGCCCTTTAAAAAGTCAAACTACAGTGCTGCAGATTCAGGTCTAATTTTTACCTTTTTCAAAGAAGTCTATACAAAATATGATTGAAAAAAAAGGCTGCACCATCAGGTCCAGAGTTCGCTGAGAAAACACAACATGTCAGCACTCACTCTTTGATGTCTTTAAGCTGTTCATATTCCTGTGGTTTTGTGAAGTCTGGGTCGTGGGCCAGCAGGTGGATCATGTAGGGAACGACGTACTCAGGTAGGACAGAGACCATTTTATCTGACGAGAGAGAGAAAATCAAGTTTCAGTGTCTTTTGTTTTACAGTTTTCTGTGTTTCAACGACTTCTTGACTTTCAAATTGAAAAAAAATTGAATCACAATCTTCTATCAGGTGTTCACTAGAGTGGAGTGAAACTAATTAATTCACATTCTCTTTCCCAGATTTTCTAAAGATGCTGCTAAACTCTGAGTGACAGGGATGGACACCTTTTTATTGGGTCTTGCACAGTCCTGCATTCTTTCTAACAGTGCACACGCTGATACCTGTCAGAGCGTTTGAAGCCACATGATAAAAACAAATCCAGCTGTTAAACACTCACCCTGAGTGACTGAGTTTTGTTTGATGTACTCTCTGCGGACGGAAATGTTTTTGAGGAGGCACTGTCGAGCGTGAGCACGGCGCTCCTTTACCGGGTCCTTTGCACACAGGGCAAAGACAGCCAGGTACTCCAGGGGCAGCATCAGTTTGACCAGGGCCAGGTGTAACTTCTGAGCGAATATCTGCCGGACCTGGTAGCACTCATCCTGCACCATAAGAGCATTACACAAAATTACACTTCATGTGTACAACTCATTTTAAAAGAGAGAAAAAGATGACTCATGCTAGCTAACTGTGATATTTACTGTCACACATTACAGAGAATAGGCTGTCCTTGTTGTGCACACAATTATTGTTCTGTATTGTGTTGTACTGTACACATGAAAATAGGCATTTTGACAGTGAACATGTTCAAAGAGAAGTTGTGGTGCCTTTAACAAACAGCATCTTTTATGACAACAAGCCTGCACGCACAATACCAGAACACAAACTGTCAAAATTACAAAAGGTTCAACTGACATTGATAACAAGGCCGCACAGCTGATACTGTTCGGGCGTGATGATGTCATGGTAACAGGGCTCCTGGGCCAACTTCATGATGGCTCCACCTGCAGCCAGCCTCAGGCGAGACATGTCCGACTTACTGTGAGGAGGAAGAGACAACAAAGAGCAGGGGAGAAAAATTGTTTGTCTTTTGTCGACCTTTGTATTATAAATTAATTTATACCATAGTTAAGAGCAGCCAGTTCACTTTGAAAATGATAGTGGATGGAAAAATGTTTACTTAAACTTGCTATCAAGCAGTGGTTCTCAAGTCGCGTCCTCGAGGCCCACTGTCCTGCATGTTTTGGATGTTTCCCTGCTCCAACACACCTGATTCAAATGATCAGCTCGTTATTGGCTCTGTAATGGCTTAATAACGAGCTCATCATTTGAATCAGGTGTGTTGGAACAAGGAAACATCTAAAACATGCAGGACGGGGGGCTCGAGGACTGGACTGGAGAACCACTGCTATAAAGCTAACAAACTCCAGTCTCCATTCAAGTTCAGCTACTTTCTATCTACGCTGACACAATATCATCTCCAGCCTTTTGAATTACCTGATCTTCTTCTGCTCTGTGAGGTCTCCCTCACTAACCAGCATGGCTGACAGCAGGCGTAGAGTTGAGTTTGCTGACTTGGATTGGTTGTTCTTCATCCCTAGTAACCAGCGCACCAGCAGCTTGATGGCCTGGACCTGGGAAACAGGATGAACATGCATCATTAGGCAAAGTGAGATCTGTTTGTCTCTACAATAGAAATCCCTTTTCATTACAAGCATTTTGAAAGACCAAAGATGAGTATAAGAAAAGTAGCCCACTGTATGATTAAGAAGGTGAGATAACAGCTGCATGTCTCTTACCTTGGCGAGGACCTCAGGTGAAACCTCCTCATCAGTGGACCACAGCTTTCCATTTTTGTTTCCCACTGACTGCACACATGACAGCACATCAGTCACATTATTTTCATATACCCAATATGATCCAAGACTGAGCATGTTTCTACCTGGTAGTAAATGATGAACATTTAAATATTGCAGTTTTAGTTATTAGTATAGATACAGAAGTGTGAAATTACAACTGTAACAGTGGTGCTCTATGTCATCTGCACCTACCCGGTCATTCATGAGCAAATCCTTCACAATGAAGTTAGCGACAATGGACTTCATCGGTGAAGCAAACTGATCTGGAGCCAGCATGGAGATGTGGCCCAACGACACGAGGGGAGTAATCAGCTGCTCTGGGACGTCTGCATTTAGACTACGTGACAGAGGCTGAGGGAGAAGGAAGAGACGACACAAAGACATGAACTTAAGACATGAAAATCCTGTGTCATTTTAATTTAAGTAGATTAATTTACTGTTTGTAACATGAAGATTATTCCTGTAAGTGAAAAAAGTTAGTTAATAGTCCCCCTACCTCAAAAATCTGCGCCAGCTGCACTTCTTTGTTGTTAAAGATGGCGTGGATACAGTGGACGGCCTGCTTGGCCTGGTGAGGCGTGCCCCGCTTGGCTTTCTGGTGCAGGATGGGAATCAGAGTCCTGGTGGCATGTGAATATGGACATTAGGGTCAAACAAAGCAGATTTTTCTCTTCATTCAATCTATTACTGACTATGACGGCGCCCGAGTCTTGACTTGTACAACAGAGAACCGTTTGTTTATTCATCACTTATAAGTCTGATATAGATTCTCTCACGATCTTATCTGCTGGAGCTCCGTCTCAATCTTCTGCCCTGTATTTCTGAAAATCTGGATGGCTGCCTCAGCCACTTTCTCGTCTTCCATCTTTAAACACTGGAGCAGAGACTCATAGGTTTCTGCCGAGTGGAATGCAGTTGGATGAGTGAAGGACAGCACCTACAAACAGCAGAGAAAGAGTCGAGTCTATAATTTTCCAACATTATTTTGTTCAACTTAAGTCTAAAGGATCAAACCACCTTTTGGTATGTTTACATCTCTATTATTAGTAGTCACACATTTGTCTGTGTTGTGTACCTTGAGCAGCTCAAGCCCAGCTCGGATGGCTGTGTCAGGGGTAACACCTTCCTCATCGTCATCAGCTGTGCCCTCAATGGATTTGTTCAGCAGTTTCACCAGAGCACTAAAAGAAAACAGAAGAATCATCACTCTCTTCAAGTCCTTTACAGCTTCATGTGTTACACGACAAAAACGTACACTTCCAGAAGAACACAAAGGCATCTATTAGACAGATGAGACGGGTTACACCGTGGAACTTTGACCCCTGAAGTCATTCAGCGTGAGTTTCCTCATCCTTGGTGTTTTTCCATAAAGCAGAAAGGGTTAAACTTGTTCCCTGTGTAAGGCCTGCAGTTACACTTCATCGCCACAAGGTGTCTCAGTGAATGAGAAAAGCCTGTTCATGAGATCACACAATGACACACAGCTTCATGCTCTCCTTGTGTCTCAGAGAGTGGAGTACAGGCCATCAGTCTCATGACCGCCTGTTTGTGTTTGTACCGTCGACCCGATTATAATCCATTTGATCGGTATAAGAATAACAACGAGATGATGCGCTCAATTTGTGGTTTGTTATGAAACCTCAGCAAGTCATTGCAGTTTGATCACAAACAGAATTCATCTGACCTGATGGCCTCAGAGTCGATGTGGACGGGGGCAATGCGCTCCAGGAGGAACTTCACCATCTCCAGGAATGGATTGGTAGGTTGTTTGGGGAATGTCAACTTCCTGGTGATCTCCCTCTGCACACATAAATAACACATCATTAATAACAAACTATATGGATTTGTACTCATTCATTTGCATTTACATTAAGGCATAGGACCGTACTGCTAAACCCAAATAAAAAAAAGACATTTTTTTAGTGTTTAAGTTCATAACATGGTCTCCAAAACAAACGTATGGCATTGAGCCTTGTGTTTTTATGAACATGTTAACAGTGTTCACACTCTAGTGTATGCAGGGCTTTCCACAAACATATGGAGCAGTCAGCCAGTTGAAAAAAGGAAGACCTGGACAGGGGATGGAGGACAAGACCCCAGACACCGGAATAAACAACAGAAAGTAGCTGGCTGTGGTTAAGTGAGTCAAGGACGTTTGGAAAACCTGTATGTTTTGTTTTTGTGTGTTTGTGTGTGATCATTGTGTTCAGTGTCCACGCACCACACATATCTCAGCCTGTTTGCAGGAGCAGGTTGGGCTGATGAGCATCTCAAGCTGGACTCTGAGCTTCTCATCCTCACCAAGAACCTGGTTGAATTTCTTCATGAAGTCTTTGGCCTTTCCTGCATCTGGCAGATTTTCTAAGAATCACAAAGTAAAGACAAAAAAAGGAAGTTAGTCACAGACGGGAGCTGAACCTGTTTCATTTGGATGAAAGGACAAGAGAATATGGTTGCTGGGTTTTGAACTTACTTGCAATGCACATCAGCTTCCCGAACATGGCATTGTTGTTTGCTTCTGACTGTTGGGGGTAAAAAGAAAGAAAACTGTCAGAGATGTTCACATTTCACATGACATGGAGGAAGATGCTAAAATTGGTATCTGTAATCTCACCACTGGCAGCTTGTGGAGGTCAAGCAGCTCCTTGACGAGGCCTCTGAGCATGTTCTGACACTTCCACATCTCATTCAGTGCCCTGAGAGCAAAGATGAGTTACACCAGAAACAAAAAACAGAGGGCAATCAATATAACGTCGTCTTAAAAAGTACGTGTTTACATCCTCGTGTTCTATTTGTTTGGGGGGTCGGGTGTCCTTGTTACTGTGCCATTGTATTATATGTTCTCAAAATGTGAGTAGGTATATTGCAGACTAAAATCAAAAAGGTCCTTTCAAAACATATGATTTGCAAGGATTTAATGCATGTTTACTTACTTGACAGCATTTGTGTCCAGACAGGCATACAGGTAGTACAGACACTTCATCTTCTCCTCTGTGTCAAGACTATGAGGGACCATGTACTGAGCAAAGATCTTCTCCACTAATAACCTGGAGGAAATGAGCAGAGAGCTTCTGTCAAAATTACTGATATCATCAGTGATTTGCTCAAACTATCACATTTTCTCTCCGTGAAAAAGTGATTGCATTAGTTGGTTCAAAACTGATTGCCAGTTTTTCTTAAAAAAGCTTCCCACAAACACAATTCACTAAGCATGGACTTAGGGTCAGTGGAAGCCTTTTAAGTTAGTTAGGTATTTGATATGTCTCAGGGTCAAAACATCAAAAGCAGCCATGCAGTTCTTTTCAAAATCAAGCTTTTTTATGTCCATGCATCACACTCACTTGTCATCAATGCTGTTTTGATAGTAGATGTGCAGCAGTTTATCTTTGATCCAGCTGATCTTGGCTGCAGACTCTTTTCCTGCCTCATGGTGCAGACAGTATTTCTTGAAAAGCTGAGCCAGGCCCATCATGGCTTCCTTACGAACACGCCACTAAAAAAGGCAGAAAAACAACAGGAATAAGATGAGGAAAGTCAACCTACATTTGTTGAAGACTGAGAAAAGCAACTAATGTACAGCTGTGCTGGATGAAGGTGACAAGCAATAAAAGACTAGACCAGGGGTCGGCAACCCGCGGCTCTTTCTTCCCTAAGCTGCGGCTCCCAAAGGATTTGGAAAATAAATAATAAATACTTAATTGCATTTTATTTTATTTTATTATTATTTTTTTTTGTAATTCTAAATTCAAAGATTATAATGCTCTTGTAACATTAAATAAACTATTAAGGCTGCAACAACGAATCGATTAAGTAGATTCGTCGTGACGAAAAAATCCGTTGCCAACAAATTCTGTAATCGATTCGTCGGGTCTTTATATATGTCCATGGACACCGGCGTGTAAACATCAGCAGGACGCACAGAAAAGAAACAGCCATGGCCGAGGCAGCGGCTGAGAAAAACATGGACACAACCCAACCCAAATCCCGACCTAAAACATCAGTGGTGTGGGAAAAGTTCACCAAGACTGAAAAGGAAGGCGTTCAGTGCAACATTTGCAAAGACCGTTCTGCATGGCTCGGGGGTACATCGATGATGCGTGAGCACAGGGCTCTCAAGTCTCACGCATTCAGCGTATGACACACGCATTCCCACTCGTTCACACGCTCACACGCCACACATTGTATTTCTCACGCACTCAAATGAACACGGTGATGTCCACCAAGTTGCACTTCTTCAACTACGGAACTGGGGGAAATCAACTGAGTTCCTCCGAGAGTTCAGAAGCTGCGTGCCACGCACAAGCCAATCAAATAAAGTATATCTACTGAACAGCCAATCAAAAAGCAGCATTGCTGTATCCGGGTAGATTTTGATATCTTGCGGTTTAACTACAGAAGAAGACAGACACTCGCCGAAATAGTTCATTTATTTCATAAATGCAACTCGCTACAGTTTTTTATATACTTTGTATAAAGGTTAAAAAAAAAAAAATCTTCATTTTAGATGTCAAAGAGGTTTTGTGGCTCCCTGTGTTTTCTTTTCTGTGGGAAACTGGTCCAAGTGGCTCTTTGAGTGTTTAAGGTTGCCGACCCCTGGACTAGACCTATGACTGCCAAGAACCAGACTGACTGAATAATATATGAGCTGACTTTGTAATGTCAATAAAAACAAAAAGCCTGAGCATGAAGAAAAACAAAAAAATCCACCTGCATAATAATATCATCACATTTAAAGGGCTATTCAGGCGTAAAATTAATTTAGGGTCAAACACACCGCAACACCGAGTTAGACCCCCCTCCAGAGATGAATGTTGCCGACCACTTCCTTCTCTAGTTATACCAACTTTAGTAACGACCGCAGGATAGAAATACAGAGAGCCACGGGCTCAACCAAAACGCCACTCTATAGCCACAAATAATCCTCAGAACAGCACCTAACTTCATCAACAGGACATATAGGGTCCCAGCCACAGCACTAGTCACCAAACATCTTTTTCACTTTGCCTGATTTCTTTGGCAAAGAGACTAAACTCAACTCACCTACTCTCTTCCAGCAGCAGCTTGTTTGTATGTACACCTCAGGCGAGTCCATCGACTGCAGCAGGGGGACGCAGCTCAAGGAAGAACATTTATGATCATTTCCTCATGGAAATACAATCAGACCGAGACGCTAAGGCAGAAGAACTACCACGTCTGCAGTGCAAAATGATTAATATGGTGATTATTACTTCAAGGAAATGATAAAGTCATGATCATAAATGTTCTTCCTTGAGCTGCGTCACCCCGCTGTAGTCGATGGACTCGCCTGAGGTCTCAATACAAACAAGCTGCTGGAAGAGAGTGGATGAGTTGTGTTTAGTCTCTTTGCTAAAGAAATCAGGCAAATTTAAAAAGATGTTTGGTGGCCAATACTCTGACTGGGACCCCATATGTCCTGTTGATGAAGTTAGGTGCTGTTCTATTTGTGGCTATAGAGTGGCGTTTTGGTTAAGTACATGGCTCTCTGTATTGCTATTGCGCGGTTGTTACTAAAGTTGGTATAACTAGAGAAGCAAGTGGTCAGCAACATTCATCTCTCGAGGGGGTGTCTAACTCGGTGTTACGGTGTGTTTGACCCTAACTTAATTTTACGCTGGAATATCCCTTTAAAGTCCCAGATAGAAGAAAAAATCAGTCTTACCCTTTTGTCCAAAGTCCTTTCTCGTACGAAGCCCAACAGCTGGTCATTGACCAAGTTGAGATCTTTCTTCCCAGCGTTGATGATGGTGACAATGACATCATGACGGATGGCTTCCTCTGGGTCATGTGAACGCACCTTCAGGTACTCTGATTGGAAAATTAGGGGGAATAAGACGGACTCAGTTTATGCTCAGAGCATAATGTGTAAGGAAGCGACGAATCAGAAAGAAATGAGAGACACAAAAACACAAAAAGGTGTAAGGCTTACCTGTCAGGTCCCGGGCCAGGTCTGGGTGGTTCATCAGGCAGTGGCTGGCAAACTTTACACACTCCAGCCTGACTGGAACGTGAATGTCATTGAACCTGTTGAAAAGCATCAGTCAGACATAATGAGATTTGGCATATTATTAATCATACTTTGAGAAAGCGGCCAAGCAAGCAGGCGATCAGCAGTGAAGACAAACTCAGTGTCTCAGCAAAACTGAGCTCATTTTAGAGGAAGGTAATTATTCACTTGTGCACAGCCTTCCCCCTTTTATTCTTATTATGGGGATCCAATAATTCAGATAAACTCAACCTTCATGAAACAACGTTCATAAAATGTGCTTCTTTTTTCTACATGACATCCATCCTCATGTCTGAGCCAAGAATGAAGTCTTAAAATTGCCATCTCCAGGGTTTTCCAAACTGTTTTTCCTGGAAAATGATGAGGGGAATTCCTGCTTTGGCCTTTTGAGTTTTACAGACTAAAAATCATTAATGATGGAATATATTTACAAAACAGTTCAAATATTTATCTCTTATGATTTTGTAATCTTTTAAGTTTTCAAATCTTGTAATTTTTCTCTTCGTACAAAGGTTAAATAATTTCCTTTCTTTCAAAAATGATGAGCTAAACACGTCACATTCTTGATCTAAGCTGTTTGTGTGTGTGGTCCACTTTTCACTCACCGTCCTAAGAAGCACTGCCACAGTGGTCTGTTCTGTGAGGCCAGCTCTGAGTCTTTGGCCCCAAACAACTTGGCCAGCAGCCGAACAACAGCTAGACGCTCCTCACCGTCATTGCTCTGCAGACACAGAATGGCCAAGAATAAAAAACAACAACAATTTTTTGGGACCTTTCAAAGTTATGTGAACTTTACTGCTGCTTAGTCTTCAAGACAGGAAAGCATACATACGTTACCTTAGTTATGTGACAAATCCACTTCAACATTTGTTAACAGTAATATTTATATTTACCAAGGCTGAAAAATCAGGCAGTTTTATCATTATTAAAAGAGCGCTAAAAATGATAAGCAAAAATTGAATCACTGCTATAGATTTAACTTCTTCTTTAACATGATATGTAAACTGTAACGGTTGGAGTGGGGGTAAAATTGGACCGAAACTTCTTTGTGCATAGAGATAAAATGCTTGTCTGTCATTTGAGGTGACTGTGAGTGAGTGAGTGTGTTGAGTTAACCTTCAGTTTGAATTCCAGCTGCGGCATGACAGAGGTTAACAGCATGGGGTCGATGGCAAACAGTTCCTGGATGAGATCAAAGACGTGCTCTGATAGGTCGCTGACTGATGACTTTCCCATCACTAAAACCTGGTTGAAGAACTGACAAAAAAAAAAACACAAATATTTTATTCCAAACATTTTTTTTTAAATAACTTTTTGGAGACAGAGTTTGACAACCAAAGAGAGAGAACTCACGTTTGCAATGCACGTCTCTATGGTCTGAACCGTCCTCTTCAGAAGAGTCTTTGCTAGATCGTATGCCTGCTTGTTCAGATTCTGCGCAAAGATAGATTAAAGACTGATTTTATTATTTGGTTTTTGCTTCAGAAGTATTCAAAATAGGATAATACATAGTACAAAAGCCTCTCTTTGTGAGGATGAATAAGAACAGTTTTCAATTCAGAGGCTGGAACAAAGAAAATGTAAAGAAGTGAAAGAGAATGACTGACAAAGTAAGACAGATTTATATTTAAATTCTAATCACAGAGTCTTTACTGAACATACACAAAAATCGCTGATTGTTAAGTCTAATCCAGTTTCATAATTAAGTTTTTTTTTTTTTTAATTGTGTGTCATTTATTTTCCGATTTCATTTTTAGTTTAAATGATCTACAAAGGGAGAGGAAAAAGTCATGATTTTTTGTGTACCTTGTGTGCAGGAATAAGGTTTATGAGGATGGTGTCCAGAAGCTCCTGTGTGACTCCGTCTCCCTCCATGATGATTGAACTCATCAGGTCCATCATGTGCATCTGAACCTTCTGGTTATGGCTGTTACTACAGAGGGAGGGGGGCATGGAGGGCAAAGGTCATTTTCATCCAAAGTGTTATCAACTAGAAATAAAACATCATCATAAAAAAAAAAAAAAGTTTTTAATGAAGTATTTTCATCGTCTTCCCCTTAAAACCTGAGTTAGTATCATGGTACGACATAGTAATCATGTTTTCGACAGCGTTAAAAAGAGGGGCTTTGAAAAAAGACTGGGCTACCATTCAGGGCTGTTTGTAGGGGTGGGAATCACTCGTGGCCCTATGGTACCATACTATCTAGATTTGATATTATTGCAACTTTTTATATTTTGCAATACAGTGAGTATTGCGATACAATATATTGCAAACCTTATATATATATATTTGTTGTACTAACTTTCTCCTGCTCTTAGATGTCACCTCTGCCGACCTAACTGGACAAACAGTTGATTTTATTTTTCCATTATCATAGATTTGACTTCATATTAACAATTAATTTGTAAAAAATCAATCCTGTGTAAATGATACGATATATCACTAGACAAAATATCGGGATAATATGCTGTACCGATTTTTACTCCGACCCCTAGCTGTTAGCCTCAACATTTACGTGACTTCATTCAAACAGTGCTGTAATAAAGAGGTTCTAAACAGATGGATGATTCTTACTTGATGACGGAGAAAAGAGTTTTAAAAAGCTGGATGAAAATCTCATTGCAGTCCTCCAACTCAAAGCATATGTTGTACGACTTCACCCACGCCAGGTTCTAGAGAAAGATATAAAAACATTATTTCTTCAACACCAACTTAGAGTTTCATCACTTCCATGACAATTACCAAACAAACATTTATCCCTTCATGTTTTCCAACTCATAAGTGTATATTACCTCAAGCAGGTAGAAGTATCTGTTGAACTGAGGGCTCTTTGTGTCTTCCAGTCCTTTAAGCTGTCTGGTGATAAACAGGAAGATTTCCTGGAGACCAGAGAAAATACTTGAGCATGTGATTTCATTAGTCTGAACACATCAGATTTGGCCTCAAACTTAATAACAGATACATAATAACAAAAGATATCCAATAGATGACCATTGTTACTCTGTAAACCAACAAATATCTTCTACTTTTTCTAAATTTTGTAAAGAAAGGTTCATATCAAAACTCTTCAAGAACAGCTTAAATGAATTGAACTCAAATGCTGAAGTAAGGCCCTGCAGCTAACAGAGTGGTAAGGGCTTTCATTCTGCTGATATATGGTGCAAACTGTAATTAAAACTAACTTTGGCCTTAGAAACAACAGACTGACTTGGAGTGACTTAAACCTGTGACTTACTGACAAAAAAGTTGTACATTTGTGTAGTAAGACAAACTGAGATGCTCTGCCTGTTTAGAAGTATTATTCCTTTGTAAGGAAATCATCTAGTCATCAGTCCGGGGTTCATTCCTGACCTTGAGTTTGTCGTGGGAGGTGTAGGGAGCCTCTGGAGCATAGATCCTGAAGATGTCGGCTAAACAGCACGCCACCAGTAACCGTACATCTTTGTTTGGGTTCCTGAGGAAAAACTCTGAGGCGAGGTGGAGCGCTAGGGCGAGATACTGCTGTTTCTCCTCCTCAGAGTCCTGATCCATGTCCATGTAGGTTTTCACCACCATCTATGACACGAAGCAACGAGGAAGGAGGAGAATTAGAAGAGAAACAACACACAGATGAAAAAACATTGTACTGTCATCCTTACAAAAAACCTGATATTTAAGTTTTGACAGAAGCACTTTATATTGAGTGGGATACACCAACACCAAGTACCAAATACCAAACACACTTCCGGCAGCAAGTGTCATTTGTCCACAACTAGCTGGCAATGTGTTACTCAACGATCACGGAGCAACAGACTCCTTGCTCGACTGATTATCAAGAAATTTAATCTCAACTAACTTTCATATGCCATTCCAACATGTGGATTGTGCACAAAAGTCCATTATGAACATAATCTGTCCAGTGGTTCCATGATAGGGCTGAGCGATAAACCGAAAATTTACCGATACCGAAATTTACAACACTAACCAACATCATTTTGGCCATGTCAATATATTCAGTGTCAAATAAATAAATCAAAGTTGGTTTTGGATGTGTGAAGGTAGGCTATGGTCTCATGTCCCTTTAAGACGCTGTCCTACGTCAGAGACGTGACTCCACCCCATTCAGTCCGTAACAAAGAGGGAAAGACAGGAGAGGAGATGGAGGACGGAGAGAAAGTTGTAGCGGCTGAAGTAGATGAAGTTACCGTATTTTTCGCACTATAAGGCACACTTATTTCGTTTGTTGGAGCACTGCAGCTACCGTAGCCTTGCGGAGTCATTGAATAAGTTAAATAAAGTTTGACTTATCTAACTGTTGTGTTTGGTTTAATGTGCTTTATAATCCGGTGCACCTTACAGTGCGAAAAAATGTACGGTAATGTGGGAGAGGGTGAGCAGCTTGTGAAGTAGTTATCGTCCATTTATCGTTATCAAGGTGAGCTGCTCAAAATATCGTGAAACTGACTTATCGCCCAGCCCTATACCAGCCCTCTTAAATATATAAACTAATAACATCATCAGGAAAAGTGAACCCAAAGTTTCTCTTTCCCTCTGTCCAACAATCGACTGATTCATGTTTCTTTACTGTCTCATTTAAAACGTGTCTACTGTTCCAGTGTGTGAAGACTTAGTCTATGCAGTACAGCTGGGTGTACATGAAAAAACACAGCATAGGCTTAATGAATGTTTGTATTTACTCAGTGAAGAAGACTGCTTTTCATTTTTAATACTGGACAATCCCATCCTGAGGGATAAAGAGCAGGGAGGAAGTAAGTAATAGATGTAATGAACGAGACTGTAAAGGTGTTATTGAAAAGAGGCAAGCAGACACTACTCCACCCTGATGGTGTCCCCTGGACAGATTTTTTTCTTCTGCCCTGGATGCTTCTCCCTCTTTGTATTCAGGCTGACAAAAACTTTTCAAATTACTGAACAGTGAAACACATTTAAATCAAATTACAACAATAACAAAACCGTTAACTGTTATAGTTACTAAGTTATAAAGGTGAAAGGGATGAGGACAAAGCCGGCAGTCAAGAAAAAGCCAAATGATAGAAGTGAATTTTAAAAAGAGATTCAAAACAGGAAACTGAGTTTGCCTGTATGCACTCCTACAGCTGTGGGGCGTGAACTGCATATGCAAACTAAATGTTGAAACAACAATGAGCACAAACATCTTTTCTATGTTGTATACGGAATATTACACAGTGTGCCTAATCATTTTAACAACCAATAAAACATTAAATGAAATAATTACACAGCTTCCTAACCCTAGACGCTCCGTCTGGTGAACAGTCAGTAGGTTTACATGCACACAGTTATCAAGGATACAGCCATAAGCTTGAGTAGGCGATTTAACTGGACTGGGTCCTTGTCCCAGTTTACATGCAATGGGCAAACAGGATTGGGATACTTTCTCCAAAATAAACAGGGGGCCATCTGACCACTTGGATCCTTTTTTAAAGAGATGAGTCTGGTTTAAGAGTAAAGGAGGAGAGGACATCGGGGGATTAGAAAGTATCCGTTATCTCTTGAATCGGGAGAGGCTTAAACACTTATCGAGAGTCTTTTTTGACAGCCTAATTAACGCTCAAAGCTTGTTGAACAAGAACAGTTGTACCTGATTTTACAGTGACTGACACGAAAGCCATAAACTATCATGACACAAACGATGGATCAGAGATCAGGCTTAATAATCAACTTTGTAACACACATTTTAAAGGATTAGACATTCAAGAAAAAACACACCTGGAAAGTGTGCTTTGCCTTTCAGGGAGCTGAACACAAACTTATATCAACTAATGCTGATCCTAAACGAATGAGTCCTCCCAAAGAACTTTCATTCCCTTTTAAATTTGGGTTGTATTACAGCAAAATGAAAAAGCACCACGAGTAAAATGACACGACTTATCAAAAATCTGTATCTGGATAAGGTATTAATACTCCTGTACACAAAAGAACACTTTAGACACTGCAGTTCTTATGGATAAACACCAGGCCACCATGTTTCTCCTGTGAGGAGGATAAGCAAGTGAAAGGGAGGCAAAGCAGAGCAGCAGCAGAGCTCACTGAACAGCCAGGCAGCCAGTGAGGGTGGGGGATGGGCCAACAGCTCAAACAGACTGCAGAGCACCACACTCTCACTCCTACACACACACTCACCCAAACCCTCCACTGTTCTTAGCTGCAACAGGCACAACCTAGCTGATGAAGGCTCTCCACACAGACAAGAGTGGGCCTGTAGAGTGTGTGTTTATGCAATCTCACTTTACTGCAGTTAACGCCGACTGAGTTTATCTCTTAGAATATGTAAGACTACTTAGATTGATGCGTCTAAAAAGTCTGGAACCAAAAGAAAAGTTTCAGCTAAATGTTGAAGAGTAATAATGGCACAACATAAAACAGGCTGACACCTTCTAGTTGGTTAGTTGATTAGTGACCAAAATCTCATTGGACTAATGAGCGCATGTGTCACTTTGAAAGGACAGAATAACCTAATCCATTATTTGCAGGGGTGGGAGGGGAACCTGGTGTGTTTTATTTTCAAATGATGATGTCTCAGTAAACAGTGAGTAGAAGATAAAAAACTATAGAAGTATACTTTGTTATCAATCTTATGCTTTAGTAAACAGATCCATGTTTATGAGAGCAATTCAGAGTCTGCTGACAATTAAAAAAAACTCAACGGTGAGGCAACATTTTCAGGGAAATGTGAAAAGGAGGTCAGGTAGGAACTTTTCTAACAGCTGTTTACTTCACCCAGCTTAACAACTAACAAGTCATATAATCTAAGAACAGGGAGCATGAGTTTCTTTTTAGTTGAACCAGATTGTCTGTGATTGGATGGTTTGTCCAATGTGCACTTAACTCTTTGTGGGCGTTATGTATAAATATAGGCAAAATTGGATTATGTGAAGGCATTTGATTTAATTAAAGCCACATTGTTGTCTTTGAAACATTAACTGCAGAACATCCTCTTCACCTGTTTCAGAGTAAGGAGACACCAGATACATCCAGACAAAAAAAATAAAAAGCTGAGTCTCATATTTAAAGTAACAGGCACCAGCTCAAGTTTGCTTCAATTTCAACTTAAAAATCATGTTGCTTGTCCATTTATGAACTAAAGCTGTGAGTTTCTGTGTTCTTGGGGTCTGTCTGTTCACACTGATAACACTGGGGCTGGGAATGATGATTAAATGAAAAAATAATAAAGACAGTGCTAGGGAGCTTAATGTCAGAAGATGATGTGTGCATGAAAGCTGCTTTCCATCAACAGAATAGTTACATTCCTACAGACTGTTGATACAGACTTGAAGTTTCCAAATTTCTGCACAATCAATTTCTAAATTTCATGTTTTTCAGGGCAAGACAGTTCAGATATGAATTTAGGCAAGTAGACGCTTCTCTTAAAAGTTCAGACTAAAGGTCCTTACACATCGGGGCCTACACAAAAACAGAACGGGGAATATAGATTTTGCGACTTTCCGAGGGGGGAAAGATGCATCACGGGGAAGACTTTCCCGGGGGAAAGTCCCGCCTTCTTCGCCTCTGATTGGCTAGAAAAGCTGGAAACGTCATCACACGCTCAAGCCAAACAGTCAGTACTTATAGCCAATCAGAGGCGAAGGAGGGCGGGACCTTCCCTTAAAAACCAGCGTCCTGGGTGGAAGCGAGAGGCGCGTCCAAATTCTCCTCCGAATATTTCGTAATTTCGCGTTCTATATTCGTGTCAGCTGCGGTAAGGACCTTAATAACCAGGGTACACTGCCACTAATTAGGTTCACTAATTTGGTCTACCACGACAATCTTTGGTTGACTACAGCATCATATAAAACTAAAATGCAAGCACTTTCATGTGTTCTGATAAAACTGCAAGGGAATTATTCCCCCAGGGCATGTCAGAAACTGTTTTCCTCTCTGTACATTTTAAACATATAAGCTGGGGTGAAGGAATCAGGATTTCTAATAAACTGTAACAATGATGAGAGAAAAATTACAGTGCAGTGATTGAACTGATGGTGGCGAATAAAGTAAAGTACGGAAGTGAAAGTGGAATCACAACCCCCTCTCAACTACAATTTAGTACAAAACTTCCTCAAAAAATTTGAAGAAAATAAAAGCTAATTCAGGCACAAAGTACGAGATCTTCAATATCAGAATCACTTTTGATAAGAGAACACTGTATATGAAATAACTGAATAAATGAGCCTCCAGCCTCACAGTAGAAGCTGACTGCTGCTGGTTTGTTGCCCTTCTGGTAGTATTACACATATCTAGATTGTCACCACAAATCAGGTGGCTAGATTACTGTACATGTAGTCAGCCTCTCTAACTCTGAGCAGTACACAACAGAGATTAAAGGGATCTGTAAACATCAAGAGCCTTTCACTGAGCACAACTGACCAGCTTACCCATGCCAAGGCTTCTGCGCTGAATAGTCACAGGGCTGCTCGTTCAACAGTTAAGAAGTCATTTCAGTATTAGTGTTGTTGTCTGTCTAATGTGATTAAGAAAAGTCACAGGATCAGAGCAAACTTAAGTGCAGTGATACCAAGTTTAAAAAAGCTTAGGCCTGTGGAATAGGTGAAGAGGAGAGGTTGGTATGATGCTGAACGCCTATGTCCTAAAGGTCAGAAGCGAACATTTTTATGAGTCAAATAACAGAAAACGTGTGCGCTGTGGTCATTGATGATCACGAACCTAAAGAGAATCAGCTGACTTTGGAGAATCTTTCCTTATAAATGTCATTTACATATTTTCAACTTCAAACTTTGTTTTTGGCTTTAACTGACATCTGTTTTTGGTCAAAAAGTCCAAAAGCTAGTTACACATAACCTACTCATCATCAACCTGTGCCCCTCCGAGGTCGAGTTGGCAAAAATTAAAGGCAAAGATAACAGGAGATTGAGTATTGGATTATTGGGAATGATGATGCTTAATAAAAAGTGCCAGAAAATAAGTTTATTACATAAACTATGAGGGAAATCGTTTATAAGCACTGAGTTGGTTTATTGTCTTTAACAAAACAGGATTAAACTCAAACACAGGTCAGTGTATTATGTTTGCAGTTTTTGAACCATCACTTTGGGATTGTCCCATTTATTCAGCCTTTAATAGAAACCAAAAGACTATAAAAAACTACAAAACTTATAGACTTCAGAAAACTATCATGACACACCCAAGTTCAGCACCACTTCAATATTTTGCTATCATAGCAATAATGCCAAAAACAATCAAAAACAGCAGGGCGAGCAATCCGTGTTAAGAACAGCCTCTGAATTGATATACACTGACCAGCCATGATATTTTGAACACCTTAGCAACCCAATGTGACAGCTCTACCACATGCACAAAAACACTGTTCCATAAAACACCGTTTTGAACTTGGAAGAGCAGCATGTGACGGGATAAAGATAACATAAAAAGGTCATGAGATTCTACTAGCTACTCCACTTCAGTATGTATATTTTCCTTTTCTGTTGATACTGTGGATATGTCCAACCACCTATCACACTGATAAAAATTACAAAAGAGATAGTAAATTCAAATGTATAAAGAATTACATTAAAGGATCTGTGGTTTCAATCTTAGATAGGATTGTCAAACATCATGACTACAGCAGCCTTTTATTTGACATCATGAACGGCCCCCTGAGGCAGTATAGTCTGGTAAACTTCTTGGTCAAGGATCCTCGTATTTTCTTGAAAACAGCTTATTCTACTCTTATAGAATAGGTTATAGTGAGTGTTGGTGGTGTACTAAAGTGCATTGTTTTGAAAGGTGTTCCCTATTTTTTACACCCCTCACGTTTGTCAATGTATAGAGCTGGGTATAAGGGACACCTTTCAATAACACACACTCCAGTGCTTCACTAACATCCACTAAATAAATTTCTTTAAAAGGGATATTCCAGCATAAAATTAATTTAGGGTCAAACACACCCTAGCACCGAGTTAGACACACCCTTGAGAGTTGAATGTTGCTGACCGCTTGCTTCTCTAGTTATGCCAACTTTAGTAACGACCGCACGATAGCAATACACAGTGGTCTGAGGGGCCATAAACAAATCTCAACCAAAACACCACTCTATAGCCACAAATAATGCTCAGAACAGCACCTAACTTCATCAACAGGACAGATAGCCATAGCACCAGCCACCAAACATCAATTTAACTTTGCCTACTTTCTTTAGCAAAGATACTAAACACAACTTACCTGCTCTCTTTCAGCAGCTGCTTGTTTGTAGCGAGACCTCAGGCCAGTCCATTACAGACTACAGCGGGTTGGCGCAGCTCAAGGAAGAACATTTCTGATCATTTCTTCGCGGAAATGCAATCAGACCGAGACACTAAGGCAGAAGAACTACCGTGTCTGCAGTTTAAAATGATTGATATGGTGATTATTACTTCAAGGAAATGATAAATGATCACAAATGTTCTTCCTTCAGCTGAGTCACCCCACAGTAGTCCGTAATGGACTGGCCTGAGGTCTCCCTACAAACAAGTGGCTGCTGGAAGAGAGTAGGTGGGTTGTGTTTAGTCTCTTTACTAAAGAAATCAGGTAAAGTTAAAAAGATGTTTGGTGGCTAGTGCTGTGGCTGGGACCCTATTTGTACTGTTGATGAAGTTAGCTGCTGTTCTGAGCATTATCTGTGGCATTTTGGTTGAGGTTTGTTTATGGCTCCTCTGACCTCTGTGTATTGCTATCGTGCGGTCGTTACTAAAGTTGGTATAACTAGAGAAGTAAGCGGTTGGCAACATTCACCTCTCGAGGGGGTGTCTAACTTAGTGTTACAGTGTGTTTGACCCTAAATTAATGTTACGCTGGAATTTCACTTTAACATGAAATATGAAGCTCAAGTTGAATTTTTCTGAAAATTTAGCAGACTCCTTACAGAAGAGTTTGTGGTAGAGCTCATGTATTGGCTTGCCCAGGTATTCACCATATTCTGACTGGTCAGTGTGCAGTAGTTCACAAAGTTAGGCAGGTTATTGGCATTATGCCAAGGCATGAATACTGATGAATGAGGTTAAGGTCTGCAAATACAAATCTGACGGTAAGTACTGAGAGGGAATCCGTATAATCTTACCTTTAACCGTCTGACCACCTCATCGTTGCTGATTTTGTCCGTAATCTCCTTAACTCCGGGAGGATAGGTTATCTTTCCGTCCCCCGCCGGTTTTTGCTGTTGCGGGAACTCCATGCTTGTTGATGTTTGATCCACACGGTCTTCTACTGGCCTCTATGGGTCAGAAAACAAAAGTTCAACACAACCATGCTACCGCACTTACCAAAAACCTCGCAATAAGCATCGTTCACTTTCATCTATTTTCATTAACCCCGATTAATCTCATAATAAAAATGCTGTATATTTAACGATGTTATAATCTTGAAAACTTTTTAGACGTTGAGCGGATATTAAGCCAGCATCGTGCATATTATTAGCGTACATGCTAAAGTACCTCTAGCTCCGTATTTTACGTCAATTTTTCATCAAATGTAGCACAACTGATCAAACATGTTCAACAGCATACCGTGTAACCTTACAGCTCTATGAACGGCTCAGTTGTGCGGAAGCGACTTTAAAACAGCATCAAAACTGCCGGTGTACGTCCACTGTCATACATGTTATGAAATTAGCTAGCAAGCTCCTCGCAGTAGAAACACCGTTGACAAACAGTTAGCATTTGCGGGAAGGAAGCAATGTTAGCATCGAGAGGCTAATACAAGTTAGCCGTGTTGGCTAACTGGTTAGCCTACTTTGCTAGCCTAGGCCGCAAACTATTCAGATACCCATCACATCTCCAGCTACAGACAATCACAGAGGAAGTGAAGTAGCCCATTACCACTGCCTTAAATACCCATCCTTACAGCCAATAACAGGTGTTTACAACAAATGCAACTACTTTATGAAGTTAGAATATGAAGCAAATTTACTTGTTACTATCTTTTTTCAACTTCAACGCATCGCTCCGTACTGTCGCTGTTTAACAGAGAGAGCAGGGTTGCTACCGTCGCCCTGAGCCCTCCTCTTTTAACACAACTTGCCCTAACGGTTGGTTTTGAGCTGCCAAAGAAATGCAAAGATTAGCCGTTTTCAAGCACATAACTTCTACTACAACTGCATGATATTTGCCGAGCGTTTCCTCGTTAGTATTTACCTCTCAAGTGGGCCGTTTTAATTCATTAGTCTGACACAGGTTGGGCTTAGTTTTCAGCACAAAGCTCTCTGTCCGTTCAGTCAGTGCTGTCCGTGTTAAAGCAAGGTCCAGAGCGCCCCCCTCGGTCTCGCAAGAATACTGCAGGGAGAGATACATGGCGGGAGTCAGACACAACAGCTCTCTCACATACACATACCTCACTGGTTATCCGAGTCACTTACGACAGACTGAGTGCACTTCTTCGTTGGGGAGTTTCATTCACACACTTTCCTGGTCATGTGTAAATGCACGTTGTTGGTTATCATATTTATCTTTGGTTTTATATTTGAGGGGGATCATCTATCAATTACAGTGACATATTATTATTATTATTATTATTATTATTATTATTATTATTATTATTATTATTATTGTTATTATTATTATTATTACGAACAATAAAAACAACACATTTACAATGAAAAATAATACATTATTGTTGTTGTAAATAATATATTTATTATTGTTTATTATTATTATTATTATTATTATTATTATTATTATTATTATTATTATTATTAAGAATAAAGAATATCATGAACAATAAGAACAAAACATTTGCCATTCAATAATAATACATAATTGTTGTGGTTGTAAATATTACATATATATATCTATATATGTATATATAGATATATTATACTTGACTTTTCTATTATGTATCCCCTTGCAGCCAATTCACAATTTTATGTACAATATTTATTATGTTCTAAACCAGCAAACAGGCTCTTAAATCAGGATATGCAAAAATTAAGTAAGCAGCCAGTAAAAATGCTTCTTACATAATAAACATTTAATTCTGTCTTGATAGACAATAATAAAATGTGACAACAGATGTATGGGCTGAAATATGTGCCACCAGACACTGAATTTGAATTATTTATATTTCAATTTGAATTGCTAAACTTGAATAATTGAATTGAAAATTTGAATTTGAATCACATAATTTGAAATTGTATTGTTTAATTTGAATCTTTGCATTGAAAAACTGTATCTGAATGGTATAATTTGAAACTAATCCAATAAAATTTGATCCTCACTGAAAATCCAACTCTCAAATTCAGTTCGCAAAATTCAGTTTGTATGTAAAGAGAGTTGGATTTTCAGTGAGGATCAAATTTTATTGGATTTCAATTTCAAATTATACTATTCAGATACAGTTTTTCAAAGTGATGATTAAAATTAAACAATACAATTTTAAATTATGTGATTCAAATTCAATTATTCAAGTTTAGCAATTCAAATTCAAATATAAATTATTCAAATTCAATATAACAATTTCAAATTATGTGATTCAAATTCAAATTTTCAATTCAATTATTCAAGATTAGCAATTTAAATTCAAATATAAATGATTTAAATTCAGTTTCCGGTGGCACATATTTTAGCCCATACAGACGGCTGATTTCCTATTAGGCTTCCGTCAATGACTTCAGAAAGACATCTGTTAAATGTCTCTGCAATTGAACCTTTTATAATTTTTTTCATTTTATTTCGTTTTATTTTGAAATTTACCTACAACTAAACAGAGACGGCGTCCTCAAAAACTCTTATTTTTAAGTACCCAACCACACTTCCGGCGTTGATCCTTCAAGTCGGAAGGGATCGGTACAGTATTATCATGCATTTCCGCCACTTGGAGTGCTGTAAGACATTACAGTCTTAACTTGTTTCACTGTAGTTACCTCGTCTGACATAACATTAGCATGTTGTCGGATTCCGGCTACATTTATGTAGCTTCTCAGCCGCTTGTCTAGCTTCGCTCGGCTGCTAATGAGATCTACGAGCGGCCAAAGCTCGGCCACTGAATGCCTCGGAGAAAGAAGAACGGCCAAAGCCCGGCCAGGGTCCCCGGCGGGCCGCCAGAGGGAGGAAGGCTCGGCCACAACACAGGCACTCGACCACCGCAGGATTCTGACGGGTCAATGGCGAACAACTTCACCCCCAACAACTCCGTCCCCAGCTCAGTCAAGGAGAGTATCGTCAGGAGCATGGAGGAGATGTTCTCGCACCTGGACCCCGAAGTTATTTACATCGTGCTGTCCGAGTGTGACTTCAAAGGTAACTTCAGCTCTGAACATTTACGACGATAGTTGACATACCTGCTGCTGTGTGACTCTTGGTCATGATTAACTGAAACTGGGCTAATGAGTTAGCCTAGCAGCACCGTTACAAGGTGGTTTAACAGTGGTGGAGTGTAATGTATCCCACAAGTATCAGCTGTCACGTAAAGCTAAACTTTACACACCTTGATTTACCACCTGTTGTGCCTTTTCACTCAGGTCAGTGGTTCATAAGCAGGTTTCTGTCATTTGTCCTGCCTGAACAAGCTCGTCAAATCACACAGAAATACGTACAAATAAGAATAATGTGCTGACACTGAACTGAACCACCAAACAGAGCTGTGGGGCTATCCTGCAACTGAACAATTATCGTCAAAAGTTAAAAATTAACTGGAATGTATTGAATATAGGGCAGATTTTTTGAGCAAATATGTTACCACTGTAATGGTATGGATTAAATGGTCTTCATCAGTGTAGGTATCAGTATTGATAGCAGTAAATAAAGGGTTGTATAATCACAGTATAGTTAAAGTTCATCAGCTTTTTATTTTTTCAACAGAGTTTGACATCTTTTTTACATTTATATTTCTCTTCAGTTATAAAGAAACTGAAACAATGAATCATCTGTGGGTTTATGTTTAAAGGGATATTCAGGCGTAAAATTAATTTAGAGTCAAGCACACCATAACACCGAGTTAGACACCCCCGTCGAGAGATTAATGTTGCCGACCACTTGCTTCTCTAGTTATACCAACTTTAGTAATGACCGCACAATAGCAATGCACAGCCATCAGAGGAGCCATAAACAAACCTTCCAGCAGCCACTTGTTTGTAGCGAGACCTCCGGGCAAGTCCATTACGGACTGCTGCGGGGGGGGACGCAGCTCAAGGAAGAACATTTATGATCATTTTTTTCACGGAAATGCAATCAGACTGAGACACTAAGACAGAAGAACTACCGTGTCTGCAGTGCAAAGTGATTATTTGGTGATTATTACTTTCATGAAATGATAAAGAAATGATCATGAGAATCAAGCGGTCTGCAACACTCATCTCTCTAGGGGGTGTCTAACTCGGTGTTACGGTGTGTTTGAGCCTAAATTAATTTCACACTGGAATATCCCTTTAACTGACTAACCTGCCTTTTTCTTTCTCTCCATGTTGATGTTTTCTCTTTTTTGCCTCCAGTTGAAAATGCAATGGACTCCCTCTTGGAGCTGTCCGTGGCTGCTGAAGTTGCAGCACCTATACCCTCTTCTGTCTCTGGCTTTGAGCTCACTGCTGCAGCCCTGCTCAGCCCAAACCACCGTCCTGAGCCTAAAGCAGACCCAGACTCTTCCAGACCCTTGCACCTGGTCTCGTCTCCTCCCCTCCTGACAGAAGAACTAGACTTATTGGTGGATCAGGAGCTAGAAATACTTACTACACAGCAAAACAATGGTGCAGAGCACCATGGCAGCCAGTACTCATCCACTTTTACTCCACCGCCATTCCCACAGCAGGACCTCCCAGAGCTGCTTCAGTCCAGCCTGCAGCCTGGATCTAGGAGCCTTTCCATCCCTCAGCAGGGCCCAGTGGGTGGCCAAGTGGAGAGTATTTCAGGAGCTTCTTCTCCTCTGGACCAGCTCAGCATTTGGGAGGACAAGGCTGCTGAGGAGCAGGGACCCATGGTGAATTTCACACATCTGATGACAGAGCTGTCTGCTGACACAACAAAACCTCCTCTAGACCTGGCAGTGTCAGGGCGCCCCTCAGCTTTCCAGGTGTATAAAAAGCAAGACTCATCACAGGCTCCCTCAGACATAGACAGGATTGTGTCCTCTAACACAGTCATTGGGGGGGCTAGATCCAAGGTGAACACATCTAATCAGGCTGTGCACAGCTATGTGCCATCACCTTGGAACCCAGAGGCACCAGTGTTTTCCCCCAGTTTACATGGAAATCAGAGACCAGCTTTCATTACCCCTGTGGTTCAAACACCATCCAACTGGCCCGGCTTACCCAGACATCCCTCTCCCTGGCTGGGTCAGGGTCCTGGGAACCAAGCACCTTTCAAACCCTCTGCCACCATCCCAAAGTCCTGGGCCATGCACACTGCTGTTCATCCCCCTCCTCGGCACAGCAGACTACAATTGGAGGGGAAGGTTCTGGTTCTGCTGCGTGGGGCTCCGGGGTCTGGGAAGTCAACCCTGGCAAGGTAAGAATGATGGGATACTCCAGAGATGCTGCTCTCTCCAGTATTTAAAAAAGTGTGAAATAATGCAGTATTTTTGTTGAGTAGAAACTTGTGGCACTGATGTCCTCACTTGGCTACACAGTGGTCTAAGGAGCCATACATAAACCTTAACTAAAAAGCCACTCTATAGTCACAAATAATGCTCAGCACCTAACTTCATCAACAGTAAATATAGTTTCCCAGCCACAGCAACAGTCACCAAACATCTTTTTAACTTTGCCTGATTTCTTTAGCAAAGAGACTAAACACAACTCACCTACTCTCTTCCAACTGCTGCTTGTTTTTACGGAGACCTCTAGGCGAGTCCATCGACTGCAGCCGGGGGACGCAACTCAAGGAAGAACATTTATGATCATTTCTTTATCATTTCCTTGAAGTAACAATCACCATATTAATCATTTTGCACTGCAGACTCAGTCGTTCTTCTGCCTTAGCGTCTCGGTTTGATTAGATTTTCCATGAGGAAATGATCATAAATGTTCTTCCTTGAGCTGCATCCCCCCTGCATAGTTACTGAAGTTGGTATAACTAGAGAAGCAAGCAGTCGGCAACACTCATCTCTGGAGGGGGTGTCTAACTCGGTGTTGTGGTGTGTTTGACCCTAACTTAATTTTACGCCGGAATATCCCTTTAACTTCTCTGGTGCTGCAATCCCCTTGTCAGATCAGAATTTTTCCAGTTCAAGACAGTATGGGGTGTTTTGCTTACAAGATAGCTGCTCCAAACAATGGCATTTTCACAATAAAAGATAAGAACTCTAAGGGTTAGATACTTAGCAAGGACACCACAACAGTACAAATAGATTCTTACATGATATCACAGGCACTTACACACAGTAGTCATGGATTCTTGTTTTACTAAAGCAACATGTGGTACACCGCTGGAAAGATGTCTTTGTGCATGTTTGCAGAGCCTTGGTTGAGCACAACCCAGGAGGAGTCAGCCTGAGCACTGATGACTTTTTCATTCACCATGGAAGATATCTGTTTAACCCCAATGCTCTAGGAGAGGCTCATGAGTGGAACCAGAAACGAGGTAAACAAGAAATGGCTCAGCAGTGGAAAATCAAAACCCCTTTAATAAAAAGGGGTAATAAGATTTTGTCTGTGTATTGCAGATATGACCTCTTATGAGCTGCTTTTGTACCAGAATTACACTGAAGCAACAAAATATTTATCTGTCTTGAAAATTTCATCCCACAGCCAAGGAGGCATTTGAAAAAGGTGCTAACCCAGTCGTCATTGACAACACCAACATGCAGGGCTGGGAGATGAAACCCTATGTGGCTCTGGTTAGTCAATAGTACATAAAGTATGCAAATATATCTCTTGTCCCTTTCTCACGGTGTTGTAACAGTCTCTCTCTTCCTTCCCAGGCACTGAAACATGGATACAAAGTGCTGTTTCGAGAACCAGACACTTGGTGGAAGAACAAGCCCAGAGAATTGGAGAGGTGAGAGATATTACATCAATGCAAAGTTAGCATCTGACTTCAACAAAACCTGTCAACTGGATTGATTTTTAAAAGGGGAAAATACAGTAGAAAGCTGTAAAAGCATCTTTACGCTTTGTGTTGTTACTTTGTGTGTGTTTAATCACATTTGCAGGCGTACCACACATGATGTGCCGGTGGAGACAATCCGACGTATTCTTAATGGGTACGAGCGCTTTGTCTCAGTACAGTCAATTATGGGTTCACAGATGCCTGAGCTCAAACAGCGCCAACTTCTGGAGGACAGAAATTCACAGTGAGTGCAGCTTTGAGCTACAGATTCAAGGAAAAACTGCATGAAGTGTAAACAAGGTTTTTGGCCAAGACTCTAGAACAGCTGTAAAGCATACTGGTATATTTGTGATATATCTGGTGGCACTGATTATACAGATCAAAAATGCAGAAATACAGACACAAGTATTCTCATAATTTAAAAAAGTATTAAATCTTGTTTTGCATGTACAAATAATAAGTCTTTTTGAAAGTTTCTTTGCACAAATGATCCAAACTTAAGCAAAATCAGGCAAACACACGATTATTTTTTTCTTTTTTCTTCAGACCGGGGTCCCTGAAACCATGTCCTGACCTTGTGGGGCAGCCTGAATTGACAGAAGAATGTAAAAAATTGAACCCAGAGCTCATTTCGTCTCTCCCTGACGTCTCATCCATTGGTAGTTCTGCTGACGTTGTAATGCTGGAAGATGGTACCAACAAATCTTCAGAATCCCTTAATTTTCAGACTGCTGAGAAACTCACAGAAAAGCCTGAAATGATAGAGGATGACGATGAGATAGATCTAGGGAACCTAGATTCTGAGTTAGATGCCCGACTAGGTCTGAATCCTCCTGGAGATCAGAGAATCCCTGACTGTATTGTGGAGTCAGTGATGAATGTGGAACAACATGGGGAAGAAGTGCCTGTGGCTTTCTCTGAGTCTATTGGACAAAGAGTGAGGAGAGAGCGAGTCAGTAGGAGGTCTGGTTTTGATAAGATGGAGCCTGCAGATCTAGTAAAGGATACTAACCAGTCAGAAGAGAAAGAAAAGACAAAGGAAACAGAAGGGAATGAGGCCTATAAGGAAACACTCAATATGTTGGACTTTGTAGGAGATTGGCCAACTGAAGGGCCCCTCCAGCAGCGGCAGGTGAGGGGGGGAGAGAGGCTTAAAGACGGATGTTTAAGGGAAGATAAAAGTGTGTCTCAGGAGGAAAATAAAACAAAAGAGAAGTTTGGGCCCAATGCGGCAGAGTTTCAGAGGCTTCTTGATCTTATTCAGACAGGTGTAGCTGCCATCCAGACGGACTCCTCACATTCGTCCCCCATTTCCCTCAGCTCTGGAGAGGAATCAGCAAAAGAAGAGGAGGTTGCAGGCAATTCTGGGGAATCAAATAGCAGTAGATCTAGCAGTGAGGCTCGAACACAACACGTAAACAGGGTTATCAGCAGCCGAGGAGAATTGCCTGACTGTGTGTTAGACTGGAAAGGAGCTGACCCCTTTAAGGATATGGAATCACAATTTGATAATTGGGAGAAACTTGATAGGACAGACGCGGTCAGAGGTATAGCTAAAACGGATAATCATGTGTCGAATAACGGCAGAGAAACAGGAATTGCGGATTTGAATCCATGCAACCAAACAAGTCCCCTCTCAGCTGATTCACTGAGTATCTCCAAAGCTGAGGAGAACAATCTTTCCAAGGATGAAAGAGGAAGCAACAAAGTTCAAGGTGAGGTTGTCACAGATCCTGATGGTTCTTGTCAGACTGATAAAGACTACACAGAGATTAAATTTGCAGCTGATGGAGGTCATGCTAGTGAGGTGAGTCAGAGTCCTGCGTTAGAGAGTGCTCCTGAAGTAGATGGCGGCGTTTTCAGTGGAGAGGGTCAGGAGAAGAAGCAGCGTCAGGGCCGTAGATCGGGGAAACAGTGTAAACTGGCCCTCACGTTTACACAAAACTGCCCTGCTTCCTCACCTCACACTCCTGAGGGGCCCGCCACTGTCACTAATGTAAACCTCAATCAAGATAGTGTCAAACCAGATGTTGAACTAAACTGTCCTACCAGCCAGAACCCTCAACCAAACCTTGACCAGTTCAATGAGTCTAAATCTGACGGACACCAGCAGACACCTTCCTCACCTCCTCTGGTCGACTCAGGCCACTTTACCCAGACAGCACCAGAGGACTTCGCCCTCCTTTGGCGTCTTAATCATCGAGACAGCCCCGGTGATACCGCTGTCACTCTGTGCAGCCACCCTAGTGACATCACTGTCCTGTCTGGAGAATCTTCTCGCTTTGTGCCAGAACTTTCTCACGCCGTTTCTGCAGCTGTTGCAGTTCACCCGTCCGGCCACACGGAGGTGCCCTACCGCGTGGTGCATGAAAAAGGCTCACAGGTAGAGGAGAGAGAGTTTGGAGCAACTCAAGATCGCCTTGAGAGTCTGCGCATTCTCAGCCGCCACTTTAAACTAGTTAGTTTTGATACATTAGAGGATTTATACGACAAATGCCATCAGGATCTGGAATGGACGACCAACCTGCTGCTGGACTCAGGAGAGAGGTTCTTTAAAGATGAGGATATTTTGAAAGAGATGGAGGGAACTAAAGACGACCTTACAACATTACATTTGTGTGGAGCTCTGGATATAGCTGTAGATACAAGGCTGCATGCCACTGAGTCGGATGGGGATCACCCAGAGGATTTGTCTGCTGCAGCTGAGGAGGGAACTCAGCAGACGACCACCGAGGCGGATAAAAAGTCAGTTGTGAACACCAATAACAGCGATGTGCTTGGAGTTGGAGAAGCAGCTTCTCTAGCTCCAAACAAAGGCCATCCTGATGTGACCTCATCCTTCGAAATACCTCCTGAAACAGAACTCAGACCCCTACAGGTAGTTAATGAAGAAAAGGGAAGTGTTGACACTCAACAAAAACTGACGTCAGGAGTGAACCTTGAAGGTGGTGCTCGGGGTCCAATCTTTGATGATGATGATGGTGTGATAATTGAAGAGTCTAGAGTGGAGATTGATGAGGAAATAGCCAGCATGGACGAGATTCAGCGGCTGCTGCAGGCTGAGCTAGAAGAGATGGATAGACTGGAGAAAAAAGAGAAGAAGAGTCTGAAAGAGGGAAAAAGGAAACAACATCTGGACATTCAGAGTGTGGAGCTCAAACTACCCACAGAGGTGGCGCTACAGCTGACTGAACTATTTGGTCCTGTTGGAGTAAATCCAGGTATTTAACACAAAATACAAAGTTGACATTCAGAGTGAGTCCCTTCATCTGTTTAACACTTTCTATGCAGCCTACTCGGACATGAAATACCAAACCAGTTCAAATAAGATTTCTGCTGATATCATACTATAACATACCGGTGTCTCTATCCTCCCTGGTTCTCAATATTCAGACTCGTGCTCCTCTGAAGACTATGCAGTGGAAATGGACCTGAACCTCGCCAAGCTGCTCCACCAAAAGTGGAAAGAAACCATTCAGGTGAGCTAATGTTCGTGTTTTATAACAAGTATCATTACAGTTACTCTTGATCACTGAGGTAGCTGCACAAGATGTAAGTTACTGCCTTTTTTATTATTTAGGAGTCAAACTTAAACATCAGTTTTCTTACTGTTGTTCTTGTGCACTTATATTCTACATACCTGTGTGTGATTCTGTTGTTTTGACTTGTGTGCTGTTGTACAGGAAAAGCAGAGACAAGCAGCCCTGTCTTTTCACTTGCTTCAGGAGGGTAAGTTTACACACACACACACACACACACACACACACACACACACGAAACTGTAACTGTCTCATCCTGTTACTTTAATAAAACACACATTAACATTGATTAAGGAAAAAAAAAACTCATAGCATTATTGTATCTTTAAATCCGTAGGCTCGGTACACCGGGGTGACTCACAGGGGGCCAGTGCAGGTGGTCAGATGACACTGGATGGCCACCCAGAGACCAGGGATCAAATCCCTTTCATGGACCACTGGAGTGTGTCCCGCCCACATGTTTCTCTACGGGAGATCATAAAAGAAGAGCAAGCACTGCAGGACAACGTTGAAAAGGTTTGCCACACATATATCTTAAATAAAAATAATTAGCTCGTTCTTCTCCAAACACCCAGTCCTAGACTTTGTTCAACCCTTTTTTCTTTTAGACCAGACAGAGCCGTGCAGACCTCGATCGGCGGGACGGAGCCGCCATGTTAAAAGAAACTCAGCTGTACGCCCTCTTCCCCCACATAGACAGGCATTTTCTTCTAGACATCTTCAGAGAACGAAAGTGAGAAATTAACTTTGACACTGGTGGAGAGAAACTCTACGAAGCTCTGCAGAGCTGATATGACTATCTTCACGATGTGTATCTGTTTGATGTGCTGGGTACTGTTCTACACTCTATACACTAACTTATAAATGTTTCTGTTTTTATGTAGTTACAACCTGACTGAGACTGAGCTATTTCTTCGCTCTCTTCTGGGCCAGGAGCCAGTCAAGACAGTGGTCGCCCCAGAGGCACCTCAGTCCAACCATCTCAGATCAGCAAGCAAAGAGAGGGAGAAGGTGTTCACATTCACACCTGAAAGCTGATAGTCTACATTCAAAAAGAATCAATACTAGCCAGTTAAAAATGTAAATCTCACCCTTCACTGTCTCACTTTACTCTGTATTATCATTTGTCAGAGGCAAAGGCCTGTGGAGTTAACAGTTCCTGACTATCAGGATACAGAGGATCCAGAGTACGAGGATTTCAGGGCCGAGGCCACGCTGCAGAGAAAACGACAGATCGAGAATTTCGCAAAGGCTGCTGAAGCTTTCAAACAAGGACGTAGAGAAGTGGCTTCATTTTATGCACAGCAGGTGAGGAGTATTAGTTTTTACCTGGGAGGGATGTTATCGAACAGACACAATGTCCTCCAACAGTTGACTCTCCTCTTAATGAAGTTATCGTATCATCCTTACTGTAGGGACACATGCACGGTAAACAGATGCGTGAGGCCAATCATCGCGCCGCAGTTCAGATTTTTCAGAGGGTCAACTCATCACTGCTGCCAAGAAACATCCTGGACCTCCACGGGCTGCATGTAGATGAAGCTATTGAGCATCTAGCCCATGTCTTACAGGACAAAAGCACAGGTAGAGAAGATAACCTGTAGCATATATGCTCAGTTTGATGAGAGAAGAAGGTTTGGCGTCTCTGTGTGAGATACTAATGCTCATTACAGATCATCTTAAACTGGAAAAGTACTGGTATCTTAAATTCATGTGTGTCACGGCTAAAATGTGGTGAATATATATCTCAATTTTTCAAGTTCACAAAGTAAAAGAAAAAAAAAAGGTAGAATAATTATGTGTCACAACTGTTTGATTTCAGTTTTGTGTCCCTGAACTTAAGTAAAGTTTTAAAAAACTTATGATACGACAAGCCTTAATGAAGCGATCCAGTTTTTTTTTTACTGCAGGGGCTCTAAAATCCCCACAACCTGAAAGTTCCTGGCAGGAGTTTGAATAATGATGTTTGTAGATCTCAGTATCTCTCCTCTGTGCTCCCCTTAACAGTTTTCTCTCTGTTCTTTCTGTGTAGAGTATGAGCAGGGTCTGTGTAAACCTCAGCTCTCTATCATCACAGGAAGAGGAAACCACAGCCAGGGGGGCGTGGCCCGCATCCGCCCGGCTGTCATAGACTACCTCACCAGCAAGCACTACAGGTACACACACACACACACACACACACACATTCACACACAGACACACTTCACTTAACACTCATACATGGCAAGTTCACTGTCGCCCACCTTCTCTCCTATCTCTTTATCTGTCAGGTTCACGGAGCCAAACACAGGCCACGTGTTAGTCTCTCTGAAGTGAAAGGAACCTGGTTCATGGATTTCAAGCTGCTATGGAGGAAAACACACACATGATGCACTACTCTCTCTCTCTCTCTCTCTCTCTCTCTCTCTCTCTCTCTCTCTCTCTCTCTCTCTCTCTCTCTCTCTCTCTCTCTCTCTCTCTCTCTCTCTCTCTCTCTCTCTCTCTCTCTCTCTCTCTCTCTCTCTCTCTCTCTCTCTCTCTCTCTCTCTCTCTCTCTCTCTCTCTCTCTCTCCCTCCCTCCCTCTCTCTCTATCCCTTCACATAACCATAACCAAATTACATAGCCACTACACTTAAACACACACACTTACACTCAGCCATATAAGGACTGCATCAACCTGAAATAAGAATATATTTTTTTATATTTACTAAAAATTTAAGTACATTTTAACTCTGCAAACATCTTATAGCACACGCTCTCATTTACATTCATGTTTGTGCCTTTTAGAACAAACCTCTTTTTGAGGGCTCCACAGAAGAAGAAGAAGGAAATTCTTGTAATAATTTTAACATTTTCTAAGTTAGAGTCATGTTGGAAACACAATGACAGATTTTATCAAATGTATTTAATCATGATCGCATGCTGCCTGGAGTTTTTTCACTTGGAGTTGAGAAAATGTAAAAAGAACGTTGAAGCATGCCACCAGATTTGAGATCATTGTGTGAAAATGTATCAGAAAGCAGAAGCTAAGGGGGAATTTTGGGTCGTTTTGGGTCGTAAAGTGGTGAGTCTTCATCTCATCATCGGATGATCAGGAAGCCTTTTAATAGTTCGATCAACCTTGACTCTGATTTCATCATCATTTTTTAAAATTTCAGCGCTGCCTCGGCCTCTTATTTTTGTTTGCTTTAGATTAATGCCAAACTAATGTGCTGCTGCTTAAGATTCAAACTCAGGAAAAAAAACTTCCAAGTGTTTCTTGATCTTTAAGGCCAGTCTTTTTTCCCAGCCTGTTCCTGGTAGCTTTTTTTTTTACCCCACTGTGCCAAATATTGTAGTAGTTTTATCACTCAGGTTGCTACAATAGCTTTGTAAGTTGGAGTAACTTTGTTTTTATCTTTGTGATATTTTTCACAAAGTTTTGGAAAGCATTGTTGAAAGAATATTTTGATTGTAAATAATTTTGTTAACACATGAAGATTGTATTTTTTTATTCAACTGTTTGAATTGTTTTAAAAATGATAATGTACTGCGGAATAAAATCCCAACTGTTAACTGTTTAAAACCTCTTGCTGTGTGGGTCTCCATCTAAATATTCATAATTAATAATTAAAAATCAGTCAGGAATTAAACAATTTTAAATGACAAGTTTGTGCACTCATGTGACATCAAAACTTGGCTTGTTAAATTCCTTCCTGGTATAGTGACTTAAACAAGCCTGTGTTTGACGGTTGGTTTTAAAAATAAAGGAAAAGTCTTTAATTGGAAGAGGAATTTTTTTTTTTTTTTTAAAGCCATTTATTCCTTTTTCTTGTCCGAGCCTGGTGTATACAAACTGACATTTCAGTGGGAGAATTGGCTGTAGTGTGATAATACATGTAGGTTAAATTTAAGATGATAACCAAAGAAGAAGTGAGGACTGGGCCACATGATTTCTTTTAAGCTTAATTCATCTCCAATCTATACTGTTGCTGTTTACACAAACGATTTCTGTTAGTTACTATGAAATGACAATAACATTTGCACAATTCATACAATATTCACAAACTGACTTTAATGTGTGAAATAGTTCGAAATCCCCTGTAATGATTCGATTTTTACAATACATGGTTTATCCAAAGTACAACAAATGATCCAGAACAGCACTTATTGAAGGTGGTTTGATGTATCTGTTTTACTCAGCTTTGGCACCTTTAGTGTACCAGCTTTTTCTTTCTGTTGCCTGTGCTCGCTGACAAAATGATTCAATTCACTACAAAAAAAAAAGCATGAGCACAGCTGCTGTGGAGGAGCGAGCAGAAGTCACACCACAGATAAGCCTTTCTACTTTGCTTTTCAGTCGTGCTACTTCCGTCATTATTCCCCTCAACCTTACCCAACCTCGCACATATGAGACAGGTGTCACCATATATCGTCTCTTCGACTTTTGTTGAATACATCTTTACTCACTTTTTCATCGGTATTTTTGAAGAGCTCTTCTTGGATGAATTTTTAGCGTTGGGAACAAACTGTTTTGGAGCTGAAACACTTTGAAATCTTCAAAGGCAGCCGCAATTTATCCGTTAAAGAAGGAGAGGACTGACAATGAAGGTACTTGGCTCTTTTTTTTCTACTGTTTTGCTTTTCTTCTGTAAAACTTAGTTTTGATTATGTCTTTTTGGATGGAAGGATTTTATTCTTTTATTCAGATATTTTTCAGCTCTTAAAAATTCTAAAATGTGGACAAAAACCCTAACCTAAAGTTTTTTCAATAGTACATTAAATATTACATTAAAATAAATAGATAAGGTGAAGGGGTAGATTCATACTCCCTTTGGATATTTTATATAACAGTATACTACTGTACATTACTACAAGAAGAATCTACATATGCAAGTCAACAGCTCATGTAATTGTAGTCAAACTTCCTCTTTTTTATTAATATATTTGTGTCTGTTACAGAAGCCTCGACAGTTTATTCAGTCAATAATTAAAGACTTCTTGTAATTGGAAAAAGACTTAAAATGATTTATGTTTCAGTGTAAGGAAACAATCAGATGGTACAAAGTACGTCATGAGGACGGAGGTCTTTCCATCCAGTTGACTCGATGCATCATGGCAGGTAGTTTTGAGGTTGTGACTTCTCTTTCTTGGTAACTACGTATTAGACTACCGGGTTAATACTGATTATGCAAAGATTATGCTAATTATAAGATAAAGATTCACTTAACAATTGCTCTTGGTCATGTTGAACAATAAAATAGGACCTCCTCTGATTCTTTTGCTGATATCTAATCTGATAATCAGTCTGGACGGTTCACTAGAGTGTTGTATTGGAGTCATATTAAAACTGGATAATGTTAATTTGTTTCATAGGACTGTGATTGGTGTCAATAATGAGCAGCTGCTAGTCTTTGAGATCATGTTGTGTATTCTGGGTCACACCCAGACAGAGTTTCTTACTTCCGTATCAAACTTTACACATAAGTCTATAACTTTAAAATGTGACTTCCTCATAAATATGTTTGTTCGTGAACAAACATTGATCTCACAATTCAACTTTGAGTTGAATTACCAACATGCAATAGCGTCCTATCATTTATCGTTCCTTCTTTTTAGGATGGGAAAGAGCTCACAGGTACTTTGTGTTTGTAGCATTTCCCTCTCAATGTCTGTCTGTTTCAGATTTCCGTCCTCTTCACTGAGGGGTTACAGAGAATATGGCCTTCAAAACCAGCAGAGAGGAGCCCATAACCACACCATGCTGCTGAGGCCAAGAAGAGGGGTGCGGATTTAAGAGCGCTTTAGGAACCAGGACTTAATCTGATGTGTGAATCAAACTCAAAACTGGCTGTATTTCACGTTAACAAAAACTTCAAGACTCTGGAAAGAAAGGAATGAATTCACCAGAAGGCGAGTATCACGAACTACTTTGAAATCTGCACAGAAGCCCACAGGAGTTACCTCATGAACACTGTCACCTCTACATATCGATTCTGTTCATAAAGCAAGTCTTTAGACTTTAGATTTCAAAGCATACATATCTGGGGAACTGGATTTGTCAAAAGTAGCCATGAATGGCCTCGCAGAGATGTCGTTAAAGTGCGTCCTGGTCGGAGACAGCGCTGTTGGGAAGACGGCCCTGCTGGTCCGTTTCACATCAGAGACCTTCCCTGATTCCTACAAGCCCACTGTGTTTGAGAACACAGGGGTGGAGGTGTACATGGACGGGGTTCAGATCAGTCTGGGTCTGTGGGACACAGCGGGAAATGAAAATTTTCGACAGATCAGACCAAGATCCTACCAGCAGGCTGACATTGTCCTCATCTGCTTCTCTGTGGCCAACTCGAGCTCTCTGGCCAGTGTCCAACATAAGTGGATCAATGAGGTTCGAGAGCACTTGCCCAAGGTACCTGTGCTGGTCGTGGCCACCCAGACGGATCTGCGGGAGTCGGGGGCGCATCGAAGCAGCTGCATCTCTGCTGCTGAGGGTAGACGCGTGGCCCACGAAGTCCACGCCAAAGGCTACCTTGAGTGTTCATCCCTGAGCAACCGAGGCGTGCAGCAGGTGTTTGAGTACGCCGTGCGGACAGCCGTCAACCAGGCCAAGAAACAGGCCAGGCGACGGCTGTTCAGCGTGAACCAGTGCAAAGTTTTTTGACCCCTGACTTGGAGCAAGCGGGCGGCTGTAGTCCTTTGTAAGGGTTCCCTGAGATATGCTGTTTGGAACTGAGTGAAGGCCTGTAGGGCCACAACCACCTGAAGTTGTACTGCAAACTTTCTTCAGGAAGTTGTTTTCCACTTACAGGGAATTTCCTTAACTCTGACTGTTTTTTTTTTTTTTTTACAAAGCTGAGAGCAAACTGTGAAAGTTATCTGCCAATTATCCCCCTAGATGGACACCAGTGTAAGTTCTGCTTTTGTGTGATCGAGGGAGAGTGCCACGCTGTTGATATGAGACACCAGAAAAACTTTCAGAAATACTCCATCAGAAAGTTGAACAGAAAAAGTGCGTTGAAATTAAATTGCTATAGATTTAACATTGAAACAACATATCACCTCAAGGAACACATACCTGAACCTCGCATTATATATACGTGTTGGAAGATAACCTCTTGAATTACAGTATAACCTATAAGAGGGGTTATTTGGGGGGGATTTTTGTCCTTTTTTTTGTGAAACATAGACTAAGAAGTGAAAGTAGGGGATGGCGTAGGGCATATGACAGAATATTTGCAGCTTGGGTTGTCAGCTGTGTGGACTACATGAGGATGCACAGAGCTAAACAGGCCCCCTATTCAGAACTAGGTTAAAGCTTTGATCACAGCAGATGAAGGTTCATAAACGGGTATCTTTAACATCAACATGGAGCTTTTACAGTGCAGTTTCACATTTCTGAAAACCAAAAAAATGACTGTTCTCATGCCCCTAAATCATTTATTTATATATTCATAATGGATCTTTTTTTTTTTAATCTTCCAGTGATTTTAACTCATCAGAAAATTTCAAAACTAGACAGTTTCGCTTCCTTGTGTCCTGTTGGTTGTTTCTCTACAGACGATGTAATTTTAGGACTGACTGACTAACACCTGCTTTTTAATGTGGTATATACTATATTGATCGATTTTTTCAAACTGTTATTTAACTTTATTATGACGGAGTATTAGGGCCACATTAAGGAGAGAAAATTAAGACTTTGAAATTAAAGTCGTAAAATTAAAAGAATAAAGTCATATAGTCAAGTTGTAATACAATCATTACTTATGAGAAGAAAGTCAGAATAAAGTCCTTATATTCTAACGTGTTGTTGAGGTGACAGTTGTTGAAATGAGAGCCAAGGAGCATTTTTGTGAAAATGTACTTTAATAATGGTTTCTCAAACAAGGAGATACTGAATCTTTTGGCACATCAGCACCACATTATCATGAGTATTTTACTGATTTTATTACAACATTATTCTCATTAGTAATGACATTATTCTCGTAACTTAACGACTTTGATCTTGAAGTCTTTTTTTTTCTTAATTTGTCCCTAATACTCCGTCGTACTTTATACCTCTTTTAGTAAAGAAAACATTAGGGCATGTTCGCCTCCTTTCTCTATGTTTTTTTTATCTGATCATGTTCTTGTTATTATTTGTTACCAGAGTAACTAATTTGAATAAAGTAATACTAATGATTTAACATAAAAGACAGATATCAGTTTGTTTTTTTCCTCACAGCACATCTTTTAAAATGATCTTCCACAAATCCACCACACTTAACTTTAAATCTTTCTTAGTATACCACTTTAAAATGTGTAGTCGGTTCCCCAATTACAGCTGGGTACTCTGTTCACTTTTCTTTAAGTTATCATAGCTCAGTGAAAGATAAAAGATCACAAACAGTAACGAGAAAAACCAAAAAACCAAAACACAGCTGAGCAGAGCTGTTCCTCTTCACCACTCCTCTTTTCTCTCTCAGTCTTGGTTTTTGTTCAAAACGGTTTGGGGACCAGAAGCGCTGCTTGAATTATCATGGATACACTTAAAAAAATGGTAAACCACATGCTCTCTCACACACACACACACACACACACAGAGATACACATTCATGCTCACACACATACACGCACAGGATGTAGTCAAACTTTGACAAACACACGAAGCAGCTTCAGCTCACTGTTATAGTCTTAATCGTCTCATACAAAGTGCTCTAGTGTACACACTCAAAAACTGGATTTACAATGAAATCTTGTTTGTAAATCAATGCCCTTGGATTTAACGTTGTGCACACAAATTTATTGATATGCACCCTTGTAATGTGGCTTAGTTTACACTTCAACACAGTATTTACAGTGAAGTATTTTGGGTGATTTTATTTGAGCTACATGTTGGCGCAGTGGTTAGCGCAGTGCCGGGAGGTTATGGTTTGATACCTGAGCATGTGTGACTGATCGATTGTGTGTGTGGGCCCTGTGTTGGTGGTTATTTGTTAGACATACCCCATCTCCCACTCCCACCCATGAGCTGCAGGGATTGGCTCTTATCCCACTCAGGGGAGAAGCAGGGAGCCAATCTCTAACTTCTGATGCAATTTAGTTATTGTTGTGATCCAGCTACTTTTATAAAGCAACATCTGTCGTTACCTGATTACTTTAATGAATTTGTCTCTATAATTTCATCACACGAGTGAGTAACAGAGATTACATGATCTCAGGCAACTCGCCCAGTGACTCCTTTGAGTTGAACTCCTTAGTTAATTTTTTTTCTTTTGTAATTTCATCATAGTAGATGTCTTTATTGTCTGTTACTGGTCAGTGTCTACACTGAGTGAGGAATATCTACAGCTGTTCAATTTTGGAGGCTTTATTTACTGGTTAACTGAATAAAATCGAATTGCAACACACATGTAAACAGTGAGAGAGTCCTTTTGGCGAGAGCCTTGGAGTTCAACCCACGAGTTTCAGCTCTAAGGAGACAAATCAGATGCAAACTGCAACTAGTCATGGTGGGCTTTTTTCATGCTTTTGTGGCTGTGCTAAGCCTTCTGTCCATGGGACAGTCGGCTCCTGTGACCAGCTGTAACACCCAAACTGTTGAAATCCAAGGAAGAGACCAGGTGAGTTAGTTTTATCATGTGTCTGCTTTATTCTCACTTCATCACTTTTTAGTTCACACACAATCTGTCCTAGTAGAAATCTTTGTCATGTGCTTTGTTCAGATCCTGGGAAAGTGGACGCTCATAGCAGAAGCCACAAACGACCCTGGAGCCAAGATGATGTCAAAGGTTTTAGTCGAGAGCTCCTGGATAAGATTCACTGCTGCCAATGAGAGCAACGCCATTGAGGTTCTTCAGGGTGAAAAACTGTAATTATATACCTAAATTGAGTTTGTTTTGCATTGATGATTGACCATTAGCATCCTTTGTAGAGCCTAACATCGAGTACACATGAACATGCTTCTGTATGTTTTCTGCAATTGAAGGTTTGGTCGCTGCTTCACGCTCAAAACAAAAATGACTTTGGAAAACGGCACTCTTACTATGGGTATGTGCTTCCAGTTAAAACCCAGTGTGTTCTGACTGGCACTATGCCTGCACTCACAGATTTGGACTTTGTGCCTAGACTTACAACAGAACTTTGTGTATTTGTTCGTTTGTTTGTATCCACAGGGTCACCTCTGAATTCCTCTACCAGGCTACTGAGCACCGGCTGCCCTGACTGCCTTGTTCTCTACACACAATACTTCTCCGAGGGGAGCACAAACGGAGGCGTCCAGTTCATGAGTAAGATCTTCATAAAGTTTTAAAGGGAAAAAGGACTGATTAATCAATAAAGACAGAATAACTCAAGTGACTCTGAAAAGATGAGTGAGAAGATCAGAATAGGGGATGACTAAGGGCAGATGAGGGGCAGGCCTTCACTGGAAAATGCGTCCAAACCAGTTCTTGGTAGTAAATATAATGAACCCACAAGAGGAACTGAGGATCACATGCTCAAGCAGCATGAACACATCATCAGAAAGTCCAATCTTATTGGATGTTTCTTTAATCCACAGTTTTAGATATTCATTAGATATCAGATCTAGGGTGAGATGACCAAAATAACATTTCACGGGATCAGCTACAAGACCAGCTGTCAGGGATTTAGAGTCTGGTTAGGATTTTCTTTCAGGCTTACTTTGTGTAAATCTGTGTTTTATACCAAAAGGTGTTTTCATAAAAATATCTCTGAAAACTCACTAGATTATTTTTGGGGGGTTAGCACTGGAGATAAAGCTGGAAAAGGAGAAGAAGGATGGAAGGCTGTAACGCCTGCTTCAAGGACTATAGCCTCTTTATGGGGTCAGCCAAACTTTTTAGTCATTTAAAAAAAGGAGTTGGCATGATGGCGGAAGAGAAACAGGAAATGTGGGGAGGAGAGAGTTGGGGAAGACATGCAGCTTAAGTCTTGGCGAAAAGTTGAATGAGTGATTGCTGTTGGAGGATTTTTGTTTCATATGGAGAATTCCGTATATTCCGAGTCCCACTCCGATCGTTTTTTTTTTTACTACTTTAAGTCTTCTCAGTGGTCTTTAAACTGTGATTATAAAGCTTTACCAAAAATCACGTTACCTGTGTTGTTTTCAAGGACTTTTCTTCTGCAGAGCTCCAGTAGATCATTAGCAATTTGCCTCTGAGTTGTGGGCGGAGACAGCGCTGCTCTGCACACTCCTCTTCATGTTAGCTTGCAGCCTAACATAGCCGGTGTAGTAGAAGTGGCAGGTAACATAGGAGCAATTCAGCTCTCAGACACTAATGTTTTTAGGGACACGATGAAAGCTCATATCATAATTACCTTTCTTGCAATCCGCTAATGCACACGCTTGTTCTGCGACCGTCCTCTATATTTCTCCTTTATATGCAGAGTGTGGCCTGCACAGCGGGACTCCGGGGGCGGAGCTTGGATTGGTTACATACGAAATCTCACTGTTTCTGAACCTGCTGTTTGGGTCTGCCAGAGATTCACAGCGATTTGAATGAAGAAATACTCAGAAAACCAATTTCACATTTAATTTTCTCATGACATGTCCTGTAGCATCAGAAAAAAAAAAGAATATGAACGTATAAAAAACAAGAAAAACTTGATTTCCATTGGAGTGGGTCTTTAATCACTAAGCCAAACCAGCACCTAAGAGGTTTGTGTTTAGGGTACTCTTAAAACACGACGGCCAAAATTACACACAAGAGTGTTTTGTTAGCAGAGGCTTTGTTTTGATGCTTTTGCAAAGTCACCAAAGAGACATTTCAACTGTAAATGTAATGTTTTCACTCCTAGCACAATATTTATGGAGACATATTTTCATAAGTGTATACTCCACAAAAAGTTAGACTCTATCCAAAGTCTTGCATGTTTGTTTTCTGTTTTAATCTCTGAAACGAACAGGTTTATGCTGCCCACTGATCGTTTCATGTTTTAAGTCTATTCTGTCTCTTAGGCCGGAGAAATATTGTGACAGCTGCTGAATTGGAAGAGTTAAAGAAGTTGGTAGAATGCCTAAACTTTCCATCGCCTGTGATCCTGAACCAGGACAAAGGTAAGAACTTTTACAGACAGAAAGATATTGATGTTTAGCTCGATAGCTTCTATAAAGGATTTAAATATTTGCATCCTTTCCTTCTCATGCCAAATCAATCACAGTTTAAAAACTTAAAAGTCAATACACATTAGAAATGGATTGAACGGGATAAACAGGAAGTCAGGCTGCTGCTTTATCTTTTACTTAATGAAACTGCTCCTTTGGTGCATATTTCATTTCATATTTCATATTTCACCTTCATACTTTCACAAAAGGTGCTGCTGTGATAGCACAAACTTTAATGTTTTTGTGCATCTCAGATACAATGTTTCTGTATTTTACAGGCCTTTGCCCGGAGGACTCTCCGCTGAACACTGATCTGACTTCTGACTTCTATGACATGAGCCCAGATTTTTTCAATCAAACAGAGAGTATCATCAGTGATGAAGCTGGCATGGATGGGCTTTCTGACTTGATATCCAGCTTGAGTGACTTAACAGACACTTAATATTCCCATTAAAACATAAAAGACCATTTCCAGATGAGGAATAATCTGACAGAAAATATGATGTTAATGCATATTATTGTGTCTTTTACATTCCGTTTCAGGATGTCTGACATTTCATAAATGCAGATTTCTTCCTCCTCTGCTGTGTAAAATGCCATTTAAAGCCATATAACCATTAAATAAAACGTTTGTAAACTTAATGCTGTCGAAATTAGTTCCCTAAACTTCCCTCCCTTCAAAGTCCCACTCTGATTGTATTTTTACTACTTAAAGTGCTTAAAACTGCGATTATGAATTTTTTTAAATGGAGCTTCACAGAAAAAAAGAGGACTTGAGCACAAACCAGTCTGACAGTAACTACATGTCAACATCGCAGGTAGGGGGGAGAAACATTTATATTCTGTGTAATAAATTTCTAAAGTTCCCATAAGAACGGTTGGCAGAGGCGGGATTTATGACCTATACTGCAGCCCGTCACCAGGGTGTGCTGTTCTCGGAGTGGCTGTCCATTCTATATACAGTCTATGGTTTTGACTAGTTTACAGCACTGGGGGGGATTTTCTCAGACATGTGATTTGTCAGTCAGGTGAACTCTAAGAGGCGGACAGAATGTAGAAAAACATCTGTTACTGTGAAATATGAAGACCCTTTCAATTTGTGGAAAACGGCTTCTACAAATGCAAACATGCCCACTGATAGCAAGGTAAGCCACACATCTGTAAACCCTGCATGTGGTCGCACCAAGCAGCAGGGTTATACAGTGACATGCTTTGTGAGAAGTTGGTCTGTCTAGTTTGTGCTGCTTTTACTTGCTGTAGTGTTATTGTGCGTGTCTCTGAGAATTTGTTGCATAAATGTCCGCTGTATGTGTTGGCTCCATTTTCTGCCTCTGCTTTCTTATGTGGTCTTGAAAGTAAAGTCTGTCTCTCAGGTCACATTTGGATTTATTTCTTCCACAGGTTAATTTAATCCATGTCAGGTTGTTTGTTATACCAGAAGAAACTTAAATGTCCTCCAGCATCATGTCTCACCATATTATAGGATGTAACTCTAACATAAAGAGTCCATGCCTCGAGTGTTACACGTTAGATTTAAATCATATCCTACAAATATCTAAAAGCCAAAATTGCATTTTTGTAACAGTGCCATCTGCTGGTGAAAACAGGCAGCCACCCTTCAGTGGGGTAATACCACAGACTGTATATAGAATGGACAGAGTCTGCCTCCTCTCTGGGTGAAGTTCAGCAAAGCTTATGGAGCTGTGGACAAACTTTATAAATGTATTACACAGAATATAAATGTTTCTCCCCCCTGGTTGTGATGTTGACATGTAGTTACTGTCAGACTGGTTTGTGCTCAAGTCCTCTTTTTTCTGTGAAGCTTCATTTTTAAAAGTTATTAGAGGGTTCGTGTTTTCTATGATTGACACCTGATACAGCCTATTGGCGGTCAGGGATTGCGTAGCTCACTAGGGGGATACGCTGTTTGAGCCGAGCGTCATCGCAACGACTCTCCCGGTGAATGCGCACAACGCTACTGCGCAGCGCTGGTTTTGGGAAATGAAGAAAAATCCCGGAAATACCGAGAGCTATTTGGCTTCAAATCCGTATACAGGCGGGAGGCGGAACCAAGTTGTCCTTGGTATGTACAGTCTATGGGTAACACTAAAATTGGTGCACAGGCCCAGTCAGTGCTGTTTGTAGCCCCAGTTTAAAAGTGGGAACTCTGGTTGCAGTTTTTTTGCATATTTGAAAAGTGAGCAGGAATCACCCAACATCATTATTTAAGTGATTTACTTGGTTGTATTTGTTTGTTTTTAAGATCTGATTTTGTTTGCACATTTAACAAGGTTGCATCACATGTACGCAATGCAGCGATCTTTGTACCCCTGGTTTCAGCAAACAAGTTTGAGCTTCAAGAGTGGGAACTGAGCTTCAAACCTCAGTCAGCGCGGTACACAAAGCCACATGCGAGCCATGGCAGGTTTAATCCACATTTCTGTGGCTGTGCTCAGCCTTCTGTCTGTGGGACACTCACTTCCTGTGACCAGCTGTGACATCCTGACCAAACCTATTGAAATCCAAGGAAGAGACCAGGTAAGACAGTCTCATCCTTCTCGTCTCCTATATCGTTGTTTTCCTTTATGCATTTTAGATTTATCTTCAAATTCTACTTAAAAAAAGAATAACCCAAGTATAAGACCCTCCTCTTCATCTTGACTCTTTTTGTCTTTTGTAGCTGCTGGGCAAGTGGATCATTGTAGGAGAATCCACCAACATCCCCAAATCCAATTACCTGACGAATCTGTTTGTGAAGAATGCCTGGTCAAGACTAACTGCTGCTCCCGACAGTGAAGCCATACATATTTATCAACAACAAAATATGTAATTGTAATCGACACAACTGTGTACAGACTTAAAGCATGTGTTTTTTAAGATATGGGCTAAATTGAAGTTTTAAATTGAGTGTGCAGAATGTCTAGCTGTAATTTTAAATGTTTGAATGTCAGTGATTTTGTCTCATTTTGAAAATGTACTTTCTTGAAAGGTTTGGTCGCTGCCTCGCGCTCAGAGACCAGATAACTTTGGAAAACAACATTCTCACGGGTGTGTACAACTGATGAAAGCGCTTGTGGAAATAATTTGGCTAACCTTGCGTCTCTTTAAACAGACCTGGACTTTGTGTCCAAAGCTGAACTTTGTGTATTTGTTAATATCTATTTGTGTATGCTACTATCCACAGGCTCATTTTTCAATGGTTCTGCGAAGCTGCTGAGCACCGGCTGTCCTGACTGTCTCATCTACTTCTCAGAGACTAAAATTGGAGACATCACATACACTGGTCTCCAGCTCACAAGTAAGACTTAAAAAATAAATACCAATAAAACTAACGTAGAAGAAACCTACTAGTACACGAACCAAGTATCTTTTCAATCAATAAATTAATAAATCCATGTTTATGTCAAGGAAATTGAAAACAAAATCTATCTCTTCTGGTTGAATGGCCACCGATTTGGACGTCTCTTTGACCTATGCCTGCTGTAAAACCTTGTCTGTCCATCTGTTGGCTATGCTAAAGCCCAGGTCCTCTTGGGTATTTGTCTCTAAGAGCTGACAGACTGCTGACTAATGTGATTTTGGCCACATAAAGCCCCTGTAGACAGGGAATCCTCATACAGCTTGGGCTGCACTTTCATTTTTGGCAACACAGGACAAGCAAAACTGACAGCATTAATTGTTGCATTTGGACTGAAGCAGGTCGAAAGCAACAGATATCCTGAAAACCTGCAAGATTTTGAGATGAATTATCTGACTGCATACAGACACAGAGAGGGAAGGAATCAAAATCCCCCCCCCTGCAGACTAAACCCTCGAGCAGCATGACTGCAGGCGGGTCTAAGTCTGATAATGAGCCGCTCTACAAATCGTTAGAATGGTAGGGGACATTAATTAACTGGTTGTATTCTTACTTTTGATAAAACACCTATTGTATCTGTATTTGAAATTTCAGTAGGACTTAACTGACCCAGTCTGTGTTCATCATGGACTTTATCTCTCAGGTAAGAGGACCAAAGTGTCTGCTGCTGAACTGGAAGAGTTTCAGAGGCAGGTAGCGTGTTTGAACTTGACATCACCTGCAATCCTGAACCAAGACGAAGGTAAAACCTGTTTCCATCTCTAGAGGTCGATCAACAACTCTGCAGTTACCCTTTTTTTACTTATTTATTCATAACTTCAAAGTCAAAAATTAACCCATTCATAAATGTGTTCTTGTTGTTGCTGCCAAAACCTGGTGGTTGTAACTTTGAATTCTTGTTTTTGTCCTGCTTCTGTAAAGATAATCCGTTTTCAAACATCTACTCCACAGATGTCTGCACAGAGGATTCTGCACTAACTGTTGATCTAACCCAGGACATGAATGACATCGGCTCTAAAGCTCTCGCTGCACTCGACAAGATGCTAAATGATGAGAGTTTTATGCAAAAGGTTTTATCTTCCCTTTTCACCATGTTCAAAGGTGAAGAAGACAACTGACACTGTCAAAACTTGACTATATTGTCACTTGATGTAACCATGATATTGTTACACAATGAGAGGAAATTTCAAATGGAAAATATTCCTGTTATTCTAAAAAAAAAGAGGTGATAATAAACAGTGTTGTGTCTTTTACTTTGTTCCAGCAGCAAAAAGACTAAGAGAGCGTCGACACAAAATGATATTATTACAGTTTAAAACAAATATAAACTTGTTAGAATAGATTCAATTTGGAAATATGACGCACATTTAAGTTAGTTGATACAAATCCAGATTTCACCCCTCTTTGCGTATCAGTGGGTCACATCATAACGTAAAGGATGAATATAAAAGGCCAAGAAATGAGGAGTAAAAGAAATCTGATGGAAATGAACTACATTGATCTGTACGTCTCTTAATCCAACAACTTTGAATACAACACACATAAGGGTCGCCAACTTTAGGATCAATTCATTTTAACTTTTATTTGAGCACTGAGACAACATAACCAGGAAAAACGTAGCTTCAAAGGCAGAGAGACAAAGGATATGTTGATGAAATGAAGTTTCTGCTTAAAGGATTATGGAATGACTAAAGATAAGAACAAAACAGCATCTATAAAGTATATTTATGGTCCGTTATATATGAATTCATGTGTACCTGTTTTCCTGTCTGGAGTATTTACGTGAAGCGAAGGTTGGAGTGGGAGCGAAAAAGTTTTGAGAGTGCAACAAGCAAATAGACTGAAATAGAGCCTGTGTTGATTTTAATGGACATAAAAAGTTTTTGTTAATAAATTTTAGTTGTTGACGTTAGATACATGACTGCTTTTTGTTGTGTGTAGAAAGACGATGTGCAGAGCAGACATGATAACATGGACAATGTTGAAGTGGAGATGTAAGTAAGAAAGAAAGAAAGAAAGAAAGAAGAGGTGACCTAGATTTGTGCTGTCCTATCTGGAACAGTTCTTGTGGGGAGGAAGAGTATTATCTTTGAATAAAGAGAATAAAGAAATAAAATTCACAGAGGTATCTTTGGTTTGAAGACAGGATCTTTACAGAATACCTATCGCTGATTTCAACTCACTGGTAAAATAAAATAAAATAAAATAAAATAAAATAAAGCCATCAAACATTAACCCTTTAGCCCTCCTCCCTCGTTAGAGTCGGCACTGACCCGTTTTTGTTTTAAATGCTTAAAAGAACCACTTAAATGAGCTTTTTTGCATCAAGCCTTTTTGACTTTGTCAGGAACCTCTATTTCAACAAAATAAAAATAAAAAAGTTAAATTGGCTAAATTATAAAATGCTCTTATTAAGATTGTGGCACTTGTCGTGTTAGGGTTGCTGTTGACCTGGTTTGATCAATATCCAATAATCAAAATCTGAAATCATAAGTGCACTTTGAGGCACCACACTGACAGTCAGATCCTCTTCTAATCATGTCAGATTTAGGAAATTCTCATTTTGCCATGTTTCCCCCGTCACAAATAACAACATCGGGCATGTTCAGACATGTGAGTTCAATTCAGTCTGTACAAGGGGTATACTGTCAAAGAGAGACCCAGAGGCCCACTACAAACACTGTTATAATCAATATTTTCATGGATAATGAACCCTAACAAGTTAACCTAGAGATGAGAACCAAACTGGATGATAGAGAATTGTTTTAGTGTAATTTACAGCTGATTTAAGACACGGGTCAAAACCGACCCTTAACATGGTGGGTGGGTAGTAAAAGCTAACAGGAGGGAGGGTTAATCACCTTAAACCAGATCATAGCACATGTGCAAACAACTGTGTTGACTCTGATTTTGAACATAAATGAACCTCTGCACATAAATGCAACAGTCAGTCTGGAGTCTGAAGCAAACACACTTAGTCGGTGAGCCACGATGGTCTTTATTCACATCTCTGTGATCGCTGTGCTTGGTCTTCTGTCTTTGGGAGAAACCGCTCCTCTGAGCAGCTGTGACAGTCTGATCCAACCTCTGGAAATCAGAGGACCAGAGCAGGTATGGAACCCTCTCTCCATATTTATAACCTCTCTCTTCATTCTCACAGTCCTCTCCATGAAAGCCCAAAATTATCAAAATGATTTTCTGTAGTATCAGCTGAGACAAACATTTTCTATTTCAGCTGTTGGGAAAGTGGATGCGTGTTGCGGTGAGCTCAGACCATGAGGAGGCAGAGCTGTTACAAGCTTTTCAGGACAGCTACTGGATGAGACTCACTGCTGACAACGAGAGCGATGTCATCTCTGTCATGGGAGCTTTGAAAGGGTAATAAAAAATGATATAAATGTAAAATATATTTAAGTGAACTCTCTAAATATTCAAGGTGGAAGATTTGTTTTCTGGTTAGATATTCATGTCTTTAGGTTTTAACTTAGCATTTTTGTTCCTCTCGTGTAGATTTGGACTTTGTTTCACATTGACAACTAGGTTAACCTTGGTAAACAACACTCTCCAGCGTGAGTAGAGAAATGTGTTTTTATTTCAAGGGTGTTTGCATGTGTATGTGTGTGCCTCTACAATATATGTGAATTTTGAGTCCAGAATCAGCACTTTTCCTCCTCTCTGAAAAGTTCTTTATGAAGAGACTCAAATGTGACTTCTTTAAAATAATGTGTTTTCTGTTTTTATCTATTTGTAGCTATGATGTACAAAACATCCCCGATGATTGAGTTTGAAATCTGGAAAGAGTTTCACTTACTGAAAACTATAGTAAGAGGAGCTTTATTTACCCTCAAGGGGAAATACAATACTGGCATTATTTGTAAATAAATGATGATGCCCGTGAAGAATTAAATAATATTTTCTCTAAATTGGTCATCAGTGGTTGGTGAAACCTTCAGAAATGACACCTTTGTTTTTCAACCTCATGCTCATTACTGGGGTTTGCAGTACCAAAAAACGAACTGTTGTCTGCAAGTCCAGAACCCCAGAGTTGTTGAAATCATCAGGACAGGACCAACCCTTTGTTTGTTTTTCATTTTTCATATAAGACATTAACATTAAATTATAAATTTGACTCTCACGAGTCAGAATGATGGGATTTTTGTGAGATGAAGACCTCTTTGAAGGGTGTCAAACTTGACAAAAACTGAAAGTTTCTCACAGGAGTTTTAAATTACATTAGAATGGGGGAGTTTGACTTATATTTTGGCAGATTGTCTCAGTTTGTTGGTGTTGATTACTGTCTTCTTCTTCTTCTTTGACACAGCTTTTATCAACCAGACCATGAAATCAGGTGAGTAGCTTAATACAGTGATGAGGCACAATGTGCAAACATTTCTGTAAGATCTGTATACACATACATCAGTGACCCTATGTCTGTAATTGCAATTGTGTGTGTGTGTGTGTGTGTGTGTGTGTGTGTGTGTGTGTGTGTGTACCTCCCAGAATATTTCTTTGTTCCAGGAAACGTGACCCTGCTGAAAACTGAGTGTTCTGACTGTCTGCTGCTCCAAACACAAAACTATATTATGGGAAAGACATATGACAATCTCATCCTTATGAGTAAGTTGTATCTTCTTCTACACGTTGTACCCTGCTATTAAAAATACTTATACCTCTGAAACTTCTACTACAGCTATTATTAATACTATTCATATCAATAATACAAATTAAAATAAAGTACATTTGGATCTACATTCATTACCTGCTGTGATGAATGTCTCACAGGAGGGGTTTAAGTGTAACAGGTCAGTGTTGGTATACTGAGTTCTTTTACAGCTATTTCAACTATAAATAGAGAATATAAACAGTGTTGCAGCTTGGACAGCTTGGACTCCGGGGTTCTGAAAGCTTAGCGGTCTGCATAGAAGCTGTGGTCCTTATCTCAGTGGTCCCCGATTAGAGTCCAAGACATGACCCTTTGCTGCATATCTTTCCTCACTCTACTCTCCATGTTTTCTGTCTCCTTTAGCCTCGTAAAAAAACACATAGAACAATGGAAAAAGAAAGCTTGTTTATCTCTTTAGTAATAGTGATAGTATAGTGTTACGCAAATTAGAGTCCTTCTATAGTAAGAAGAGATCCCCACCCTGTCAGTAAACTAGTTTGAATAAATCTCCATTATCTGAGTAATATTCCCCCCATAAAAAAACGGACATGTCTACACACCGTTGTCACATCCTCCTTTGTTATCTAGATGCAATAATATTTCATTCAGAGATCTGCTGTGAGTTAAATCAAAAATCCTGTCACTGTGTTTTCTTCTGTCCCTCAGGTAAAAGACAGACTGTGACTGCTGCTGAGATGGAGGAGCTACAGAAGCAAGCGGACTGTCTCAACTTAATCAGGCCTTTCAGCCTGAGCTTTGACAGAGGTATGATTTACCTGCAGCTATTGTGGTTTTTTTTCCAAGTAGAAAGGGATAGAAGCATGCTAGATCTACAGGGATCAGAACTATTTGGAGTTCTTCTATAACCAGAATGTTGTTCACATGGTCTGTATCTTACAGGACAATGTCCAGAGCCTGAGTCTCCAGGGGCAGATGTTATAGATATGACACCGTTGTTCAGTGGAGACACAGACGTGCGGCCTAACATTATTGAGAAGATCTTAAACGCTACAGGTGGACTGGACAATTTTCTCAAAAGGGTCACTGATGCGACGCAGAGACTACAAAGAAATGATCAAAAATAATTCCATGTATCACTGCAGCATAAGTTTGTAATAAGGTCCTTACTTCCACAGTAGGACTTTAAAAACAAAGTACAACTGGCAACAAGCTGCTGCTCCTTTTGTTAAACGGATCACAATGCAGTCAACTCAGCAAAGTTGAATCAAGTGAATCAATGTAAAATGATTTAGAAGTTTTCATTCTATTAAATATATAACTGAATGCACTGCAGTAACACCTGTGGTTGTACAAGTTTCACTTTCTTCCCCATCTAAAATGAACAGCTGGATGTGACAGGATGAGAGGGAATCCTGCTGATGGATCAAATGTTCCTCATTATTGATATGGAGCTAAATACCAGTCTTGTAAATAGAGATGTTTCCATTTGTTCACAGCTGGCTACAACTTCATAAATCAAAGCAGAATAAAAACAAAAGAGAGCGAGAACAGTACAGGATTGCAGAAATAATGGCCACGGGAGCAATGAGACCATATCTAATATTGTGTTCAGGTTGTCAGTTTATAATGCAGAGAAGAGACAGATGATTGAAGGAGTCAGTAGTCATCAAACACAAAGATGCAAGACGTCTTAACAAACTGGTGAAAAAGGCTGACTCAGCGGAGGATGTGGTGGAGAGATCTACACTGAGGAAGGTGGAGTCAATTCTAAAGAACATGGATCACCCACTTCACAACACCTTCATGTACCAAAGGACCAGTGGTGGTGGACGGCTCCTCTCTCTTCACTGCAGGAAATAAAGATTCAGAAGATCTTTTGTACCGACAGCCATCAGGCTTGATAACTCTTGTGTAAATAATAGATAACTTTTAGAGACATATTATGTGAGACAACAGACAGTTGAATTTCCCTTTGGGGATTAATAAAGTTCTTCTTATTCTTAGAGTTGAGAAAGCCCTGGTGGTGAACATATACTCTCTAAATAGTTAGAATCTAGTTCCTTTTGACCTGTAAATAACCAAAAATCAGACACTTAATGAGATTGAACAGAAAAACTGAAGTCTAATACAAATTCACCCTAAAATGCAGAGGAAGATGCCCATAGTCTGGTTTATTGGTAGTTTACTGTACATACACCTGCTCAGGAGCCACATGTACATATATCTTTCTCCCATACACACAAACACACAAAACACTCCAGATTATATAAAAAGGACTCATCTTCTGTGCAGGGTTCAATCACAGTCTGAGATCTACAAAGAACATTTGCATCTGCATACACCGTGCACATTCGACTCACACCCTCTTTCTCACGCACGCACGCACGCACGCACGCACGCACACACAAACAAATATCTGCATATGGCCTTATGCCTTGATTTACACAGAGGATGCCAACATTAAAAGAATAGAAAAGAGACTGATGAGACAATATATAATTAACAAACTGCTAATCAAGTTAATTTTGGTGACTTTTGGTCTTTTATCAAAGAAATGACAAAACGTTCCTTTACTCTGAGTAGGAGGACAATAAAGGAGTTACTGATCTGTTTATCAGGGGCATGATTCCATTTCATAACCAAATCTAAAGCATCATCTTTCAGGAATGTGTGATCTGTGTGGTGTAACCTGCCTCTTGGACACATTTTTAACATACAATCTAACATTTTATTTCATTTTATTTAAATGCTACATTTGATTTAATTTAATCTTGTACAAACCCGAGTGTTACCTATAAAATCACAAAAGGGGAGAGACCAAACAGGGTGGGACTTTGTCCAATCTCAGTGTAATGATTGAGAGCTTCTTTTTTTTTTAATAATAAAAAAAATGCACAGAGAAAGGCAGATTTAGGGCTTTACCCCCACTGATTTACTGCCAATTGATTGGGGTTTTTTTTTTCAACTTTTTTTTGAGCGCAATAAGTAATACAGCCTTTATCATAAAACAGGACAGTTAGCCAGCCAGAAATCTGATTTGAAATTGAAGCCAAGAGTCTTTGTAGCACCTTGTCAGGTTGAACATCGACTAACAATTGCTTGATTACACATCCAGCTGATACAGAACAATGCAGTGATTAATGAAATCATCTGTTGAGTTGAAGTCTAATTATCTCTCTCTAAAAACACAGATAACACAGAACCTGGACAGTAATCATGTGGGCCAGAAAACCAAAACAATGGACAAAAGGACACTAAAATGTGTGATGACGAGAAAAGCTTTCCAAACAGTCATTTCACATTGATGATATGAAAATACTCACTGCCACCTTGATGCTACATTCCTGATTCGGGATCTTTTTTTTATTTTATTGTTAGAGCAGCTATCAAACTAACTTCGGCAATCCTGCTCCATGATACAGAGCCTTAGTATTATTTGAAAGCTAATTAAAAGGACTTTGCATGATGGGTCACCCAGACCTCTTAACACAATGAATCATATTATATCAACCAGAGGAACTTCGTCATAAGGGTCACATTTTAAACTGTGACACTCGTTAGCTAGCCAAGGTCTGCAGATAAGGAGAGGCCATGTGACGCTGTTAAGGACAGAGCAATTGTGTGCTTTAGTGTTGTCACAACCATGAAAGTCGGAAAGGAAGCAAACATGGCATATCTTCACAAACAAAAAAAAGGCCTATTTCTTGAATGCACATAGTACAGTGTATGTGCACTCACTCATCCATAAATAATTACAAAAACAAGACTAGTTATGGCATATAATTGGGTAAAAAAGCACCCTGCTTTGCAGAGTAAGGATGTATTTCTCATATCTGTCTTTTTTTTTTTGCTTGTCTGTCTTTCAGACACACACACACACACACACACACACATACAAACACAAGGTTAACAAGCACAGACTGCCTCCTCTCACTAAAACAAAACTTAGAATACTGAAAGAAATCAAAAAGGTCTCTTTTCGTGGCCTTCTTTTTACTTGTTCCACTGAGACTCAGAGGTTAGGCAGCCATCACCCATCATTGGGACACACATGATAATTTGTGCCAGGTAAACTGTGTAGCATCAAGACTCATTCATACAGTGTCGAGTAGAGTCAGTGGGTGTGATTGTCACTGGATGATGCACAGTGAAGTGTGCAGAGATATGAAAGGAGGCGAGAGTGTAAGGATGTCTGGTAGTTCATAAGGACAATGACGTTGAGTTCAGCTGTTCCAACATGTTCCTGTGTGACTCGATTGTCAGCTGATTCGGATAAAGTTCCTTTAGAGTTCCACGTAACATCGGCTCTTCAGCCTCTAGCAATGATCCTGAGCTCCAAACCAGCTGTTACAATAGCACTGGGGTGTTTTCTCTTTAGCAGGTGAGGTTGGTGGTAAGACATGACATTGTTTCTTAACGGTCTGATTGTGCCATGTGCTTGGGTGTAGGAACGAATGAGTGACAAAGTTCCAGTTGTAGCTCATAGAACTTGATTTTCAGACTTGTTTCTTCTAGTTTCAAAGTCCATAATGCTGCCCTTGGATGTTTCCCCCCGGATATTTAAGACTGCTGGTGGTTAGCATGGCAAAACAGTATGCCAGCTTCCCCGACAGCCCACGGTTCAATGGGAAATTTACTCCAAAATAAGGGTTGGGATGCTTGATTTGTAAACAAAAGTGTCGAGGAAGTATATGTTGCAAGACTGGGGAGGATCAATGCTACTCTGTAAACAAAAATATTGGAGTAATAGAGGGCTGGATAAGTTATTCAACATTGACAGCCATTGGCGGCAGCAGTGGAGATCTAGGATCAGTTGTATTCAGGCTAGTCCGGTCTGAAGATCGGGATCTTAGGCAAGAACTCTATTAGGATTACCTGCAAGGGACAAGAAATAAATTACTGTAAGAAAACAAAAATTTAGTTCATGAGCTGTTTTGACTACTATAGCCCTTTAGAAACTTGGATTCCTCACAGGCAGTCTCAGAAAAAATTAAGGAACACATTTAATTTTTTATCATTCAAACATCCAAACATGAACAAACTGTCATTTTTTTGTGTATATAGGTACTGACATTGTTGCACTTATTCCAACAATGTTAAAATCCTAAGAAATACCTTAGTTTATTCACTGTCTGGTGTATATACAGCCAGAAATGACATTTGAAACTGTTAACTGGTGTTTGAATTGCTCCCTGTTGATGGAGCAGTTTTTAATTTTTCTCTGGCGGGTTTTGTCATCAAAAAGACAATAAGATCAAAATAAAGGGGTACTAAACCCCCCCCCCAAAACCCTTAAGTTCTGGATCAAACAGGTTCCCAAGCACCCCTATTAGTTAATGTGCTTATGTTACATAACCAGTTTCTCCCACTACACTGGTGGGAGATTAATAAGGAAGTTTATAACCTGATAGTAAGGTCGCTTATTGATGTCATTAAATGCTTAGTCATGTTTACAGGGTTGTTATGACCTCAGTCAGAGCATGTTCTGTACTGTAGGATTGCATAATGCTTCACTGTCTCAGGGCTTCCTTATTTTTTTACCCAATAACTTTGGCCAAAAAAAAAAAAGATTATATTAAAGTATGTACATCAGCCAGTATGTGGGTTAATGATGATAACTGTACTGATATGAATATAAAAGAATAAACCGATATCAGACCTGAATATACTTTCTTGTAGTTCTTTAACAGTTTCTCACATAAATCCTTAAGGCACTATATACATTACAGTGAGACATAAAATAAGGCAGTTCTATGAGATATCAGAACATGGACATGTAACAGCGCCCTTCTATGGACAGGATGCTACAATCAATGGGTAGTTATGTGTTAAAGTAATAGGTGCTTAAAGGTTTTTAATTGCAGGTAAATGCTGTTTATAAGGCATGTAAGGTTATTTGGAAAGCATGTCCAAAAGTTGCTCTGTGCACAAAACAAAGTCTACTGTGTAGTCAAGATTTAAATGATAGCTTGATGTAAATCAAATTAAACACTGGTAAATGACAAGGCTGTATTCATGAGACTCTCACCCTTCCCCTTTCCCCATGAGTGTAGCAGGCTGAAATTCTGGCATGTTAGCAGCGGTCTGTTTGGTCAGCAGTAAAACTCTGTCTAAACCATTTAAGCACTAACCACATGTATGTTGCAAATACATGAATACGTTTTTTTTGTATCTGGTTTCTGAATTGTTTTGAGGAAAAATTGTCATCAGAACATCTCGGACCCCTCCTACAACAATAGATACTTACATATTCCATCATGTTATTGGTTTCACACTTCCTCTTGCTTAGTCTCCAATGCAAACACAACTGCAATAATTGAAAAAGTGGTCAGGATATCTTTTTAAAAACACAGCATAACAAGTTATACTTTTAATATACATATACATTCATACTTTTATTACTCACCTTGTGATAAAGTCTGCTGTTTTCCCACTCTAGAAGTTTCTCTAAAGATCTTCTCGTCTACAGGGGGTACAGTGGCATTAGAGGGATGTCTTTGATTTAATTGTACGGTATAAATCCCCAAATAATCAATAGATTTAGCCTTAAAACTGAGTTGTTTTTCAAAAGAGACAAGGATGCCTATCTCACCCTCTTGCTGAGGCATATGACAGGCCACAAACTGAAGCCCAACGTGCAACAGCAGCAGAGGCAGCCACAAAGGAGCCACCGCACATTCACAGGCAGTGTCTTCTTCAGGCAGCTGTTTACACGGTTGATACTGGCTTTGAATTCCTCTGGTGCCACCTAAAGTAGTGCATATATCAGGACTAGTTAATAAAATGATAATAAATACTCTGAGGTAGCTGGTTGGGTATTTCTATATTGTTTTTGTACCATTTAAACTTGTGTCACTTATTTATGATCACATGTATGAATGCTTCTAGACAACATTCATTTCTTACAAATCTGCATAAAATGTCACTGTTCCTAAATAAGAAAATACTAGAAAATAATGCATAATCTTCTTGTGGTAGGGGTCAAAAATTAAACGTTTTTGCCATGATGACATAAAAAAGGAAGACTCTCACCTTTCCTGTTAGCGCTGAAGGAAATTCTGACTCAAATTTGTTACTTAGTCCAAATCTGTGAAGGAGATTAAATAAGTAAACGGTTACAAAGGATCAGAAAAACACTCCATGTCCAAAATTGGTTGAATCCCAGACACATCCACCGAACAGCAGACAATTTGGACTTCCCCTGACCGTGGCATTCAATTCTGTGTTGTATTGAAGGGGAAAGTAATTGTGAGCAAAAATAACAAACCAGAGAAGAAAATCAGAACTCTCTGTCTGTGTAGCTCAAGCCTGAAGAAATGTGTGCTAACAAAACACAGTCAACAGTAAAGCCTAAACTTTAGGAACACAATGCTGTTTGCCTTTTAGTTATACTCTAGACCAGTGGTCCTCAAGTCCAGTCCTCGAGGCCCACTGTCCTGCATGTTTTGGATGTTTCCCTGCTCCAACACACCTGATTCAAATGATCAGCTCGTTATCAAGCTCTGTAATGGCTTAATAACGAGCTCATCATTTGAATCAGGTGTGTTGAAGCAGGGAAACATCTAAAACATGTAGGACAGTGGGCCTCGAGGACTGGATTTGAAAACCACTGCTTTAGACCAACCTGCCAGAACAATATGGACACCTGGGCATACTAATGCAACCTACTACAATAGCTCTGCCATAAATGAGACTTTATTTCTTTGAGGCCTCCTATTTTTCAGCTTTTGTTGACCTGGTCAGAGAGGTGATAATGTTTAGATTGACTGTGGAAGTTTCAGTAGGTGTTGGTGGTGCAATGGGGAACATTAAGTTTTTCTAATACTTTGCTCCTTTCATGTTAGTTACTGAAATGGGTAAAATATGAGGAACTACTTTCAACATAACAAACTGCTGTACACCACCACCACCACCCACCACGTCTGATCGTCAATTTCAAATATAAAATACAGTTATCGCCTCTGATTGTGTCAACAAAAACTGAAACTTTAAAGGCTTCCTCCTGGTATAAATTGTGGTAGTGGGTATTGAACTGGTTTGCTCGGGGGGTTTAAGATGTTATGGCTGGTCGCTGTGTGTGTGCTCCATCTTATCTGACGGGACAAAACACAACAACTAGGAACTTTCGATCCTGCTGCTGCTGCCGTTACATTATATTATGCAGGGTGTAATAAAATACGTCATTTTCAGAAACGATAGTATGTGAAGCAAAAATGAGTAATAGGCTTGGGTTATGATTACTAGGGTGAAGGTAACAGTTTGTAAGTACAATTATGCAGTTTATGATCTGAGTACAGTACGGTGATCCCGTAACTCAAGCCCTTAATTCTGCTCACTGATCGCTGAAACTTGATATCTTTCCTCAGACGATTAGCACGACACTATTTCAATTTATGTAACAGTGAGTTGGAATATATAAGTATATATATTAGATATTTTTCTCAGCCAAAACAAAAGCTGACTTAGCCTGCTCGCAGTTAGCTCGCTGCTAGCTCCTCAGCTAGCTGGCTGTGTCACCGCGTCTGCTAACCGAAGAGCAGACCCCGCGCGGCTCTTTTCACGCTGACGGTTAACCTCTCCCGGTTCCCGTGAGCGTTACTCGGTGCTTACACTGTGACGTGGCCGGATCCTCGCACCACCACCGGGTCCGGAGCGTACTTGAGGAGCTGCTCCCCCGCGGCCCTGTCCTCGTCCTCCTCTTCCTCCTCCTCCTCCTCTTCGTAGATCTCATCAAAATCCTCCATCATCGCACGACTCGGTCTCGCGCTTCCCGGGAGAGACACCGGGAGAGACACGATGCCGTCGGTCAGAGGAACCTTACCGGGAAAAAAAGTACACAGCGAACCGTGAAGACGACAACAGAAACACCAACCCGTCCCGGAGACGAAACAGTTCACATCGTTCTTCAGCAAGACACAAAACATCAACATCCGCCGCAGTAACCGGACGACACCGGAAGGGGGACAGACGCTTTACTTTTTCTTCTTCTCCTTTTTTTAAATTTTTTAATTTTTTAATTTTTTTTATTGCAAACATTTAACAGGACATGCAAAGGAGTGAAGTGCAATATGAATAATAATAGGAACAAGAAATACAAAGCAAAAATACAAATGAGACAGGAGTAAGGAGTATCACTCACAACTGTTCAGAATGTATGGTAAGGAATATTCTTCGTGTGATTGTGTGGATAAGTGCAATGTATGTGGTTTGGAGGCAAAACATGTAAAATAAAAAAATCAATAAAGAAAAACTAATAAGCAATTGAACGTGAAAGAAAATAAGATAAAATGATAATTAAAAAATAATAATTAGAAAAATAACAACAATAATAATAATAATAATAATAATAATAATAATAATAATAATAATAATAATTACGCTTTTGAGACATTACTTATGAGGTTGCTTCAAAATAATGAGTTTGGTCTTGGAGAGCGGATGAGAGCTTTTCCATAGAGGATGTTAAACCTGTATCTTTTTCTTTCTTTTTTTGTATTCAAACAGTTTTTTAGTCGGATTATGTTTTCATTTACTGAGATTTAATGTTAAGTAAAACGGCCATGAGCTTTAAAAATGATCACCACATCGGATCTAAAAAAATTCTTTGAACTTTATCCCTTTGTTACATATATTATGTAGCCTTCTGTGTCATTTCATTTCAGTGGAACATAATAAAAACCCTTTTGCATCGTACAGAAGGGGACCTTCAGTGGTAAGAATCAAGACGCTCAGCACTTACAAGGCTATCACCGAGGTAAAACCCAATAAAAGAGACACATTTCCTTTACATTTCTTTTTTATGTTTTTATTTTGGTCCTCATGGTCTCATTTTATATTGTTAGGTTCTTGTATTGTCTGGGTCTCCTATGACAAATGAAATTGACCTTCAATTGGACGCCTTGTTTTTGAACTGACCTTTTGTTTTTTATGTGTTTTTATTTCAATGTGCTGATGTTTTGTGCTTTACGACTGTTTGAAAGCACTTTGTAAACTTCTGTTTTTAAAAGTTCTATCAAACTAAAGTTATTATTACTATTATTAAAATAACAATTATAACAATAACAGTGAAGATGAAGAGCAGATTTGTTTTTTCAATATAACAGATCTAACGTACATTAATCAATACAGACAGATTTAAAAAAAATGATTTATAAGAGGTAAGGTACAAGTATAATGAAAGCTAAAAAGACAGTAAAGCTGAAACAAGATAGAGGTAAAAGAGATAAGAGATGAGATACATATAAATAATAAGTGAAATATGTTCAGACTTTAGAGAGCTGATTTGAAGTCTGGTACATGGGTTGCAATAATCTGAACAACAGTCAAGAGAAACTTATTAATGGAACACTGAGAGGTAGGGGAAGAAATAGACCGGAAATCAAGAAAGAATCCCTTCAAATTAAGACGTGGATAATGAGAAGGTTACCTTTAACCAACACTTTTTGCTGGATGTGTCATGTGTATGTGAGCTTTATGGCTGAGATACATTGATTCGTGTTTCAAAAATGATAACAACCTGGTGTAAAATTGTCCCATTTTGCGTCAATATATCTAATTGTGAAAATTTGACCGGAAGTCTGATTTCCACCATAGATGCTTCATTTATGAGTGCCCTTCCGCGACGAGGAGCAGCTACGAAACTCGGATGTTGTGGTTTTTTTTAACCGATGACTCGAAGCCTGTTTCTAGATAAGGACTAATTCAGCCCCAAAGCTTTACAACACAGAAGTCTGGGCTTTAAAATAACGTTACTTCCTGGTTAAGAGGCGTGGACCACGTTTGGTGAACTTTTCCTACAGCTGCTGATCACACATCAGAAAGATGAGACCAGTTGAGTTCTTCAAAGTAATATTTCAAGCATTCAAAGACGTGGTTCCCGGCTTTACAGTGGGATTCCTATCAGTGGTACTTTTATCTTGTGTTGTCTTTGTTATCCAAACATTTTTGGGCTTCACTCCAGGTGTTCTGAGCGTTGGCGCCTCTGTGTTTCAAAGTGGACACATTCACAGGCTCTTCTTGTACCCCTTTTATCACCAAACCTTTGCCCAGCTCATCTTGAACATTGCAACTCTGGCGTTTCTCAGTGGCAGTCTGGAGAAAGGATTTGGCACTGTGCGTTTCCTGCATTTGTTCCTCCTGATGTCGACTATCACAGGAGTGTTTTACAGCTTCCTGGATCTCCTGCAGAGTGACAGCAGCCAGGGTCACTGTACCGAGGGGTTACTTCCTATAGCCCTTGCATGTGTAGCTTTAACTACCATGCATACTAAAACGACGAAAGGATTCCTTTGTGGAGTCAGTTTTCCCACCATTGCTCTCCCCTGGATTTTCCTCATAATCACCACTGTCCTCGTCCCTCACAGCGTGCTGCCCTGTAATGTCATAGCCATCCTGGTTGGGTGGATGTGTGGGAAAAAATGGTTTTCCCTTCTGGAGCTGTCTGAAGCTAGGGCTGGTGTTCTGGAGAAGATGATGCCGTTAAGGTTTTTGAAGAGCATTGGTGGTGTTATGTTTGTCCCCGCCTCTACAGAGGAGCGGAAGAGGACCCTCCTTCCACAAATAAAGCCAACACCTGGGTCCTACCCTGTCCAGGCCTATGCCCCATTGTCCAGCACCAACGCTGCAGACACCACAGTTAACTATTACGAAGGCTGGCCAAACATGACCAGTGCTTTGTCCGGTCCTGTGCCACCTCTCCACCCTCCTGGACACAGCTCTGGTTTTGGGATAAGTCATGGACCTGGATCAGAACAGAGTTTTGGCCACAGCTACAACTACAGCCATAGCCATGGTCAATTATAGTCCCTATTATGAGACAATATGCACTTACAGATAAATCTTTTTCTATCAGTACTGTTTTGTTTTTTTTACTGTTAAATACCAGTTTGGACCTGCATTATCTATCACTGGTTTGTGTGTGCTACAAAGTCAAAGCTTTAGACAGATAGTCCTAATAGCTGTCTTCTGTAGACCTCATAGTATTTGTCAACACTATCTGCCTCGGTCGTACTGCCATTTATCTGAATGTTTAAATGCAATGGGTGACTTTTATATATGTTAACGTCTTACTTGTTTTCTTGTTTTTTCTACTATACATTTAAATGAACATATCGGTGTCTTGGAAAATAATAGTGTGACTATTTTGTTCAAAATTTGAGTGCCTGAAACTACTGTATGTTAAACCATAGAAATGCAACCCTTCAAATCGACCAGGTTTGACAGTCTACAAGCCAAATACACATGCATTCAGAACTTATTTCCTGCAGTTGTTGCATTCAAGTGGTCACACAATAAATATTCATCATTGCAATCAAGACTCAGAATGGTAACCTAATCTCCAAGTTTGTTCTCAGTTACTCGAATCTGAACTGTTGTACTGGAAGATCTATTGATATGCATAAGAAACTAAAAACAGTAAGAAAAGCATCTCATATGGATTTGCATTACAAAAAAACTAACATTATAATTAATCCATATATACATATACTGCACGATCTGTTAAAATGCATATATTTATTTGAAAAGTTCAGTAAGCTGTGGGATTCTTTCTTTTTAGGTACATTTTTGTAGCCATACTAGAGGTGCACTAAGTCAACGTCAAGGCAACGAAAGACAATTTTAGCTCAAATGAGGTTGATTTTAATCAATAAACTTTCAGAAATAATCAATATATTCAAAACTCAAAAAAAGTCCCAATGTTTAAAAATGGCCACTGTGGTGCCTCAAAGACAGTGATTCAAGCTTGAAGGGATATTCCGGTGTAAAATTAAGTAAGAGTCAAGCACACCGTAACACCGAGTTAGACACCCCCTCGAGAGATGAACGTTGCAGACCACTTTCTTCTCTAGTTAAACCAACTTTAGTCACGACCGCAGGATGGCAATACACAGCGGTCTGAGGAGCCATAAACAAACCTCAACCGAAACGCCACTCTATAGCCACAAATAATGCTCAGAACAGCACCTAACTTCATCAACAGGACATATAGGGTCACAGCCATAGTACTAGCCACCAAACATCTTTTTAACTTTGACTCATTTCTTTAGCAAAGAGACTAAACACTATGATCATTTCTTTATCATTTCCTTGAAGCAATAATCATCATATTAATCATTTTGCAGTGCAGACGTGGTAGTTCTTCTGCCTTAGCATTTTGGTCTGATTGCATTTCCATAAAGAAATGATCATAAATGTTCTTCCTTGAACTGCGTCATCCCGCAGCAGTCTGTAATGGACTGGCCTGAGGTCTCGCTACAAACAAGCGGCTGCTGGAAGAGAGTAGGTGAGTTTGTTTAGTCTCTTTGCTAAAGAAATGAGGCAAAGTTAAAAAGATGTTTGGTGGCTGTGACCCTATATGTCCTGTTGATGAAGTTAGGTGCTGTTCTGAGCATTATTTGTGGCTATAGAGTGGCGTTTTGGTTGAGGTTTGTTTATGGCTCCTCAGACTGCTGTGTGTTGCTATCGTACGGTCGTTACTAAAGTTGGTATAAATAGTGAAGCAAGTGGTCGGCAACATTCATCTCTTGAGGGAGTGTCTAACTCGGAATTGCGGTGTGTTTGACCCTAAATTAATTTTACGCCAGTCCCTTTAAAGACTAAATCTTTGATATACGGTCTTATTCTTCCCAGGTGTCTCCATAGATGTTCTTCACTGTAACACAAAAAAGATAAGGAGCAAAATCAGTCCTTAATGGATTATTTAACTGTCAGTAACACAGGAAGTATTTTGCAAATCTGAATTTTGAGCTTACTCTCTTTCTTGACTCTTGTTGGCTCCTTTTTTTCAGGGGGTGGTTTGAGCAGTGTCTCAGCCTTCTGGGTGAGCGTCACCTCATAGTTTTCTCTGTTCTTAAGCCTCAAGTCCTCATAGAGGATGGACTTCCTTTTGGGCTCCTCTTCTTCCAAATAAGACTGGACTGGGAGATCAGATCAGGAAAAGGGTGTGAGTTTTACACAGAAAAAAAACTTTAAAAGGTACAATTAATTGTCCTTTGCACTGATAAGTTCAGAACTGCCCCAAAAGGAAAGCTATTACATTCTCTCTCTTGTGTACCTGGAGCATTGATATCCTCTGCCCTACCCATTTGTGTGGGGGGATCTGGATTGACATCTCTCTGGGCGTATGTGTCTGCAGGCTGAAACATAGAGTTGAATGACTGGGTGCTTGGGTCACTGAGTTCCTTGACCCTGTGGAAGAGAAGGCACAAATTATGAAAAAGGATTGGAGGAGGCTAAAACAGACAAAATTATAATCAAATTTACTACTCACACTTCTCGAGGCAGTCCTTTCCTCACCCTGAGGGCTTCTCCAAGGGGGGAGTTATCTAACCTCATAAACTTCTCCTCGCAGTTTTTTATGTAGGAAACTTTTCCCAACATGTAGCCAAAAAAGCCCACGACTGCAAAGACAAACATACTTGAAATAAATGGCAAACCATGAATGTGTAACATTTTAAGGTATTTCACTTTGTTGGAGTTGTTTACTCTGTCTTTTGTTTCATTTTAACTGTGGCAGGTGATGCCAGAGTACTGCTCTAATTTTATTCTTGACATTCCTTGATGTTCTTTAGGAGAAGAGAAGCATTTTAATTTTGTGAGGCAGAAACAATGCAAACAGGACACAATATCACATGCATTTATACTTACAGGTTGCTTTGGGGAGAGAGCCTAACCTCGGACCTCCAGCAACCAGCCCTACATTTTTTTAAGAAGCAAGAGGAATTAAAATTAATCTCCTTTTGATTTATTTTACTGGATTGTTATAACTGATCCCTTTACGCTTTGCATGGTATTACCTAAGGAGACCAAGGCGTGAGTGACAGCGATGCCGGTCACAGTGAGGGGTACAGCTGTGGAGGAAACAAACCAGAATCAACACAGAGCTACCAGAAAGACACGTTCTCACAATCATCCATAGTTTTAGGACCTCATAACACCATTTCTGTAACCATAGTGGGAAAGATTGAAACTTACACCTGTACCAGAAGCTCTCGTAGTTGCATTCTTTAAACACCATCCTCTCCTCATCTGAGATGACATAATCACCACCCAACTTTGTCTGCAAATAAAACAACTGCGTAAACTTTCTTTCTTTCATCTTTATCTCAAACTTTAAGAACAACAACAAAAAACAACTAGAATCAAAAACACCAAAATAATAAATATGTACACCAAACAACTGTACATGTCAAAGATAAATTTACACAACATATGTTTGTCAGAATAAACAGTTTGAGAAGGAACAGAATGAAGCAAAGAGCATAACTAGTCCAGCCCCTTCTTTGCAAATTAGAGATTAAAAAAAATCTCTGATCTGTGTAGATCTGTGTAAATACTTGTTATACACAAGATATCTGCTCAACACTACATAGGTTACTTATTATAATTTTTTGTACATTATGTTAATAATCAGTGTTATAATATTCAGAATTAATATTCTATGCAATCAAGTATACCTAGTATAAAAACATTCTTTTTGTTAGTTTACTTATATGAATCTTTTGATACTTTTCTATAGTTTGATTTAAATGTTTTTATGTTATTGGACATTTTTAAAGTGACATCCAAGCTGTTCCAGAGTTTAACACCACAAACAGAAATGCACATACAGTGGATATAAAAAGTCTACACACCCTGGTTCAACTGCCAGGTTTTTGTCATGTAAAAAATTAAATCAAGATAAATAATTTACTCTACCTTTAATGTGACCTATAACCTGTAAAACATTATTGAAAAACAAACAGAAATCTTTCAGGGAGGTAAAGTAAAAATAAACAACCCTGTGCACAACCTTTAATAACTGGGGATGTGGCTGTGTTCAGATTTAACCAATAACATTCAAACTCAGGTTAAATTGGAGTCAGCACACACCTGTCACCAATTAAAGTGCCTCTGATCAACCCCAAATAAAGTTCAGCTGTTCTAGTAGCTTTTCCTGACATTTTTGTAGACACATCTTCCAGCACAAGCCACGGTCCGCAGAGAGCTTCCAAAGCATCAGTGGGATCTCATTATTCAAAGATATCAGTCAGGTGAGGGCTACAAAAGAATTTATAAGGAATTAAAGACCACAGTAAAGACCGTCATCATCAAGTGGAGAAAATATGGCACAACAGTGACATTACCAAGAACAGGACGTCCGTCCAAAATTGATGATACGACGAGAAGAAAAATGGTCAGGGAGGCTACCAAGAGGCCGACAGCAACACTGAAGGAGCTGCAGGAATTTCTGGCAGGTACTGGCTGTGTAGTACATGTGACAACAATCTCCCGCTGTCTTCATATGTCTGGGCTATAGGGTAGGGTGGCAAGACAGACGCCTTACCTTACAAAGAAAAACATCAAAGCCCGGCTTAATTTTGCAGAGACATCTGAAATCTCCCAAATGCATGTGGGAAAATGTGTTATGGTCTGATGAAACCAAAGTTGAACTTTTTGGGTATCATTGCAAAAGGTATATTTGGTGCAAAATCAACACTTCTCATCACCAAAAGAACACCAGACCCACAGTGAAGCATGGTCGTGGCAGCGTCATGCTTTGGGGCTGTTTTTCTTCAGCTGGAACTGGTGCCTTAGTCAGGATGGAGGGAATTATGAACAGTTCCAAATACCAGTCAGTGTTGGTACAAAACCTGCGGCCTTCTGTTAGAAAGCTGGAGATGAAGAGGAACTTCATCTTTCAGCACGACAATGACCCAAAGCACACATCTAAATCAACAAAAGAGCGGCTTCACTGGAATAAGATTAAGACTTTAGAACGGCCCAGCCAGAACCCAGACCTGAATCCCATCGAACATTTGTGGGGTGATCTGAAGAGGGCTGTGCACAGGAGATGCCCTCGCAATCTGTCAGATTTAGAGCGGTTTTGCATAGAAGAGTGGGCAAATATTTCCACATCAAGATGTGCCACCCTGATATACTCCTACCCAAAAAGACTGAGTGCTGTAATAAAAGCAAAAGGTGCTTCAACAAAGTAATAGTTTAAGGGTGTGCATATTTATGCAACCAGGTTATTTTAGTTTTTCTACTTTTCCCCTTAAAGGTTTCAGTTTGTTTTTCAATTGTGTTTTACAGGTTATAGGTCACATTAAAGGTGGGAAAAGTTGTGAAATTATTTATCTTGATTAAATTTTTCTACATGACAAAAACCTGTCAGTTGAACTGGGGTGTGTAGACTTTTTACATCCACTGTACTTTTCAGAGTTGTATGGACCCCCCCTCTGGTTTTGAACACCTTTTGTAGGTTACCAGGTACTTCAACTCCATTAGTTCATTCACAACATACATGCTGGCAGGGCAGACAGACACAGAATACACAGAAAACAATACAAGAGATTGATCCAGCCGGTTAGCATGTTAGCATCTAGATGGACAATGTGTGTGCGGATCTATGTGTTTACCTGCGGTGATGTGCTCTGCTGATCCTCCGTGAAATCTGTGCTGGTGGACGACATTTTGACGATAAAGTCAGTGATAATCCAAGCTTTCAAAGCATGTGAAATAAGGTGTTTGTCACACCATCAGCTGCAGCATTCTCTGTTTGGTACAATGTCATTGCACGGGTTGCCCTCACATAACCCGGAAATAGAAACTGTCACGCGTCGCTAGAAGAGTTTTATTGTACAAATAATTTTACGAAAGTGAAATTGCAGACACAATAAACAGCAGAATTTTTGAAATGGTCAAACTTTAATGTTTTATTAATAGATCATTTGTAAAGCTTTTAATTTTTTTTTAACGATTGAGCTTTTATTCTGAAAGTAAAGGGCTAAGCGTTTAAGTACTAAACTCTGACCAGCGCCCTCTGCTGGTTAATTTTTGCTGTCAAACTCAACCACAGCAAGAGACATAATCTGGATTTAGGTCTAACCTGGGGGCCAAACAGGGTCAACATTTCACCAAAACGGTCAACCTCCTTCTACAAAAACACGTAACAAAAACAGCAATTTATTATAAATCATTTGGAAATTCGAAAAAAGATAAAAAGAGTTTTTTTTATTTATTAGTTCAAAAGGTCAGACCATGATATTAAAAATAGAAAAATGATGCTTTTAAAGAGCAAATACATGAGAAGAACTTTGAATTTAGGTTTAAAATGTCAAAATATGACTTAAAATTCAAAATTGGAATCTAAAGGATAAAAATGACTCAAGTCTAAATACTGAGTTGAACAAAATCAAAGCATTAAATAAAAAAATCCAATCATGTTCAACTTGTAATCTTGAAATGTAAAATTGAAAACATGAAATAAAACACCAAATATTTTTTCCCCACATTCTTGACTATTTATCAAATCTTCCTTACTCTTTAATTTCCCAGATTTTCGTGGCTTATTAAGAACATTTCAAATAATGGTGTTAAAATTTACATTATTATACTGGAGGAAATCTGCAGACTTCATTCTGGTGGGTCAATAATAATACAAATATGATATGATCTTGTGGGCCAGATATAATTGTTCCACGGTTCCCCGGGCCTTGAGTTGGACACCTGTGCTGTAAAGAAATAAACCAAACAGCAATCCAACCATGACCCATGATTTTATTTATTTAATTTATGTACTTAAAACTTATGACAACAATTTAATTTTAATTTGGTTATAAGAAAGGAAGATTTGCAATTTTAAAATAATTTATGGAGACAATTTGACGTCTTGGAAAAAAAAACAACAGAAATTATCCTCCTATTGTAGGGAAACCAGTCATCACCTTTAGACAATGATTTTGACAAAACTTATAAGAATACTCTGTCACAGAAAAGGGGGACGGTGCAAGGACGTGTACTTAGAGCTTCAGCATGTTGGAGGTGGGTTGGTTTTGTATTTTCAACTTTTGCGCTGCTTTACTTATATAAAAAGTATGTATACAGGGTAAGATTGTATCAGTCTGTCTTGTATACAATTTTATTTTTAACTATGGTCACTCAGTAGCGATTTATGATAGCTCTTACATATGACTTCTGTCCAAATCACTTTTCTTTGTTAAAAAAAATCGTATTAATTTATTTTCCTCTGCTCTCCAGCATTAGTACCTGTTGAGGTAAAGCAATTAAGATAAGCAATTTCTTTTGTTTTTCCAGATCAGATATGTCAAGAAAGAGACAAACCGTTAAAGAAACAAGATTAAATCTAAACAGGGTCAACAAGTATTGATTGAACTAAAAATAGGGAGGTACTTTTCCTGTGGTGCCCCAGTATTCTTCCATTCAATTTTACTCACACATGGCATGACAGAAAGCGCCTGACCAAAATTAATTTGCATCTGAGCTGTGCTGTTGTGTGTGACAGAGCAGGGGTTGGTTTGTTCCTGTCATGAGGTCACAACAGAGAGGCATGAGGGCCAATCGCAGCTAGAGCTATTTGTTCATCAGACAGGCCTTCAAGCCAATCACATGGGAACTGGTCCGTGCTAGACCATCAGGGGCACCTGTAATGATCAGGTTTATGCCTTTTATACGAACATTGTGTCGCTTGGTAGACAGTTTTTTTTGTTGATTGGCTCTTTATCAAGTTAGGTAATAGTGTATCAACGCAATTGCCCTAATAAATATACAAATATTTTGTGGCCAACTCAACAGGCACGCCCATTCGAGGGCGCTGAGTTCACTGCAATAAATACTTCCTTTGAATGGGAGTCAGGATAAAGTTTTTGATAAATCTTTGTTGAGAACACGCTGATTCATTTTCATGAAAAATTTGATGATAACACTTTGTGCTGTGGTGGGACTGAATTTGATTGCACTGACAGGTGTTTCAAATTTTTGCCCATCTCAATTCTATCAACTTTGGCGTGCAAAACAAGCAAAAATCCACTTTCCTGAGCGTTACAGTAAAAATTACAAGCATCACAAAGATGATCAGAGAGGATATAAAATCCCCCCAAACCTAACCCAGTATTGTGAGTTCATAACTGTCATGTGAATCCAGTATAGCATTGGCATATTTACTCCAGACCTAAACTTGGATTATTGATATGGGGGGTTGTATTCAGAATCAATACATTGCAACCAAAAAGCTGATTGCGTGCCTAAAATAGAACTCACTCACTCACTCTCCCCCTCTCTCCCTCTCTCTCTCACACACACACACACACTCCTTCAGGCAGTGCCCACATGACATAGTGCATATCCCACCACCCCGCTCCCCCCCAAACACACACATCCATGTGCTCTGTCTGTTAGTGGGATAAACCATTGCCAAGCCACTGTCGTTGCCACTCCTGTCCCATTGTGAATATCAGCGGCTGGAGAGTTTGACACTGAAGACTGCGTGGAACAGATTTTACAGAGATTTTGAATCTAAATGGATGGAAACTTTTATAAACCAGACAAATGAACAGCATAACTTTCTCTCACTCTGGACCCTAAAAATTAGTGAGGTATCTGGAGAAGATACACAGATTAATAACAGCAGGTGTTCACCAGAGGAGGTGAAGGTAGAAATCAACAAGTCAGACTTATCAGACATCATGTGACCTGGGTTGCAACACTGCTTTATTACAGGTAAAGACTAATCAAGCTTTGAAAGGTGTGTTCAGCTTATCTTTGAAGTGGAACCGTATAGTGATGTGAACGCTGCACATCGCACTCTCCTCTGCCCTCCACGGGGGCCCTCACTACCCGCCCACGTCTTCTGCCCACTTTTTTACCAGGTGTGGAGGCAGCATTTTCGCACCTGGAGCTCAACACAGACAGAGAATGGACTCCCTCACACCGCCACAGGTGAGAACAGACATAGTTTCTGCTGAACTGCATGCTACCTGACTGCTCAAAACTTTTTCAGTTGAGTAGTTTGAGAGATAAGAAGACATTTACTAAAAAATGAAAAATACATTCAGTAAAATGTGATTTTTTTAAGAGGATATGTTGTGTATTTTGATTTATGTAGCTGTATTTCTTAGACGGGAATTTTTTAAGTAGGTCTTTAGTAATGTAATGGATGCATTCACAACAGTTCACAACGTGTGTGTCAAACTGTGTAAAGTACACAAGTAGACCTCCGAGACTTTTTATTAATAACAAATTATCAGACACAATCAGTGTCGGGAGTTAAATGAAAATATGATTTATGATGATTTAATTTATTCATTTAAAAGTTTATGCTAAAAAAATTCAAATTCAAACACATGACTTACATTTCAGTGAAAGTGCAACACTTTTTAAATATTGATCTCGTGTGTAGCTCTTTCTGTGTCATATTGTGTGAATGGAATTTCACTGCAGCTTCACCACATGACTACATAATCATTACGCATGTGAGCGGACTTGTGTTTGTATCTGTATGTGTGAGCTTTCTGAACCTGAAGCCCTGATGATGATAAAAATGTTATGCTGTTTCATTCAGAACCAAGAGTTACATCAACAGTTTTCCAGCCTTGTTTAACAAATATGTGAGGACCTCATGACTTACCGGCTTATCTGGGAGTCCTTCTCGGCATTGAAAACGATACCCTTTAAATTTATTATCTTTTTGGAAATTTTGGATAAACTACTGGTGCAGATGTAAACACTGAAGCCTGGTTATGACATGTTGAGCCTGGGCTATAGTTGAAACATATATGGCAATTATATGTATTTAGCAGTATGTAATATTCTGGTAACAGCAAGTAAAAGAATAATTACATTAGAGCAAACTGTGGATATTTATATGATGAAATAACAATACATTTCAATGACAATAAGGTACCATAGGTCGATGTTTACTTAATGTTCATAAGGCTTTAAGTATGATCCCTGCGTCATCACACGAGGTTTTTTCAAAGTAGAAATAAGTAATAAGCATGTCGTGACACCGACATTAGCCCTGTCTTACGCATCAAATATCCCGTTATCTTACATGTTGTTAACTCATTCCCTCATAAACTTGTGCGTTATCACAGGTTTCTTCTGAACTTGAATTAATTACATGGACAAACACAAACAGCAAAGCAAACACAGGCTTAGCAGCACTTTAAATGATAATGTTTGGTGCTTTAAATGTTTTGATTTTTGTTTTTCAGACAATGGATGATCAATCCAAAGATGAGGAATATGGGGATGAAAACCAAAGAAAAGCAGACAAAGGTATTTTTCATTTCTCACGTCACCTGCCATGATTCTTTATTGCACTAAACTGAGTGTTTCAGTTTGTTTTTGTCTGCCTCAGAGGTCAAAACCAGTCCGGCCCACTCCACCATGGCTCTGGTAGAGCAGGCTCCAGAGGAGGACCCGTGGGATCTGCCAGAGCTGAAGGACACTGGGGTCCCGTGGTCAGGTGAAGACTTGTACTGTTACATTATTAAGCTGTTTGCTCAAACACAGCATTGTCTTATCCTTGAGTTATTAAACGAGCCTACTCTGATTAGATAACGTGTTTCACAGCGAGTCATTTACACGCCTAGTGATTGATAATAAGTAGCCTACAGTAGATATGGTAATCATTCCTTCATCACAGTGTTACTCAACAACACAGGAGCTAAGTAGAGTCATTAGTTTGGGTGGGTCCTCTAATAAAATCATATCAAAGAAGATAGTCTCTTAAATCTCTTCATGAACCTTGAAAAATAGAACGTTTTACGACTGGCCTTGAGGAACCAGTACATGACATGGTCTAAAGGTGCTCCCCTCTTTTCCCACCTCCAAGTACAACCTCTGTCATCTGTCCTCATATGAGTCAAATACACACAGATGATCTCCACTCATGGGACCTTTATAACTAACTGTCTGTAGCACTTTTAGCTGAGTCTCATTAGTGGTCATACACGTGCAAATGTATATTCTGTATTTTCAATAAGTCACATGTCGTTGTATTTAGAGGAATTGATGACAGGTGTGGAAATCAAAAAATTTGGCCATCAACCAATAAATCATTAACCTGTCACTCTGGCAACAAACCATATCAGCGCTGACACCCTGATTATTTAGGATTAATTGGGGTCATAAATACAAAGTGACGTTATCTAAACTTCTGAAACAGCTGACTCTGCGGATGACCGGACAAAGATAACTCTGACTTTGTTTTACAGTCTCTGTTGACTTGTCATAAAGATGAAGAATATAAAATTAAATATGTTTTTTCTTTTTCTGTGTCATATTTTATTCCTCTGTCTCAGCTCTGGACACAAAAGGGAAGTTGTTGCGAGTGGGGGTGTCAGTGTTGAAGGGGGCAATACTGCTTGGTCTGCTCTACATGTTCATCTGTTCCCTCGACATCCTCAGCTCAGCTTTTCAGCTTGTTGGAGGTAAAGACACCGACACCTGTTTAAAGGCATCTACAATGTGATGTTTAGATATCTGTCTTCAACTGCGTTTTTATCTTATGGATGCAGTATGATCTTAAATAGTTACCTTTTGTTTTTTTGTGTGTGTTTGTGTGGACCCCAGAAAGATAAGCTATCACCTTGTGGGAGTTAACAGAATGGTCCCAACAGAATAGAGAAGCATAGTGATAGAAAGCTGCGAAACTTTCCCCTAGAGCAGGTGGGCAATCATGTCTCATGGAGGGCCGAGAGGCTGCAGGTTTTCTTTCCAACCCAAAACTCCACCAGGTGATTTCACTGATCAGTCCCTGCTCTCTGCTTGGAGGTAATTAAGGTAATCAGTGAAATCACCTGGTGGAGTTGGAAAGGAAACCTGCAGCCTCTCGGCCCTCCATGGCACATGATTGCCCACCCCTGACCTAGAGGAAACATATGCATGGAATATAAATATTTTTTTATAACAATGAGTGTTTCCTCTGTATATCAGTCAGGGGAAGTCCGTGTAAGGTAAACTTAATAAGATTCACTTTGAGATTCATAAATATGGACGAACTGAAACTGATCTGATCACTTCTCCCAAGTGCTGTATCTCACCCTTAGGGTAATATTCGCTCTCTTTAACGAGCTGTTTTTCTAAATGTTCATGCTTCTGTGTTCACCTTGTCCAGGTAAAGCAGCCGGTGACATCTTTCAGGACAACTCGGTTCTAGCCAACCCTCTGGCTGGTCTGGTTATTGGTGTTCTGGTCACCCTACTGGTCCAAAGCTCATCTACCTCTTCCTCCATAGTCGTCAGCATGGTCTCCTCTGGATGTGAGTGCAAGCCTACACCTCACAAACAAACACATTAATTCACACAATATGAATGATGATGATGATGATTTTGGTGGTGAAAAGTGTTTAAAGGACTGATCATGAAAAACCCCTGTGTGTTTTGGCAGTGCTCACAGTCCAGCTAGCTGTTCCCATCATCATGGGCACCAACATCGGCACCTCTGTCACCAACACATTGGTTGCAATGACGCAGGCTGGAGAACGCAGCACCTTTCGCAGGTAGTCGTCAATAAATATAGTTATTATATTAATTAAATATCTGTTTTTCAGAGACGCTCTTCCTTGTTGAATTACATGAATTTATGAGAGTTACACAGCAGAGGTTCACATTCTACTGCATCATTGTTTGACCCTGAATAACCTTTTAACAGTGTGACTGTAAAGTGCTGATGGAGCAATCATTTTCAAGACTTAGCTGCAAATCAGAAACACTAGGAGACCAGGGACATCTGGTCAGAGTAAAACCAGATTTTTATCGTGATCCTTGATAACAAGGTATACAACCTGATAATGTGACCAATACAACCTGCTTTAATTAAGTAAAACTACAGACTTTGTTAAAATTTGCTGTTGAAGTTTCAGGGATTTATTAGCTACAAGCTATCGAAAATTGACCACGTCAAATCTCCCCACCTTGCTTTTATCATTTATGATTCTGAAGTTTTTAAAATAATTTTTACTGCTGTAATGATTACACTTATCTACTTGTGTAGGACATAACAACAACAATATATTAGGGAGAGACCAAAGGTCGCTTTACTTTGCATTTATCGCTTTTTACTTTTTCACGCAGGGCTTTTGCAGGCGCCACAGTGCACGACTTCTTCAACTGGCTCTCTGTGCTGGTGCTTCTGCCGCTGGAAGTCGCTTCTGGTTATTTGTATGAAGTCACAAAGCTCATCATTGACTCCTTCCAAATCCAGAGTGGAGAGGCTCCAGACCTGTTGAATGTGATCACTGATCCCCTCACTGAGTCAATAATAGAGGTACTAACTTGACTGTGATGATGATGATGATGATGTGCAAACTAACCTCTAGTCTGAGAAATGTGACACATGAATCTGAGAGGCAGAGTTTGTTTTTTTCAAGGGTTATTGTAATCTAGCTAATTTTAGTCCCTTTGATTTGAATCACGATCTCTTTGTCTTTCTGACATAGTTGGATAAGTCCGTCATCAGTGGAATTGCCACCGGAGATCCAGCAGCAAGGAATAAGAGTCTCATTAAGATATGGTGCAAAACCTTCACCAACATAGTAAGAGCGAAACAACATTTTTACATGTTCATTATTCAGAAAACTTGATGGAAATCTTCATCGTCAAACTGTCCCTTTCTTTTAGAGCTTAGAGTACGTGGAAGTTCCAGGTCCGGAGAACTGCACATCTCCATCACTCTGCTGGGAGCAGGACAACAAGACCTATACACAGATGAATATTTCAAATACTTACGGTGTTGAGAAATGTAAGATCACTTTTCAGAGGATTTATACACCACAATTTGACCACATACATGTGTAGAGCAGTGGTTCTCAACTGGTCTCACTCTGGGACCCACATTTTGTCCTTGGTCCTTAAGTCATGACCCATTTTTATAAAATTCAAACCAAGCAAATATATTTATTTTGATAAAAAAAGGAATCTAATCTTTAACATAAATCCACTTGTTTTATTAAGTAAAGTGCATTTCAGAACACACGAAGGGGGCAACATGAGGACGACAACTACTGAAGTTGCATATACAGAAAATATCTAATAAATGTCACATTAAATATTTACTTTTTCGACCAGCTGTCCGTGACCCATCCAGAACGTGTCCACGACCCACTTTTGGGTCAGGACCCACCAGTTAAGAACCACTGGTGTAGACTGTTATTTTTCATAATAATAATATTAATAACACTCTTTTGTTAACTTCGGAACCTTTTTGCATTTTTACTTGCATTTACAATCCTCCAAACCCAAACATATTTCTTACCTCCAACTGTTGCTGTTTTTGGAGAAATGTGGAGCATTTTGCAAAGAAATCAAATAGATTTTAAGGGGTATATGAACGTGCACTGTTGCTTTCCTTAAAACAATTCATCAGCTCTTTTAAAGAAAATCTTCTCACCCAAACGTGACGAGCAAAACCAGGCTTCTCTTCTAAAGCTCATCTGACTGTAGGCTCTAAATCCACTCCCCTTCTTCCATCCCAGCCCTCTTGGTGGCGGTATTGCATCTCTTACCTCGTCTGCCGGTTGTCAATGATTACCAGAAAAATTCAATTCAGTTTTCATGTGTTTTTCATCATGGGGAGAAACATGTCAGTTACAGTTTGCTAACCTGTTTAGACCATGTGGATTAAAAACATGAAAAACAACAGTCCTCTTTAAACTTAATGTGTTTTCTTGTGCATGCAGGTGCACATATATTTGCAAATACGACTCTACCTGACCTGGCAGTGGGTCTGATCCTGCTGGCCGCCTCCCTGCTTGTCCTCTGCTCCTGCCTCATTCTGATTGTCAAGCTGCTCAACTCCATGCTGAAGGGACAGGTGGCCACAGTCATCAAGAAGATCCTCAATACTGGTTAGCAGCACACACACACACACACACACACACACACACACACACACACACACACACACACACACACACACACACACACACGTGCACCTAATGCGTGAATATTGTACACATGTTAATGATTTCTTGTTTTTGCAGACTTCCCATTTCCCTTCGGTTGGGTCACAGGTTACATCGCCATCTTAGTCGGAGCAGGCATGACCTTCATTGTGCAAAGCAGCTCGGTTTTCACCTCTGCAATAACTCCACTTGTTGGTGAGCTTAATTATCTGTTTATTACTTGAACTAATTGCCTCTAAGTGTGTGTCCTTCAAGAAATCTTTGTCTTTAACTCATCATTGTACTCTGTATGAACAAGTTGGGTGGCCCTCTCTAACCATGCATAGACTGAACTGTTGGCACATCCTGACTTAGAAGGCTATACCTGGCCTGCTTCCACCATACTTGTGTATTTGTATTCATATTAAAAGTTCTGGAAGCTATAGCCTTCGTTCTGCGACTCAGACACAAAATCTAGATTTGCTATCTGTCCCCAAAGTTTGTCTTGAAATAGGCAATAGAAGTTTTAGATATGCTGCTCCTGCAGACTGGAATCTGCTTCAAGAAAAAATGTGTCTTGTTGAGCTGGTCTCTTTAAATCTTTTTTAATGTAGATTAAAGGCCCTAGAGGAAGATGAAGCAGGCTGTAATGCTTTAACTAAAAATGTTCTACTCTGCAACTTCGACTTCCTGGTTTTTATGTCTGTATATGTCTGTAATTGTTTATGTCTGTAACATTGTAAAAGTACTGCTGCCTTTCTTGGCCAGGAAACTCTTGCAAATGAGATTTTTAATCTCAATGCGTTTTTTTCTGGTTAAATAAAGTTTCATCAACATTTTTTTACATAAGGGTCCTGCACCTATAGTGAAAACATGTTTTCTCTTGGCCTTCAATTTTTCTTTTAATTCAAGTATCTAGAGCAGGGGTCGGCAACCTTAAACACTCAAAGAGCCACTTGGACCAGTTTCCCACAGAAAAGAAAACACAGGGAGCCACAAAACCTCTTTGACATCTAAAATGAAGATTTTTTTTTTTTTTAACCTTTATACAAAGTATATAAAAAACTGTAGCGAGTTGCATTTATGAAATAAATGAACTATTTCGGCGAGTGTCTGTCTTCTTCTGTAGTTAAACCGCAAGATATCAAAATCTACCCGGATACAGCAATGCTGCTTTTTGATTGGCTGTTCAGTAGATATACTTTATTTGATTGGCTTGTGCGTGGCACGCAGCTTCTGAACTCTCGGAGGAACTCAGTTGATTTCCCCCAGTTCCAAAGTTGAAGAAGTGCAACTTGGTGGACATAACCGTGTTCATTTAAATGCGTGAGAAATACAATGTGTGGTGTGTGAGCGTGTGAACGAGTGGGAATGCGTGTGTCATACGCTGAATGCGTGAGACTTGAGAGCCCTGTACTCACGCATCATCGATGTACTCCCGAGCCATGCAGAACGGTCTTTGCAAATGTTGCACTGAACGCCTTCCTTTTCAGTCTTGGTGAAGTTTTCCCACACCACTGATGTTTTAGGTCGGGATTTGGGTTGGGTTGTGTCCATGTTTTTCTCAGCCGCTGCCTCGGCCATGGCTGTTTCTTTTCTGTGCGTCCTGCTGATGTTTACACGCCGGTGTCCATGGACATATATAAAGACCCGACGAATCGATTACAGAATTTGTTGGCAACGGATTTTTTCGTCACGACGAATCTACTTAATCGATTCGTTGTTGCAGCCTTAATAGTTTATTTAATGTTACAAGAGCATTATAATCTTTGAATTTAGAATTACAAAAAAAAAATAATAATAAAATAAAATAAAATGCAATCAAGTATTTATTATTTATTTTCCAAATCCATTGGGAGCCGCAGCTTAGGGAAGAAAGAGCCGCGGGTTGCCGACCCCTGATCTAGAGCCTAAAGGTCATAAATATAACACATTTCCTCCTAGAACAGGGAGGCCTCTGGCAGTGGAGAGAGTTTCAGAGACAGTGTTTGTGAAAATCTCTTCTTCTTTTTATTTTGAATAGGTATTGGTGTCATCAGCATAGAAAGAGCGTACCCATTGTCTCTGGGTTCGAACATTGGCACAACTACGACAGCCATTCTGGCAGCGATGGCAAGTCCGGCAGAAACACTGGCTAATTCTCTGCAGGTCAGTAACTCCCACAAAAAGAACGTGCACACATGTAAGATTCCCACTGAGGCTAAGATTAAGACATATGAACTAATGTAGGACATAGGATGCTGTTTTTGTCCTGATTTCTCTCTGAGCTGTTATTACCATTTTTATTATTATATGTAAGTATATAAAGAACTTTACTGTATATCATTAAACACAGAAAGTCTCTAAAGGTCTGTCACAGTTGGAATGAAAATTTAAAATGATACTTGATGGCCCATCAGATTAATCAATTATCGTCAGTTATTTTCATTAATCTCAGTTCAACTGGATTGTTTTCCATTATTTTTGAAGAGGTTCCTAAAATGAAATTACTAAAGCCAATACAGATTTGAACTGTGTGTGTGTGTGTGTGTGTGTGTGTGTGTGTGTGTATGATTTTTTAATGAGCCATGAGATTTGAAGGATGGCCACTAGGGTATATTAGGTCTCCAGATTTCCATTAATATGATAAAGATAGGATTTTAAAGGATATATATAAGAACTTTGGCTACTGGCATTTTCACATGATACATCTTTTATAAATGTGTCATAACCTGTCAACAAAGCCAGTATCTGCTCAGATCAATCACTGCATCCCTAAAAGCATTACATTTTCAGAAGTGTGTTAATTGAGCACAACCATTTCACCAAAAAACACGACATCAAACACAGCCCAAGAGCTAAATACTCAATACAAGTGTTGGCTAAATTTGCTTATTTAATTAGGGCTGGTAAAATCTTCTATTCATTAAAGGCCTTTGTTATAAATTACACTAATACCAAACATATATTATAACACATTTTAATTATAATTTATTCCTTTTTTTTATTTCTCCAGATTGCCCTCGTGCATTTTCTGTTCAACATCTCTGGTATTATTCTGTGGTATCCAATCCCCTTCACTCGAATCCCCATCAGACTGGCCAAAGGTCTTGGTAACATCACGGCCTCCTATCGCTGGTTTGCTGCTGTCTACATCATCTGCTGCTTCTTCGTTTTACCGCTCTTTGTTTTCAGCCTTTCGCTGGCTGGTTGGAAGGTTCTAGTAGGCGTGGGTGTACCTCTGCTCGCAATACTGATAATCATCGTCATCATCAATGTATTGCAGAAGAAGAAGCCCAGGTGTCTGCCAACACGGCTGCGATCCTGGGACTTCCTCCCTCTCTGGGCTCACTCCCTGGCTCCCTGGGACAAAGTGGTTACTGCGTGCACGGCCAAATGCTGCTGCTGCTGTAAATGCTGCCAAATTCCTGCTGACGCCCAAGGGCAGACAGGATCAGCAGACAGTGACAAGAAACTTTGCACAGCTGTGTACGATAACCCTGCCATGAGTGCAGAGAAGGAAGTGGAGGATGAGATCAAAATCGAGCTTAAGATTCTGAACAATACCCGGCTGTGAGATTTAACATAAGAACGAGGATGTGTGACACTGTGTGTGTATGAGGCAAAGAAATACTTGTCATGGCAAAAATGTGAACTTTTAAACTTTTCTTTATCTTGTTCTTTTAATTGAGTATAAAGAAAAACAAAGAAAACTGCCAAATTCTCATATACTATTTAAAAGACCAAACACAATCTGAATTTTTCAACTAGACCCTTAACTTTCAATAATGAAAAAAAACTTCCTATTACTGACTGGAGTGCAATAAACAGTCTCTCATTGTAACTTATATCAAGGGTAAGTTAATAAATTGGTAAACCACATGCTGACTCCAGTGGTTTCCAAAAGGTAAAGGGAAAAGTTATGACAGTCACTCAAGATAGCTGTAATTTATAGTCTTTTAATTTTAAATATTCATATCTTTTTTAAAGACATATAATACAGTATACCACTCAAGATTTTTTTTACTCAAGATCAAGCATCAAAGGTTAAAAAAGATTCAGTCAGATGCACATTCATCTCATTTTGATAATATTCTTTGAATACAATTATCCTCGTGAATTAAAAAAAAAAAACATGTTTACACCTTAAACGATGTGATCTGGATTTCAACGTGTCTGTCATACACAGGTAAGAAATGATTTTTCCTTATAAGAAAAAAAAAGCTGAAGCTTGATAGAAGATGAAAACACAGTGGCAGTCTGTGCTTGTCAGTTCAAACCTGCCTTGCAGGTCATGTGTAGATCAAGTTATTACTAACTGCTCGTGCTCTTAAAGTGCACTATTTTATAACTTATTCAAGAGAGTTCTTACTGTTTAACAACACAGAATCAGCTGGTGTCCAACTGCAGGAGCTACTTATTTGCATCATACAGCTTCCTCAATAATGACAACTGTCAGGTATTTACAGCAGCATTTTTTTCTATAAACCTTTTTTATACCAAATCAATGTTGTAAACACATAAATAAATTACATCCAATAGAGCAGGGGTCGGCAACCTTAAACACTCAAAGAGCCACTTGGACCAGTTTCCCACAGAAAAGAAAACACAGGGAGCCACAAAACCTCTTTGACATCTAAAATGAAGATTTTTTTTTTTTAACCTTTATACAAAGTATATAAAAAACTGTAGCGAGTTGCATTTATGAAATAAATGAACTATTTCGGCGAGTGTCTGTCTTCTTCTGTAGTTAAACCGCAAGATATCAAAATCTACCCGGATACAGCAATGCTGCTTTTTGATTGGCTGTTCAGTAGATATACTTTATTTGATTGGCTTGTGCGTGGCACGCAGCTTCTGAACTCTCGGAGGAACTCAGTTCATTTCCCCCAGTTCCATAGTTGAAGAAGTGCAACTTGGTGGACATCACCGTGTTCATTTAAATGCGTGAGAAATACAATGTGTGGTGTGTGAGCGTGTGAACGAGTGGGAATGCGTGTGTCATACGCTGAATGCGTGAGACTTGAGAGCCCTGTGCTCGCGCATCATCGATGTACTCCCGAGCCATGCAAAACGGTCTTTACAAATGTTGCACTGAACGCCTTCCTTTTCAGTCTTGGTGAAGTTTTCCCATACCACTGATGTTTTAGGTCAGGATTTGGGTTGGGTTGTGTCCATGTTTTTCTCAGCCGCTGCCTCGGCCATGGCTGTTTCTTTTCTGTGCGTCCTGCTGATGTTTACACGCCGGTGTCCATGGACATATATAAAGACCCGACGAATCGATTACAGAATTTGTTGGCAACGGATTTTTTCGTCACGACGAATCTACTTAATCGATTCGTTGTTGCAGCCTTAATAGTTTATTTAATGTTACAAGAGCATTATAATCTTTGAATTTAGAATTACAAAAAAAAATAACAATAATAAAATAAAATAAAATGCAATTAAGTATTTATTATTTATTTTCCAAATCCATTGGGAGCCGCAGCTTAGGGAAGAAAGAGCCGCATGCGGCTCCAGAGCCGCGGGTTGCCGACCCCTGGTCTAGACTTACATGCTCTTTTTCTCAAGTATCGTTGACCTTATCCACATCATCACCATCAACACATAAGATACTTTGTCTTTTTTTGTTGGAGGATTTAGTGTGTATTTGTGGCCTGTTTATTATTGCAAATCAACTTCATATAAGGTTGAAAACTTTTGTATATTATTATCATCTTCAGTGTCCAGGAAGTTTGTTGGAAACTGTGATGCTCACCAGTGTATTGGACATTTAGTTGTTTAACAGGCTGCACACAAACACCAAAAGAAGTTTCCAGTTATAATTTTAGTATTAGTTAATCTCAGGTATTTGTATTTATATGTTTACTGTTTCAAACTTAACTTTGTGCAAGTATTATTACCCAACTTAAATAATTCCCATTTACTTAAAACACCACTCTTCAACACAAAAATAATGTATGAAGTATCATAGTAGAGCAAGTAATTCCTGAAAGATCAGGTCCTAAAGCAACAGTGACTTGCTTTTGACAGCACTACAGATAATTTTCTGACTCTTTCCATATTAAAAAAGCCTTTAAATTCTAGAACACTACTTATTTATGTGTGCGATTACTGTTAGTTTAGTGAATAAATGATCTGATACATACATTTATGAAAAAAGTTCAGTGATAAGTCTAAATGTAGAAAGAGCAGGCTCTCTCAAAGACTTGATCTTAAACGATGTCAAACTGTAGATGTTATTAACTTTACTTTTAACTTTTAGTCTACACTAAATGCCAAGAAGAGAAAGGTCTTCTCTGAAATGTTCCAGCACTGTCATCTAGTGGCCAATATGAGAACTGCAGGGGCACAGAGTCAGAGCTACTGTATGTGAGTACATCAGAATACTCAGCGAGGGAGGCTAGGAGACTGCTGGTGATATTGTCATGTTTATTTTGCACATTTACATAATAAAATCATTCACCAAAAACTAGCTTAAACTTCAGGTGCTTCATTTTATTTATTTTTGAGTGAAAATGTAATCTTCTTCTGTGCAGGGTTAAGGTTTTAAAGCAACTTTGATCTGTTGTTTCAGCCCTTGGGCAGCAAATGTCTTGGATGCAGATTTCCATTTAAAAAATGCAGCTTGCTTGATATCTAGATATCAGCATAACTTGAGTGAATCTATCATCCATGTGATCAAAGGGTTTTTGAACAGCTATTCATTAACTTTAATATAAATGCCATTGTTTTGCTTCTCTTGCAGCTGACTGTTTGGATTAGCATTAAAGCAGTGATGTGTCAGTCATGAACCAACCGGTTCAAAGAGCCGGCTCTTTAACGTGAACGATGGGAGCCGGGTCCCATCTGTGGGCCATGCAACAGCAATTCACTGATATTTGAAAATGTAATCTTTACTTGTGAATACTTCAGTATAAAGGATGTATTGAATTATTTAAGATGTATGTGTACACATACATACAAATCATAAGCCAAACAACGCTGAATTTGGCTGAATTAGAAAATGTATAAGTGGTAAAATGAATGCCGAAAGAGTATTCTTGGTGAGTGAGCCCAATGATCTGGCTCACAAAAAAAAGCCGTAATTCTCATCACTACATTAAACGCCAAAGTTTAAGAGCACAGTCAAAACAAAGCAAGACACTGGAGATAAAAAAAATCATTTAGAAAATAATTTATTTTTGTCAAACCCAGAGGCAATTTGTGGTTACAGTCATTTCAGATAACTAATGTGCATTTTACACACTGTACATTACAACTAAAGCTATCAGTACACTAACTCTTAACTACAGCACTACATCCACTACTTACAAAAACTTCTACTTAAAGCCAAAGCAACAGTAAAGCACAATTTATATATATATATATATATATAAAAAACATCAATACATTAAAATACAATACATCTGCACTTGTAGCACCATTTATAAAACAATATGATGAATGTGGAGAATTATTTATTTTTTATAGTTTGGGCTACTTCATATTTCACAGGCTTGGGTTTCCATGTGCCTTTCTCTGTTTACCTGCATGAGGCCTTTTTTCATGTAGGACCGGTACAGTTGGTCACTTGTGCAAGGATTCGGACCTCACTGAATCTCCATCTAGCACCAAACACGGACCAAACGTTTTTTCTTTTTCTTTTTAGCAATTGTTTGCTCCTTGTCTGAATTCAGAGGGGGTTGTTCTAAGAGAAAACAGAGAGAACAGTTCGAAGAGAAAGAAAATAAAAATAAAAAAAGGCTTTAGAGTTTAGACGTTGATAGGTCCGTAGTAGGCGGTGTACGCTGCAACGATGCCCTGAGCGTCAGCCATCTCATCACAGGCCACGTTTGTCTCACACACCTCACTCAGACTAGGAGGCAATGCGGAGAAAAAGAGTCAGAAAGCTTTGAAATACTCATGGAAGTGAAAAGCATGTCACTTTATGTTCATTTGAGTTATGTATCATACACCAGAATAAAACTTGAACCACTTTATCTGTAGCATAAACCACCTAATTAAATACTTTTACTGACTGGACAAACAATATCTGATGAAATCATTGTCATGCACTCTAATTCGAGTTTATTTTATCTGTAAAAGTAAATAGTACCGTTCCAGCTGCAGAGGTGTGAGCTCTGTGGCCTGTCTTTTTCTCCTCAGGAGGATTGATGCAAGGTCTCTTTTCACGACCACCTGAGGTTCTGTGGAGACATAATCGCAAGAACAGACCTCCATGTAACTTTTTGCTTAACATTAACACAAAAGTGCGTTCAAAGCGATTCTGAACAGCATGTGAAGATATTTGTGGTGACAGAAAAACATAACATACCCTCAGTACTGGCTGATTCTGATGAGGATGATGAGGAGGAAGAGGAAGAAGATGAATCGGAGGCTGAAGAGTCAGAGGCAGAAGATTCAGAAGACTCAGTCGACTCAGATGACTCTGAGGAGGAGGAGGAGGAAGAAGAAGAGGAGGAAGAAGAGGCTGACGAGTCTGAGTCAGAGTCAGATGCTGAAGAGTCTGAGGAAGAGTTGGAGTCAGATGCTGATTCTGAGGATGAGGCGGACTCAGAGGAAGAAGCAGATTCGGAGGATGATTCAGATGCACCACTTGCTGGGTCTGCAGGTGCAGCTTCCACCGCTGTGTCGGCCTCGGGGTCTACGATCACCTCTGGTTCGACAGCTGAGAATCACAGAAAATGTTTGTTATTCTTACTGTGGCTGCTTACACTGACGAAGATAACTTGAGTTTGTCCTTACCTCCCATGGACCAGCACACTGTCAGGAGGGCAGAGATGAAGAGGAGAGTCAGAGTCTTCATGATGCTTTTTAGGTTAGTCTCTGTCTGTAGACCAGTTTCTTCTTTGAAGCTTTCTTGCAATGGCTCGCTCTGTTCCTTTCCCCAAATTCAAGGTCAATATATACGGTAGTCCTCCTCCTTTGTCAGGCCAGACCCACACAATGAGACAACCCTCTGATTGGCTGGGGACTCAAATGTCAACTTTCCACTTCCACTTGTCATGAAAGCTCACATAAACACCCACGCACCTCTGGCACAGAGTCTGAACAGCTAAATCACCCACACACAAACTTACACGACCACAAACATTCCTGGTATTCAACTGTACATACAGTGTGCATATATGTAAACTTTTATGTGTGTGTGTGTAGGTATGTCGTATGTAAGCCTTTAAATTACATAAAAGTTTGTCAGAGTCCAAGAAAAACGCTTTGATTTTAGGGGATTCCCCCTTACACAAAAAAAAATACACATATTCTCCAAATTTAATTTTAAAGATATCATTTTATGACCTGTTGAATAAATATCAAATTTAACCGTCAAATTGATATCCTAAAATAGGTTTTCTCTGAGAAGTATGTCCCTCACTTTTCTCCAACAGAGATGCAATCATTTATCTGTCAATCACTTTCTGAGGTCAAATCATTTTTATACTCGTCTTGTTTACCAATCCTGTACATCCCCTTTAAGCTTCTCTCAATCCTCACCCCTCATCATTGGAGTATAAATACTTCTACAAAAACCCCCAAAGTCCAAACAAGCCTGCTTCAGATCCCTATAAAATACCCCAAAGATGTGATTGGATTTTAATCAGGGAGACCCGTTGCAGGGTTGCCTCTTTAACGCTCGAGGTTGCCAGTTCCGTCGTTGCCGTTGTGCTACCATACTCTTTGCCCCAGATGTGATCTCCCTCCTCCACAAACCCCAAACTTCAGCCTCAGTCAACCACAAGCTACTAATCGAGTGCCACGAAACAGCAGTGAGTCTCGTTATGTGACAGAGCTTAATTAGAGTGTTGCAGAGTCCCGGCAGAACCCACAGTCAGTGACTATTTACAGATCCAGCTCCATGCTCCATCCAAGCACGGCCACGGCTTACCAACGCCAACCAACAGCTCAGTGCACAGCCTCATTTGATGTATTTTAGCATATACACAGCTAAATTAAGGTAGCCCCCATGGGGTGGATGCACAGCGATATGCATGCGGGTTTAGATGCAGCTTTCTGTTTGTATAATTGAATTTAAGAGTGGCTTCAGCTGTGGTTTATTATAAAAAAAACTCAGCTCACATTTTGGACTGAAATAATCCTGCACACTGTCCTGATAACCAAGCATTTATGCAAACGTATCATATAGATACACCTCACAGGGCCCCACAACGGCCTCAGCTGTCATGTAGTGAGAAATTCAGTACTGCTGCATAGTGACCTCGGTGTCCTTCGTGTTTCATAGTCTTGTGTTATTCCTGGTTTCAGGGATTTGTTTTGGACCATGTGCTGTGTAATTTCAATGTCTGGTCCAGTGTTCATTTTTGTGGATGCATTGCGTGGGGGACAGAGAAGGAGAAAAGAAATGCCACAAGGTCCCTGGACAGCGACGACAAAAAAACAAAAAAAAACAGAAAAAAAAGTGTCTAAATTACTCCTGCTTTGGATCAGATTGTGATTGCGTTTTGGCCTTAAATCATTAAATCCGGACAGTGAGGAATGTCTCTACTGCTGTTGTGGATGCACTGATTTCCTTTTTATCTCAAAGAGAGGGAAAGCTTTGATGCACAGGTGCAGGCATACAATGCAATTAAAAAAAGAATGTGTTACAATCTGCCTAAAAGAACCAATCTTTAAGTAATTTAGAGCACCAGTGAGGAATTTTCTAATTTTTATAAAACAGAATTAAAATTCATATTGATGCCTTTTTATGATACGAAAGCAAACAAGACCATGACCGATGAGACTGATAGTTATTATAATGTTATAAGGTATATTCCTTTGTTATCCGCTAAGGTGTCTTTTTTTTTTCATTTATTGGCTTATTACCTCTGGTTTTATGTTCATTTCTCTCAAAAATCTTTAACTGTTTCATTAATGATATGTAGATATTTTTGTATGTTAAATTTGAGAGATGTTGGCTTCTCTGTTATTAGAAAACTTACATTAGGCAAAGAAAAAACAGAGAGAAGCACTTCAACAGTAAATCTTTTTTTTCGATTAGTGCTGGAAAAGCATCGCTTTCTTCAAGTCACAAACAGAAATATATTACAGACAAAAGAATGATAAAAATGTAAAATGGCACTGGCATATCTTACTAAATAAATATTCTATATCTATGTATTGTGGCTAGCACTGCCTCATATACTCTCTATGCCTTTACTCTATGTTTAGGTTCAGAAAAGTTTGAAGGGTTCAAATCAGCTAACCACAGCCCGCGCCAGGCTCATCAAGCTGGATTCCTTCTTGCACATGCGTAGACAAAGGTCCAGGTTCTTTCTGCAGATCCACTAACACAGATCCCACCTCCAAGTGGGGATATACACTTACAGAGGACCTCCTGAGCATGCAGGGCTCTGCTGTGTCTGCAGCCAGGTCCCTCTTGAACAAGGTGCTTACTGAAAATCTGTATTTTTGTCCAAATTCGTGCGACTGTCTTTTTTCTCAAAGCACTAAATATGTCTGTATCTCTGAATGCCATAGAGTCTTGGCACTGTTTTGATCAGTGTGTTGGAGTTTTAAGATGGCACTTTCCTCTTACTTTGATGCCAAGAGTGACTAAATTTGGATGAGAGTGTAAAAAATCACTACATCCATCCATCCATCCTGTCTAACAGGTTGTCATTTTAGGGAACTGCCAAACTCAATTTTAGGCAAATTGGACCACGATTTTCAAAATGAAGATCATGCTCCTTTTGAGAGGACTTACAACTGGTGACTGAGGCTATAAACCTAATTTGATTTCTTTACAAGTTATAAAGGAAGTAAGAGAAAAGCTGAGTGACATACAGCTGTTTTAGTTTGTGCCTGCTTCTTTAAATAAAAAGATTAGAATTTGAAGTTCAATATTGAGGGTTAGGGTTAGGGGTTAGGTGGTTAGGGTTGGGGATTGAGTTAGGGTTAGGGATAGGGTTAGGGTTTAGGGTTAGGGTTTGGCAAGGGTTAGGGTTAGGGTTAGGCCAGGGTTAGGGTTAGGGTTGAGGCTAGGGTTAGGGCTAGGGTTAGGGCTAGGGTTTGGGAAAGGGTTAGGGTTAGGGTTAGGGTTGAGGCTAGGGTTAGGGCTAGGGTTAGGGTTGAGGCTAGGGCTAGGGTTATGGTTAGGGTTAGGGTTTGGCTAGGGTTAGGGTTTGGCTAGAGTTAGGGTTAGGGTTAGGGTTAAGGCTTGGGGTTAGGGTTAGGGTTGAGGCTAGGGTTAGGGTTTAAGGTTGAGGCTAGGGTTAGGGTTAGGGTGATGATAGGGGCTAGGCTTAGGGTTAGGGTTAGGGTTGAGGCTGGGGTTAGCGTTAGGGTTTGGCTAGGGTTGGGGTTGAGGCTAGGGTTAGGTTTAGGGTCATGATTAGGGCTAGGGTTAGGGTTGAGGCTAGGGTTAGGGTTTAGGCTAGGGTTAGGGTTTGGCTAGGGTTAGGATTAGGGTTAGGGTTAGTGTTAGGTTTAGGGTCATGATTAGGGCTAGGGTTAGGGTTGAGGCTAGGGTTAGGGTTAGGGTTTCGATTAAATTCATAGAATGTTGATGTACGTTAAATGAACAGTTGTTCAAAACTGAACCTCACGGTAGTTTTATTGCTTGTGCATGAGAAATTCCTTGTACACAGAGTCTCTATCTCAATAAAGGTTTATTTGGTTTCTGCAGGACAGTCAGAACTGAGTTAGTGGCCAATTTGGATAAGCAGGACAGTGAGGTTGCCAGGATTTTCTGGTGTTTTGGAGAACACAGGCTGTATTTTGGTTTTGTTTGAACAGAGGATGAAATGGTAGCATTTGAAATGATCAAATGCTTCAGAAGAGACAACCCATAAAAGAAAAGCATGTTTCCCTCTTAGTGTGTGGAGGAGTGTTCACATCCTCCACTGAATAAAGATGTACCACAATATGAAAATAAAAACTTACATCAAAACCTTAACCAAAGGAACAACATGTTTGTTGTTATGCTGTCTGACTATTTGCTCACACAGAAGTTGCCAAAGTGGTGAACCTGCTCCCATCCTTGCTTTTGAATAACTGAGCCTTTCTTAATGCTCCTTGCCATCATGACACTTACCTGTTTCCAATGAACTCGCTCACTTGTGGTATGATCCAAACAGGTGTTTTGGGAGGAATTCTCAATTTTCAGTCTTTTGTTGACCCTGTTGCAACTTTTTTGGAATGTCCTGCAGACATCAAATTCAAAAAAAGTTAATATATGAGTGAATATTTGCAAAAAACAATGATGTTTATTAGTTTGAACATAAAGTATCTCATCTTTGTAGTGTATTCAGCCCTGTTCTCTAAGCTGCAATTTTTTGTATTAACTTAAACCTACATAAACCTTTCATATCAGTTAATCCTTTAATACAGTTTACTTGATAATAAAGAGGGAATTAAAATGTGTTTTATTCCACATTTGTGATACGATCGATATAAAGACTCAGAAGTTTTGAGTTAATTAGATCAGCTCTCATGAGACAAACTGTCAGTTTGATCGGTCTTTTGACAGTATTTTAATGAAACATGCTGCAGTCCCACTACCACTCAGTGACCCCTGTTGGTACTTTATGTAAGACTGACTGGATGGATGGCAGCCATACTTTATATTTCTGTCTGGTCTCTGAGAAACGTCCACCTGCCAGGCTTTCCTAGTTCCGCCGGATGTATCCACTACACAACACTACTAATTATACCAGTCCCAGTCTGGGCCTTGAAATTCCCCTCTCGCTTCTTCAGAGAGTGCTTTTGGGAGAAGGCCAAACTTTTTCATTCTTGATGTCTACAGTCCCTCTATTTTCTTCTTCTTTCTTTAATATAAATAATTTAATATGAAAATATAAAACTTTCATTGTTGAGGACCCTCAGTTGTCTATTAGAGTTTGATTAAAGGAGTTAAATATTTTAAACTTGATCATTTTTTTCTCTGTTTTGACTTTAATGAGGCCGGGGATTGTCCTGCACGAAGGATATTTTTCACTTCATTTTCCACTGTTTCCCTCAGGATGAATCACATGGGAAAACACTGCTTTTTGACTTCCCAGTCGGCTCTCTGTCAGTCTCTCTGAGGTTGATGTGTTGTGGTTGTGACAATAACTTCAGTGGACAGACTAACAAACTTCGCCAGATCCCTATGACTTGCGGGCAGTGACCTGCGGTACACCAGGCCGCAGACAGACTCACACACGGGTGAACCTAGAAAACATAACAGACCCTATAAGGACATTTGCTCAGACAGACACTCACATTCAAATATGCTCTTTGCATAGTTTCCTTTGTTGAATATTAAATATGTCAGGGCAAGATTGACGCACACAAAATTCCTTTTTTCGTTATTGTTTTATTGAATAGATATTTTATCATTTACATTTGTTGTTCTTACAGCTCCGTTTTAGGTTCTGCACCAGCCTGCTTCACATCCTGGAAAGCACAAAAAAGTTCTTAGAATAATAAAGCAAAAAAATGAAACACTCTAAACCTTTAGCTTCATCAAGTTCACCTCTTTTTAAACCATACAGACTCTTCAAGATGGACAGAAAGAATTTGGTCTTAGAGAGGAAAGGTGTGAGTGACTATTGGTCATCATCCTCTTCGACTTCGTTCAGGAAAACCGTCATTTCTGCTCACCTTTAGTTCCCCTCGTAGGAAGGACTGACAGAATTCTTGCACTCGTTCAGGAGAGATCTCTCCCTCAGGAAGGAGCCATTTCATGTCAGAGTCTCCGTCATAGATACCAACTCGCGGGAGGCCCTGAGACTTGAGACCGAAGTAGCTCAAAGATCGAGAGTTGGACTTCACAGCTCCATTAATGACCACAAACAAGAACTGAAATGGAGTTTTTGGATCTCATCAAGCTACTTATACTGTAGATACGATAAATTTACCTCGTAAGTGTAAATATCTCTCGGTAATTTTTGGTGATTACCTTTCCTGTGAATTCGGGTGCAAGAGTTTGCAGTTTCTTCTTGAGCTCACTGAATTCTTTTGTACCTCTGTTGGCAAAGAGCAGGAGATGTGACTTCACCTTTGAGTTGAACAAGCCCACTGCAGTCTGAGGAGACAGAAAACAGCAGATTTCTGCGACTGATCATTATAATCCACGTGTACCGGGCTGTCATGTTCAAAGAAGGGATGCCAAACATGACAGGTACCCGCAGTTGCTTTTGAAAAATGTACATTTTTGTAAAGAAGGAAACACAAAGTTGGACCTACCACTTGATTATATTCTGTGACGTATCGGACTTCATTGATGGTGATGAAGTTCACAAGACCATCAGCGTCTAAATTTTTGGCCTCGGCAAGGACAAGATTTTCCTGGGCTTCATCAGCCTGAGTCACAAAGTACACATTAACACCATCTCGCACAAATGACAATATCTATCAAATCTGAAAATATGACTCACATACGTAAGTGCAAAAGTGAAGAATACCTTTCTGAAAATGGTAATGGCGTCTGAAGAGAGGCTGTAGTTGGCCCACACCTCCTTCACTGTGCAAATGGCAACAGGGACTGAGTCAACTCGCTTTGCAGCTGCGACGAGCTCCTTGAAACTGGACTCTCTTCTCCCTGATACACCAGAGGGACCAGGAGTTATAGAGGAAGATTTTATCCACTTCTCACCTTTTTTCATTATTGTCAGAAAACAACATTTGATGACATTTTCTGCCTCTTTCTAAAAAATATTACTTTTGTTGTTTTGCTTATACAAGCTGCATCAGCAGGGAAACACAGGAATTACCCTGTGATGTACTGGAGGACAGAGCTGTTGCGGGATTATTCATTTTAAAATATTTTAACATGTTTTTCACATGCCTTTTACAGCTTCTAGAAGAAGAATTGTGCTTTATTGAATTTTTTAACCCAAAGTTTTTCTATTTTATACAATAAATTACAGAGCCGCACCGAGAGCTTAAAGTTAAAATATATGACCTAGACATCAACGCACCATTTCAACATTTTCTAGTATTCAGTTTATGTCTTATGTTTTAACTCTGAACTTTCCACAGAGAGCCTGAAATTACATGTTTAAGCCATGGGTGAAACCATGAAGCCATGTATGATATGTCTGGCATAAAAAGACACACTGCAGGGCAGAGGTACAGACGCAGAGGGGAGGAGAAAAACAGGATCGAATGTTACATAAACTCAGAGAACTGGGGATGACTCAAAGGAAGGTGAATCACGACTATTTCTGAGACGGTATTGCATGAGCTCTGGCTCTGTATTTTATTATTTTGCAGCCTGTAATATGTGATCATTTCCGGTGAGTCACAGAGACAATATTTTGGTCTCTCCTTGCCCTCAGCATCTTCATCCAGCTCTGAGTTATCCTCATGTGCTCTCTGCCTCTCTTCCCTGCTCTCCTCTCATGAACTGTCTTTTTGCACTTGCTCACAATGCAGGTCGATAAAGCCAAATCCCACATGTCTTTAGATATGTATTTCCTTTAAAAAAAAAAAAAACCTCCATCTTCCTCCGCACACAGTGTCTGGCCAAAGGGCTCGCCTGTTTGGGACAGCCAGCCACCCTCTGTCCTCACAGGCCTGCGCTGCCAAAGGTGTGGCCAGCGGAAATACATTCTTCCATCGAACTCTATTTGTGACCGCAGCTTCACTAACACGGCGCAAACAAAAGATCTATTTCGGGAGCCCTTTCTTTTTGGTGTCTGACTTTAAGCTAATTTGTTTGATCATGTCTGGTTTGCCGTTCTCGTGTTACGGTTGTAAACTAAGTCATGAAGCAGCTCCTGAGGGTTTGTTTTGAATGATGTCTGAAAGCTCATTTGAGCCTGTGGTTCAGACCTTTTTACACTAACCTCGAGGAATCCGATGACCACCACCTCTGCAGAGTCGATGAAGGCCTTCGTAGCTTTGGTGTCATTTAGTCTGGGAAGGGCACTGTCTGAAAATGTAAGGAAACAAAATAAGAAAACTGAGAAACCCAAAGCTGTTGGCGAGATGCTGACTTGGCATGCTGCTGTCCTTACAGTGCTGACTGTAACATACAGAAAATGAAGGATCCTGGTCTGCTGTGATAGCATGCTAACACATGGTAACGCCAAGGCTGATAATCAATATAAGTACACTCACCAAACCTTAGGAATAATCAAAACATTATCATCATGATAGCAATTCATTAAAAGGTAAGGTAGGGTGACCATATCCCGAAACCCCAAAAAGACGACATGGGAAGGAATCACAGAGTCGCACATAGTTAATTTTGAGAGTTTTTCGGGTCTGATCGAGTGTTTTTTACGCGTCTCTAACACAGTGAGCCCACACGACACAAACTCAAAACTTCCATTCAAAAACCCGGACATTTGATGGTCGCGTCACCTCTGCTCGATCTCTGACCGATTGCCAAATGGCAGCCAACTGTGGCTGCTGCAGTTTCTTTGAGATGTGATTGGAGGCTTCATGGGAAGCGGGCAGGTGTTCTTGTTGGGTGGGTGGGTGGGAGGGGGTGCTGGGACTTTGGACGACGTATCACCATGCAGAAGTGGACTTGTGAGTGCAGAGCATGGCATCTAAGGTTAAGAGGAATAATGATGACATGGCCCTCCTGATCTGGAGAGAAACATCCCACATCTTTTATCTTTTTTCGTCCCGCTCAATCTGAGATGAGTAACATACATCTGCTGTGGGTGGGAAGCTCTGCTCACACCTGATTAATCCTCAAGTTTTATCTGGAAAGAGTCTCCCCTGACACATGTAGAGACAAGATTATTCAGGCTGCATTTTAGGACTTTCACCACAAGAGGGACACAATTTCCACATAATCCATCCCTTCATGCAAACACCCAGAGAAGTCGCTGCTCAGAGACGTCTATTTGAAGACACAGACTATGGTATATGTTCCCTCTTTACTATCTGTCATTAGTGTTATTTCCCCTTCTGGATGACTACTCAAACCTACCAAATATCCACTGAAAAGTGTTAAGACACTTCTTATAATTCATTTCTTTTTTGTTGAGTTACAGATTTGAGGTTGTACCAAAGTTATTCAGAGTTAAAGGGGGACAAGTTTTGATCTGATAAGTTACTTCAAGAATCTAAAGTGATCACAAATCCTTAAAGTCACAGGATGGCGTGAAGTTGGTTTCTAAAACATGACCAGTTAATGTAATCCATAAAACTGTTAAATGCAAATGACAATACAAAATCATTTTTAAACCAAGAAAAAGTTCTTTATTTCTGTTTCATTTGATCAAAATACAGAATCTTAAAGGAAGTAAACAAATTTAAACTAAACTGAACTCTAATATAACTGTTAGAAGAAAAATAATAATAATACTACAATGATTTCCACATAGATCTTTCTAGAAAGATACAAAGCCACACCAACCACCACGGAAATGTCAAAGATCTCAGTGTTGGCACAAAAAGCCGCTGAAAAGCAACATTATATATGGTTATAAAAATAAAGTGAAAGAATAGTTCATGGCAGATCTGTATGATTTTTTTAAATCTGAAAAACAAGAGCTGAATTCCAGACAAACAAACAAACAGCTTGGTTGACCACAGAGCATAAAAATCTGCTTGATGCACTTAAATGACCTCCATAAGGCAAAGAAAGCAGTGAGAGTTTTTAGGTCAAACCCATTGAACCGACCCCTACGCATCAATAAAATCCAGAAACTTTTCATGTGTAAGTCAAAGTAAAAATACTGGATATTTTGAGTGTTTCTATAGTCCAACTCAGGCAGACTATTTCCAGCAATAACGAACAAATACTCTGGGTCATAAATGTAGCCCTCTGTAAGGTCACGGGCGCGCAAATTAGAAACAAAATCAAAAACAAGCTAATGCGTCTGTAAGCTGAGACGAGCGTCATGTCATCTTAAGGACTTGTTTGTATGATGTTTGTTCTCATGGAGCTTAACTCCTTCAGAGAAACACTAATGCTGCAAACTAGGACAACACTCAGCATCATAGACTTATGACTTCTGTTGAACACGCAAACACAGGTGTGTAAGTGCAGGCTGCTCTCCTCAGGTGAAACACAAACCTTCTTATCAACACTTGTTCTCTCTGAACTCTCAGAATTTTGAAAGCTCCAAATAACAGCCCACTGAGCAGTTTGTGCACACAAAGCACTGATGAAGAAGTTACACTGATTAGCCTGTAAGTAAAAGGACAGAGGGAAAGCAGACAGGGGGACAGGTGACTATGTTTTTTGAGAGTTGGATTAAAGAAAAAAAATCATTTCAAGGATTTTTTTAAGAAGTTGAGTGCTTGTTCGTATTCAAAAAGTCTATTTATGGTGAGTTATTTAAAAAAAAAGAGATTGTGAGAAGGTATTATTACATGATACATGTTTGTGGAGTTTTTCGGGTGGTTTTATTTAGCTGTTTTTTAGAGGGTCATGGACAGAGCAAGGAAATGGGGACAGAGAGTGTGGAGTAGCATGAAAGGAGCCACAGGCTGGAATCAAACCCGGCTGCCTGCTTCAGGCAAAACCTCCATATATGGGGCGCCCGCCTCGCCTAGACTGCAAGGCCAGCAGCGGCCCAATGACATATATTTTATATGAGGACTTGTTTTGTAGATCCTTGTTTTCAGAGAAATCTGTGTCTCGATTAAAAATACTTCATATTGTGATTTACTCCTCATCCAGAACGGTACTTTTTAAAGCTACTCCAAGAACCTTTATTTGTGTTATGATCTTGGATATCCTGGGGACAAAGTGGGGCCTTTTATCCCTTTTTCTTGGAATTTAAAATATTTACTCATGATAAAAACATCCCACTGTCTTGTAAAAGTTAAACAGATAACACACTTGCTGTCAATCTTTGCCATGGAAAATGTTTCACAGTAAAACCGTTTTGGTGATGCGCTGTCGGACACCTGCCCAGCAGCAATGGTAACAGGCGGTTAAACTTAGTATAGAAATTTCACTAGTGTTGTTGGTGTCAGAAGGTTAAAAAGGGCTGCAAATTAAGACACCAAAAAAGTCATTTTACTCATTTCCTCACACTGTATTTAAGAACATTTTGACTCCAAAATTGACTCCAAAACAACCAGCATTAGACTGGCAATGGCATTAAACATTTTGAAACTATTGGTGACTTTAGTCCAGGTTTTAAATAGTTTCTATTTTCCTTTTCAGACTTTTTGTATCTTTCAGACTTCCTCTGTCTGGCTACAAACAGCACTTTAACATCTTTGAGTTATAACATCACAGACAAATAGGTTTCTCTGTAAAGTTGGTGTTTATAGCCTTCCTGACAAAAAGCAGACTAAAGAGAGGAAGTGGGAGGAAGAACAAACACAGACAGAAAAAAAACAAGTGTTGTCATAGGACATTTCTGACTACTTGTGGATGAGTGTGAAGCGTTCGACAGGCTCGCAGACGATTCAGTTAGGGTTAGGGTTAGGGGTTAGGTTAGGGGAATGAATCCCGTCTCCCTCTAGGTTGACCCTACTTGGGTCTGCGGGGAGCGGGGAATGCACGGGCCTTCGCCCACTGGACACGCTCCCCCGGCCCCCATGGATCACTAATTTGTGTTTAAGGTTTGTATTTGATTTGGTTTTAGTGTGTTGTGTTACATGATTGTTGTTTCATTAATCTCTTTTTTTAGGTTTTTGATTGTTTTTGGACACACAAACACACAAACAAGTAAACAAACAGGTACATGAACTACACATGAACTATGTACAATTAGTGTGCATCGCGACAACGTTTCGACCTTATTTGGTCTTCATCAGGTCTATGCACACATAATGGCTGCTGGGCCCCAATTCATAGGGGTCACCCAGCAAGCAGCCAAAAGAAAATGAAAATCCCTGTCCCCTTCTCCCTTTTATACCCTTTGACAAATAATTAGACTGAATTTTCTCGGATATTTTAGTTAATTTTGTACTCTATTTAGTTTCTAAATCTTAACCCTTTAATCGCTGCTTGGTTTTTAATTCAATATGATTTATTTATCATTTACCTGTGTTTAGGCTTAGACTGACCTAGGGTTAGGGTTAGGGTCAGTGTTAGGGTTAGGGTTCAAATCCGAGGCTAGGGTTAGGCTTAGGGTTAGGGCCACGGTTGGGGCTAGATCAAGCGCTAGGGTTAGGGTTTAGGGCTAGCGCGACGGTTAGGGTTAGGGTCAGGGTTAGGGTTAGGGGTTAGGGGTTAGGGTTAGGGTTAGGGGGTTAGGGTTAGGGTTAGGGTTAGGGGTTAGGGTTAGGGTTAGGATATAGGGATATGTGCCACTTTTGACATGCCGGTTCATTGCCTTTCCCATTGATGAACCGGGCTGAGATTTGGTCTACCCCCCCATTTTCGGGTATGCTGAATCTAGAAATAGTAATGAACCAGCGATCGGACATTCCTATCAAAAGTTATGGCGAAGTGAAAATTTCCCATTGAAAATGAATGGGAGCGGAAAATGGCCAAAGTCAGTGTTTGCAAGTGTTGTACTTGTGTGGAACTGTTGAAAATGCATTGTGAGCACGTTTCAGGCCATTTCCTGTCATTTGAGGGCGACTTTGCAAAAAGGGGTGTCATACCGCTTTTGACCAGAGGTGGTGCTGCACACGTCCGACGGTTAGGGTTAGGGTGAGACTTTGGGCAAGGGGTTAGGGTTAGGGCTGGAGCTATGGTTAGGGTTAGTTGTGGAGCTAGGGTTAGGGTTAGGGTTGGAGCTAGGGTTAGGGTTAGGGTTGGAGCTAGGGTTAGGGTTAGGGTTAGGAAAATGTGAAGATTTTCCCAAAATCTGAAGATTTTCCTAAGTGCGGACCCAATTTTTCACCTTCCAGAATTGTGTTAGGAGCACGTTTCAGGCCACGGGGAGTCCATAGAACCTGATTGTGGGTGAAGTTTTCGGGGGTCGGAGCTTTGCGGCAGGGATATAGGGATATGTGCCACTTTTGACATGCCGGTTCATTGCCTTTCCCATCGATGAACCGGGCTGAGATTTGGTCTACCCCCCCATTTTCGGGTATGCTGAATCTAGAAATAGTAATGAACCAGCGATCGGACATTCCTATCAAAAGTTATGGCGAAGTGAAAATTTCCCATTGAAAATGAATGGGAGCGGAAAATGGCCAAAGTCAGTGTTTGCAAGTGTTGTACTTGTGTGGAACTGTTGAAAATGCATTGTGAGCACGTTTCAGGCCATTTCCTGTCATTTGAGGGCGACTTTGCAAAAAGGGGTGTCATACCGCTTTTGACCAGAGGTGGTGCCGCACATGTCCGACGGTTAGGGTTAGGGTGAGACTTTGGGCAAGGGGTTAGGGTTAGGGCTGGAGCTATGGTTAGGGTTAGTTGTGGAGCTAGGGTTAGGGTTAGGGTTGGAGCTAGGGTTAGGGTTAGGGTTGGAGCTAGGGTTAGGGTTAGGGTTAGGAAAATGTGAAGATTAGGGTTAGGGTTAAGGGTTAGGGTTAGGGTTAGGGTTAGGGGGTTAGGGTTAGGGTTAGGGGTTAGGGTTAGGGTTAGGGTTAGGGGTTAGGGTTAGGGGTTAGGGTTAGGTTGGGGAAAGAATCCCGTCTCCCCTAAATTGCCCTACTTGGGTCGGCGGGGAGCGGGGAATGCACGGGCCTACGCCCCGTCGGACACGCTCCCCAGGTCCCGAAAGGCTGGCGGCTACTTCCGCCAGCTAAACCATATTTGGTATGGTGTGTATTAATTTGTAATGCAGTTCATGTAGTCATATTTGACTTACTCACACATACACAATTCATACATGATCTATATTTGATCTATGTATCCCTACAATGTGCCTGCTGCGTCGACGTTTCGACCTAATTTGGTCTTCTTCAGGACTGGGCACATGTAACAGCTAAGGCTGCTGGGCCCCAATTCATAGGGGTGGACCAGCCAGCAGCCGAACAGAAATGAAAATGAAAATGAAAAGCCCTACCCACTTTTCTCCCTTTTATATTCCCTCAGCTAAAAATTAGGATGAATTTACTTATATTTAAGTTATTTTCTGCTCTATTTAGTTTTTGCAATCTTAACCCTTTATGCACCTGTTTGTGCTTTAAATCCATATTAATTATGTTTATTCACATATTTGTGCTTTAATAAACATATTAATAGGTATATGGTCCTGCTTGACCTTTGACCTCTGTGGCCTGCTTGGCCGTCGGTCATTATGTTGCCTCTAATGGTTAGGGTTAGGGCGAGTCCCAGGTTAGGGTTAGAATCCCATACTAGGGTTAGGGTTAGGGTTAGATTCCCAGGTTAGGGTTAGTGCTGGGGTTAGGGTTAGGGGTCAGCGCTAGGGTTAGGGTTAGGGTCAGCGCGATGGTTAGGGTTAGGGCTAGATGCCAGGCTGGGGTTATCATCAGCAGCCGCCCGGACTGCGAGTCGGCTGATTTTTTGCAGGTCGGGACCCAGGGAAACGCGGCGACAGTGGACGTGGCACTGGCTGGATAGGTTGGGGAAAGAATCCCGTCTCCCCTAAATTGCCCTACTTGGGTCGGCGGGGAGCGGGGAATGCACGGGCCTACGCCCCGTCGGACACGCTCCCCAGGTCCCGAAAGGCTGGCGGCTACTTCCGCCAGCTAAACCATATTTGGTATGGTGTGTATTAATTTGTAATGCAGTTCATGTAGTCATATTTGACTTACTCACACATACACAATTCATACATGATCTATATTTGATCTATGTATCCCTACAATGTGCCTGCTGCGTCGACGTTTCGACCTAATTTGGTCTTCTTCAGGACTGGGCACATGTAACAGCTAAGGCTGCTGGGCCCCAATTCATAGGGGTGGAGCAGCCAGCAGCCGAACAGAAATGAAAATGAAAATGAAAAGCCCTACCCACTTTTCTCCCTTTTATATTCCCTCAGCTAAAAATTAGGATGAATTTACTTATATTTAAGTTATTTTCTGCTCTATTTAGTTTTTGCAATCTTAACCCTTTATGCACCTGTTTGTGCTTTAAATCCATATTAATTATGTTTATTCACATATTTGTGCTTTAATAAACATATTAATAGGTATATGGTCCTGCTTGACCTTTGACCTCTGTGGCCTGCTTGGCCGTCGGTCATTATGTTGCCTCTAATGGTTAGGGTTAGGGCGAGTCCCAGGTTAGGGTTAGAATCCCATACTAGGGTTAGGGTTAGGGTTAGATTCCCAGGTTAGGGTTAGTGCTGGGGTTAGGGTTAGGGGTCAGCGCTAGGGTTAGGGTTAGGGTCAGCGCGATGGTTAGGGTTAGGGCTAGATGCCAGGCTGGGGTTATCATCAGCAGCCGCCCGGACTGCGAGTCGGCTGATTTTTTGCAGGTCGGGACCCAGGAAACGCGGCGACAGTGGACGTGGCACTGGCTGGATAGGTTGGGGAAAGAATCCCGTCTCCCCTAAATTGCCCTACTTGGGTCGGCGGGGAGCGGGGAATGCACGGGCCTACGCCCCGTCGGACACGCTCCCCAGGTCCCGAAAGGCTGGCGGCTACTTCCGCCAGCTAAACCATATTTGGTATGGTGTGTATTAATTTGTAATGCAGTTCATGTAGTCATATTTGACTTACTCACACATACACAATTCATACATGATCTATATTTGATCTATGTATCCCTACAATGTGCCTGCTGCGTCGACGTTTCGACCTAATTTGGTCTTCTTCAGGACTGGGCACATGTAACAGCTAAGGCTGCTGGGCCCCAATTCATAGGGGTGGACCAGCCAGCAGCCGAACAGAAATGAAAATGAAAATGAAAAGCCCTACCCACTTTTCTCCCTTTTATATTCCCTCAGCTAAAAATTAGGATGAATTTACTTATATTTAAGTTATTTTCTGCTCTATTTAGTTTTTGCAATCTTAACCCTTTATGCACCTGTTTGTGCTTTAAATCCATATTAATTATGTTTATTCACATATTTGTGCTTTAATAAACATATTAATAGGTATATGGTCCTGCTTGACCTTTGACCTCTGTGGCCTGCTTGGCCGTCGGTCATTATGTTGCCTCTAATGGTTAGGGTTAGGGCGAGTCCCAGGTTAGGGTTAGAATCCCATACTAGGGTTAGGGTTAGGGTTAGATTCCCAGGTTAGGGTTAGTGCTGGGGTTAGGGTTAGGGGTCAGCGCTAGGGTTAGGGTTAGGGTCAGCGCGATGGTTAGGGTTAGGGCTAGATGCCAGGCTGGGGTTATCATCAGCAGCCGCCCGGACTGCGAGTCGGCTGATTTTTTGCAGGTCGGGACCCAGGAAACGCGGCGACAGTGGACGTGGCACTGGCTGGATAGGTTGGGGAAAGAATCCCGTCTCCCCTAAATTGCCCTACTTGGGTCGGCGGGGAGCGGGGAATGCACGGGCCTACGCCCCGTCGGACACGCTCCCCAGGTCCCGAAAGGCTGGCG